ATATTGACTAGATTATCGATGCCACAGACAGCGGGATGGTGCGGGCCTCAGCAAGTTTGTTTTACGTCATTTTTTACGTGACTCGAGCCAGCTTACCGTTTATTTGCTCGACCTTGGAGATGCTCTTGCTGAATTCGTTTGAAAGCTCGTTCCGTGATGTTGTTTGTATTGATATCATCTCGAGCTACTCCCAATGGTAGACCATCGTCTACAAATGTTTCTGTGGTGAATGCGCAGTCCGGTCACTTGGCTGCCCTTGCATCCCAAATGCAAACTGGCTCTTGCTCTGGGACTGACCAATCCAAGCATCCACGAACCAATTCTGCGTGAAATAGTCACGAACTTGTTGCTGCAACTTCTTGATCTTTGCCTTCCCAACATCCGTTGTTGACGTTTCATCGGATGAGTGCGACTTAAGGATCCATGCATCGGTTCGGGTTAGAAACGTCTGCGCTCTGGCGTCAAATTCCTGACGTCGTCGCACGTTTGCTTGCTCCTCCGTTTCGTGTGGACCCCTGACGAACCGGAAGCGTTGGATGATTGAACGAGAATCACGCAAAATATGGACCAATATGGGCTTTGATACTGGGGACCTGTCGGTCTTGCTCGCTTGGGTTGCATCCGTTGACCACCGAGTGATTGCTTGAATCGCATGAAACTGACAAAGTCGAATTTGAAACTCGAGCCCATGCCGCGATGCCCCTGTTGCAGACACAGACCCGCGAGGGGAGATCGCAAAAAAAGATAAATCAGATAAAATAACCCCTGAGACCAATGATCACCGCCTAAGAGGAAAGCGCCTCACATTGTTTGAGGGCGCCCAGTTCGGTCCTGCACTTGTCGATCATCAAGTTGGGCGGTTGCCACTGGTGCTGTACAATATATTGAGCGTTCTCCAGCAGATTGGGCAGGTTACCGGGCGGTTCGCTGACGGAGCCCCGTTGAGCATCTAGGCTTCGCGAAAGACATGTCAATGCGCTGTGTCAAGGCCGAAGTATCGACAAACTGACTGCCGAACCTACCTCTGACAATAATGGTGGCCCGTTTTTCGACTAGGTCCTTCACAACATCCAGATAATGCAGCAACGTCCCTTGCTTGACGTCGCTCGAGAGTAACATAGGCCCTACAGAAAAGAGAATGTGCGAAAACTGATCAGCGCCGAAGGCTGAAGACGGTGAGACTCGCAAGAAGGCACGGGATTGGGCAGGGCCTCCTTCGCGACTAACCCAACGCCATCTGTTCGTTCGTACCCATCGTCGCAAGAATGGTAAGCGGGCGCGGTTCTCATTCAGATACCGCCAAGACGAATCAATCCCAAGGAACCGCGAACCGTCTTCGGCAACGTTTCCCATGGTGGCAAAGGCGATCAGGATATCAATTGAATGCAAGGATGCGAGTACGCAAATGAGTGACTCGTTGTTCGTGGCGTTTAAAGGTTGAAAACTGCGGGACACACGCACGACGTGTAAGCCATGCATTAGCAGATGCAAGCGCGACAATGCGTCGGATGGAGAAGAAAACACACTAGGCCACTCCGCGAGTCATCGGTTCAGACGCATCGTCCAAGCAGAATTTTCGCAGTTAAGCTGTGCGTGATAGGGCGTATAATGGAGAGGAATGTGTGTACGCCTTCGCAGCCTTGGTCCGGAACATGCTCTTGAGTTGCTTGGCCCAAATGACCCGGTTAGGATGGAGAGTGACTCGGTGGATCTTCTCCCACTTCTTGCAATAGTCGGACATAACTTTCTCGCGTGAATGGACCGAGAACGCGAGTCAGCGGTGCGATCAACAGACAGATACAGGGTTCTGTTGGACATATCATGACTGTGATTCCCCTTGGAAAGCACTGCTTCGGGTGCTGCCACACTGTTGCACTATCTGATGAGCGACAGTTCGCATAACCGCGGCCGGTTTCCTGACCGATTCTAGGGTCCGCGGGCCCTCATGGTTGCCAAGCGTGTATATCAAGGCAATCGAGAGATTGCTGGCTGGGACCACAATCTTACAAAAGCAGAGTGCAGGTAACGAAACGGGTGTCAGCGCATGCGCAAAAGCCATGAACCCAAACACAGCAAAGAAAGGATCTCTGAGGCTGAAATTTCGGCTAACTCACCTTCAATTGTGAAGAGCATTCGCGCACGACATCTTTGTCCTTCGGTCGCACATTGTAGTATATCTTCCCATCATCTCCTGTGTAGCGCATGCAGGCGCCCGAGCACTGGTGCGATATGCGAAGCACTTCTTTGAGTGATTCCTTCCAAGTGGATTGCAAATTGTGGCCGATCAGCGGGTGCCATTCGATCAATGTCAGGTGATCCGCCGGATGCTGATGGAAAGAGATCGATGGAGCACCGTGAGATGTTTCTGCTACGGCGAGACAACGTTCGTATTTGCAGGCCGTCCATTCGTGCTCCTGTTCCGGTTGGTTTCGCCAATGAAGGATAGGAGGAGGATCGGTGAGGAAGAATTTTGTCAGTTTTGCTTCCTAATCAGCAACTTCAACTAGCCATCAATGACTGCTTATGCTTAGAACCAGTATCGACCTACTTCGGTGGCCATGTACAAAGGAAGCTTGAAAATTGGTATGGTGTCCTTGAGCGTCCATTTATCTGCTTTCCTTCGGTCGCCAAGAATCAGCGGCCATTGCCCGTAGTCGGCTTTCTCTTCCGCCGACCAGAGGAGGTTCGACGACATGATCGCTTGACGTTTGGCTTGCATTGTGTCATACTCCAGCTGTAGATGGTTGGGTGCACAATTTTCGAGGAGGTTGACGACTTGGCGCAGTCGATCCATGGCTTCTTTGCCGCCATCGGAGGAGCTGGCTTCGGAGTCGTCGACGGCTGGGTCTGAGTCGGCGTTCGAGTCGACATCGTCGGAGCAGCCCTCAGGAGTCATTGAGATTTGATTGGAGTGCGTCACTGAGGGAGATTGGTCAATGATATCGGGTTCCCGCTGGCCCAAGTCTTTCTTCTGGGTAGACGTAGTCGAGGACATCTGGGAGGTGCCACGTGCAGGTGGGCGGGTCATGTCGATTGGTCGGGTCCCAATGCGGGGTCGGCCACCCTTATTCTGGAGCGTTGCATTCATCTTCTGACTGGACATGACATATGCGACACGGGTTTTGGAACCAAGGCGAGTATCGGTCGATGGCAACGGATGGCAGGAACTGGCGTGGCGCGGTGAACATGAGTCGAAAGTAGGCATTTGGCGCGACGCGACGCGTCAAGCAGGCTACGTGCACCCAGACAAAATTGAGCAAGGTCGCTGGCGGCGATGCGCGGCTGTGCAGTGGATGCAGGGCCTACTTTGCTTAGGCAGTGACACGCATGATCGGATCACTTGACCCGGTGTAGTACCCAGTAAAAGAAAGAGTGAATATTTCGATGCCTGGGGGCCTTCGTCGAGCCCGTGGGGGGGGGGGAGTACGGCCCGGGGCACGATTTTCAAGTACATGAGATCCGGGTGAGAGTGCGTCTTACCAAGGGTGGACGTACTTGGTGGTCATGTAAAAGGGCTCGTCAAGTTTCAGGGTAATACATGGCATACTACACGAGATACAGCGGATTGCCCCGCTACGAGGTAGATGCACCATCCTTAATTGGTAAACGCACCTTTCTTCCGGGGCAAACGCACCAAACTTGCGCGAAGAATGCACCATTTGTAAGTGAACTTTGCACCTTACTACCTGGGTAGATGGGTCAAGCTTCGGGGGTAAACGCGCACGCGTAATTGGTAATTGCACCATTTACTCGCGGCATTATGTATGGATGCATTAAAACATCAGACCTCTGCCATTTTTTCTTTCTTTTTATTTGATAGATCTCATTAACAGCACAATTTCTGAGTACCTAGAAATGTTCGGACAAGTCGAATGCTTCAGCGAAGACTACTGTTCTTGTGATCTTCTCATGACATCTTATGACAGGTAACTGTTTACAGCGCTAAGTGCGCAGACTATGGCTGCAGTGTAATGCCAATGTTCTGGTTTTAGGTAGCATCCCCCATGATCATGTTATTCGGAGCGCTGATCCGGCAGTAGTAAATAGTATGAGATAGACGAAAGACGGCGGCAACACAAAGATGACTCGCCTTTTCAGAGCATTCCGAAACGCTTATCCCCACCTCGAACCCAACAGCGAGCCCAACAGCGGGTAGTTATGTATCCCCCCAAGTTAATTCCGAGCGAAAAATAACAGAAACATGTAGTCTATACCATGCTCTACGGTCTGGCGTCTCTATGCGAAGTAGCAAGCAAACGTGAGGAAGGCTCTCTGCAGTAAACGCGCTCCGGCAGCCGCCCGGGACGAGCCAGGGGTAGCCTTTGAGAATAAAGGGAACCTTTCGAGCTTTCGTCCATCTCTTTCTCGGGTCGGATCTTGTTGAGCGAAGTACCATAATGGATCGTCATATCTATAGCCACGCGCTGAATTCGTGCTCCTATCAAGATGTGCGAAAACAGCTGCAAACCTGCGGTTAATAGGGTACATGTACAAGCATACACGTTCGAGGGCCGCACAGGAACGGTGCGGTTAGGGTTCAGTAGTTGGCAGGGAGGTAGGCTCCTGCAGAGTGTCGGCGTGACCTTGGGCCTTGAGGTGAAGAGATTGTGTCTGTTAACGTCGTCTAGGAGCTCAACCTCATCGAAGGGGCTCGAAGACGGCGGATCCCAAAAGCGACGACCCCCTGCTCAGGGTGGTGTGCAGTGCCAATACGGGGACAAGAGCAAAGCCAACGAAGGCGTTTGCGAGGGCGCCAACCTCTTTTTTCGTAGTCGTACGCCGAATTGGCGTCGGAATCAAATCAAGGTCACTGGTGCAAGTGTTGGCAAATGCCTCATCCGAATCTGCCGACGAGGTCGTCGCAGCCCATGAATCAATTTCGAGCCCCTGCGCAGTGACCCGCTGCTTGAATTTGTCCGCTAACAAGAGGTGCCTCTCGACCGAGGAGATCTTTCGAGATGAGTGTGTTGCCGATGAGTTAGAAAGGACGACAACGGGCTTCAAGTTGGTGCGATCGGCGGGGGGGGGGGGGGGGGTGTGCGCCACCGGGTGGTCCAGGGAGGTGGGTCTTGGCTGGATTGGTCTTGGCTGGACAAGTGGTCTATCATCGAGGCAAGAAACATGAGGGCGACGGATCCGCGTGCAAAACGGAAGATACCTCCATATGGAGACGGTGTACTGCGTCGTTCGTCGCTCGTTTGAAACAGCGGCGAGTAGATGAGCGGCATGATGAGCCCAACCTCCTCCGGAATCTGCGGATTCACAACTGCCAGTGAAAGAAGCGCAAACTCCGTCAGCTCTGTGCAGAGCAAAATCGCGGTAGTATGGGTACCCACTGGCCTCGGCAAAGACACCCAAGTGTGTGCTGGGGATCATGCCAAATCGCACAGGAACGATGACCTCGCCCGTCGTCACGGCGGTGGGGTGGCGCTTGACTGCAGATTTCATGAGTGGGTCTTCGGTCTTGGTAGCTGAGGGCAGGGTTCCCCATTAGATAAGATAATCTCGCAGATATTAGATATCTATCTAAAAAAATTGGGCTCTAGCCCTTATCTATCTATCTCCCATCTTAGTCAGATATCTCAGATAGATGCCTAGATATCTAATAGATATCTAATCAAAGCGTCGGCGCAGCGAGCTTGCCAGCGATCATTTGCGAAGCCACGTCTCAGCTGAGAGTAGTAATTTTGCGCTTCTTTGTCCGTGGCGAATTCCGTACACACAAGGTCCTCCTCAGCAGTGGGGAGCTCATGATCCATCTTGCTTCAGCACAGACTCAGATTGATTATAGTCGTTTGGCGAGGTGTGAGAGTGCAAGTGAGCGAAGAAAGAAGAGAGAACGGCGCCGGGGTACATTGCGAAGTTCACAAAATGTCGCAATTGCACCTCCTTTCTTTGTGTGATTTGTGTGATTAGTTGATAAGCACCCTCTGGCAGCAAAAACGTCTGAAAGCCTCAGCTCCCAAATTGGCCCGTCGGCAAGCCGTGCCGCCTCACCCGCGGTCAGCGCTTGGGCCAAACCATGCGGCACAAACATGGGGATTGAGCCGAATACGACTTGAAATTCGATGTCCTCGCTAAGGAGCAAGAACCTCCTTAGTGGAAACTACAACTTCCAGCGCAACAGGAGTCTGTATCAGACACAGAAAAAGTTAAGATATCCTAAAGATATCTAAGGAAACCCCCGGGGCCTTATCTATCTATCTAAGATATTCGGCCCCTAGATAAGATGACATCTATATCTTAGCGAGATATGCTAAGATAGAGATATCTGGACATCTAATGGAGAACCCTGGCTGAGGGCCTCGTTCGCCAGCGCGTGCTCGCCTAGAAAGGTTGACAGCAATTCTTCGAAACGTTTCAGGAGTAGTAAAGCATCCAACATAGCCATGACTGGGTCACGAGATCCCGGAGGGAGCGGTGGTAAAGCCCCATAAGTTGCCACAGTCGCGTTCATTTCTTCGATTTAGTAGTAGGGTTTTGAGCCATTTCCTTTGGAAATGAACGCCCCGCGAGCGCGCGCCCGCGTTTACCCACCCACCCCCAACCCCCATTTGTACTCGCCAGCCTTGACGTGTCGTTCGGAAAAGCCGAGGTCAACTTATGCGGCCCGTTCTGCGCACTGCCCGCTCCGGACTGGGATTTGGCAGTGCATGGACGATGTGGAGCGGTGCTCCAACCGGCTCATCGCTCGACGCGCATCCCGAACGAGTTGCCATCACTTCCTCCCGAAGCTCGTCACCCCGTCATGGCCATGATGGACTCGTCGCTTCTGAAACGCGTCGAGCAGACCCTGGCCGCCTTCTTGGACGAGCACGAGCTCTCGAGCGCCGTCCTCTCCAAGAATGTGGAGCTGCTGAAGCAGACGCCAGCTCCGATCCTGTGTACCCGCGGACCTACGTGCACCGCCACCGTCCACGACCTTCGGATCCGAGTGCTCGAACCACTCCTCCAATTCCTCCTGAACCAACTGGAGCTAAAAAGCAACCCCGGGGCGTCCCCAAGTCCGCACTATCGTCTCCAGTTTCGCCCTCAGGACCCGTCCCAGCCGGATGGAGTCACGTTGGCCTTGATGAAGGATCGTCCTGGAACGTGCGTCGCTCTAATGGTTATCCACTTTGAGGAGGATGACGACTTCCTCTCCTTTGGCCCTCAAACCAACCTGTTCGCGCGAAAAGGCGAGTGCAGGTATCACCTTCACCACGATCGCCCGATTCCTCTCCAGAACGGCGGCAGAAGTCATGGAGCGCAAGCCATCTTGAACAAGGTCTAACCTCTGAAACTGAGCTTATACTGGTGCCCACCCCACTGATGACCTCGTACTTTGACTTCTTGTGCAGCTGGCGTTGCTGATGGAATCGGCGGTCGAGCGCCACCCCGAGACCGGCGAGGTCATCGTTCCTGTACGATTCGGCATGATCCTCAGCACTCATTTTGGCATCTTTGCCGAGGCCAGTGCGTACCCGTCTCGTGTTTTCGTTCTCGCCCGCGCACAGAGCTCATGTGATTTGCGCTTTCCCAGTTGTGAAACCGCAGAACCCCAACGACTTCGGGCTCATTTACTCGCCGCTGTTTCATACAGTAGGCGCGATACACTATCTCGACATGGAGACCTGCTTCGCGCTCACAAACGGATCTGTAGCATTGATGTTTCTTGCGTCGATGATCGATCACCTCGCTAAAACCCCTGAGCCTCCTTTCGAGGTCGTACAAAGGCTTTTCGGTCAAGCCGACCCAAGTGACGCCAAGAGATGGACGTTCCAGCGGGAGCCGAGGAGACGCACGCTCAAAACAGGATGGACCCCATTATCGAGCTTGGAAGTCTTCTCTGTATACCACTATCGTGTTGAAGCCAAACTGAGTCTCGCAGCCTGGCCAGTACGTCCGCGCATTACGACTTTTCTTAAGATTGGAACCGCCCTTGATGGCCACGTTCTTCCCATGTCGTTCAGCCTCGAATTTCCATCAGCAATGGCAGGATGCCACAAACGCGGAGTGGATACGAAGCCGTCACTTTCGAAGTCGTCGAGACTGGCCCAGCTCAAGACAACAGTTCAAAGAAGCACAAATCCGAATCGACGAAGTACAAACCGTGTCAGCGCCTGTGTACCTTGCCCCCAGCCTTGCTGTCTTTTCTACTTGCCTTCAGGCCGGAAAAGCACTGTGGCGACGCAAAGGAAGGGTTTCTGTCAGACTTGGTCAATGTAGAACCACAGTCACTTCTGCATTTAGTGCTCCCCCAGTTCATTGCAGAGGGTGGGTTTGCTGTTGTACGTGCGGGTTTATTGATCGGCAGCTCGTCTGTGCCGGACTTGTCCATGGACGAATATCTGTCGTCTTCGATGGTCGAACAGCAACACAGTGACTCGGACGCCGACACCGAAATGCATACTGCGGAAGCCGATCGACTTGGTTCATCGACCTGGATTCCTTGCACGTCCATTCCGACGGATCAAGCGGTGGTTTTCAAGTCTTTCTGGGATGTCCCGAGTGCCGTGCACGAAGCCTTGTTCTATGAACACGTCTTTCCGCTACTGCCCAGCGAGGCCCGCGCTTTACTCCCGACCTATCATGGTGCCTATCGAGATTCTAAAGGGACCGATCTGGGACTCGTTTTGGGGTACGGAGGCCGGCCGATCGACGAGAAAGAGGTGGACGAGGTCCTCAAGAAGAAAGTGGCGTGAGTCTGGTTGCGCGGATGTCCTGGTCTCCTCTCGCCGTGGGCTTTGCAGCTGACGTTGTCAACGTCTCGCGCATGATACAGCGACGCATTCAGAGTCTTCGACAAATGCGGCGTCGAGCACATGGATCGAGAACTGCGCAATGTCCTCGTACGCAACGACGGATCGTTGTGCATCATCGACTGGAACCTCGCGAGACTCAATTTTGATCGTCGCTTCCTCAAGTATGGGACAGAGTTCAGGTGGTGAGGTGATGCTGAGGAGGAGGGTGGTGGGTCCCAGTGCGAGAGGTGTAAAATTGAAGTGTGCGTCATTCGATGGTCCTGGAAGTTGAGGGAGATGTATATCTCGTGGGAACAGACGCTCCGTTGCATTATGGTGCAAGAACCCCGACGCAGCCTCGTCGAGCGGGGCGCAGCCGTCCCTCGGATCCTTCTTGTTCTGACCTCATGTGACAGTTCTCGAAGCTTCTTGTAAATATTACAGCCCAGTAGCACAGGTACAAAGGTGAATTTGACGAGCGCTGTGGGACGAGATCGTCAGGCCAGGGTCTGTTGAAGATCTTCCTCGACTTCGGAAAAGGCCGGCCTCGAATTTTGGTGGTGTTGCTCCCTCCTGCACCCCACTCCACCATCACCCACTACTCATGCCCACCGTCTCTCGCTTTATTACTCAATAACAAGATACTTTCCCCATCGAACACGCTTGTGGCCCCTCATCCTTGGTGCAGGGCGGACAATCGATCAAGTCCAAGACCAATCCAGCCTCGATCACTCGGTCGCGCACCCCCCGCCGATCGCACCAAGCGCGTTGTCGTCCTTTCTAACTCATCGGCAACACACTCATCTCGAAAGATCTCCTCGGTCGAGAGGCACCTCTTGTTGGCGGACAATTTCAAGCAGCGGGTCACTGCGCAGGGGCTCGAAATTGATTCATGGGCTGCGACGACCTCGTCGGCAGATTCGGATGAGGCATTTGCCAACACTTGCACCAGTGACCTTGATTTGATTCCGACGCCAATTCGGCGTACGACTACGAAAAAAGAGGTCGGCGCCCTCGCAAACGCCTTCGTTGGCTTTGCTCTTGTCCCCGTATTGGCACTGCACACCACCCTGAGCAGGGGGTCGTCGCTTTTGGGATCCGCCGTCTTCGAGCCCCTTCGATGAGGTTGAGCTCCTAGACGACGTTAACAGACACAATCTCTTCACCTCAAGGCCCAAGGTCACGCCGACACTCTGCAGGAGCCTACCTCCCTGCCAACTACTGAACCCTAACCGCACCGTTCCTGTGCGGCCCTCGAACGTGTATGCTTGTACATGTACCCTATTAACCGCAGGTTTGCAGCTGTTTTCGCACATCTTGATAGGAGCACGAATTCAGCGCGTGGCTATAGATATGACGATCCATTATGGTACTTCGCTCAACAAGATCCGACCCGAGAAAGAGATGGACGAAAGCTCGAAAGGTTCCCTTTATTCTCAAAGGCTACCCCTGGCTCGTCCCGGGCGGCTGCCGGAGCGCGTTTACTGCAGAGAGCCTTCCTCACGTTTGCTTGCTACTTCGCATAGAGACGCCAGACCGTAGAGCATGGTATAGACTACATGTTTCTGTTATTTTTCGCCGGATTTAACTTGGGGGTACATAAGTACCCGCTGTTGGGCCCGCTGTTGGGTTCGAGGTGGGGATAAGCTTTTCGGAATGCTCTGAAAAGGACGACGAGAAAGGTCCCGACTCCAGCTCCCGGTCCCGAGCGGTTTCCATCATTGAAAAGTGACGAACGTACATGAAAGGGCTTGGAACGTTTTGTTTTTGTCGAGACGGGGTATGTTTATCTACATCGCTTCCTCCCAGTGCTGAAGGCTGGCTGTATGCAGGTCGATGAGTCGCCTCTGAAGCAGCCGAGTCGACTGCACGGCGTCTTGAATGAAGGATCGCCGGCAATAGGCCGGATGGACTTGATTGAGGGTTCGATCGTCGATTAGTAAAACGCGTCCTTGGTCGAACGTCGCGCGCGCGGGCTTCCGCTGGGTCTGCGTTATAAAGTGAGAGAGCGCGAGTCGCGAACCAGCGCGAACCGTGCGCGCTCCTCTGCGCCTCTGCGCCTCTGCGAGCCTCTGCGCGCTTCCGCTAAATACTCGCACGCGCACACACACCCCCTCTCCCCCTCTCTCGCTTGTACTCACTCCCGTTGTCGATCGCGTGTTCGGACCGGCGTGTATTTGTGTGACTCTTCAGTAGTCCATCATGGGTGAGTGAAGGATCCTCCGCTCGGTGTAGTGGCGAATGACGGGGCTGGGTTCCGCGGTCGGCTCACTGTTGGCTGACGATGATGTATGTGCCGCTGTGACCCTGACCGGCGTGACCGGCGTGACCGGCGTGACCCACCCACTGCCAATCTCCCCGCCCGACGCGCGTGCCTGACTGGACTGTCCAGCTGCGTCCGCCGGCGCGAACGAATCGCCGCCGCTCTCGTCTGCGGCGACGCAACGCCCTCTGCTCGACCGCATGCCCTCGACCTTGGGCGACGCCCCCGTGGCGACCAACTCGGTCGTGAACCGCCAGGCGACGGCCTCGTCGTCGCTGTACCAGAACTGTCGCGCCGTGCTCGACCGACTGGACCGGGTGCCAGGCTTCACCGACCGCTTCGCCAACCCCGACGACGAGAACGAGGCGCACATGGCCATCTCGACCGATCCGGTCTCGCGTTCGTTGCAGATGCTGCGCTTGGGCGCCTCGCTGTGCTTCCTCTTCAACGCGTTCGAACTCGAGCGACGCCTCGAGGTGAACGCGCAGGCGACGATGCTCAACCTCAAGGCGTGTCAGAAGGGGACCGCGCACTTTGTCATGGCGTGCAAGCAGGACCTCAAGTTCCCCGACACCGATCTGTTTGCGATCCACGAGCTCTATGGACAGGACACGAACGGCGTCGTAAAGGTGGGTGTTGCAGCTGCTACCAGTGGATGGATGGGCCGGGGTTGCTCCTGTCGCGGAGGTGGTGTTGGGCCACCGCCACGTCGGAAAAGGGGACAGCGCTAAAGGTGCCAGTCGAATCGAGCTGACTCACAATCAACCGTACCCGTGGCTTGCCTCTGTTACAGGTCATCAATACGGTCACCAAGGTGCTGAACCTGTTGGAGGATCAGGGTCGACTGCTGCCTCCCAAGGCGACCCCGGCGGTTCCGCTCGCACCGGCTGGCCCCTCGGACGAGAGGAGCATGATCGTCCGCGAGATACTGGATTCTGAACGCAAATACGTCCAGGACCTCGAGGTTCTACAGGTTAGTCTTCTCCCCCCCCCCCATGACCTATGCCCTACGACCCGGATATCGCCTGTCGGATCATCGGCACGGCCCTGCCGCACACCCTCCCTCCCTTTGAAAGCCCGACACAGCTGGTGTGTCTCCTTTCCAGGGCGCCACATGGATCGCGGGCACGTTGTCCAGCGGTCTTCGCACTAGCCTTTCACCTGCCAATCCCCCCTCCCCACCTGCTGCAGCCCAAGTCTGATCATCCCGCCCTGGCTCCCCACAGGACTACCAACGTCAAGTCCAATCCAATGACATCATCACCCAGGACCAGATCCACAACCTCTTTCTCAACCTCAACACCCTGTGCGACTTCCAACGACGGTTCCTCATCGGTGTCGAAGCGAATGCGAGTCGACCACCCGAGGAGCAACGATTCGGTCATCTCTTCCTGCAAATGGAGGATCACTTTGCCGTCTACGAACCTTACTGCTCGAACCTTACCGCCGCCCAAGATCTCGCCATCGCGGAGAATACCGCCTTATCTGTGAGTGGGACGGGCTTGAACTTGACACGAATGCGACACGACACGCCTTTTGCGTTACTGACACCCTAGGTTATGTGCTTTGCACACACAGAAACTCTCGCACGTCCTCGATCCCGTCTCCGAACTCGCCCCCCTGCTCATCAAACCTGTGCAGCGCATCTGCAAATACCCGCTCCTTCTTGGCCAGCTCGTGAAAAACACCCCCGAATCGAGCCCTTACTACCTCGAACTGCAAGCTGGCCACGCCGCCATCATGCGCGTGACCGATCGTGTCAACGAGACGAAGCGACGCGAGGACATGCGCCAGGCCGTAGTCGACCTCGCCTCGCGCGTCGACGACTGGAAGGGGCACGACATCAACTCCTTCGGCGAATTGTTACTGATGGAACCCTTTGCTGTCATCAAGAATGACACCGAGCGCGAATACATCATCTACCTTTTTGAACGGATCATCTTGTGCTGCAAGGAGGCGCCGCCGAACCCCAAGGACAAGAAGAACAGCAAGAGCAACTCGATGATCAGGCGGCCGGTACCGACCTCCTCAACACGACGTCCGACAATGCTCTTGCTCAAGGGTCGGATTTTCATCAACAACGTCACGGGCGCGGTGCCGAGCCGAGTTGGAGGTGAGTCCGGCAATGTCGAACCAGGCAGGGAGCCGGTGTCTGTGTTCATGAAGGCTGACGAAAAGCACATACTTGGCGAATTTACAGGCCAATGCTTGCTCGATGTCAGATGGCGAGGTGACGTCGCGGAGGAGGCCTTCACGATGCGGTGTCGCACTGAGGAGCTGCTCAAGCAATGGCAACGGACGATCACCAAAGCGGTCGAAGAGGCGCCACTGCGACGCCGACAGGCCCATCTCTCTGGCGGTCGACGATCCGAACGCAGCATGAACTCGCCCATCTCGCAATTCCCGCAGACGCCCATGACCGAGTTCAGTCCGAGCATCGGGTCATCAGGGTACGCGTTCGGGAACGACTGGAACAGCTCGCAGGCGTTGTCGATGGCCGTCCGGAGTAGCAACCCTTACGCCAACGAGTTCGAAGACGACCTCGACGAGAACTATCAAAACCAGACCGAATCGGGCCGATCGACGCCGAGTTTACACGGCTACGCGGGTAGCCTTCCTCGACGAGCAGGTGTGGCGACACGGTCCTTGCCCGCCGAGCAACGCGGAGCGCCGGGCGATCCGGCGAATCGCCCGCGAGCACAGACACAGGATTCGTCGTCGGCCCTCATCAACGAATGGCGGATTCAGACACCGAGTTTGCCGCGAGGTGCAGCGAGCGCTTATCCGAATGATCGCAATGTCCGACCCTCAGCGAGCAATCACCAATTGCGGTCACAGCAGAGCACCGAATGGGGGTCAGCATACCCGAGAGGGCCCGGGCAAATTGATCACGACGGTGGCCACGAGCACAGCGGCCGACCGCCGTTGCGACACCAAGCCTCGGCCGCGCCGATGCAGAGACAGGGCTCGTACGGGACCACGGCCCCACCACAAGCCCCGGCGATGCTTCGCAACCGATCGGCGAGCAGCCCCAACATGCATCAGCAGCAGCAACAACAATTCGGCGGCGCGATGCCGACCTCGACCTCAGCGGCTGACCAAGAATGGTCTTCCCGCACCGGGGCGTCCTCCCATCCCTATGCGTACGCCTCGACGAACGGTGAAGGCAACAGCAAGAAGCAACCGGGTGCGACCAACTCGGGTGTGAGCACACTGGCGTCGCAGTCGTCGGCGTCGACGCACTTGAAGAGGTTCAGCTCGTCGAGCAACCACACCGACCGGTCTTCGACGACTTCCAACACCTCCGCTGGGCCCATCTACTCGAACGCCACCTCCCCCGTTTCGAGTGCTCCCCTCCCCCCTCTCCCACACGAAACCGCCCGGTCCAACGGCGTCTCCGCTCCATCCTCAGCCGTGCGCGTCAAGGTCACCTACAGCGAAGACACCTTCGTCGTCGTCGTCCTCGCGACAGTTTCGTACGCCGAGTTGCTCGACAAGGTCCTCAAGAAGATTCGTCTTTGCGGTCGGACATTGCAGGATGCGTCTTTCCTCCGTATCAAGTACCTCGATGAGGACGGAGACAAGATCGCCATCACGAGTGATGAGGACGTGTTGATGGCGATGGAGGACGTGAGGAATGCGGGGCAGGGGTCGGCGGGGCATCCGACGCTGATTCTGTTTGCGAGTGTCGATTAGTGACCCTTGGAGCTGGTTTTGCTCCCCTTTTGTCTGTGCATCTTTCGTCTTTCCACGCCTCCCCCTCACTCGCAACCTTCGTCCGTTCGTTCCCTTATCCTTCCGTCTTTTACCCCTCGCATCCCCTATCGCAAATTCGTTTACCCCCCGACATGCACGCTTGTCGTCCGTCACTCGTTCACCCTTGCCCATACACACACATACGCACACACACACATGACCCGATCCTAGGGAATGTCTCTGTCTGTTTGTTTTGCTTTCGCTGGTCCCTCCTTTGCTTCTTCTTTTCTTTGCTTCCGTGTTCGTTCGTACATAAAGGGGGCTTTTTCTCGGCCGGGTGCTTTTCTTACTGTTCTTTTTTTCGTGTTCTTTCGTTCGTTTTTTGCAACGCTTGGGATTTTGCCAAGTTCATTCTATGCACCTTCGGAAGAGCTGCTCTTTTGAGGCTAGTTTTGAAAGGGGATGAAACAATCCAAACTCCATTTCTTGCTACAAGAGGGGTGATCAAAAGGTGTGTACAACAAGATGAACAGTCCAACTAAACGCGCACCCGTATGCTTCATAAGCCACTTCCCTTTTTCTTTTTTCTTTTTCTTTTTTTTTTTTCCCCCACCTACCACCCCTCCAAGTCCCTCAAAGCCCTCTGCACCAATCCGGCCGCAGAGAAAGTCGGCTCGACCTATGAAAAAACAGAAATGAGCTCTCAAGTCCCTTCTCAGATCTGAGAGGAGGTGAAACTTTTGATGCGAAGAACCGACTCACTTCAACTGAGGATGCGGAAGATGTCGTTCGAATTTGGGTGGAAGGAGAGAGATCCGTTCCTTCCTCGTGTGGACGGGTGGTGGTGGAAGGTGGATGAAGTTCTCCTACCTCCGCTAAAGCGCGAGAGAGTTTAGCTTCCATCGGAGCTGTCGAACCCGTCCCGACAAATAAGACAACATCAGCACTCCGTCCTAAACCAAAAACCAATCCGAACCCCGACATAATACTACAGCCCAAACCTCTCCCAGACGTACAAGCACTCTTATACACCGTCGTCGCCAACTTCAGCGCGCGATGCAAAATCCTCAAAATGTCGAAATCAAACTCCGCTTCCTTCAAAGGTCCGGTTTGGTGGGCATGGTGTTGGGCTCCTAGGATGGCGACGGGTATCCAGGTGGGGAGAAAGTCCTGTGATTGGGGATGAGCTGAGTTATTGGGGTTGAGAAGTGGTAAGGGTTGGGGTGTACGCACTAGTTTGATGATGTAGATCGCACGGGTGTGATTATCGGCGTAGGAATCACCAATCTATGAGACCCGCTCCGAAACAAAGTCCGTTCAGCTCCACCACCACCCCTATTCTCCTCAAGTTCTCCCAACGCTGTATTCAAAACTCACCAACCCGATCATCTGTACGAATAACCTCAACCACTTGAGGAATCTCAACTGCGCACCCTCTACGATCCTCTGCCCCTCAATGGAGGTGGGGTCTTTTGAGGCCCTTCGATCGGCTTCGGTCACGAGGGCGACGAGCGTGAGGAGGGGGACTACGGGGAAGGCGAGGTGAGGCAATGACTGTCAATCAAGCAAACGCTTCAAAGTAGGTGGAAGAGCTTACCAGCAAAGAAATGTGGCGTCTTGCGCACCATCCTTCGCACGTCGTGCAGGTCTCGAAGCCGTTCATCGACGGTCGCGAAGAGATGTTGGAAAACTAGGAGGACGTTCGAGCTCATATCAGGATCTATACAGACAAGGTCCAAATGGTCAGTTCAACAGAAAAACCGATGCACGGGATAAAGCTCAGGTGAGGTTAATGCTTGAGCTCATTCTCACCTTGCAACCTCAACTTAGCCAGCCACCGCAGTTGTCGAATATTGTCAAGTTGCACGTCGTCCCACTCTACTGAGGCATCCTCTTCACACGCCAAGGTGTCCCCGATTGAGCGGATCGTCCGTTCTTCGATCTTCGTAATGGGGGACGTATAATCTATTTGAGCTTCTTCGACTCCATAGGTGTCGAGCATCTCGTCCGGTCTGCAATTGGTGGTATGAAGAAGCCAGGAGATTAGTCAACTTGTCGCGCCTCCCCTCTCCCATTCTAACCAGCTCAAACTCACACTACCAACTCCTTCCCCATCACGACCGCATCATAAGCATCAAACACTAGTAGCGTATCCCCTTCCAAAGTCCTGCCCCCCAACCTCGTCGTCGGATCGCTATGCCTAGCAATCACCAATGCGCCTACGCCTTTCTTGCGCATGTTATCGATGAGTCGTAAACGATGCGACTTTTGGACTATATTGGTCGTGAAGGGACGCTTGTTCGGGAAGGACGAGGAGGTGGAGTTGGCTCCGGCTAATGATATGAGCAAAAATAGGGGTGTGGGACATCAGCCCCACTTTCGAGGAAACTCCCGTCACCTCGAAACGACCCGACTCACCCGAAGTCGCAATCCTGAGAATATTAAACACCTCTATCGACGTCCCCTCCAGATCATCGAACAAGCCCGACCTCTCCGCCGTCTCCACAGCCCTAGCAATCAAACTCGAACACGCCGCGTCCCTCCTCTCCCCTAGAGCAAGGGTCGTCAATTCGTCGGGGGAGGAAAGGAGCGAAGGGGCTATGATACCTGTTATACTGGAATGGAAGGAACGACGCGCACCGATGGCGGCGAGGGAGGCGAGCACGACCTGGAAATGGAGGGAAATGAGGTGGGTTTTTCTTCGTGATCGAAATCCGGGATGTGAGGAAAAAAGGAGCTCACATTCTCATAGCGTGATTCAGCACCGGCCGACGTCCTCCTCGTAATGGTGCTCAACACATCCTCCACTGTCCTCGCCCCAATGGTGACGAATTTCGAAGCTTGTGCCGAAACTGAACGAGTCAGAGAAGATGAGATCAGTCTTCCCTCCCCCGGAAGAATCTACCTCCCTTCCACTTGCCCGGTGACACGCACGTGATATCAAATGCCAATACAGGGAAGCGTTCATCTCCCTTTGCCCTATCCTCGCCATCGGACTAGTCGGTCCTAAATTGAGGGGTCCCAATCGATTCTGCTGGGCGACGACGACCCCGCAAGTCGGGGATGAAGTCGTTGATGACTCGGAGGCTGAGGATGCGGCTGAAAGAGCGGCGGCGGTCTGGGCCCTCCAAACGTCGAGTACTTTGCCGGACCGTCTACGCTTCTTGGTGGGTCGATGACTGTAGACGGCCAAGATGATCGTATAAGTTAGACAACTTGTACCCTCGCACGGTCGTGTGAACTCACTCCAAGGTTGCGTCGTCGTCGTCGTCGTGCTCTGACTTTACCCGAAGCGTGCCGGAAGCGTTCGTCAGCGCGGCTGCCGTGGTCATCGCCGTCGTCGTGGTCGTGGTCGTGGTCGTGGTCGTGGTCGTGGTCGTGGTCGTGGGGGAGACGCGCCCATTCCCAGTAGAGTCGAGGTGGGTGCTGACACGATTGAAGAATAAGTCTAAAGCTTCCATCGTTCCGGGTGTGCGTTGGCGAGGGGCGAGGGGCGAGGGGCGAGGGGCGAGGGGCGAGGGGCGAGGGGCTGATGGTTAGCGCGAATGGTCCATCATGTCACGTGGGAGGAGCGAGACGCGCGTGGGGGTGACTGGACGAAGCTGGCAGACTCATCGATCATCAAGCATCAAGCATCTAGGCAGATCCGATCCGCTCGACAGCAGCGCTCGACAGGCCTTGACATCCCTGGGCCTCAGGCTGCCACCTACCAGTCTTAGACCAGAGTCGTCGCTTTGTCGCTGCACACTACATATAGTCACCACCTACACCTGTGATCCCAGATCGGCAAGCAACTGGTCGTTTTGGAATTATCCTCTGCAATAACGACCTCTGGGTCTACATTCAGTGGGAAATTATTCGCTCCTCACACCTGTAAGGCGCCGCTCCGCTTACGCCTCACGACGACCTCGAGCCAACCTCTGCGGCCTCACGCTTGCCCTCGCGCGCGGCGCCGCCGCGTCTCTTGACCTTAGTCCTTTTAGTAGTCTTTCTTCGCCTGCGAATTACACCGTTTGATCCTTTCTGTTTGGACTCGGAACCAGTGAGGCTCGAGAGCGATCTCGTGCGTTTCAACACCGCGTCGACTGTCAAAAGGAGTTCGGTCTCTGAACCTTCAAGAAGCCGTTTCCAACGAACAAGAGTCCGCTTGATCGATCACCGACTTCTCGACGACAAGCTCATCTTTGTGGAACTCAAGGAGAACCCGGAAAAGCAGATAAGAGTCTCCCGGCCCCGCCACTGGGCTGGCTGCATCCCGTGGTCTTGCTGGCGCAGGTGCTCGACTGTGTTACCGCCAACGGGCCCTCGCAGACAGCAGTACCGGTCAAGGATCGCGTAAAGCCTGGGAAGGCCAGCCCAGAAAACTGGGTACATGCGTCGATAGTCGGTGATGTGGATGTTGTCGTAGAACTTGGCTTTCGAACCGATCGCCGATTTCGAGTCCTCGTCATTCCACTCGGTCCAAAGATCGCAGGCGTCACGCGACATGTGTCGTTCTCCTCCAGGCCCATCGGGCCGGCTGCACACCACGTACTGCGAAACGTTGAGTAGGCTCTCGATCAGATGCCACGCTGAGTGCTGTACAATGGCTGTTTGTCCGTCATCGCCAGGGTAGCCCCTTTCGGCAGAAAAGCCAAGACCCCCTGTAGAGGTAGCCGCGCAGTCGTCAGTCACCTTGAGCCGGCCCGGCGCGACAATCAACACCTAACCTACCGAGCTTTCACGACGTTTCGACGCCGCAAACGCATCGGTGAGGCAAATCATGTCGTCAAGATCCGTCAAAACGCCTTGACCATCTGGACTGAGCATTATACTGCCATTCGAAAAATTGCGAGGCAATAGTCCTTGGCCGAGTAAGAACTGCATACCTGTGACGAGTGCAGCAGTCAGGATCAGGCTTTATAACATAGGTAGCCCAGACATCCGACATCCTTGCTGAGTGCACCAGCACTGACCTTGTACGACTCCAATGTGAAGCTTAACCATGGCGGATGTCGACTCGACCTCCAATACGGTGCGATACGGCCCATCGTAGATGTCGCACTTGAGGCTCCTCGGGACGAACTTGTGGGCCTTTTCAGCGCGCCCGACCGAGGGAGGTACGGTCCAGTAGTTGTCTTCGTTGAGGAGCGTGCTCTTGAGATTGGGGACGAATCGAAGCGCATTCGAGGGGTTCGCGCGAACGATTTTACCCAGAAGTTGACCGCGACGTGTTTGTTCTCTGCATGTGAATGCGAGGCGCATCGTGTGGGGTTGCGCCGGGCGAGTACGCTGTCCGTCAACGAACGACGCTTGGCTTCCGCCCTCGAAGTCACTCGCTGCTTCTTGGAGCTCGATGCGGTAGATCAAGGGCCGCGATCCAAACATTGCTGGGCTGACAAGTTGTCGATTGAGCAGTGTGATGGCGGGGACGGGCGATCCGGAGGACCGTACAATCGAGGGGAACACTTGGGGCGGGAGGCGGGTCATGTCGAGCTTGACGGGAAGAGACCCCGCGTATGCGATCGCTCCGAAGGCTTGATCATTTGTTTCCAAGAAGCGCAGAAGCATGCGCTTGAAGGTCCCGAGACCGGACTCCGTTCGACAGTCGATGCGGCGCGACCGGATAATACCTGTCGGAGTGTGGATGTAGACCCGGAGATCGCTACCGCAAAGGGTAAATCCAAAGATCCACTGGCGAATCGGTTTGGTAGCCGTCGCGCGGTAGAAGCGACGAAAGAGTTGGTCACGGGCTTCTACCTGCTTTGCTGAGTTCTCCTTGAGCTCGACAAAGATGAGCACATCGTCGAGAAGTCGATGGTCGATCAAGTGGACTCCTGTTCGCTGGAAATGGCGTTTCCAGACCTTGTCGACGCGCTTCCACGATGCAATCTTGCTTTCCGTCGACGCCTCAGGGAACAGAAAGACGACGTCGGGGCAGTTGTCATTCGAGGGTATCTGCCCGGCCGAGGTAGGGACGGCGACGCGCGAACTGCCACATACCACGACAGCACGATCCGAGTCGGCCTGGAGTGTCGAGAGCTCAGGGCGTCAGAAAAACAGCTACCCGGTGAACAGGATGATGAGTGTGCAACGTACCTCTGCCGCGATCTGTTCCATGAGAAGCGCCATTCCAGCCTCAGATCCCCACGCGCCGCCGTTTGCGGGCCAACGGATCGCCGCCACCTTCGAGTCGAGAGCCGAGTCGACCTGCTCGAGGTATTCCTGTAGCGCCTCGAAGTGCTCTACCATTCGATGCACCTCCTTCTTCACTCTTGCGTCGGTCGGGTCCTTCTTGTTCGTCTCCTGATCGAATGCGGCCATCTTGACGAATTTTCGTGGCACCACCGGCGGCAGGCTCGGCTTGGTCTCTCGTCGTCGCGCCACTAAAGGGAGGAGTTGACGCGAGAAGTCGACAGGCGTCGTTCAGTTTCCGGCACGCGCCAACTAACTCAACGAAAGGCTTCCTCGACCTACTGGGTAACTTTCAAAGATCGTGCCCGAGGACGACGAGGTTGGCAGACACCCAGTTCCTAGAGAGCAGGCTATTTCAGGGGCCAACGTTTGACGTCAGTCGTGGTCCGGAGCTTCGCGGCAATCAGACGACTCGGACTCACCAGCGGGATCCGGAGTAACACTTGCGGTGGACTCGGGGAATACAATCTCAGAGAATAGAGCAGGACAGAGTTCTGTAAAGCGTCGAAGCAGGGATGTTCTCGTTGTAATGTGGCAGGACTCAGGAGTGGAATGAACGGGAGGAGAGAAAAAGGCAAGCTTCAACCAACTTGAACTTGACGCGCGTAGCGGCGCGATCCAGCGGACTGATTGAATGTGGACGATCGAACAGCACCGCGAGGCTGTAGCATCGTAACCTCGATGGACCGAGAGAGAATACCAGCCTTTCAATCCACTCGCAAAGGCCAATACGCTGCTCACTTCCATGTCATTGAAACAGACGGCCGAATGTCACACACTGGTGAGTCGCACGGTGGTCACCGCCACTGGATCATCGCGGAGCAGGGTCGATCCGCGCGGCGCCGCGCGCGAGCGTTCATACGTAGTTACCGTCCAAGTTGACCGCACTGCACACGCCGCAAGCCGAGAGTGATGATCGATGAACAGCAGCAGCTCAAGGGTTAATATCTTGGCAGTTGTTGCATGGTATCGAACACTTGTCTCTCTGGTATTAGCTGGCCTGGCCCTGGCAGCCTCGTGCACGGCGCCTCTACTACTAGTAGCTCTACTAGTCCGAGCCCGTGAGACGGCAGTGCTGCTGCTGCCACTGCTGCTGCTCACCCGCGTTGATGCATTGTGACCGACGGCCTATGCGTGAGACCGATGTACGCTCTTCACAAAGATCTGGGCAAGTCTAAATGGTCTTTGCAATGCTACTTTGTCAACATAATAATGTAGCATTCAGATTCTGGTCGCCGACTACTCAACCCGAAGCTCATGATCTCGTTGCTGTGGTGCCCCACCCATAGCGTCAGTATCAGTGCACGCCACGTGATCGGCCGAAAACCTTCGACCTCTGTCGCCTTTTGCTCACCAGAAACACGGTGGCTGTCACCACGCCTAATTCCGAAAAGAGGTTCTACTTTGACGCTCTACGGGGGAAACACCCGCTGGACTCGGAGCTGACACAAGGTTGCTCGCACGTACACGACGAGATCGTACAAGGCTACACCAGAGCATCGTATGGCGCGACCCTGAATCTTCATATCTGATCAAATTTGCTTCGTCACATCAACTAGTCCCTCGTCGCCCGGTTTCTGTCGATCTCCATCCGCCGAAGCATCATCATCGTCCCTCCCTGCAGTGGTTGCCCACCGAGCGCGGTGCCCGTCAACCGTTCCCAATTACCGCCTCGTGTCGAAGCCGGCGGTATCGCTGCTACCCCAGGCGTGTCGATGATCCTACGTCGACGTAGTCATCCCACGGATGAGTTAGATCGAAGATGTCTCCGTCTCCGAAGCAGCTGCACAGGCTGCTCCCGCTCGATTCGGCGACGCTCCCGCCGCGCCTAGTTTCGGTAAATTTTTGAAGCGCATTTGTAAAACCAACATTTTTGGGCCAAAAGAGGGTGAAAAAGGTCGACAAATAGTTCAGCAAAGAGCGTTTTCCCACAAGGGCCGCTGGCTGGGCTTTCGGGGGTCCTTGACCGTCGATCCGGTGCGCTCGACAGCGCTCGACAGGCGCGCCTTGACGCGGGTTGGCCTCTTGCCTTCGTCGTCGCTTCGTCGTCGCACACTACATAGTCACCACCGACCTTGGTGATCCCAGATCGACAAGCAACTGGTCGTACGCTATTCGTCTTTCTACGCCAATCCACTGGTTTGTGTGCGTCCAAGTACCCTTGTCACGTGAGTCGAGTCGGCCCGCTGCGACAGCCGACACCTACGTCGCTTCGGTCTCGAACATTGACGAGCTCGTTGCGTCGTGTACAGCATCCAACAGCTCGCTTCGCCTTTCCCTCGTACTCAAAATGTCCCACGCTCAACCCGGCGAAAGCCGCAGCAGTGCTGAACGCTACACTGAACAGCGAACGCCCCCCGACTCTCCCAGTACGAGTCAGCACACCCACAGCTCGCCTTCGACAAGCCCGTCGTTCAAGTTCGACTCGCCCCCGCGCGCATCCACCGCCGGGTCGGCTACTTGGTCCCCGCCCCCCTCGGAACGGGACGACAAGTCTCAGTCGCATGGGTCCGACCAAGAAGCAACGTCAGAGCCCAAAGCAGCGTCGGCCACGTCGTCCCCGGCTCAAAGCGACTCCAAGCGACCCCCCGTTCGTCGTTTCGGTCGCGTGACTAGGCTCAGGGGTCTGGGCTCCTCAACCGGCGAGAGCAATGACGGAGACCGCGAGATCGAATGGGCGGGGTTAAAGGACTTTTTCCTCGCGCCGTTGACCGACGACATTGACACGACGGTCGTCCCAGAGATCGTGTGGGAAGACGGAAAGCCGAGGTTGGTGAGTGCGCGCAGGGCACCGGCACATGATGGCCATCGGTCTCTGGTGAACGTGCCCGAGCTAAGTTTGACCACCGAGTGAACAGAAGAGTCGAGGTCGCTTGCTGAGCTTTCAAGAAGACAACCAAAGCGTCCAAGTTTATGATCCTTCGGTTATCCCGGATGTCGTCCTCCTCACTCGCGAAGCCTTCGAGGCCGACCCCAGCCTGGTAGCTACCTGGACATCGGACGACGAGGACGGCTACGATGATACGCGGTCGTGGTCACAAGTTGCTGCCGTCGCCGAATTTGACAATGGGCCGATGACCGACTCGGACTCCGAATCCGAGTCCGAAACCGGGTCCCTTCCTCAGCGCATCCGAGAATCGCTTCGCACGCTCGTTACGCACTCGCTCCGATCTCACGCATTCGGGTTCGACCTCTACGAAAACATTCTCGAGATCGTGCTCCATACTCCAAGTGGTCGTTTTTGCAGCCCCGTGATCTACTGTACCGAAGCGAATGGTTACCTGTCGACCTTTCTGGCGAGACTGCTCAGCCTGAGCGATCGTGAGCTCGGTGTCATCTCCTCACTCTTTGACCGTGCTGGTCCGGCGTCTTTCTCAATTGCCTAGTCCGAGCTTCCACCTCGGGTTCCACGTTTTCACAAGCGCTGCTCGGGCTCTCCTCGTCTCGAAGACATCAGAATCCTAGAAACACTCTTCCAGTCCGCTTCCATCTTTGGACGTCACACCTCCGCGTTCCGCGTTTCAGCCGGCCGCGAAGGGTCGACTGCGCATACCGAGTACGCAATGACGGTCTCCTTTGTCGAAGAAGCTCGCTGCGACGAGCACGATCGTATCCGTCTCACCATCGCCAACGCGTCACCCGACGATCGACAAGGGCTCACCAACGTCGTCGACGTGTATCGCGAGCGCGACTTTGTCGTCGTTCCCCGATTCTTCCCCGATACTCTCGACGCCAGCGAGTGGGGTCTCAAGCCGCGAGCGTTGGAGGTGACATTCCATGAACAGTGCTTTGAACCGATCTGCGTCGTCGATTCGACCAAAGCGTTGGCACGCGTTATTCTGGGTGCCGTTCAAGGTCGGGGACGCTCCGTCTTACTCTGTGATATGCTTTCCTCGCGCCCTTGGCTGATCATGGTGGCATCTATCCACTGCAGGCCTAGACAGTCTTTACCGCCTGCGTATCCTTCATCGGGACGTCTCCGCATCGAACGTCATGGTCACATCGGACGGTAACGGCGTGCTGATCGATTACGACACTGCGGTGTTCATGGACGGCCCGGAGGGGGAGGCGGAACGCCAGAAAAACGCTGTGAGTACTTTTCTGGCCCAACCAAGGCTAGTTTCGCCACACTGGGCATCGACTAGTGCTGATGACGGACCGCGGAGAACTGATAACGCCAGGGGACGCTGGCATTTCGTGCAAGAGAACTGGTCGAGGAGTACGAAGGGCGACCAGCGTTCTTTCATGAGCCATGGCATGATATTGAATCGTTGGTCTATGTGATCGTGTACACCGTTTTCATCATGCCCAGTGGACCCGATGACTCGAGCGAGCTGTCCGAGGACGTCAAGAGCATCTGGAGGCAGTGGAACTCGCAACTCGGAGCCGTCAACTCGAAAGACGAGCTCTTCTTAGCGCCGTGGGGTGCGCGACATTGGTTCGAGCCCTTCAAGGAGTTTTGGAAAGAGGATCTGCGGGCGCTCGTGCAGACGGTCGCCAAGTATTGCGGTCTGGGTGTGCAGCGCAGCTCGTGGGCCGCGCAGGTCGACGAAGCCGCCATCCTCGAACCTCTTTGGGCAAGCGGCGAATTCTCGCACGGCCTGCTAGCCTCGGGCTTGGATGCTTTGATCGAGCGCATCGTCGAGGGGACCGCGCGGGACAGGGCACCGTCTACGGTCCAGGGGGGAGACAGGACGCGCTCTGATCTTGTAGCATGAGTGTTGGCATTGTCATTGCAATCCTTGTTGGCAGAGATACCTGTTAGTCCAGTGGCCCTCGGAAAGACTCGGAGACGACTGACCTGAACCCAAAGCGCCACTTTCTCTGCCACATGTAATGTACCTGACACGCTTCCCTTCAACAAGTCCGCGGGCCACGTGGCAAGCCGTTTGTGAGAAAGTTCCGAATTGCCGTCCTTCGTCTCGCCACCTGGTCTGGAGCGCTCTTTCTTGCTGTGAGAGTCGCTAGGGTCCCTGTGGAGTAAAAGGTGACTGTTGCACTCGGCTCTTGTACGTCTTTCCGAACCCCTTTGCGCGTTACCGTAAGCTGCGAGCGCACATGCTGGTGCAGTGGTGTAGGAACGACGTCGGGACGCCGGTTGGCCGAAGTGAGAGGGGCGCCGAAGAACTGCCAGAGGCGATCCCCGAGCGAGTATTAAGGGCTTCTATTAGTGACGCATTAGCCCGAGCCCCCCCCCCCCCCCCCCCCCCCCCCCACCCGGAGGATTCGACCGACGCCTCCTGCTCTCCCCTCTCGCACCCACCACCCACCTTTCCCCACCATGCCAGCCCCTTACGACCGATCCCCACCTGCTCACCTCAAGAACCGCTCCAACGCCGACACGAGCATGTCCTCTCGCTACCCATCTGATGCAGGACGTTCGAACCGACCGCACGATCGGGAGCGCTCCCCACCTCCTGCTCGAAGGAGAGATGAATATGAGCAGCGGGAGAGGTATAAGGGTGATGATAGGAGGGATGATAGAAGAGAAGCCAATGGTCGATCCTATGGCCGGGATGCCACGAGGCAGAGTCCACCACCAAGAACAAGGGACTCTGATCGCGACGACCGACATGCGGACCTGGACAGCTCCCGACGACGGTCCCCTCCTTCCTCCTCCAGACGGTCTCGGTCTAGATCGCCCCCACGTACCACCCGCTCCGTCGCACCACCAGATACTAAGCCCGACTGGGGAGCCCGACGCCGTTCCCGTTCCCGTTCTCGCTCTCGTTCTCCCGGAAGACCCAGTCGTGCTCTCGCAAGTCAAGCCGAACAAATGCGTAAAGATGGGGTTGAACCTTCTTCTCGGCGTGGAGGAGGAGGAGGCGACGAAGGAGCGGTGGAGAAGGTCAAAGTTGTCGAACCGAACTTTGCGAATTCGGGGGCGTTGGCGGCGGAGACAAAGTCAGTAGGCGAACCTCAGATTGCTCCCATCTCCTTCACGGCTGACCTCTTCGCTGTCGTTCACGACGCAGTACCCTCCGAGGCGTCGTCCTCAAATACAACGAACCCCCCGAAGCGAGGAAACCCGTACGGTCGTGGAGGCTGTACGTCTTCAAGGGCAAGGAACAATTGGGTACGTTTCCTCGTTTGGCCCCAAGGGGAAGATCAGACCATAGGTGAAAGACTCTTTTTGACTTTTCCGACTTTTCTCCTTTGCATTATTGGTCAAACGAACAGACCTCATTCTGGTCCATCGCCAATCCGCATACTTGTTCGGAAGGGATAGGATAGTGCGTATCTTTCTCCACCCACCCGACGACCCCACCTGACCCACCTGCCTCCCCACCCCCCAGGTCGCCGACATCCCAATCGACCACCCTTCCGCTTCGAAACAACATGCCGTATTACAATACCGACAAGTACACGAAACGAACGAATTTGGCGATACCAAATCGGTCGTCAAGTACGTTCAAAAAAAGTTCTTTGAAACCTTTACGGGAGATGAAAAAGGAAAAGGGAGAAAGCTGATCTTCATCTCCCTCCTGGCGTTTGCCTACTAGACCGTTCATTATAGACCTCGATTCCGCGAACGGGACTTTGGTCAATGATGAGATGGTCCCCAAGCAGAGGTTTTACGAGTTGAAAACGGGCGACGGTCAGTCCTGATTCAAGAAGGTTTGAAGGGTCTTGCTGAGGATCGAGTGCTGATTGTGGGGGCGTTTTTCAACACCGTGCCAGTGCTCAAGTTTGCGTTCTCGCAAAGGGATTACGTCTTGTTGGCCGAATGAAAGGAACGACACACGAAGATGAGGAGAACTAAGCACAAGAGTGTAGCATCCGCGCGTATGGTACTGCGAAAAGGATCATTCCAGGCTGCCTTCGCTTTCATGTTCCAATCATCCTTCCTCACGAACTGAACGGCGAGAGAGCGAGAGAGAAAGAAAGAAAAAAACATTTGCATTGCGAGGTAATAGTCAAAACGAGCCCAAAAGTCGTGAACTTGAGAAATCAATAACGAACGGGGGGCTGTGATAAACACAAAGCAACGAAAACGAAGAATGTCAGGGAAGGCTTCACGACGACCCGTGCCCGAGCTCCTCTCCACTCCACTTCGTTACGCTGCGCTGCGCTTCAGCTCCCCTCCTCAAGCCCTCGGAGGTTGTGTCCTCCAAGCACTCGCGATCGTAATCCTCTTGGCCTGCTCCAAGCTGATATTCCCAAACCTCAACTCGATAGCGCCCGCCCCATCATCCCCCTCGTCCTCCTCTTGCGCGTCCAACCGTTCAGCCATCGGCGCTTCCTGAAGCGTCATCCGCCCCTTTGCCACAAAAGGTTTGAATTCGGATATAACCTTTCGTTGCGGACTACCCGGAGTGGAAGTTCCCGAGCCTAGAGAAGAGGTTGAAGAAGGTCGTGGGGGTACGCTGGGAGGGTAAACGTAGGCGTTTCGGTTGTAGCGCGTTTCGAGGTATTTCTTCGTGAACCGACTACCGACGATCTTTTTCAGTTGGGATTTGGCGTGTTGGAGTGTAGGGGACGTGGTGAGCACTTGAACGTTATGTTGCGCTTCGGGCGTTTCGCGCTATTCGGACCGACCGTCCGTTCGACCCAAGTTAAGGATTCAGCTTTGAGCCACGGGACTGAATCTTAAGAGCAGGACCGAGATCGCGACGCACATGAATCGACTCGAACCTCAATTGCTTCGTCTCCTCCCCCCTCAACAACAACTTCTGGTGCAACTCCAACGCGATATCATCGACCGAAGCCTGTCCCTCATGTACTCTCTCCGCGACCACTAGACCGACTTCTTCGATGATGCGTTCCATGTCCATTTGTTCGAGCGCGGAACCAACGATCACGTGTGAGAGCAGGGACGCGGTCGTTAGAGGGACCAGGACGGCGGAGGTGATGACGGTCAAGGCGCGGAAAAAGTCGAGGCCGAATTGGTAGCCTGGGGGAGGGTAGGCTTAGTTTGACGAGCCGAGCTGTCACACGTGGTCAAGATACTCACCTGATAATGCGGGTTCACAAGCGACGACGAAGAGACTGATGGCTTGCTGCGCCATCAACCTTGCGATCTCAAGTGGGTCTTCTCCGTCCTGATGTGGGCAACCGAAGGTTTCAGACGCCGAGTGAGACGAGTCAAATCAGGACTCGAAGTAACCTACCGGACCGCCATCAGGGAACCCATCACCGTACCTGACGTGAAAGCCCGACGAGATCATCAGTTCCCTCATCTCATCTAAAGCTTTTCGTATCGGACTCACTCCCCCAACCCATGACAAGGCGCATCGGCAATCAACACCGCCATCCTACTCGTCCCCCCACCCAATCTCCAACTCAACCCTAACGAAGCCTTCATCGCCGCCGTCACACCTTCCGGTCCATCACCCCCACCTGAAGCGTTGAGCGTTTTGAGATCGGCTTTGACGGATGAGACGTCGGAGGTGAAATCGAAGGAACGGGTGATGTAGGAATTGTCTTGAGGGGGGTAGTCCCTGATGATTCGCCGAGAATGTGAAAATTGTGCTCCACGGGTAGATCGGGACGGCCGAGGAAGCGAGGCAGAAAGGGGCAGAGCTTATCGTCAACACACGCATTATACGATTTCGTCGATCATCCCGAGACTAACCTGTAAGCGATCAAACCGATCCTCAGCGCCTCGGGGCTCGGCAATTTGCCCGAAGCGAGGATGTTCTCAACGATCAGTTCGATGTTCTTGGTTGCGCTCTGGTGGGGGACCAGTATAGGGGACTCGGTTTAGTTCTCTTTGATCTGATTCTGAATAGACCGAGGGAGGGAGGAACGGATGCTCTGTCCCCTCTTGAAAGGGCCAGTGCGAGAGGTGACTGACGGCGATATAAGACCCCATCGCTGAATGAAGCACGAAGGGAGGAAACGAACCCCGTCAGTGACCGCGTGCGGATTCCCCATCAAGGGAATTACACGAAAAGACTCACATCCAGTGCAATCGAGGATAAAGACCACTGTGCACGGACGTGATGCGTGGAGGAGGAGGAATATGTGACAATGCGCGGCGGTTCGAGCGCGTCAGTTTCGCTTAGCTTCGACCCTCGTTTCTGGAGCGACTGTATGTATGGTCCTGCACGACCAGGAGTGGTACACGCCCATTCGTCTTCGTTTCGGCACGATCCCTATTCGTCCAAGCACCCGAATGACTCCACCAACTTTCCTACTAAGCGCCTTCACTTCCCCCTCGAAGCGCAACGTCACCGTCAATCCACGCTCCGCCTCCCTGCCCGAGACTTACGATCCAACTCCCTCTTGACGCCCGTACTCGAACTGCCACTCCCGGGTTGATTGTTCATCGGTTGGTACTCGATCCCTCCCAAGGAAGCCATCATCTCGTCATCGAGGTTCATCGTGCGGCAAAGTGGAGCTGTGGAGGGACGAGGACGAGGACGAGGACGAGGACGATGACGAAAGTGAATGAGGAGCAAGAACGGGTCCAAGTGAAGGAAGCGCGTGATGCGAGGCCGACACGACGACGGACGACGACAGACGTTCAACTTTCTTGCGCGATCGATTAGTATCAATGACGAACTTGGAAAACGAGTCAAATCCCTCTCGAGTTTTCGGTACGCGACCTCTTTTGTTTGGATTTGGATGAACTTTGGGATAATTTTTGGGGCCGTTTTGGAGAGAGGAGTGAATTCACTTTACGGGGTGTAGTAATTAACGGGATGGCAGTTGCTGCCTATAGCTAGGCACCCTCTCTACCAATTTGGCACTCAGATCGCCGGGCCCCCCACCGCCGCCCCGATCGAATATCTCCCAGCGCCTTTGTTCCTCCATGGCTAACGCGAACCGTCAAATATGGAGCCGACCTGGCCCGGGCCACGCTTCATCAAAGGGTTCATTCAAAAAGAACAACAGCTTTCGAAACGCACGCTCGAACTACCCGATTTTCACCTATCATCTTCCCCTTTCTAGCTCTCGTCAACTTCACGCGAAACGAAGATTCTGCTCCTCGGCTTGGATCCTCGATCACGCACGGTCTTACACTCAAGCTTGCCAATCTTCGGCAGGCACATACTCACACAAGCCATGTTGGAGAAGCCAGGCCACAACGAAGAGGGATCGCACGAAGGGAAGAACGAGCAATCGTGTTCCAGAGCTGCCAAAAGTAACGAACGTACGAGCGAGCGAGCGAGGGAGAAGACATCCAGGCGATTTCTGGGAGCAGAGAAAGGAAGAGCAACAAAAGATATCACAACAAGTGTAGAAGTAGAAAGAAAAGGGCAGGGTACGATATGGTACGTAGGACTTCTGATGAAGGAGTCCATCGGAAACAGGAAAGTCTAAGAAAAGTCGTGTCGTGGATCGCTTTCATCTGCGGAGCGAGTAAGCTGTGCGAAATTCATACATCCTGGCGACATCAGTTTGGCCACAGGAGGTCAGAGGCCGTCAAATCGAAACGCACTGTCTGTTCAGGTATGTGGTGGGGAGATGGTCGTCAATCAGAAGGGGAAAAGCTGGGGTCGTCAAAACAGTATGTGCGCGGTCTCTAAGTCGTCTTTGATGTCGAGCCGTTTCTGCAAGCACGCGCATGAAGGAATATAAGCAATCCCCTTCTCAGGCTCAGGAAGGTTATGTTCGCGTGCGTCGACTCACGTTGCAGCGGTCAAATCGGCAGTCGGCAACATCGTCGGTGGTCGAACAGTCAAGTACAACCTGCTTGGACACGCTCAACGAAGGATGAGTTCTCTCCCTAATTGCCCAACACCCGCACCGATTTGCGTCCACGCACCTCGGGAAAAAACTCCCATCGAACCGAACCAACTGAAGCATATAAGCTTGGTGATGATTATCGATCGTGATGTTCCACCCGTTGAACAGCTCAGGCTGGTTGTAGTAGGTCAGGATTTCGGTCTGGGCCGCGCAAGGGTCCTGGACGAGCACGCGTCCGTCGGCGGAGAAGATGCTCGGGTCCATCGTCACCGATCCGTTGTCGTGGAAGTAGTAACGACCGTGTTGCCAGATCGCGACGGCTTTCGAGCAGGTAGGTTTCGAGCCTATGCGTAAAGAGAGGGTGTCAGCGGTCAAAGCGCCGAGCCCGTCGCAAAGTCCTAGTCCACGCCGATTCTGAAACTGACCATTTCCCAAGAAGCGGTACTGGGATTCCTCAAAGTAGCCGTCGTTGGTGAACGAGTAGGAGATGCCGGTGTTGATCGGGTACGTGAACGGCTTGTTGTTGTTCATGGGATCGGCAAAGCCCTGCAGGCAGTGAACATGTTCCGTGTGATTAGAACCTGCTCCTGGGAGTGTCTTTGACGTGATGAGCAGTCCGGGGCGTGTCTTGAGCGGTCGAGGTGAGGCTGGGCGCGCTGGCGGCGGGCGATGCGTGTACGTTCACCGGGGGCCGCTGCTGGTCGACGTGCCTAGCGCCCAACTGATCCACGACCACCGACCAGCAATTACCGCACCCTCGTCACAACGTCCCCCACTGTTGGACCATCTGTCGCTATCCGATCTTTCGCATACTCTCCGCAATGCTCATTTCCCGTCTGCCACGAGCCTGAACCCTACCCGGGGCGACCGCGCATTACCCAACACCGCCGCCGGCCGCGCGCCATGCTGGGCCATGCTGGGCCATGCCTCGCTGGGCACACACACACACACACACACCTACACACGCCTCAACCGTGTCTGCACACGCCGTGCACCAACAACCTGGAAGCGCCGACTCACCGGACCCGTAACGACCGCTCCTGTGCCCGTCGACCATGTGCCCACCCAACTGGTCAAATTCGAACTAAAGTCCTGTGCGGCCTCGCAAGGCGTCGCGGCCAGAAGGAGGAGCAGCGTCGAGAGTGTCAAGGTGGTCCATGCTGCGAGCGTGGGGAGCGACGACGACGACGACGACGACGTGCGGCGTGTTGGGCGACCCATTGTAGGGGGAGGGGTGAGGAAGAGGGTGAAGGAGCGAGGCCCGTGGGGGGTGTGCTACTCCGAGGTGGGATGGGCGTGTCGGAGATGGATGATGGTGGTGATGCCAGAAGACGAGCCGAAGCCGAGCCGCACTCGCATCGAACGACTGCCGATCGAAGGGGATTGAGCTCGGACCGCTTCCTCCCTCCTGTTCGGGTATTGCACAGCCCGACTCGGAGTCAGCGAGTCGACTGCTGTCTTCACTAGATTGGATTGGAGCGACAATCATGCTTGAATGGAGTATACATCATCAGGAGTACCTGCGACAGGGCCTGACGAGCCACCTGCGCTGCACAGTATTCCTGTGAGAAGATTGAGCACCCCTGTACAGGCCATTTTCAATAGCTTTGAGAATCGTTGTTCTCAATTCGCATCCGAGCATCGTAGTAGCTCCGCATATTTCCCACATTTTTTTAATGCGCCTGGAGCGTGGGAGAATACATCATATTACAGGTCCTTCCGATGAGATGAACGCAACTACCTCGTTCCCACTCCAAAGACGTTCGGCCCAAGCGGCTTGAGCGTGTCATTTCCCTTCCTTGGCATTGAACACTGTCGGCGCCTGAAAAGAAGAACGAGATCAACGTCAGCGATGCCTTTCCATTCTCCTACCCCATCACCACGAGGGACGTACCTTGGTTCTCAACCACATTGGCAAAATCGCCGATACTCCACGAGCGTAGGTCTTGGTTGTCAGGACCTGAAGTAGAGAGCTTCACCGATTAGCTACAAACTCGAATTTATGCCCGTGGGTATGATCGAAGCACTTACGAGCTCGTCGTACACGATCGCAGGGACTTTCTTGTGATGCAATGTCGAGCCAGGGTGGATCATGATCGGCTGCGGGTTTGGAAAAACTCAACCTCGGCTTTTCCTCCCCTTGATCGACTCAAACTCAACCTCGGACTAACCTGTCTCGAGATCGTGTGCCTATACGACCCATCTGGCTGCAACAACGCCGAATTCGCAAACAAGCCCGCAATCAAACTCGCCAAAACCCTCTCCTCCTCCTCCTCCTCCCCACCTTTCCCCTCCCCCTCCCCTTCCACATCCCACTCCAATCCCAATCCCTCACACCTATCCCTGACCTGTTTCCTCGCATCCAAAACCTGCACCATCGCACGATGATTCACAAAGTTCGCGCGACACCATTCCTTCCTTTGTTCGGTACCTTGAATCCCTTCGTAAGCTTGAAGCACGTTCAATAATGTCCAATGGTCTCCAGAACGATGACGAAATTTAATTCGAGCTTTGTTCGCTTCCTCCCTCGTTGAGAAGGTCGAGATGAAGAGTTGGTCTTTGGAACCCAAGAGAGCGACGAGGTCGATGATCCTTCTCGGACAAGATTCTTCGAAGGAGGTGAGGAGAACTTTGGCGTAAATAGGGTCGAGAGGGAGTAAAGCCATTCGTTTACCCAACGGTGTGATTTGCCCTTTCTTATCCAAAGCTCCTAAACCATGCAACGTCAACAAAGCAAAAGTGATCGAATCCCTCTCCGGTCGATCCATGAAGTCGAAGGACCATACATCCCCTTGTCCGGCAGCGAGGAGGTGCAAGAGAGCGAAAGTGAGAGAAACGCGTTGGATCTCCGGTTTGGTCGTCCGGGGAAGGGTGTGGAAGAATTCTTCGGTGTAGAGTCGGAAACAAACGCCCGGACCTTCACGGCCGGCTCGTCCCGTTCTTTGAAGAGCCGAGGACTGGGAGATCGGTTCAGAGACCAGCGAGTCGATACCTTTGTTCAATCGATTATCATCAGCTCAGCAATCTAAATCTCGAATTTCGAAACCGCGCACTCACCAACCGAAGCATGATATTGCTTCTCCTTAGCCAGACCCGTATCAACGACGAACCGAATCCCCGGGATCGTGATGGATGTCTCGGCGACGTTGGTCGCGAGGATAACTTTGCGGGTGTGAGGTGGGGTCGGGATGAACGCTTTGGCTTGTTCAGTGGGAGAAAGTTTGGCGTAGAGCGGACAGACGAGGATCTGCAGCAGTAGGCGGGTATGGTATCAGCTGCGGCTAGGCTTTGGTGCGGGGTACCCGACGAAGGATGAACTCACCGCATCATGTTCAGGATGGGACACAACCAAATCCTTGGCATACGACTTGATCGACACACCCAACGCATCGATATCATCCTGTCCCGGTAAAAAAACGAGAATATCGCCTCTGAGTTGTGACTCGGACCTCATGTGGAGTTGGAAGACGACTTTGAGCGCAGCGTCGAGGTAATCGACTTGGGGTTCCTCGGAGTACATGATCGTCACGGCGTGTTGGCGACCTTTGACGTAGAGTACCGGCGCACTGAATCATCACAATAAATCAGTCTTTTGTTCCTCCCCTTCCTGTTCGCTGCTCGCACTCACCCATCGAAAAAGTCGCTGAACCGCTTGGCGTCGATCGTGGCACTCATGACGACGATCTTCAATTCTGTCGGTTCCTTCTCCTCCCCCTCCTCCCCTACCCCACTCTTGCCCTTCTTCTTCCCCTTGCTCCACCTCATCACCCTCTCCCTCCTCCTCTTTTGGATCCCCTTCAAGAACCCCAACAACATATCCGTCCTCAAGCTCCTCTCATGCGCCTCGTCCAAAATCACCACATCATACCTCAGTAAATCCTGATCGCCCAACATCTCCGCCAACAACGCTCCGTCGGTCATGTACTTCAACCTGGTCGCGGGGGTCGATCGATCGTCGAATCGGACGGTGTACCCGACCAGACCACCGAGTTTGCAACCTATTTCGGCGGAAACGCGAGAGGCGAGAGAGGTCGCTGCTACTCGACGCGGTTGGGTGACGGCGATCCTTGGTGAAGCACATGGCGTAGATGAGTTGAGAATGAATTGGGGAACCTCTGTGAAAGCATCAAAGGCCAGAAAATGAGCCGTTGATTGCCATTCGAAGAATCCGTTCGCCGCGCGCCATAAAACATACGAGTCGTTTTCCCACTGCCCGTCTCCCCCAAGATCACGACCGTATCATTCTGCTCCAAACTCTTCAAGATCGATCTCTTCCCTTGCCAGATAGGCAACTCCATTCTCCCTTTCTCTAGACGTTTGGCCACCTCTTTCCGTTTGCTCCTCTCCTCCGCAACGTTCCCACTCCCGTTTGCGGCAAGACGTTTGGCTTGGTGTTTGAGGTCCTCTTCATCGGATTCATGAAATCCTACGATGTTACCATTCGACTTGTTTGGACTACCCGTACCGGATCGAGGTCGTTTCGTAGCTTTGTTCTCTGTCGCGGTCGCGATCTCGGTAGACGGCGGCGACGACGGACTCCCTTGCTCGAGCGAAACCTTCTTCTCCCCCCCATTCATCAAGTTCGAACCGTTCTGCCCCTCCTTGACGATCGCTGGTCCTTTCCTAGGCAGTACTGGCTTGACGAAGGTGGAAGTGGAGTGGGGTTTCGAAGTTGAAGCGATGGCGACTCGAACGTCGTCCGGCGCATCGTCGAAAACGATATGACGAGGCATGGGGGAGGTGCGTAAGGTGTTGGGTCAATGGTCCGTGTACTGGGTGTATGTGTGGTCGATGGTGCACTGCGAAAGCGGAGGGAGGGAGGGTCAAGCTGGATGTAAGCGCCGGAGCGAAGGTCGACCAAACGCGACCGCCGTCGGCCGGGGCTGCTTTCTCTCGGCACAACACATCATAAAGAGGTCGGATATCGAAAGTGTTGAAACACTTTAAGACTCGAATAAAATGAATGATGCACCCCAAAGCATGGCATACCGAAAACCGAGCTTTTGTCTCGAGTTGGCGCGAATGGTTACGGCACATCCCCGTGCTGTATAATAAAGTATGCTGGAGCACTGAAACACTTTGATAGCAGAGCGCTAAACATTATGTGTTGTGCTCCATCCGGCCAGAGCGAGTACGAGTTGATTACAGCGTCGAAGGCGTGGTTCCTCGGAAATGAAAACCTTGCCATCCTCGATCGATCGCGCACAATATCCGGACGGCGGGTTATTTCACCACCCGTGTAACGCATCAGTGTAACGCATCAGTGTAACGCATCAGTGTAACGCATCAAATTCAAAACGACAGTACACTCTGAGAAAAAGTCTGTCTAGTTTCCCGACCAACAAAGAATCGGCCGTGTGCCCAGTCTGGCAACCACAACGTTGAGCTTGAAAATGGAAAAACATGCGCGTGAATGCGAGAAGCTCACGGGTCGTCATTTATTTCCTGGCAGAGCTCGGGGCTCGGGGGGCGCACCCGCCGGTGCTGCTGAGCGCTGGAGCTACGATCGCTCTCCTCTGTTTGACACAACATACACACCCCCACACCGCCTCCAGGTACTAGCCAGCGAGAAACAGCACTTTGATTGCTTGGACCACAGTTTGCGAATCATCCCGGTGGTGTCCGATTCAAACACACGCCCCACTCTGCTCGTCCCGGTCTGACGCTCGGCTCTGATCGTCTCGGGTCGTCTCTGGTCGTCTCGTCGTCGGAGCGTCTCACGTCGTCGTCGTCGTCATCTTCGTCGGCCAACGATCCCCGCTGCGCCCTCCCTCGAATTGGTCGACTGACTACGATAGAGGCTCATCCTCCTATCGCCACAACCCCTAGTTCCCAAACATGGCACCCGAACCCGTACGCTCCTTAGTATCCCTTGGCCACTGATACGCATCCCCCTCCCCTCCCCCCCTCCCGCTCCCCCTCTTGTCTCCGCTTCAACGCAACTGATTCTCCCATCTCGTACCGAACCCTTTTCGAAACAGACAAAACGAAAGCTCGTGGTCGTAGGTGACGGAGCGACGGGCAAGACCTCCTTGTTATCAGGTACGGTCTGGGTGGCTTCCTACGCGCACTTGAACCTCGCTCCGCTCCGCTCGGTCCTGGCCTGCGGGTCGCCCCTCCACGTCGGCTTCGCACGTCAGCGCGAGCACGGCCGATATACGCCGGGCAGACGACGACAGAACAGAATCGCGCCGAGACACAGCCTCCTTCAGTCTGGGCAATGGGAAAGGAGTTATTGGCATCGGCACCGGATAGGGGTCACTGACTTGCGATTTCGTCACTCGTGCAGTCTTTTCAATGGGAGAGTTCCCACAACACTATGAACCCACCATATTCGACGTACGCCCCGGGGAGACAGTCTAGCCAATTTCGGAAACATGCTGATCTGCGCTGTTGGCCCCATTCGCACACAGAATTTCGTCGCAGAGATTCGGTTGGATGGAAAGGCCGTTCAGTTGGCGTTGTGGGATACGGCGTGAGTCGTCGCTCGTGTACGAGGAGGATTGCCCGCCCCGGCGAAAGAATCGAGACCCGAGCTGCCCGATTTCCCCTATCCAGTCACTGACACACCCCTCTTCTTCGCGATGACTCGTACAGAGGTCAAGAATCATTCGAAGTTGGTCCCATCGTACCATTGATGTCTGACCCCACCACCTTGACTAATCAACTCCCTCTCCTCCTCCTCCTCCTCCCCCACACACAGCGTCTAAGACCCTTATCCTATGCCTCGGCGCACGTCATCCTCATCTGCTACGCGATCGACTCCCCCGACTCACTCGAGAACGTCACGACGAAATGGATCGAAGAAGTACGCGCCCACCTCAAAGACGTGCCCGTACTTTTGGTCGGGTTGAAGAAGGATCTCAGGGATGGGAATCCGAGCGCTGCGCGGTGTATCAGTACCCAAGAGGTGAGAAAAAGAGTGATCAAGTTGAGCGCTGTCTGATGTGAACCTAACTCTAGCACCTTCTGACTGATTCCCCCCCAAACAGGGCGAACTAACCGCGCGCGAAATCGGCGCCAAAGCCTTCTTCGAGACCTCCGCTTTGCTCAACGAAGGTGTAGACGAGGTCTTTGAAGCGGCTACTCGGCAGGCGATGTTGGTCCGAACGACGAACGAAGCATCGGCACGGAGAATGAACGGCGCGAATGAGGCGAGGATGGTCGGAAGTAATAGGGTCGGACCCGGGAGGAGTTGGGAGGAGAAGGATAGGGAGAGAAACGGGTGTGGATGTGTCGTTTGTTGAGGGGAGGGACTGTCGGATTCTTGGCCGACGAATGCACGACTTCTTCACTCTGCCTCCTGTGCATGTGTTTTCTCTTGTTTCCTTTCTGCTTCGCTTCGTGACCTTCAGCTTTTCTTCCATCAGTACATTTCACGGTCCTCGCGCTTTCAACTTTCTTTCTCTTGCCGCTGACTTCTACTACAACGTACTCGCCTAACGAATGCTCTCATCTCGTCTTTCGCACACCATTTGTCATCTCATCACCACGGACCCACGGTCTTGGCTCTCACGCACGAAAGCGATGTCGAGATAATTAGATAATGATTGTTACAACACTAACTCATACTACCAGCGAGGACAGCCGAACTAAAGACGAACCCAAAGAAAATCGCAGTTATTTGTGACACGTCTGGTATGATCACTCCCGTCCTTCATGCCCATGCCCATGTCCACCCGCACTCGCACTCGCACCAGGTCCACTCATCTCCACATCCTCCCCTCTCGGCCCTTGACTCGTATTCATCGAGCTTCGTCTCGCCGAATTGCCCGTCCCAGACATCCCGTTCCTCAAACCCCCACTACCTCCAGCCCCAAATTCATTCATCGAACCCGAAGAAGTAGACGAAGTTGCAGTTCCCGGACGGGACATGACGCTTCTTCGTCGAGGGACCAACGAACCCGTCGTCATAAGCGGTGCCAGTAAGGGACTTCCTCCCCTTTCCCTCTTGATGAATGGACCCGATCCAGATGATCCCGTTCCGCCGACGACGACGGAAGAAGACTCGTCCATCTCAAGTCCCCCAGGTCCTCCCTCCTCCATTCCTCTCGCGAAAGTCGATGATCCACCTCCAGCCCCTCCAGAAGTAGCATTCTCCTCATGCCCAATCCCCAACCCCATCGTAGGTAACATCGTATAAGCCCCCAACGAATCCGAACCCCTCCTACGACCCACCGAGCCCAAACTAGCGAACCCCAACCCTGTCCCACCAACAGGACCAGCCGAAACGGATGCCGAACTAGGTGCCGAACTACTCATCGTCGTCGTCGTAGCACTCGACAACGACGACGACGCATCTCCCCAAACGGCCCTTTCCAACCTGCCCAATCGATCCCTGCATAACCTCCTCTCGTCCTCGACGATTCGTTCAAGTTCGACCACTCGATTCCAGAGCCTTTCGTTCTCCCTTCGGACGAGCGTATCGATCCATCCTTCGTCCAATTGGTTCAAGATCATTCGCGCGCGACCAAGTTCCTGGTCCAAAGAACGGGATAGGGTACGCGTTTCGTGGAAGGCGTCGTAGAGGGTCGAGAAGTGAGCTAGGAAGGCATGTTTGCCCGTTTCCATGATCGAGGACGTTGATGCCGAGATCGATGAGCTGGCTGCGGGGACCGTTTGAAGAGGTGGGAGGTAGGTCGCGGTCGAGCCTGGGGTAGAAGAGATGGAGGAACGATGTTGCGAATGGGGGATCGGGACGGAATAGGTCCCTGTTACCGTAGGGGCGTAGTAAGGGTCCAAAACAGGGGCGCCTGAAACGGAGCCGTGTCGAGTAGCGCTCGCCGAGTTCGAGCCCGACATAGGCGGCAGGTTAGGGTGCCGAGAGTGGGAATGAGAGTGCGAGTGGCCGTGTCTCTGGCTGTGGCTGTGGGATTGCTGGGAATACTGCGTATGCAGTGAAGGTTGACCTTGAGTAGGTGCAACCGTATAGGGTGAGACGGGGATCGCTTGAAGCGGCGTCGGCAGGGAAGCATGAGGTCCGCCGCCCGGGTTTTTGGCCTGTGCCATGAATTGACCTTGGCCGTTGAAACTCGTGCCTCGTCTTCCGTGGCTTTTACCGCTCACTTGGCCCGTAGGCCCATTGGGACCCAAAGGACCTGTGACGATGTTGCCCGGCGCGGTCCGAGGGGCCTGTTCGACAACCTCATCAGCGGGCAATGTCGTGATCTTCAACCCTTTCCCGGCCGCCGTCTCTCCCCTTCTTTGCGACAAGCTACCAGGAAAGTTATTGTTCTCTCGAACGGGGTCAAGACTGCTGTTTGTGCTCGTGCTCGCCTTGTTGACGTAAGAAGGTTCGGCGTTACGTGAACCCGAAAGATCTTCCGACTTCGGCACCGCAGGGTAGCTATCCGTTGGTATCGAAGTACGCGAGACGAGCGAAGGTCGCCTCGTCGTCACAGGACGTCGCTCCTGCGGCCCACTCGAAGAAGTGCTCGCTCCCGCCGATTGGGATAGCACGTTCGGGCTGGGAATCGGAAACGTCTGCAACGCCTCGGACGCGACCGAAGCTAGCGATTCGATCGTCGAGCCGTGGGATACGCTGAGGCTCGTGCGAGCGCGTTTGTTGCTTCCGCTCGTATTGGTGTTGCCGTTCGTGAGTGTGGATAGAGCCGACTTGGACGAAGAGGAGGTCGAGGCTGTAGCGTTGGTCGAGGACGAGGCTTGAGCGCTGCCGGCTGCTGCTCCGGCCGGTCGACTCGTGCGTCCGCCGGCTGAGAGCAACATCTCGGGTGATCTTGTTCGAGCCCTGAAGGTGGGGTGGGGTAAGAAGAGCAGAGCGCATTCGCACAGTCAGCTACCGTCGTGAATACAGGGACCCTACCAACCCATCTCTTTAGGCTCTCGCGCACCAGAGTGAGCAGGGTTCGCCATGCACGGAGCGCGATAAAGCCACACGCGGCAACGGGGGGGGGGGGGCGGGGGGGGGGCGAGAGGCTGTTTATGGCCCGCAGCAACGGCCAGAACCAAAGGGGAAAGGCACGACTGACCTCGACGTATCGCGTTCGAGCAACTCCTGAGTACCACTTCTTCTCTTTGTTGGTCGAGCCACAGGTGGTTCAGATGACAGTCCCCGTATGCCCAGTCCATCCGACGTGCCCGTCGAAGATTCGGCAACACCACCCGTAGCGGTCGCCGCGGGGTCCGTAGCGCTGGTGGTGGTGGTGGTGGCTGTCGTGACTGGCAGCAACACCGAAGGGAACGCAGCGGCTCCCCCCGTTGAACTATTGCTTCGTCGGAAAGGTGGTATGTCGAGGTTCATCTTTAGCTCAGCTTTGTTCAAGCCTCGCATCGTCGTGGTGGACATTCGATGTGCGCCACGTTGGGTGCAAGCACTACGACGGACCGAGGTTCGCAATTTGGGAGGCAACGATGAGGTTCGGTGGGCCCGCGCGTAACGGCGCACAGCAAGTCGCAGCCGATTTTAGAACAGTCAGACGTCTCGTCGGCGTAAGCGGAGCGGCGGGGTTGTGAGCAAGAGGGGAGTCAGAGAGAGGGCCGGCGCCAAAGAGGCAGCAGGGTTTGATCGGTGCCTTGGTCTCTTGGCAAGCAGAAAAGTGCGGGCGCCGGAGCTTGAGTAGCTTTGGATGCGCTTAACCTCGCTTAAACCGCTCGACACTACTGGTTGTTCACGCAGGTGCGCGTACGGGCTGAAAATGACCTGTTGGTCTCAGCCGATCTCTCCGGTTGCCGACATGACGAAACGAGAGCTCCGCAAAAATTTGAGACAAAAACGTACTCTGGCGGGGGCGATCTTGGTAGGCTGCTTAAGGCGCTCGATTCCCCGACCGCACCTGGCTGGTCCCAGCTCGAGCAACGCGGCATTAGTCGGTGTCTGCCAGGAGTGACCACGGACGGTGGAGTCCGGGGGCGATCAATTCCAAGAGGCAGGCTCCTAGCTGCGGAGCTTTGAGCCTTTTCCGCCTCCGCTTTTTTTCTACGCAATGATGACACAAGGTGCCAATGCGTACACTGCTTGGATTGACGCATTACGCCGAGGGCACTGGCAGCGGAGTAAACTGAGCGGCTCCGTCGACCGTTCGTCGTTAATGCCGACTAGGACGATAGAAACTTTCGACCGTTTGGATTGCTTGACTCAGATGATTATCACGGACGCAATGAGTCGCACCCCGACGAAACCTACTCACTTCTTCCGCCAAGGTAATGAATTGAGCATGACAGCAAGCTGAAATACGATCTACTGCGTTCGAGTGAGCCCTGGAAGTACGCTCCGTGCTCGTGCTCCTGTAGATACTAGCATGAGTCCGAGTCGTGGCCCGCCAGCGACTGAACCGACAGAGGTTCCGCGCCGCGCCGTCCGGGCGCGATAGCCAACTTTAAATTACCAAGCGGTCTCGGATGAAAAGCCTGTGGTTTTCTTACGATAGCGGTCGTACGCGATTTGAGGGTCGTTTGCTCGTCTAGATCACCATCACATCTTACAGATCCATCCGGACGTCTTCTTCCCTAACCCACTTGCCCATCTTTGTAAATCACCACGGAAGATCCGAATGCCAGACACCGACGTCCGAGTCTCGCATGGACGCTGCCGCCGCCTCTGCGCACCCGCGGCATGCGAAATGTCTCAGTTCCCAATCGAGCCTGCGCCCAACCCCACTGCACCTTCTAGTGTTCTAATGCCTTTGCTGGAATGGCGGAGAGGAGCTTCGTGCTGTCTGGATCTTGCCCTCCGGATTACGTTGCTGGGCCTGTGCCATAGCTCGGCTACCGACTTGACGTGTAGAACTTCGGCACGGCATACCCGAACTAACCCGAACACCTTCCTAGCTGCTTCAGCCATTCCTGGGCACATAGCAACGCCAAATATCCTGAATGTTAGAAGTGGGGTCTGAGAGCCTGACTTGTTGCTATTAGTCTTGGTTAATTCCTTATCCTGCGCGCGCGCCTAACTCTGTCTTTGCGTCTGTTCTCCTTTTGATTTCCTGATTTCCACGCTCTCTCACTCGTGTATCTCGGAGCTGAACGGTCGTAGAGTACCTCTTAGTCCTTGTCCGTCAAACTGAACGTGGACGGCGGGACAGTACTCGTAAGTTGTTGTAGTAAGCTCTGTGAAGACAATCCTACTTCAAATTCTCTTTCCAGGACCGACGTCGGTGAGACGGAACGGAAATTTTCCTCGGCTGGTGCGCCGGATCACCATATCGTGCAGTTTGTCGCTTCAAGTCAGGCACGCCCAAGCAACCGGCCGCCACACCACTTCGCTGTCAATGGGGCCGATGAATATGCTAGCTGTTTGCCTTTCAGAACGCTGCTATTCAGTACCGGAGCTCCACGAGACGCCGACTCGCGGCGAGGCCGAGGCCGAGGCCCAGCCCCTAATAAGCCGCTTCTGCCTGCGCGCCATCAGTTGTGGAGCCATCAGGGCTCCACCGAGATATGCTGTGTCTTCGGCATCACTCCAACTCGAGTCCTGTCAGTGGCTTCGCCTCTTCTGAAGTGAACAGGTAGGAGTTGTGCAGACCTTACAGCCAACGCCAGCGCCAGCACCCACCGGATCGAGCGCGACGGAACGATGGGAGGGTTGCAAAGCGATTGGCGAAGCCCCTAGCGTGCTATACATGAAGCATCGAACCACTGACGTTAACAAAAGGAGGGTTCGCGCGCGATCAGCTCTGCGCTCAAGCTCGTTTAGCTGGACGGCTGACCCCTATGCGCTTGTACTTTCACGGCAACAGAGCGACATTTTCATTGATGGGCCCAATCCAGGGAAAGTTGGGAGGTGAGGGGCGGGGCGAAATTCGACTAGCCCGTTCGGGACGAGGTTGAAGTTTGACTCCGTGTTCCTACCGCACCCACCAGAGTCTTCACCAAGTTCCATTCTTCTGAGTCGGTTCCCAAGTCGGTAGGGTAGGTTCAGGCGGTCATGCAGTGGGGCTGGCCCTCTCCTTCCGACTTTGCAATTAGACCTTATGTCTGGAATATCGAGACTTTTGTGCTCTAACTAGTAATAACTGTTTTTGATTAAATGGTAGGAAGATCTGAAACCGTTTGTCAGAAAACGAATGTAGCGGACCTCGCGTCGCCATTATTGGGGCGGTACCGGTGCCGGGGGGTGCGCTTGCACTAACCTCCCAGGCGCGCGCGGAGGGTTAGCGCACTCGATTGCTTTTTATTTTGAGAAAAGGACAAAAATGCCCTCGCTTCTTTTCATGAGGACAGAAATGCCCTTCTCAAAAGGACAAAAATGCCCTCGGATTCTAGACTTCTGTAATACTCGATATATCAGCTCAGAACCAAGAGGGTAGCTTCTTGTAGTCTTTGTGATCAGCGCCGTATACTCAGAATCTCCAGAGGTGCCGTGAGAAGTCAGTTATCACGGTCGCAAAGGCAGGGGCCTATTGCGACTGAAGCGAGGCCCCGTTGAAAGCGATGAGTACAGACCGCAGTGAATTACCATATGAAACAACCAGCACGCCTTCAACGTGTAGTAGTATTGACACTTTTGACACCTTATACTCAGATTCAAATGTTCGATCTATCTATCGCATGTAACTCGGTTGTGTCCGGGCCTTTTGCAGAGGCCACAGATCGTATCACGCTTGGCCCTCTCGTCCGCACCCCGGACCCTGCGCTTGATTGGACGTCCTGTACGTCTGGGGGATTGTGGCGGAATGATAATGGCACCTTCTTCTTCGCCAGTCGAGTCACTATCGTCCTCATCATCCGTGACCTCATGTCTTGCACACGACGTGCCAACGACGCGTGTCAGACTTACGGAACGTCGAGCTGGTTCTGGTCATCAAGCGCATATCGACAGCCTGCATCCGTGAGCTCCTTCTTTTCGTAGAGATTTTCCCCCTTCTTGAAACAATGTTACATTGTCGAAAGTCGGTGGTGACTTCGGCGTCCGGGCCGGGGGCGAGATGCGGAAGGAGACCAACGTCGATTCGCGAACTCGCGCGCCTCGACGCGTCGACGATCGATGAGGCCCCTGACTTTTCGACCGTGATAACTGACTTCTCACGGCACCACTGGAGATTCTGAGTATACGGCGCTGATCACAAAGACTACAAGAAGCTACCCTCTTGGTTCTGAGCTGATATATCGAGTATTACAGAAGTCTAGAATCCGAGGGCATTTTGTCCTTTTGAGAAGGGCATTTCTGTCCTCATGAAAAGAAGCGAGGGCATTTTTGTCCTTTTCTCTTTTATTTTTTACTAGGTTCGGCGGCGCGCTCCGCGCGCCACCTCACACCGTAACCGTTGACCTGCAATGCGATGTACTTCGCTGCAACAGCTGCGGCACTGTTCAGTAACGGAAACCTAGAGACCCGTGTCGAGTGTGGACCTTTTCACGGGTGTCGCAAGCTTGACTTGCGAGCTGCCAATCGAATTGGAACATCCTTTCGACCAGCTGGAAACATCGACGGCGCTGTCGACGGCGCTGCATCGGCGCCTCTCATTTCATCACTGAACTACTTTTTTGTTCTCTGGGAGCCCGATGATGGGCTCAGACCGTCGTCAAGACCCGCGTCGAGTGTGGAGCAACGCCATCCCGACGATGTTGAGACTCTGAAGATACTCGATCGAGAACAGTGATTCGTCTTCGTTTTCGACGACCGAATCCGGGCTGTAGAACGTTTGAGCGTCACCCGGCAGCAGGTCGAGCACCATGTCGTTGATCTGATCCACCTGCGAATCTTTGGGCGCCAGAATTGCTCGATGTCGGAAGTATTCGACTTTTTCGGCTATCAACTTCCCCCCAGAAGTCAGCATTCCATGATGCAAGCGTCGACAATTTGTGCAGGCGATGACTTGGAATAACGGGTTCTTCGGATCCCCTGTGATGTTACAGTCCAACCGGTCAGTTAGTCCTGCTGCCCTACGCTTTGCTTTTGAAAGATTGGCACACACCTGCCAACACGACGGTCACTCCACCGAACCGAGCCGTGGAATAACGGGAAGGCATTGCTTCGGATTTCCTGTGATGTTACAGTCCAACCGGTCAGTTAGTCATGCTGCCCTGCGTTTTGCTTTTGAAAGATTGGCACACACCTGCCAACACGACGGTCACTCCCCCGAACCGAGCCGTTGAGGATCTGCCACGGGATGGTGAGCCGCAATCCACGGAACCAGAGCCTGTTTTTCTGCGTGATTCGTTTATTACAACTATCAGTATTCTTGCTGTTGTCCATCTGTAGCAATGACAGTGAAGACTCACATCTAGTGTCCCATGGACCCGGATTCTCAACCGTACGAAGTCAATTCTTCCGCTGTATTTTCCCGTGGCCTGCTTCCTTCGCGAGCGTTGTTGTAGAATAAGGGGTGTTTGTGGGCATCGATGTCGTTTTCCCAGACAGGCCACGGTGGGTGCCCCCGCTTATGATAGGGCACCTCCTGTCACTGACGATACAATGTCTGTTTTTCGTTCAGTTTTTCCGTCATACCTGCGTGCACAGCCAATGTCACGTGAAACTCACGAATGCAGTCACCAATTGATGGTGGAGGAAAGCAACTCGAGGGTTGACATTCAACGAAGACGTGTTGAAGGGAATTGCTGTTTGGTAGTTTTCCATTAGCTCCTGAACAATCCCACACCTAGAGCACAGTTCATGAAGTCACTTACTCGAATCCGTAGCTATGCTGCATGCTGCAACTTGTCCCGTATTCGTTGCAGAGCTTCCACGACGACCCCTTCGGGTGTTGCGAGCTCGAGGCCGATTTGTCTCGAGAACAGTTCGGTATCTGCGTCTGAGGCTGGATGGATGGTTGGTTGACATCATGTCAATGGGCTGCTCCCCTAGACGTTTTTCTGTTCGCGTTACTTACTACACGGAGGCATCCCTGTTGAGAGATCGATCAATCGACACTTCCCAAGCATTGTGACAACTACCTGAGCCGTGTCCTGGGCCAGGACCGTATTGCGGCAAGTCGATCGACGTCATCGACTGACAGAGCTGTTCGTTCGCCATCCGCGAGTTGTGTTGGGGCTTCTTTCATGATGGGCGATGGGATGAGTGGCGATGGGTAAGGTGTGAAGAGCAGGAGGGAGAAAGATGGAGAAGCCTGCGCCTCAGTTTGAACTGGGTTCATAGAATGTCGCGGAAGGCCGCGGAACGACGTGGAGTGAAGCCCAGTGTCGGCAAGCCGTGACACGCTGGCGGGGCCCCTAACGGCGGAATTGGCGCACTGGCCGACACTACCCGAGGTCTGGAGCTGCTCCAAAGCGTGGACAAACGAATCTCAAGCCCGGAGGTGAAGGACTGCGGGCCCGTCGCACTTGCCGTGCGACTTGAGACTGCCTGCTGCCGGTGCAGATTGACTTGACGAACCAGTTTGCGCGACGTCGTGTTGATCGATTGGCGGCGGCGACTGTGCGATTAGAGCAGGAGTCGGGTTGTACGGAGGAGGCTCAGCTCGCTCACGATGGCGACGTCTCTGCTGCCCCTCTGCTCTCCGTGCGGCGTGAAGATTGTCGTACAGGAGACGGGACGTGAAAGTTTGCAGATGACATCTCGGCTCTGGCAGGAGCTGGATGATTGAAGGAACTACGCTACGATGTGGTAGACACGCAAAACAGGTCGTCGCAGTCTGCTTCAGGAAGCAGAGTCACGTGCTCTTCAATGGAACCTCGGCGAACGTAGACGAAACGGTCTGTCGCTGGCCGACCCGTGCTGAAACAGCGCTAGCTAGCTGGGACGCACTGGACCGAGAGCTGCCTATGACGTCACGCCACATGGTTCCTGTTCTTTGACGTTCTGTGACGTTCTTTGTCTCCCTGGTTTGTCTCCCGTTCTCTGACGTTCTTTGACGTTCTTTGTCTCGACGACGTTTTTTATTATAGTAGTTCTAAGGAAAGGATAAGGATTTAGCGACCCACCGGAGATTATAGAAAACGAGCTAAATTGCACTAAAAGTGCGCTTTTGGCACTAAAGTGCGCTAAATGGCACTAAATTGCACTAAAGCGCGAGTGGCAAAGTTGCTGATGACGGCGGCCCCCCGTCTGCCGGGTGCCTATACTGCGTCGTGATCCAACCTGCCAAGATCTGTCCACCCATCGTGCCTCTCAACCTTTCCTCGCTTGTCCCCGCTTGTCCTGAACTGTGCCACCGCTGTCACTTGCAGTAGCCTCGTTACCCGAAGGACCTGGACTGGTCACTGTGGCCCACGGCGGCGCTGGTTGGCGCCTCTGGATCTGGACGGCGCCTCCCAAAAAGTCCATACCCGCGGTTACTCCCGAGCAAGATGCGACGACTTTGTGGATGGACTTCTCGCGTTACTGCCTCCTCGTTCTGACAGCGATCTTGGTCACCGCTATCGCCTGGTCCTTGATCTCCTTTTGGCTACATTATCGCCAAAAGCGGGCGAAGCTAGCCAGCGACACCCCAGTGTCCGCCGCTGCCACTTCGACTTCAAGCACTCCGACTGGGACCTCGCTCCCGCTCAATGAAATCCATTCGGCCAACCTTCTCTTCCGTTCTTGTATCGTATACGCCATACGACACCTGGTCCTCGACCTTCTCCCTCGTTTCCAGTGGCCGTCGAGTCGCTCGCGGCGTCGACGAGTCCTCGCGCGTAGTCGTTCGAGGCGAACGCGGCGATGAGAACAGAAAGAAGGTCGAGGACCAGGTGTCGTATGGCGTATACGATACAAGAACGGAAGAGAAGGTTGGCCGAATGGATTTCATTGAGCGGGAGCGAGGTCCCAGTCGGAGTGCTTGAAGTCGAAGTGGCAGCGGCGGACACTGGGGTGTCGCTGGCTAGCTTCGCCCGCTTTTGGCGATAATGTAGCCAAAAGGAGATCAAGGACCAGGCGATAGCGGTGACCAAGATCGCTGTCAGAACGAGGAGGCAGTAACGCGAGAAGTCCATCCACAAAGTCGTCGCATCTTGCTCGGGAGTAACCGCGGGTATGGACTTTTTGGGAGGCGCCGTCCAGATCCAGAGGCGCAAACTGTCAGAGAGTATATTACTGTCTCATCCCACTAGGATTCCCTATTTTGATTAGTTACTAGTAGTTGGTATTGGTTGCCTAGCGCGCCTCGAGCCTGCCTCGCGCGCGCCTCCATAGCTCTTCTCTCCTTTCTCCAACTATCTTTACTATCATCTTCGGCTCTCGTACTTACGTATCTCGTGCCTGGGCTTCAGGGTTCTGAAAGCAAACCAGCGCCGCCGAAGACGGTCGTTACGCACGCTGCCGGGAACATAGCGAAAAGCTTCTCGCTGAGGTACGTAGGAGTTCCACACGTGTTAGTGGTCTCTTCTCAATGCTGTGAGGTCAAACTCACTTGGTCTTGGACAATAAGACCGAGCGCTGTTGCACCGGGGACAACACAGCGTGGGGAAGATGGGTTGCGGAAGCAACACCGACGAGGAAGGGGAGTGCCCCGGGCAGGAAGCGGCTGGCTCCCAAAGTCGCGTACATGGTCATATACAATATAACGGTGCCCCACAATTCGCACCGAAAGATCGTGCTGGCTGAACCCGCATTGGTCAAGATCAGACGTCAGCAGCCTGAGCTCGCAGCGTGGCCTATGCACCGTCCTCGTCAAGGATGATGACGACTCACCGTTGCGTTCGAAGAACGGCTTCAACTTGGTGACGTTGCCGGAAGGTTCTTCACTCCTGGGAACCGGAGTACTTTGAGCGCGTCTTTGTGACTTGGGAATCATGAGGGACGTGGGACGGTGTGCAAGAGGGAGAGAAGGAGCCGCGCGGCGGCGTTAGTGCGAGCAGCTGTGCTAGCAGTTGGCTTCATGACGTCGAGCGGGCGAGAACGGGCGCGGACTATCTGCGGGCCGGATAGCATGCGTTGGCAGCCGGGTGCGTCGGACTGGCCGGGGTTCCGCCGTGCATGAGCAGATCGAGTTCTTCGACCTTATCTGAAAAGACCTCGCCGATATTCAGCCGCTCGAGGACTCTTCGATGGCAATGACGACCAGTAGAAGATTAAGCGCAGTCAAAAGAAGACGAACTGGGCGTCGGCTGACTTTCATTTCACACCAAGCTATCGAATGTGGTTCCAAGCAAAGGTAGTTGAATCCTGCAAGTGATTTGACAAGAACCATGGCAATCCTGAGCTGAGATGTTGTTTGAGACCCAGTCTCAACGTGGAGGAGTGCCTGGCCCCTCACGACCCCGACCCCGACCCCGACCCCGACCCCGACCCCGATCCCGACCCTGACGAAGGGATTGAATCCATCTTCGAGGTCTGCAAAGCCACCGTGGTCTCGACGTCTCCAGCAAAGTGTCTGCTGGGGAGGCCTCAAACCTGAGGAGCAAAGTACCCTGACCATGGATCCGATGCTCTGAAGCAGTGTGTCACGATCGTCCCTGTAGATCTGGAAACCGACGCACCGTCGTTGCCACAAGAGCCGGCTTGACATAGTTGGTCCCATCGAGCCCACACCAGATCTGGTTTCCACGGCAGTCTTGCTGCGGAGCGAAGCACGCCGAAGGAGGCGAATGTTAGAGACCGTATCGCTCGCTCAACGTGCCTGCAATCAGATGAACGTGCTAGGGACGTACAGGGGCTTGTTGCAAGTCTACCCGCCAGCGCCGGGACCTCCCCCCGGAAGACGGGCCTCTATTCATGGTGCACGCTCTACGCCCGGCCAGAAGTTGCACGGTTGCGAAAGAACTGGAAAATAGACGAGAGAAGTTCAGATCAGATACGCACAAGGTCGTGTTCAGAGCACTTTGACTCGCCTTGTACGCAACGAGCAGCCGCCCAGGAAGGAGAGGAGGGGATAGGTGGGAAGCGGACGACCACTCACTAGAGGGCAGAGAAGCACTTCCTTCCTTTCACAAACACCACACCACAGAGGGAGTCGGTACCAAAGAAGAGAGCTAAGATCGGGGCTTGCGATCGAGGGAAGTTTGCGCCGCAGATCGAGCGGCCTCACTTGTGTCACGACGGTCGGTGCTGACTCAGTCGAACCTCGGATCGGACTTGAGCAAGGGGCCTTGGGCAAGCTGATCAGGGCAATTGGGGGAAACCCGTATATCCGATCACAGAGACTGAGCTTCGAGCGTTGGTCGATCGCATTGTGGATTGCCCCGTGGTAGGTGGGGACGTCCCGGCTGGCGTGTTTCCTGTCGCGCGAAGATTCGACGCTTGGAGATCAGTATCGAGTCAAATTTTCTCGACCGCAACCTCCTTTGCGGATACGCTCGAGCAACAATCGGTCCAGTCGCGGATGGAGCGCAACATGTAGACGTAATACGGCACGGCCAGGGGTCTCGAGAGTCGACGACGAATCGTGAGAAGTAGCTCGGGTAGCCAGCCATCATCAAGGCAAGGAGCGACGTCAAGCGCATCGATCCGGCGATGGCCCATGCTCGACGGAGACTCGACAGAACTTTCGTGGCACACTCGGTGTAGTCAAGCGGCGTCGGGTTGGAGGTGGGACTCGGCGGGCCACTGGACACGACTGGGCACGACTGGGCACATGCCTGCTGTGATGGTGGCCCCGTGAAGGTGGCTCGGTACGAGAACAGGCGCCATCGCAGTGCGCACCGCTCTACAGTGCATAGCGACTCGATCCCATGACGTTGCCAAATACGACAAGCAGCGCGACGATGATTTGTCATGATGAGGCTCGTTGCGATGAACACCAGTCAGGAGGGGCCACGCGAATTCGGCCCTGAACGCCGAGCGGATGTGGCAAAGTATGCCTTCGCTTTGGAAGCGAGAAGCAAGACCATTGCAATATGTATAGAGACTGTGAGGAGCGAATGTATACGCTTGGAGACGAACCGACGGACGACGCTGCAATGCAGTGCGGGCTCGCAAACGTGATTTGCACGACTCCGACGTCACCTGCGAGCTGCGCTGCGGCCCAGTGGGCGCGGAAAGTTTGCACCTAGACCTATGTGTATGGTACACTGCCCGTCGGGGCCCGTTGGGACGGAAAGCGACATGACATGACTTTGCGAGCGACGTGCGCCGTGTCGCCATGTCGCCGTCGTCGTCAGTGAGGCCGATGCACGTGACTCGATGCTACGAACCTTACTCGAAGCACCATGGATTGATGAGGCGGCTGCTAGGTGTCAGCTGCAACATTCGTGTAAGATCCTCGCCAGTCTGAGGCCGTGAGGCTGCCAGAGTGAGAGCAGCGGTGGGTGACGCTGGGATCAACGCCGGAGAAGGCGGGCTCACCGAGGGCTGAGAGGGTGCCATGTGGCATGCAGAGACTGTACTAGGCGGCGACGATACGTCCAACACCTTGATAAATCGAACGACTCGATGCTGGTTGGATTTCGAGACAACACGAACTGAGCCAACTGCTTCGGTTGGCCCGCGTTGACGTGCTGGCGCGCTCTGGCAGGCTCTGGCCACGGCGGCTTGGCCGGTTGGCCGGGGCAACCACGGGCGCGCCGAGCGAGACGACGAGGATGCGGCGCCAACAAGTCTCACTGACAACTTAGTAAGTGCTCGAGCCTCTCTGCTTCTACGGCAATTAATCTCGTTGCAGTAGTCAACCGACTGATCTTTCGCTGAAATTTTCCGAAATTTCGCTTTGCCTCCCGGTTTTGCCTCCCCTCGGTTTTGCTACCCCACCGGTTTCTTCGCGCAGAGCTGGCGGTCCGGCGGTCCTCAGGCCTCAGCAGGGTCGCGCGTGACCGACCCATATTTGTGTGTTAGCCGTGTACAGCATGCCACGACATACTTGCGTCTCTGCAAAAAATGTTCAAAATTTTAGACAGCAATACCCCGCGATGGGCTCCGATGGTTTACTCTTTTTCGAACAAATGCAGTCATAGTAAATGACTTGTGGAAGTTGGCGTGCGCAACCTGGGCCTATTCTGCTCCCATTGGTCGCAAGGGTGCCACCTACCGAAAGGGCGGCTCTTATTAATAGTGGTGCTCTTATGCCGTCTTATGCCGTCTGGGGGCGCGCCTTACCACCAGTGGTACTTTCTATGTCTGCCCGAGGTGGTGTTTTGGGGGCTCCGTGACCGTCTCACTCTCTGGTCCGTCTCGCTGCTCAACCGGTCACCGCGCCTCTAACCCCCTCTTCCACACCCTCGTCACGCCACCGAGTCTGCAAAGATGTCGACAGGCCTGGCCGAGCCGTTGTTGACGGTGGTGGTGTCGCTCGGGATCAGCATCGTCGCGTACGGTCTCACCGCGCGACTGGTGCCCATGCTCGGCCCCGAGCTGGTCAAGAAAGGTCTCGCCGGCAAGGACATGCTCAAGCCGGGTTTCAAGAGGAATGAAGATGCACCCGACTCCACACAGACGACCGAGTCCAAGTCGACCAAGAAGAGCAAGGGCGTCGTCGTGGAGGTATCGTCGACTTCGCCCGGGAACGTGCTCCTGTACGCTTAAAGGGGCTGTGGTCAGCGCGGAGGGTCGTCCTACCGCTTGCCTGACGTGTGCTTCTTGTTACGTACAGTCCAGAAGCAACGGGTGTGATCGGTGCTTCGGTCTACATCCTGCTGTTGTCCTTGTTCGCCCCGCTGCCGTACCTCGCGCACCTGCTGCCGAACGCGTCACTCCTGTCCTTTTCCCACCGCGACTCAGTACAGGGCTCCCACATCGCCCAAGCCCAACCTGTTACGACCATGGATCCTTCGCTCGTATTTCCGCACCATTCGTTCGCAACGTACCTCGCCAGTCTGCTCAGCCTCCTCATGGCCGTCTTTCTCGGCTTTATGGACGACGTCTTTGACATTCGATGGAGGTGGAAGCTGCCAATCCCAGGTCGGTCTCCAGTACTGGTGAAATCCGATCAGTATGTGTTGAAGCGCCGTATGAATTATGTTGTGTGTTGCACCGTCCACGCAGTCATTGCCTCGGTGCCCCTCCTCGTAACGTACGCAGCCGGACACGGTGTAACCGACGTCGTACTCCCCAACGTTTTGGGCGTCCGAACGCTCTTCGATGCCGTCTCTACCAATGGTGTCGTCCATCTTGGTGAGTTAGTCTGCAAAGCTTATCATGACTGCACCGCCCCCGCTTGCAGGTGCTGCGGAAGCTGTTGGAAAATATTGACCCGGTGGAATGATGCTGAACGTCTTGCACAGGCCCGCTGTACTACCTCTACATGTCGATGCTCTCAACTTTCTGCACCAACAGCATCAACATCCTCGCCGGTGTCAACGGAGTCGAAGTCGGCCAAGCCTTGGTCATCGCCCTTTCGATCGCCCTCAACGATCTTCTTCATCTGACGTTCGACCTCTCGCCCATCTTGGGTCAGACCGCTTCCAAAGTCGGCATGGGTTTGGCGAGGGGCTCGGCCGAGCTTAGTGATCGTCACATGTTCTCGCTGTACTTCATGCTGCCACTCATCGGCGTCTGTTTTGGTCTCTTGAAGCACAATTGGTACGTCGCCGACTCGATTCTGCGGACGCCATCATCACAAACTGACACCACCTACTGTCTCAGGTATCCTGCCCGAGCTTTCATCGGTGATACCTTCTGTTACTTCTCCGGCATGGCCTTTGCCGTCGTCGGTATCACAGGCCACTTCTCCAAAACGCTCCTTCTCTTCTTCCTCCCCCAAATCTTCAACTTCCTCTACTCGACGCCCCAACTCTTCGGACTCGTCCCCTGCCCTCGCCACCGCCTCCCTCATTACAATCCCAAAACTCGAAAACTCGAACCTTCGTTCGCTCCTCTCCCAATCGCTCACCGAACCAAACTGCAAACACTCTTCCTCGAGACGTGCCATAAATTCGGCTTGGTTCAAGTCAAAAGGGACGCGAAGGGGCAGATCGAGGCCGTGTCCAACTTCACCGTTCTGACATTGATCATGGTCTGGTTCGGACCGATGACGGAGCCGAATTTGACCAAGTGTACGATGGGGTTACAAGTTGTGGGGAGCTTGGTCGCGTTTGGGATTCGGTATGGGATCAGTGGGTGGTTTTATGATCTTGAGAGTAGGAGATGAATAGATGTAGATCTGGTATTCGAACATGTTTGTACAGTCCAAGGGAGGCCTCGACGCTCTCTCGGTTCTTGCGGTTGAGATGGAAGCAACGAGCGGTTGTTCAATGCTGATACAAGTTGGGGTACTCTACACAGCTCGAAGGCACAATATCGAGGACAACACTGGTTCGCATGCTCATCGGACAAGGACGTGATAGTTGAGACTACACAACATATCATGATCAAGCCGGGGTACAAGCTCCTTCAGCTCATTCGGCCTCATGCCACTCATCCTCCGGCGCCGGAACCTCATCATACTCGTACTCGAGTACGATCTCATCCACCGCCTCAAAGTCCTCATCCTCCCCACCTTCCACCTCCTCTTCCATCTCCCGAACACGTCTCTGTAACTCCTTAATCTGTCTCTCAATCTCCTCCCTCTTCGCAACCTTGTTCGAAACCACCTGCGTACGAACCGCCGCCTTGATCGTCGTAGGTCGAAGCCCTGAAGCCTCAGCAGCTTTGATCGTCGTCTTGGGTTTGACTGGAACAGCACCGAGCGTGGTCGTCGTTTTAGCCGTAGCAGTCGTAGCTGGTTGAGTAGTTCGGGGTAGACGGGTATTGATATGAGGGGTTCGTGGTTCGCGTGAATCGACATAAGAGGTCGAGCTTGACTCACGGGAGTTGACGCGGACCGATCGAGTAGACGTCGCAGTCGTTGGGGGAACGGCGGCGGGGGAGGACGAAGTGATGTCTTGAGGAGAGACGACGCGAACGCTCCCCGGGATGATGGGAGGCGACGACGATGACGGCGGTGTCACGGGTGGAGCGGCACTCGATGAGATGGGGACGACGACCGGAGCGGGTGAGGTTTGACTCGTGATGATAGGGGCTTCGCTCGAGGGTGAGGGTGAGGGCGACGGCGAAAGCGAAAGCGAGAGCGAAGGAAAGTGATTAGCCGCTTGGTCCAAAGCATTCGCACCATTCGAGGCTTGACCGGGCAAAACAGGGAACGTAGGTGGTGTCAAGATGGGGGGTCCACCACCGCCACCTCCCATCGAGCTGCCGCCGTAGCCAGGGAAATTGTTGACGTTCCCTCCGGCCGGGTCGGGCAAGCCCGAACTTGGTGAGTCGTCCTGGATGATCGAGCTACCCCAGACCCAGCGCTTCGCGTTCTGGGCTATCGCGGTCGGTGAAGCAACTGGCACGTCGAGCACGTTCTTGAGCACACCGCCGATCGCGGCCGCAGCAGAAGCGTCGGCAATTCTTCCCGGTGTCGGCGAAGCAGCTGCGAGTTGAAGTTCGACGGCGGACGGGGTGGTCGTTGGTACTGGTGCCAGTTTGAAGCTATCTGAGGCGGATTGGAAGGCTGCGGGAATCGTGTTAAGTCCAAGAAGGGGCAGGTTCGGTGTCGGTAAAGGGGCGAAGGTGGGAGGCACGAGACGAGGGCCACCGCCGCCGGTTCCAGACGGGAGGGCCGCTGTGACAGTTCGAAAGATATCGATATGATGAATGATGGACTTGAGCGGAAAGAAAAATCATCGAACCACGTGCAGTTGAAGTAATTGATGTTCGCTCCGGGTGGTGGGAGTCCATCCGTCGGCGTTGAATCCTGAATGATCGATGGACCTTGGATCCACCTCTTCTCGACGGCATCACCTTCGTAACGACGAGCGCGGATCTTCTTTACGATACCCTTATTCAATTCTGATTTTCTCAAAGTGGATTAGCACTTTGTCTTCCCGATGGGAGGACAGAAGGCGGCTCCGTGGATCCCTACTACGATGAAAACTCACTCTGATGAGCCATACGCTTCGAAAATGCATGATCCCTCGAGCCATGAGGCGCATGAGCTCGCTTCTTGAACTCATCAGTAGAGTTCGAATCTCGGGGGTGAATTGGTACAGGTCCATCGGGATGACGACGCAGCAATTGTTCGACCGTGTCGGGAGTCGCGCGGCGCCCGAGTCGAGCACCGACTGCGTCAAGGGCGCCGGCTTCGGAGCGCTCGGGCGAGGCTGACGAAACCCCGGTTCCGGCCATGACCAATGTCAAGGCGAACAAGTAGTGCAAGGACCTCATCCTTCAAAGCGGGGGAGGTTGCGGTTGGGGTTTGGTGGTGGATAGGTCGTGTAGTGGTTGGAAAATGAATGTAAGAGTCGAAAGTGGACAACTCGGGCCAGGTGAGGAGTCGGCGGTATCGATCGCCGGCCGGTTTCACAGGGCGGCTGGTCGGTCGAAGCCGTCGGAATAGCTGGAACGAGTGTGGTCTGTGTAGGAACCAGCGAGTTGAGCCAGCCGATGCGGAGAGACGTTAAAGATTGAACGAAACGAAACGATAAGAAAGGAGACAAGGGATGAGAGACTGAAGGGAAGCGATTCGAGCGGAGTGACCGGCGTCGACGGCGCAGGCCTTGATCCCGGGTTTGGTCGTCGCCCACCAAAAGTCACTGGGTCAAGGCACACGTTAAACGCAACGTCCGCACGTAGAAAATGGTTAAAATCCACCAAAAATGCTCTGCCGATCCCGGTCAAGGACCTTTTAGCGGAATCGGGCCCCCAGTAAGAGCGCTACTGGAGCTCTCTAAAGCTGACGATGGCCCCCAAGCGATAGGGGGAACTTGCCGAATGCAGCCCGGAGCACGCGCGCGCTTCATCCAACCCCAAGTCTCGATTAGGAAGGTTCGCGCGCAGGGGGGAAGTTGACTCCGAAATTTGCGAGGCGCTGCATGTATGTATCGGTTTTACTAAGCTTGTGCGCTTTATTCTGGGATCTGGAGAAGTTTGCTTCTCTGAATCCAGTACTTTGAGCTCCCGCTAGCCGGTGGACTTTGTGCGGGGGTTGCAATTGGGTGAGCACGGTCCGCAGAAAGCGCGAAGCAGATTTGGAGCACGGCACACTGGACTTTCAGCCAGGTCCATGTGACCTTCGGGGACAGAAATCTTCCATACCCGATGAAGTTCCTGTACCTCCATGCAGACTTGGCTGCTCGGACCTGCCTAACCTAAGGATCTGCTACTGTAGAGTGTAGATCCTACACGCACGCTTGCGGCTCCGATTGCGAACTTCGCCGATTCCGACAGCGCCGATCCCTACAGGTCGGCAGGAACGACATTATCTTCAAAAGTTGGCATTGCATCACCGGCGTAAGTCATCACAGATTTATCATTAAAGGATTCATTAAGTACCGACGCTCCCAACCAAAACTAATGATCTTTATCCGTCCCTCCTTCTACTGCAACCGAACCTGATCGACCCCCGCCTTGACCCTCCCGACCAAATCTCTCCACCCATCCCTCGCCGCATCCACACCCGCCTCCAAACCCCCAGCCACATTGTTCAACGTCACAGGTCCAATATTGAGGTTGATAGGACCGTTGGTGTTGAGGCCCATTCCCGAATTCGTATTCGACGCAGAGGCCGTTGACGAAGCTAATGTCGATCGTTGTGCCAATGCAGCCGAGTTGGAGAAAGCGGGCCAGGAGAAGGCAGCGTCTTTGGTCATCTCCAAGAATCTGCGACCTCACGTAGATGTTTAAGATTCGTAAGCTCTACTGAATCGGGGGGGATTTTGGTCGGTTTGATATTGTGAATGAACTCACGTTCTCGAATTGTGCACGCACGTCCCACCGAGCAAGATCCTCGTCCCCGTCATGTTTTGAGTCGGCGCACCCACTCCACCCGGTCCTACGGAGCCTGCTAATCCATGCCCAGCAGCGAATTGAGCGTTGAGTGAAGCAACGGTCTTGGCTTCCTCGTACGTCGTGCCTCCAATAACGAAGATGATGATCTCTTGCGGTCTGGTCGTTGCAAGGAGATCAGGCACCGGGTCAGTCTCAACCTAGGACGTTCATGCGTAGATAGTGTTCATGTGTACCTTGTCACCCCGGTTTGTCCGGCACCTTGTCCCTCAATGAACGGATAACTCGTTTCCTTCAACCGCCCACGAAGGAGTAAATCGATCGTCTCGGCCAAATGCGGTGTATGCTGGGTATAGACATTCTCCACTCCCTGCCAGGCGGACAAAGACAGTTAGCCAACAAACCAAACAGCACATCGCCAACACAACCACACAGAAAGACCTACCTTCAACCCCTTGAGCGCGCTCTTACCCCTCGTAAAGAAATTCTCGTTCGCGAACAAATCATCCTGCCTCTGGTCCGCGCCCGCGAAATTCAACATGACATGCACCATATCGGCGTCCTTGACCGCTTGTTGATTCAACAGATCGACCACACCCTGAATGTTGTTCTGGGGTGATTTTTGGTAACGCAGGGCGTAGAGTATCGCCAGACGTAATTTGGCTTCGGGGAGGATATCGGGTGAGGTGATCATTTGCTGCAAGGAGCGATAATCGGAGGAATGCGATTCGTTCGAGGCGAGCGATTGTTCCAATTCTGATACTTCGAGCAATTTGCGAGCATGGACGAGTCGCGATAGTTCACCGACGAGCGCGACGTGTTTGGAGACGTTGCCGCCGAGCTTGCGGAATTCGGGGTATTCTTCGATGAACCTGCGCGCGTAGGAAAACTTTCCGTTCAGGACGCAGGCCGTATGATCATGAGTCATGCGACTGACCTCCTCATGTCGGCGACGGTCTCGATATTCTTGGCGTTCGAGGTGGCTGATTTGGTCGAGTAATCTTGAACGTAAGTAGAGAGGTGGGCTCCAAGATCACCAAAATTGTCGTACAGATTCGCGGCGAAGAAAGGGTCCTGATCAGGTGACAAGACGATTTCCTATACGGGGGTCGAATCGTTCGAAGGAGCTGTCAGCCTTCATCCGCGGGCTCGCATCCGAGTAGGCCTCCAACGTACCTTCAGCTCCTCTCTGACCTCGGGTGCGTCCGCCAACGAGACCCTCCCATTCGTGATGCCCAATAACTCGTGCACCATAGCCTGATACGTCCACTGACTCAACAACGGCGTGACGGGATCATTCCTCCGGTCCAAGAGCAACAGCAGCGGCGCCGAAGCGGACTTTCTAAAGTCCCACAATTCGCGTCCGTCCTCGTTCATTTGGTACATGAGTTCTTGTCCAAGTTTTTTGGCCAGTGGGGACATGCGTTCGTAGCGAATGAGAGGTTTCTTCTTGAGGGAGAGAAGTAGGGCGCTGAGGCCTTGGACGTGGCGAGTCAGGGCTGGGGAGGAGGGGGACCAGACCGAGGGGGTGTCACCAAAGAGGGCCATGGTGTTTTGCGACACGGAGGGGTGTAGTGGTGTCGGGAGGATCGAGAGTGAGAAGTGGGAGGATGTGAGAGGCGAGTAGTCGGCAAAGTATTCCTGTTTGGGTGAGAATTCGCCCCAGATTAGGATTGGGTATCGATGTGGGGGAGGACGGGATCGACTTGCCTGCACTTCCCGCACGAGCTCGTGCTCGTCCGCTTCGGCGAGCCTTTCGATCTGACTCTTTTTGAGGACATTGGTGAAGTCTGTAGGTTATTGAACATCGCTGGGTCAGCAGCCGACACAGCGACTATTGGGGTGAAGCGCGATTCCCGAGATCGATAGCGCACTCACACAGCCAATAACCGCCGTACCTGCCCTCCCTCAGCTCCCTCTCGCACGCCTCGATGCTCTCATCCGTGGGCCTGAGCAAGCAGATGCACTTGAGGTGAGGTAGACGCTCGACCGCTCTCGAAGGAGGGTAGGCACTCGCCCCTCTCGCTGCGCCCGGCGCGACCGTACTCGATGACGATGCAGGCAGGCACCGTGCTGGGTTGTCGATCCGATCGGTCAGGTACACCTCATGTGATAGTAGAGCTGATTGCGTCGAGGCGAGGGAAACGATCGCCGTCTGCGATGATCGGAGCGGCACTTGGTCAGTTCTCCTTCATCGACTCCGTCTCTGCCAACCGGACGGCATCACTCACCGTCTCTGCATCGAGCAACAACACCTTGATCCCGGACGTGTTGGTGATTATCTTGTTGACGTAGGTCTGGATCGCCTTGAGACAGTCCATCGTCGGTTGGCGTGTGAGCGAGTGAGGTCGCACAGCCTCGGGCGGGGGGCGGGTCGTTCGCCTCGGACGACTTTTGACTCGACGTCTGGCTGCTGGCGGCTTCACGATCACGACTTGAGGCGGTCGTCTTTGGGAGAGCCGGTCCTGGCCAATGTGCGATACTGGGCTGCGACTGTTGCCAATGAGGCCAGGCGTTCCCGCGATCAGCGTGGACAGCGTCGACAGCGTGATCGAATGTGGGGGGCAAGAGGTGACAAACCCGTCAAAGGCCAGATAAGCCCCCGGGGAATTGCCCAATTCTAATCTCGCGTCAACAAGTACTTGCTCTGAATTGATCGATGTTTTGCATAGTATGGATGAAAAAGAGAAGGCAGGTCCGAGAGCTCAAATACAGAGATGACAAAAACAGAGAAACCCCTGGTGGCCGAAACCCCCTCAACTGTTAGGGTTCACCTTTTAGTACTTGGGCCCAGCAGCCTTGACCTCGGGCGAGCAGTCGGCCTCGTAGCGCTCGAATGCCTTGGTGAACATGTCGGCGAGCGACTGGTTTTGCTTGATAAAGGCGTCCTTGTCGGTCCATGCCAAAGCGGGGTTCAGGATCGTTTGAGGGATGTCGTAGCCCGGGATCGAGACGGGGATTTGCAAGTCAAAGATCGGGCTCTTTTGGAACTCGGACTTGGCCAACGAGCCGTCGTGGATGGCGTCGACGATCGCGCGCGTGTACTTGAGCGGGCAACGCTTGCCGACGCCAAACTTGCCACCGACCCATCCGGTGTTGATCAACCAGCAGCGACTGCCTTGCTCGGTCATCTTCTTGGCCAACATCGATGCGTAGCGACTCGGGTGCAGGATGATGAAGGGCTGGCCGAAGCAGGTCGAGAACGTCGGCGAGGGCTCTGTGATACCATCCTCGGTTCCGGGCGTCTTGGACGTGTAACCGGACAAGAACCAGTACTGTGCCTGGTCCGAGTTGAGCAAGGAGACGGGGGGAAGCACACCGAACGCGTCGCAGGTGAGGTAGATGACGTTCTTGGGGTGCGTGTTGGCCATGCAAGGAAGCTTGCAGTTGGGGATGAACTCGATCGGGTAAGCGACTCGAGTGTTTTCGGTGATACCCGTGTCCTCGTAGTTGGGTTCTCGGGTTGCGTAGTCGTAAGTAACGTTCTCCAAGACCGAACCGAAGCGGATGGCGTTGTAGATATCGGGTTCCTTCTCGGCGTCGAGGCCAACGCACTTGGCGTAGCAACCACCCTCAATGTTGAAGACACCAGCATCGGACCAGACGTGCTCGTCATCACCGATGAGCTTGCGGCGAGGGTCGGCCGAGAGGGTCGTCTTGCCCGTTCCGGAAAGACCGAAGAACAACGAAACGTCGCCGTCCGGACCTTCGTTCGCGGACGAGTGGAGAGACAAGTTGCCGAACTTGACCGGTTGCAAGTAGTGCATAACGGAGAAGATACCCTTCTTCATCTCACCGGCGTATTCGGTGCCGAGGATGACCATTTCCTTGCGCTTGAAGTTGACCTCGACCGAGGTCGACGACGTCATGCCGGCGGTGAAACGGTTGGCGGGGAACTGGCCGGCGTTGTAGATGGTGAAATCGGGCTCGCCGAAAGTCTCAAGCTCCTTGGCCGTAGGTCGGATGAGCACTACGTGAAGATTAAGGCCGTGAAAATGTCAGCTGACTGGACCCGAAGCGTGCAAACCGGGGAAAAGGAAGGCTCACTGTTGTGCATGAAGAGGGCGTGGTAGGCACGAGCGCAGATGACTCGGACCTTGATGCGGTACCTAGGGTCCCAGCCGGCGAAGCCGTCAAAGACGTAGACGTTCTCCCTGGTGTTGAGGTAATCGATGGCACGCTCTCGGTTGATTTCGAAGGTGTGCTCGTCCATCTGCGGCGGTCACCAAACAGTAGAAGGTCGTCAGCGGCTGTACATACCTCAGACAACAAACTCCGCGACCGATGCCACGAGCTGATCTCAGACACGAGTGCTTACCTTCATGTTGACGGGACCCCACCAAACATCGTCCTTGGATGTCTCCTCGTAGACGATACGCTTGTCCTTGGGCGAACGACCGGTCTTCTTGCCGGAGAAGTTGATGAGCGCACCCGAGTTGGAGATGACGGCGCCCTCGTACTTGATGGCGTCCTCGTAAAGCTGAGCAACGGGAGCGTTTCGCTTCAAGTGGATCTGAGAGGAAGCAGAGATGCGGCGGCAACAAGCTCAGCGTGACTGGTTCGCTCGAAGCGGGAAATGTGGGGCAGCGGGCCGCGGCCCCCCCACGAGGCGGAAGAGACTATACCTTTTCCATGTCGAAGCCGGCCTCCGAGAAGAGGTCGAGATCCTTCCCGAGTAAGCCATAGGTGGCAGTGGGGCTGGAGGAGGCGAGGAAGGTACCATGGTAGAGCGTGGATCAGCTGAGGGTTCTTTCTCCATAGGGTGAGCATGGTCCGCCCCCCCAAAGTCCAAAGTCAAGAAAGGCAGATGCCCGGGCGGAGCGCTGCTGGGAGCAGCCTCGTATAACGATGCAGTGCATGCTGCGGCCAATACAATAGTACAGGCATTGCGGTAGGATGTAACGAAGTCGTCGGCGGTGTGAAACCGATGCAACTCGGCCTCCAGAGGATTGAGCCGATTTTCGTAGCCCGAAAGGTTCCGACCACCGCCGAAGCGGAGGGTCCCTCCCACCTTGCATGAGACAAAGAGACAGGACTTACCCCTCAAGGTGAGAGCTGCTCTCTTCAAAGTGTTGTTTGGGGGTGTCGGTACGTCCGGTCATGATGGGCAACTGTGCGGGGAGGAGTGGGTCGGAAGAGAAGGAACAAGCAAGAAGCGTGAGCAGACGAACGAACGTACAGCGCCCGAACACGACCCAGACCCGGTGACCTCGGCAGCCGAGAATGGCCACCTCTGGCCACCTGACACGGCTGCCACGCGCACGAATGGCAGGCAGCTGGCAAGGAGGGAAGCGGCACATACATGTGCTGTGCTGGGGTAGAGGGTGGCAGGGAGGATTGTTTGTGCAAAAAGTGATAGACAAAAGAGTATAGGGGAAGGATATATAAAGGGTCAGGTGACGGGAGAGGTGGTCAAGGAGAAAGAAAGATGAGAGCGGATCGGGAGGGGTGCCTCCCATCGGGCGCACCCTACGGAGAAACGCGGGACGGCCACGGCCACAGCCACGCTGGCCTAGAGGCAAAAGCCGGGCAAGGACGGAAGCCGGCTGAGCGCCAACCCGAGAGCCCCGGGGGGTGCTCGGTAGGTCGTGAAAGGGGAGGAACGTTGTTGTATTGCTTGACTCGTCACTCGGGTCAGGGGGCCATATTAGGCAGCTTTGTGAAGTTTCGGACAAGTCACGTGAAGCTCGGAGATAGATCCCTGCAAATAAAGTTGTGAGTCGTGACGCCTGAGTTCATCGATAAACGCTGTGAGCTCCGAGACCGCCCACCCAGGCGCGATCTCATTGGCCGACGCGGCTCCAGCGCGTCACAGCAGCAGGCTGCAGGCTGCATTCGCGCTTAGGCCCGACCCTGCGCGGCCGATCTCGCAGCCGCGGCACGGCCATAAATAAGGCCGCAAATACAAATACGTGGAACACCAGAAAACCCCCTTGTTGTGTTGCTAGACTCATCGACAGCATCGCGATACATCCTGAGCGCAGAACCAGGCAAGGATACGTTTTTTGGAAAATACAGACCGGCCGCAGTGGGCACCACTCGACCCGACGCGTCGCCCGGCCGTCGCAACTTTGCGCTGCAACACTAGCTGGCGGGTCGAATTCCCACCACATGGCAGCACGGTGGGTCGGGATCGAAAGCAATTCAAGCGAGTCGGAGTAGTCTCGGAGTACGACCCGCACGCGTGTTTCCTTTAGAAATGATGACTGAGAGATGCGCGCGATCGACGATCCAGGCCAAAGCTGGCCCCTTTCGCAGGGTGAGACCAGCCCCTATGAAACGGGCCATGCTGAGAAAAAGCGAGGAAACGCGTGTCGTGTTGTTGCATAGGGCTGGGCTGGCTTTACACAGCTCGCGTACGTACCCTCTACGACTCTTGGTTGTTTCCTTCGTCTTTTTGGTGTTGTGTATTGTGACGACCCTTGTTGACGACCTTGAGACGACTATCATCAACGACCAAGCCAACGCTTCTGCTCCACCCCGACTTTACGGCTCGCCTCACGCCCGGTGTGCCGCGTGCTCCTGTACTCGCCTCGGGCAAGCTGTTGTGCACGAAACTCGACGATCACGATTGTAAGCTTCCCGGTACTACTTTACTGCGTGTCTTCCCACTAAGTTCTATCTATCCCGGTGCAGCAGTAACGACGCCTGCCTTCACGATCCTCGACCCACGACCACGATTCGCGCCCGGTGTTCATCGCCACTTCAATCAACATCCGACTCGACGCGTGTTCAACGAAAGACTGAAACCCCTTTTCGCGAGCATCAGACAACGCGTCGCTTCCGAATCCAAACTACTTGTACAGACCCGAGCATCTCGCAGGATCTCGGACAAGTCTCGGTGTCATGTCCACTGCTGTGTACACATCACCGAATCGGGCCTCGGGGACGATCATCCCCCGACTGGCACACGATTTCGCGAATCAGCACTATTCCTCGCCCACCGCGGGCAAGACGGCTTCGGGTTTGAGAACCCTCGTCACCGAAGTTGGACACCGTCGGGAAGATGTTGGCAAGAATGTTTCGAGTGAGGGTACGAGTGGTGGGTCCAAGACCGACATATTTTCCATCACCGACGCGACGCTCGCCGAGAAGCTTCAGTAAGCCTTATCTCGCGTTTGCACCGAACGAGGAAAGCGGCAAGAAGCTAACCATGTCAACTCCACAGATTCGTCACTGAAGTAGGATTTGGAAACTGGGTAAGCTCTTCTGGACCACAGCTCTCGAGGACGAGCATTTGAAAGCTGACCTTGCCGGGTCGTTTACTTCAGGGCTCGGTCTGGAAATGTGTACGCAAGACAGGCTCTTCGAAAGGTGAGACTGTTGCAGTCAAGCTTGTACATCGATCGAAGAACCCCACGTCGTCCGCTCGAGTTCGATCTCTGTGGACTGAATTCAAGTAAGTTCACCGGCGGCCTGACTATCCCGCTCGCAATCTCTGAAATCTGACCCCACTGCTGCCTCTGCAGGGCTATTCGCTCTCTCCGTGGCGCGTGCCACCCCAACCTCATCCACTTCGAATCCTTCATCATCACCCCTTCCTACGCCCTCTGCGTAATGCCGTACTACTCGCGCCTCATGCCCGTCGCCCTTCCCGAATCGCGCGCGCGCTTCTACTTTCGTGGTCTCCTTTCCGCCGTCGAATTTCTTCATGCTCATGGGTGTTCACACAATGACATCAAGCCCGCAAACATCTTGCTCGGAAGCAATGATACTCCTGTTCTGTGTGATTTTGGTTTTGCGGTCCAATACGCTCGTGATGCACCGGAAAGGTTCCTGAGCTCGCTATCGTGGGGTACACCCGAGTACCTCTCCCCTGAGCGCGCCAAGGGCGTACTTCACGACGAACGACTCAGCGACGTATGGGCTCTCGGTGTGACGATGTGGGAGATTGTGGTGGGGAGGACGCCATTCGAGAGGACCGAAAGCGAGGAGTTCCTCACGAGGGACGCTCTCGAGGTTTATTATGGTCGAACGGTCGAAGGATCGTTCTGTGGAGAGTTCAAAGTCTCATCTGGTGAGTGAGGTGAGTATACATTCCCGATTATGTTATGTATCTGATTCATCACGATTGTCGCGGTCCACAGACTTTGAGGACTTGATTCATCACATGGTCGAGCCCAACGTCAAACAGCGCGTTCAAGGCTGCGGTCTCGCGCTGCTGCATCGCTTCTTCGAGATGGTCCCCACGCCTCAGCATTCGCCCAAAACGACTCGGTACTCTCAAGGCACTCCCAAGTCTGCTCAAACGCCGGTCAAGAACAAGACTCCGGTCAAGACTCACGGAAGCAGCTCTCGCAAGGGAACGCCGAGTCGAAAGGTCGAGAAGAGGGATTCAATTCAGGTGCATCGTGATCGCACGAGCTCGCCGTTCCGTAAGTTGATTTGATTCTGAAACATAGGAACGTGGGCTGAAAAGGCCTCCTTCACTGTAACAGAGGAAAAAGCCGACGTCCGTTCTTCGTTCCCTCTGCGCCCCCTGCTCCTAGGCGAGCGCCGCGCCAATGCTTCACCGACAACGAGCCCATTGACGCAACCCAGCACTCCTCGACAGCGTGTCAACTCTGGGTCAAAAGCCAAGAAAGGCACCCAATCACCTTCCACGGCGAGAGCCCAAGTCACCACATCCAGGATCACGTCCCCTTCCAAGATCCCGGTTCGAGCGCCTCTGTTCGTCGCCCTCCCACGTACACCCAATGGCCCCGCTCGAATTCCGTCGAAGCACAATGCTGCGCTCTTGCATCGCACCTCGGGAGTCGCTCTGGCCTCGCCTCAAACCTCATCATCCTCGGAGAAGCCTCGTAGATCCGGCTCTCAGTCGCCCCAGTCGACTGGTGGGGCGCACAAGCGCCAAAGCTCACAACCGCCAGCGATGCCGACACTGTTCCGAGATTTGACGACACCGATAGAGCAACACGGTATCCTACCTCCGGCGCCGAAAGACCATTCGGAGGCGGAATCTAAATTGCAACAGAAGCAAATTTCATCGCCGTCCAGGGGTTCTAGCTTCGAGTCGCCTGTATTGGCTTTTGCTGAAAGACCGAACGTCGTCGAGTCGCGAGCTCCACACGACAAATCCAAGCGCTCGGTCTCGTTCCAGGCCTTCACGCGATGTAAGTCAGCTTCATGCCTTTGAGTATTGCTCTCAACTCACATCAACGTGATTTGGTCAGCTTCCGCTCGACCAATTGCAGAGGATCGCTCTTCACCCAAAGCAGCGGCGGATGCATCGCCCCAGCAAACCCAACCCTCGCCGAAGCGTGGATCGATTTCCATGGTCAAGAGTAAGTCGATCCGTCTTCTCAAAGTCTTACAGGATCGACTTGATTCTAAGTTTTAAATCACCCAGGACTCCGAGCCATGTCCCTTCGCCGCACACCGTCGGTGTTCTCGTTCCGTGGGTTCAAGCCGTCAGCGAACAATCTCGCAGCACCTGAACAGGGACGCCGAATTTCCGCTGCTGGGTCCATGCTGTCGGTCGGCGATACCACTGAGTATGGTGGAGAGCCAAGTGAGTACAATGTCAGTGCTTATCATGAAGATCAGGAACTGACCATCGTTCGGCTGTATCAGACCGAACAATCGACTCGACTGCGCATTCTTCGCTCAGCGTCGGATCCGAGATGTGAGCGTTTTGACATTCAAACAGGGGCTTGTGAGCACAACGCTGATCTGACGTTCTTTGATGTCAGTTCTCGGCTCGAGTCTTTCTCCCGCCATATCCAGACCATCATCGACGCCGGTCGAGCCAACGAGGCCGTCTCGTCGACCATGGTCAGGCGATCCATTTCGCCCAGCAGCAGCGGATCGGACGCCGTCGAACAACTCGGTGCTGCGATGCCCATCTTGTCCCGAGAGGAACTCGCCGAGTTCCGAGCTCGAGAGGCCCAGCGCTCATCGGAGTCTTTGGCGCGTCAAGACCGGTCGAGCTCGAGGCTAGTCGGAGTTGCTCCCAGACGTGTTTCGAGAAGCGCGGCTGGAGCTTCTAGCTCAAGTGCGGATGCGAAGAGACGACCTTCGGTCAAGATCCGTCCGTCGCTTGCTCCGTCGTTCGTTCAGAACCAGACGACTCAGACCGAGTCGGAAGAGCCGCTCGATAGTAGCAGTGAGTTCTCCCCCGAATCGCCACCCAGTAGATCGCTAGAAGCTGACCCCTATCTCATGACTATGCAGCTTCGTCCCGATTCTCGGAAGACTCTTCCACCGCATCAATCAAAGCACCGTTAGAAGAAGACGACACGATGAAGTTCAAGCGCGGGCATCGACGCATCCCGACGGCCATTCGCAACGTCCCCTCCATCTGCCTGACCGAGAGCGAGGACGAGTCGACCTACTCCGAAGCCGACGAGCCCGATTCCCCTAATATTCCCAGCATGGGTGTTCTCCGATCGGTCATCGTCGAGGAGGGTCGCCAACTTCCGACTTGGGTACCAGAACCGATCGAGAAAGAAGACGACGGTGATAGCGATGATGCGGACGTCGATGAGCCAACAATCACCTTGGTTCCGAGCCCCGTCAGAGGCGCGACGAGACTTCTGCGAATGGCGAGCAGGACTTCGACGCTGAGGAAGTCGGTCAAGGGAGGGGAAGAGCCGGCGTTTGAGTAAATTATTCCTACCAGCCGGTCGAAGAGCCCATTCACTGACGTCCTCGTCTTTGTCCCTTACAGAACCTGCCGTTCCGCTCCGGCAGCCCATCGTCCGCGGATCCTCCCCTCGAACGCGTCGCGCACCTTACCTCGAACCAACTCGTCGAACGTCTTTTCTAACCTCATCGCCGTCCAACCCTTACAACGCTCTGTGAAGTTCCGCGATTCCCCCTCCCCCCCTCCCACACCGACATCAGGGGACCGCACCGATTCCCGTGCCTCGTCCCACGCTCGATCCCAATCGCGAGGTCCCAGCCGTTCCCGCTCCGTCCTGTCCTTCTTCAACAGTTGGTCCAGCTCACTCTCCCGAGCTTCTACCCCTTCATTCTCCGTCGATAGTCTCGCCACTTCGGATGCTTCGAATGTCTATCAATCGGAGGAAGAGCTTGCTTACGAGCGGATGAAGAAGAGTGCGAATGCTCCCAAGGGGGCTAAACACGGCACCAAGTGGAGGAGCGCGCTCAAGAAGCTTTTCTAATCTGTCCGTATCGGCGTGCGGAGATGATCCGTCGGAGACTTTTGTCGTCTTGTTCATAGTGGATCCGTAGATACCTCTTCTTCCCCCGTGTTGCCCTCTTCCTCCCGATCGACTTCGTCCCTTCCTGTTCCTACTTCCCTCATGATCTTCGTCATAACGTTCTTATCCGCTTTTTATGACTACCGCCTCACGATTTATGCCTCTCTTCATCTATGCTCGTACATTAGAATCACCGTTGCGCATACAAAACACTCCCATGCAGATCCGATAAGCATAGAGAGAGAGAGAGAGTCATACCGATGAACGGCTTAGAGATGCCGATCAAGACGACTTTAGTTTACCGAGTTCGCGTTCGACCAACGGCGTGGCCCAGTCACGAAGTTCGACTTTCCTCTGTAGAACGTAGCTCGTTATTCTTTCAGTAACACATGATGACTCCGCTTCGTATCCAGTTCGACTGCAATGAACTCACAATTTTGCCGCTCGCGGTCTTAGGCCATTCGGTTCCGACCCCATCTTCGCCGAGGTACCAGACCCAATCGATTGGGATCCGCAGCAGCTTCTTGACGTGGTCGCGCACCATCTGGCTCGTCACGTTCCGCCCAGCTTTTGTTTTGGCTCGTTCAATGAATAACCCGACGACCTCGCCCATGATGGGATCGGGAACGGCGATGGCGCTGCGCAAGAGTGAAGAGTGAAGGGTCAGTCCGATCGATACGCAGGTGCACACCACCAAAGCACCGAGGACTGACTAGACATCCTCAATCCCCTCCAACAACATCGTCCTCGCTTCAATCACCACGGGGAACAAATTTTCCCCGCCCCTCAAAATGATATCCTTGATCCTCCCTCGGATCTTGACGTACCCTTCCTCATCCATGGACGCCAAATCACCCGTACGTAACCATTTGACCCCATCTTTATCGTAAAACACCGATTTTTCCGTCTCAGCCGGGTTCTCGTGGTACGAATGCATGACGAGGTAGCCGCCCGAGAAGAGCTCTCCGGGGGAGTTGACGGGGAGGGAAGGTGTTTCGGGCGAGGGGTAGAGAGGATGGTTCGGATCGACGATCCGGGCATGGGTGTGGGGTAAGATGCGTCCGACGGTAGTGCATCTCAGCTCGAGGGGATCGTGGATCGTGGACATGAAGGATGCAGGCTGATCAGGTGTACCATGCAATATCGAGGGATCAGCTCCTACCGCACAAATACAATTATTCTCAATCCAGAATACGACTCACCGAAGTCTCAGTCTGACCATACGTAATCGTCAAATCCTTGAGGTTCATCCGCTTGACCAACTTGCGCATCACCTCATCGGGCACCGGACTACCCGCCGCAATGCCTGTTCTTAAGCTCGGAAATTCAAGTCGTCCTCCCCCAGGTGGGACGAGATCGCTCAACCCGGGCACGTCCTCCCCTTTCTCCAGTTTCTCCAGTAGACCCAGTTCGACAATGAACATTGTAGGTACTCCGTGGATCGCAGTGGCTTTCTCGAGGTAGGCTGCGCGAAGAACTTGGGTCGCATCGAACGATTCGGAGGCGACGATGATGCATCCACCGTGGGTCCAGAACGCCAAATTGCCGAGAACGAGACCAAAGCAATGGAAGAAGCTGCATTGGTGAACACTAGTCAGCTGTTGATGCTTTTTTCCAAATCGAGCTGCTTATTCCACTCACGGTGGCGCATTGATCAATCTTTCGCCTTGCCACCCTTCCTTGAGATCGGGTGGTCGAAGGTGCATACAGTCCCCGATGAGAAGTCCGTTGTTGAGAATGTTGTTATGCGTCAGCGCCACGGCTTTGGGATTCCCAGTCGTCCCCGAGGTGAACTGATGGTTGACGACGTCCTCAACGCTCTGACCTTCCACTTCGAGTGTAGTTCCCGCAGAGCTCCAATCGAACCAATGTCTTGCATCGCGTCCCGTGAACCCTTCTTCTTCTAACATCTTGCCAAATTCCACCGCGCCTAGCTTTGTGTTGTCGACGATGACGATCTGTTTCAAAGTGGGGCACACCTCATCATGCAAATCCTGATCGGCCGGGGTCGACGCGAGGGCAGGGAATAATTGCCGAAGCATAGGGAGATGACTGTTCCTCCGAATCGTCGGCGAGATGAATAATGTCGAGACTCCTGACAGGTTGAGGGTCACCAGTAGTTCAGGAGCCGGTGCGGAAGGGTTGATGCATACGAGCACGGCGCCAATCTGGAATCGATCGGGAGATCAGAATCTTCATTTCCCCACTCCGGAGAAAAAGACCCCATCCCGCCGCATGGATGGCACAGTACTGACCTTGGCTGTGGCCCATTGTAGAAGGGCATAACATGAATTGTTGCCCAAGAAGACACCAATACGATCGCCCTTTTGTACGCCATGATTGCGCAAGCCTCGAGCAAGCGCGTCGATATTACGATCCATCTCGTCAAATGTCCAACGGATGCAGTCCTCGTCGGCGGTGACCCCACCTGGGGCCGAGGACGGGGAGTGGATGTCGGCTCTCTCATGGCGTACGACGAGGGCCGGTGATTGCGCATAGTCTTTTACGAGCTGGGACCAGAATTGCGGTAAGGTGACATCGAGTAAAGGTCGATCGGTTGGGCCGCGGGTATGGGACAAACCGTCGATCGGGGTCGTGTACCGTCGTGTCGACGAATGGAAGGCACGTAGCAGTCGCGCGGTCTCGCCGGGCAAGTGGGTTGTCGCGCGAACACGACCATGACTGATCGACAGGGCGATAGGATAGTGGTAGTCGAGGATAGGAGGCAGGACGCGGTGTTGCTGCAGTGACTCAGGAGAGCGGTTCGTCGCCGTTCGGGTCGGCGGTGGCAGCTGTGCGGGGCTGCTTGCGAGCCGTAGCGCTCGCCGCGGCGTGGTTCCGGGCTCGGAGCATGTGGGGGGACCCGCGCGCGATGCGGGGGGATGGCGGGGAGTGCTCGAAGGTGGAACAGCAGTCGACGATGACCATGAAGGTGCAGCTACCCAGACGGGTCCAAAGCGATGCATACACCGACTAGTCGAAGACCTCACCCGAGGCAACATGACCGGGAAGGGAGGTGAACGTGTCGCATGAAGGCTGAAGTGGGAGCGAAAAGGTCGACAACCGAGAAAGCCGCGGGGTATGAAATGTGCGGCGCTTCGATACCCTCGATCATCCACCCAACGAGCTCCAAAGTGTGCAGCTTACAGGCGCAAATGCCGGTCCGCCGGCCGTTTCTTTCGAAGACTCGATTCGGAACTCGGTCACCGCGGCTGCATGCCGCAGCTCGGCCTGGCGCGCGCTAAGTCAAGAAGGTGCCGCCCCACTTGCGGATAAATCGCCGCGGCCTATGCAGTGTGTTTTATTCACGTAAACACGGGTGCAAAGAATGTACAACAATCGCATCATCATTAGTCAGACCCAATCCGCTTTGACCAGGTAGAGTATCAAGAATACTATCTATTTCTTCGCCGGCCCCTTACTCCCTGCACACGCAGCAGCGGCCTGTTTCAACTCGTCGAAATTGCCGCTCGACTGACACAGGTCGTAAAAGGCGCTCTTTTGGTTCTCCAGCAGTCTGGTCGGCGTGTCGAACTCGACCACTTTGCCATGCTCGAGCACGAGGATCCGATCGAAATCGATCACGGACTCTGCAAGAGGGCGAGAAGAATTATAAGAAAACGTATGATGAGCGAACCGGTCGCAGGACAACTCTAGCGAGCCGTTGAGCTCTTGAGAGGCTCGCAAGCCCCACGGGGAGAAAGAAAGGAGTGGGAAGGTGAGCGCAGCACCGATCGTCAAGCTTACCGAGTCGATGAGCGATCGTGAGGTTCGTGCACCGCTTGAATTCGCTCCGAATCACCTCTTGCAACGTGTTGTCCGACTCATTGTCCAGGCTCGCGGTGGCCTCGTCGAGGATGATGATCTTGCTCGAGCGAACGAGCGCCCGAGCGAGGGAGAGAAGTTGCCGTTGACCTGTCGGACCCAATGATCATCAGTCAACGAAAATCGCACGAGGATTACCGCCATTTCCTTACCTTGGGAGAAGTTTGATCCGCCGGTCTGAACGACCGTATCGAGCGACATCCCCTTATTTCTGTTCTTGGCATCCCCTTCATGGCCCGCGAAACCGGACCTCTGAACCGCAGCCCACAACACAGCATCATCATACTCCTCATTCGGATCCAAGTTGGACCTCAACGTCCCACTGAACAACGTCGGGTCCTGAGGGATCAATGTCATGCGCGATCTCAAGGCCTCGAGGTTCGTTTCGGAGACCTTGCGGTCGTCAACGAGGATCTCCCCGTTTGAACCGATAATGAAACGCAACAAAGCGAGCGACAACGAGCTCTTGCCACATCCAGAAGGTCCGACGATCCCAATCTTTTCTCCAGCTTTGATCTTGAACGAGAGTTCATGAAGGACATCTGGTCCGTCGTGCGAATAACGGGCAGAGTACTTATTGAACTCGATCGATCCCTCAGGCCAGTCCTTGGGTGGGTCACCCTTGCCCGATGTCTGCACTTCTTGCTCGATATCGCTATATTCGAGGATGCGTTGGACGCTATTCAGCGATAGCTCGTTCTTGTTGATCGCTCGCACGACATAGAGGATGCGATTCGTGAACTGTGGGTCGACATTTCGCCACTAGTCAGCTCCAGCCATCTCCGCCAACTATGGATCGTGGAATAACCCACCTCTAACCCTGTCGAAACCAAGAAACCGGTGATACCACTGCTCAAGCCAGCCCTCAAGGCAAGCAACCCAACGATGAACGACACCGTCGCACCGACCATGTCCGAGCGCTCCTCGAGCCATCGATCCAAACCAAACTCGTAGAGTTGCATCTGATACGAAGCGGATGGCAATGGAGTGAGTAAACGAGCCACAGTGAAACACTCGGATCAAACTCACTTGGTTGTACCTATCCGTCTGGTCACGATACTGTGTTGAGAAGGCCTTTTCCCTTCCAAACGCTCGAATCGTCGTCACCCCCGTCGACGCATCCCCTAAAGTCGAAAACAACGGCGACCTGGCACTAGCGACCTGCCTCCTCGCTGCCAACGCATTGAGAATGTACAATCGCCCGAGGAAGAAGAAGATGGCCGAGATGAACGCCGCGGGTAAGAGGAAGACGGGCAAGATGACGGAGATGGTGATGGCGACGAAGAGGACTTGGACCGAATAGTCGAGCACGGGTTGCAAGTTCTCAACTTGTTCCGTATCGAGGATTTCGGTATCCTTGGAGAATCGGTTCGTGATCCGACCCTGAAGCCCAACCCCGGTACGAGCAATCAGTGCTCAACTCGTGACTGCATCCGAGGAATGGCTCACCTGAGGCGTTTCATCAAAGAACCTGAACGGCGCGCCAAAGATAGCCGATGTGAGCCGTCCATGCAAAGTTCGTGAAGCACGAATGGCCCCAAAAATGAGAACGAGGTACATCGCCGTCAGGGACAAGGCTGAGGCGAGTTGAATGAGCGAGTACAAGGTAAAGTAGGCGACTTTGCGGCTGTCGCGATCCTCGGCGTTGACCCAGCGACCAATGAACCATCCCTTTGGAAGAACAAAGAACTCTAAGTCAGCCTTTACCGTAACGCATCACGTGGCATCAGATAGAGCTTACCTGAGAGAGCATGAAAACGTGCGCTACAAGGTTGACCAACGCATACAAAGTCCAAAACACCCAACCGCCCATCACGGTGAAGTACTTTTTGTACACGCGAAACGAGATATCCGTCCCTGCATCCCCCTCGTCAGCACCATGAAGTTTCTGCTCCTGTTCCTTCTTCCTACTCGCAGCCTCGTCCTCTTCTTTCTTCGATTTGGGGACCCTTTGATCAAAAGATGAGGTCGTAGATATGTTGGAGCTTGTCCTTCGCATCCCTGGAGCATCGCTAGGTGAGAGATGCTTCTTGTCCCTCTTCTCGGGCGTCTCGATCGATTCGATCTCCCCATCATGCAGCGTAACAACGTGCTCGCAATTCTTGATCCGTCTTGTGCAAAGTTTGACGAAATGAGTGACGAGCACGACCGTACGACCGGCCAAGAGGGGTCCGTTGAGGCAGTTCTCAACGACGGCGGCAACGGTGGTGCTGTCGACCGCACTGAGGACGTCGTCGAGCAGGACGATTTCGGACTGCGAGTAGACTGCTCGGGCGAGCGCGACGCGCTGTTTTTGACCTCTGACAGCAAACCCAATACATCGATTAGATCGAGAATCCAGAATGTCCAAATCAAAGTGTAGAGGCACTGACCCGCTCATCGAGACACCCTTCTCTCCTACCCTTGTCTCATCCCCCTCCTCGAACCCTTTCAGATCTTCCTCCAAACTACAAGCCCTGATCGTATCCTCGTACCTCTCCTTGTCGTACTTCTCCCCAAACAATATATTCGCCTTGACCGTATCATCCAATAACCAGGCTGATTGCGCCGCGAAACTCGTCTTGACCCTCGCGGGGAACTTGACCTCTCCCGAACGACGATGCAGCTCCCCTAAGAGAGCGAGCAACAAAGCCGACTTGCCCGACCCAACGTCGCCAGCGATGATCGTCGTCTTACCCATCGGAATCGTCAGATCATTGACGAAGAGTTCGAAAGGCTGAGATCCTTTCGAGTTGTAGCGCGAGAAACGGAAGACGGCGTTCTTGAAGGAGATGGTGTCGCCTTCGAAAGAGCGAGGGGAGGAGTCGAGTTCTTCGGTGTCGGAGAGGAAGCGGGTTATGCGGTTCAGCGAGACCTTGGCTCGCATGAAAGCTGAAAGGAGATACGTCGAAGAAATGACCGCTTCCCTCAAGAGACCGAAGAGGGACATGCTGGTGAACGCCGTTGATGCTGTCAAGGTCTGCGCGTAACCCCCTCATTAGCGGCCATGCTCAGAAGCAACGTGGATACCCACTCAGACTCACCTGCTTCATCCCAAAGACATACGCTCCAAAGGTGCTCAAAGTAACGACCATTGGAACCCCGGTCGACAACCCCATCATCCCCGCATAAACCTTGGCCCTCTTGGTGATCCTGCCCAACTCAATCTCCCTCGCCTCATAAATCTTACCCATCATTGACTTCTCCCACGCGAACATCTTGATGATCCTCACGGACGAAACGAGTTCCTGAACGATCGTGATACGCTTGTCCGTAGCTTTCATGATCTCTTCTTGTATGGCGCCGTACTTGCGACTGACGATCGTGCTCATCGGGGCGAACGCGGCGATCGAAGCCAAGGCGATGAAGGCGGACCAACCCAAGAGGAAGTAGAGGAACAACAACGAGACGAACAGCTTGGGCAAGACGCCGAACAGTTGCAATGAGGTCGTCAAGGAGCTGGTAATGACGTCGATGTCGGTGCCGACGAGGTTGTTGACCCTGCCGACAGCCTCGCTTCCGCCCGATTTGCTGCCCGAAGACGTGGGGCTCGGCGCCGAGTCGGTCGAAGCTCCGTCCTCGGTCACCTCCTCGTCTGGCTCATCTTCATCATCCACATCTTCGCCATCTTCCTTTGATCCTCCTCCTCCAGCTTTGACCCGCAGCAACTTCTCGAAAACGGCGTGACCCAGCAGGCCCCTCAGTCGCAGCCCAATCTCGCTCAGCCGATAAGTCGCCCCTTGGTAGGCGGTCGAAGCGACGATAGGAGCACCAAAGATGCCAAACACGAAGAGGTAAGGCGAGACCTTTGTCGTATCTTGACCTTGTACGTATCGCAACAACAAATTCATTGAGAGAGGCGAAACGAACAACGCGAGGACCCAGACGGTCGCGAAGCAGAGAATCTTGACCAACTCGATCCGGAACGTCCACATGAAGGCCCGAACACCACCAATCGTGTTGACGCGTTCTTCGTCGTTGGCCGAAGCTCGGGGTTCGTCACCCCTCCATCGAAAGTGGTGTAGGACGTGTTGGGTGTGAAGGACGTCGGGGAGGACGGGCACGTATTTGAGGAAATCTTCGGACGCGCTCGTCGAACTTGATCGGCGCGAGGAGCCGAGGTAATACCGGATCATGCGAAGTTCAAGGAAAGTGAAAAACAGTCGCGACAAGGGTGATGCGACTTGGGCTGGGTGGGGTTTTGCCTGGTCGGGGGTTCACATATTTTCGCGGATGGGTTAGCACCTATTCCGGGACAAACACGAGTGGCCTCTGCTTGCAGAGCTGAGGCTGACCTTGGGCAACACGGGCGACCAATCAGGCGGCGTCGAAAGAACGATCAAGAAGAGCGCCGCCACGACCGCGGTTTGTGCCATTCCAAGCGAGCTGACGGCCGATGCGTGAGGTCGGGACTGCAAGAAGTAAGGCAAGATCTGTGAAGAGAAAGAACCGCGTCAGTCATTGCACCATTGGCATCTGCTCAGCCTATCAGCCTGGAGCCCCACATGCCGGCCTCGACCGGACTCACGTGACGTATCGCGAGGAAGACGAGTGAGATGAACGCGAGCGGGCCTTGTTGCAGCCTCGACAGCGACGGGGGCACGACGTGGAGTACACCGAGTAGACTCAGTGAAGTCAGATAGACCTGTACGGTAGTGATCAAACCATGAAATCAGTGCTCGGTGTTGGGAGAGCTGCCTGACCTCCGCTCTTCGCGTGCGGAGGCATGTTCACTCACCGCGAGCACGATCAACTCGACCTCCCATAGCACAAGCCATGTCGAAGCATGCGACTCGACCGAAAGCTTGGCCGTCGTGACCCCCAACAAACCAGCCAATAGCATAAGTCGTGCTGCTTCTCGAATCCACTGCGCGAGCGAGGGTCGTTGATCGTCCCCATCCGTGTCATCGTCATCGCGACGTTCGTGCTCGTCCTCGTCGCTATCATCCAACAGCAAGTCGTGTTCCGGATGATTATTCGGGCCGTTCTTGGGATCCTCTTTAGCACGAGCTGCATCGCGAATTGAAGCATAGACGGACCATACGGACACGCTGAGCGAGATCAACAAGGCCACAGCCAGGACGATGACGACCGCCGCGCTAGGTGGGGACGACGATGATGGCAACGACGACGACCGTGACAGATCAGATGCGGGATGCTGCAGCAGAAATCCCGGGCCTGACGCCGCAGATGCATCCATAGTCATACCGTTGGCGTCGATCAAGATCGTGCGCGACTCGGATCGTCACGAATTGGAGATGGGGCAGCAAAGGCAAACGAGAACTCGGAAGCCGGCCGGCCGGTTGTCGCGAATGTGCTCGATCTCTCTCGATCGATCGAAACACGTGAAGCCGTGGACGCGGCCGGGAGGTTTCACGGAAAACTCGTGCCTTGAGCTGGAGCGCATTCCAATTCGCAACTACGGTTTCAGTTTACCTCGAGAAATGAACGCTTCTATATCGTACTGTGAGGAGTCCTGATGATCGATCGTTTATTCCGATGTCGACCGTCGCGATCTCGGATCTCGCCGACTTCGAGCCAGGGGGCCACCACGACTGCGCATCCGTCACGAGAATATATGGGTAGCGAAGTATAAGAGTTTTGATTGCACTGAAAAGATGTCGTAGTGTCTAATCGAACTGAGGAAGCAAGTTGAAGCCACAACAAAAAAAGAAATCGCCACTTTGAAACGGGTTGGGGATAAGTCATCGAGACCTGGGGGATGGGGGAATGGGAGAAAGAAAGGATGCCAGGGAATGGGAGAAAGAAATGATACGAAGGAGATGACGAAAGAGGCGAGGAATGTTACGAGTTGGGAGGTGTTGAAACGATTTGAGAAGAGAATTGTCTATGAGAGTGGATTGGAACAGACCAGCTCGAGTGTTGTCGCGGTTGAGCAGGTTCAATGGTCGGCCTGGAGGCGTTGCGACCTTCGGTGCTTGGCGAAGCGCTTGGAGCATTCCTTCTTGCACTCCTCGCAGTCGTCGTAAGAGCCGCTACCTCCGCCTCCACCTCCTAAAAGAAGGGGCAGAAAGAAAGTTCAGTTCGTTTCGTTGTCCGAAAAGGGGTAAATGCAGGCTGACTCACCACCACCTCCACCTCCGCCGCCGCCGCCGCCTCCTCCTCCTCCTCCGCCAGCGCCACCAGCGCCTCCTACAAGAACGGGGTTCACAAGCACCATGTCAGTAAGCTTCCCACTTTAGAAAGCCATCAAAATTAGTGACTGACCGGCACCACCACCACCACCACTTCCTCCTCCACCTCCACCGCCGTTCTTGTGCTTATGATGCCCATGAGCACCCCCCGGCGAACCTCCCGATTGCTCAGGTTGACCGGGTTGACCGGGCTTTCCGGGTTTTCCGGGCTGTCCGGGTTGTCCGGGTTGTTCCCAGCTTCCCGAGTCGGAGGGGGGGCCCGGGGGAGGGCCAGAGGGTGGCGAGCCGGAAGAAGGGTACGAGCCGGAAGAAGGGTACGAGCCGGAAGAACTTGAACCTCCACTGGATCCCTTCCACCACGTGCACTTGGTCCTTTGCCATTGTGGAGGAGGAGTCCAGGAAGGAGGGGCGGTGTAAGAAGGGCAGGGTTGCCAGCCGTGGTTGCTATGATGTTTGAGAACGAAGCGAAGGTGAGTCATGTTGATTTGGAGTCGGGAGGGTTTAAAGAGGGAGACTTACACTCCGTAATACTTCCATCCGGACGAGGGGAAGTAAGAAGGGCAGCCATTGCCATTGACGTCGTAGTCGTAACCGTCGTTGCCCGAACCTTTTTTACCGACAATCAAAGCACATCAGTATCCTAGCCAATGAATCTCAGATGTTGGAAGACTGACCATCACAGTTGAAAGTCACCGGGCACCTAGCCCCGACGTTAAGACCACCATTCAAGGTTGCGCCGCTACCCAAGGACCCAATGGTTCCAAGGACACTGCCGGCGGTGTTGAGGACGTCACTGACGAGACCGCCGGCGCCGAGGCCGAGGATGCCGCCGGGGAGGAGCTATGCACGACAAAGACAGGGTCAGTGATGGCTGCTCAGAAACATTGGAACAGGATGAAGAATGATCAGACGTACCAAGCAGCGCTTCTTAAGCAATCCCTCTTCACCCTCCTTCATTGTCGCCGAAGCGAGACCGAGAGCTCCGAGAAGGAGCAGGTACTGAACGCGAGCGACGACCTTCATAATGGGCGTCGTCGAAAGGAGTGAAGGGTAAAGGGAGTGTGGCAAGGATGAGGAAAGGGAGAGATGGCAGTGATGTAAAGGAGAACAAGAGGTGATCCTCTTCAGATCGTCTTCATACCACCCCATGGATCGAACCCATGTGAAAAACCGTGTAGCGAGCCATCACTACAGTGGCCGGTTCACCTTAGTGCGCAGCGGGGACCCGCCGTGCGTCGGTTGCCGTCGGTGCGACTGTCTGCTCGAGCTGCCACATCGCGGGTGCCCAAGGCCGCACACCGCCCAAAAAGAGCGAGAGAGAGATCGCCCATCCCAGATTTTTCAACTACACTGGGATCCGAGTCAAATGCGATGCACCGTCCTTCATACAGCCACTCCAACCATCCGAGAAGCCAATTTGAGCGCTGAGACAAGCGCGGGCGGGTGAACGCTCGACCGTGCGTGCGCGCGCGACCGTCCGTCGCACCTGGTCGAGCGCTATCGAGAGCGATTGGCTCAGAGTACGAAGTCGTTGTGTGAAGCCGAAGCCGACAGCGGCTCGTACAACAGTCGCTGTGATGTGCAAAAGTCGATAATGGTCGCCGGAACGCCCAGTTCGTGCTCCTGTATCGGCAATCTAGACTCACTCAGACCTGCCGACTATGCGACGGGCTGCGACTCGGACGCCGGCAAAACACCGAGAGACGGCATGCACAGCATTCTGACTGATCTACCTGTCCTTGCAAACGGATAGGTAGTGATGTAACCTTATATAGTCGTACACAACATGAGAATAACGATAGAAGCGATACATGATCGACATCTTACTTCGAGTTTCCTTGTTCCAGTTTGCGCCTCTTCTCGCGCGATGCAGCGAGGGTCTCCTGAAAGCAGTCAGGAATACAGTATCGTCAGAAAGATGCCTTATAATCAGCTCTGATGGAACGTTGACGGACCTCTGACTTGATCTTTAACCACTCGCAATCGTCCTCGAACTCGCAATTCCTGCACACAAGCTCTCAACCTATCAGCCACAAGCCCACCTCCAAAGTCACCCCCAAACTAACTCAACTCACCGACAGCGAATCGTCTGCCCCACATCGACCCCTTCCGCCTCCCTCGTTCCATTCCAATACCCCTTTACGTGCTCCAACCAAGTGTCCAGTTCGAGGGGGTCGTTCTTGAAATGGTGGGTGCCGATGGTTGTTCCTTCGTCAAGATGTTCGTCGGGTTCGTCTTCGTCTTCGATGGGGTTGGAACAAGTAAGGCTTGACAACTTCGGCACAGACGAGGAAGGGAGTGACGATGTCGCCATCTCCTTCTCTTTCTCGACAACTTCAGAAACGATTGTTCCGGACGGATTGCGCCTCCGACGAAGGTTGTACCTCGGTCCAACTTCCATTTCAACCAACGGTACCGTCGTGACCCCCGATGTACCTGAATCCATCGAAGTGACTTGATCCACTTCCATCACCGTCGCATCCTCCGATTTTGACGCTTCCTCGAGCATCGGGAGTGCAAGCGTGTCGTCCGACATCCCAACGTCAGGAGCGATCGGTACTTCGTGCTTCGTGTCCACCTGACTCTCCTCTACTGCCTCACTGTCTTCCGGCCCCTCTCTGTCCTCCAAGCTCATCTCCAAAGCCCTCTCCAACTCCAACGCCTCCCTCCGATCCGTATCCGTAACCCCGTCCAAGCTCTCCCTCATCGCCCTGCCCACCCTATCCTCCTCCTCCTTCATGTCCCTCGTCCTCCTCTCTACCCTCGCTCTCTTCTTCCATCCCCAACGTCGCCTCTTCTCCCTCATGACGTAATTGATCTCCAAACAGTCCTCCAAGAAGCCTCTCCCCGCATTCGAAGGACTCATCATCTTCCCAAAATACTGCAACCCCTTTACCACCTCCCCCAACGTCCTAGGTCTGAATTCCGGAATCGACAAGCCTTCCAGGATCGGCTCGATGGATCGTACGAAGGCCTGCGCAAACTCGACATTCGGATCAAGTGAAAGATGAGCGTAAAGGCGTGTCCAATCGAATGCTTGATCACCCCGCGTCGAAGGGCTTGGATCGAGTGGTGTGTTTTCGGATCGAGGAGTGGGCTTGAGTAGTAGAGAGGTCAAAAGACGGTGGTAAAGCATCAGTTGAAGACGACTGGCCTTGGATTCGGATTCATAGGGCAAAGTCGGTGTTTTGCTTAGGATGGGAACTGTCATCAGCAAATGACGGATACAACACCCGATTTTTTCAAGCTCCACGCTCACCGAGTTTTGGTATCACTCATGATGTAACCCCACCTAGACGATGGGTTCTCAGCCGGGGGTGTCGAGGGCATTGCCGGATCGGCCACGGGAGGAGCTGGGCTTGTTTTGCTCGATGACGACGGTGATTTGAAGAATGATACGAGTTTGCGCTGAGATGTATCGACCTCGGGTTTAGCTCCGGCGTTTTTTGTTCGAATGCTCGACGGGGTCTGTGGCTTGGACGGTGTTTTGGGTTCGCTCATCGCAGGCTTCGACTCGATCTCTCGTCGCTCGACCTCATCAATAACGCCAGAGACGAGGAACTCGCCCACGAACCCCGTCACAGGGATTTCACGCTATGATCATCAATCGTCAACATCAGGGACTGATTCCAATCACCCAGGATCTTGAGAGTGAAACTGACCGTCCTCCCCGTTCGGACCAGCGTCTCGAAGCACACGATCGTGTTCAAGAACCTCAGCGCCCACCATTCTTCCTTTCCAGCTACATCCACTTTGACGGGTTCGACGTCCCCCATGACTTGTTTCTCAATCTTGAGGTGAACGGCTTTACCCCCGTCGAGAATTTTCTCCCTTGCGACGGTTCGTGTACGGTCTATGGTGATGGTCGCGCCTGATTTGGAGAGGATCTCGGCAGGGCGTTCGAGTGGGGGTAGGTAGGATTTGGAGGCGAGTCGGTAGGTGTGTTGATACTAGATCAGCTCAAACAGAGCTTGCATCAGTGCTCTAGTAACTTGCTGTGCTGATCTTGGTCAGACAAGAACGGACCTCGCACCAGCTCGGTGCCACCAAATCAGTGACGCTCAGCGCACCCCATCCTCGTCGTTTGCGATATCGTTCCCTGCGATGTGGGAGGAGTGAATGAGCAAGATCTTCATGATGGCATTCTCTGAGAGAGCGCGCTGATCGGCTCACCACAAGCTCCTAGCATCCCTCGCTTCGTGGACTCCATTCAAGTCGTCCATCGCCTCCGCAAGGGCCTGTTCATACTCCTGGTCGATGACGGTGTTCACTTCAGGATCCAGTGGTATTTGATCCGTCGTGTTCTCTACTTGTATCTCGACCGGGGGCACAACCCGAGGTGGTGGTGTCGACTGGGTCGCATCAAGTGGGGCTGCAGCTGCACCGATCGAGGACTCGATCACGTCCAGTTGACTGGCTACGACCTCGTCGTCCCATGCCAGCTCGTCACCATAGTCGGAGATGGCATCCATTCGTGCGTCTTGGGTCTATCGAGTGCGGTGAGGGCAGGGTGTACGGCCATGCAGTGAGACAGGTCAGCCAGGGGTGTCCGCAGCGGGGCGAGTCCAGAGGCGGAGAAAGGTGGTGCCTACCTCGTTGATCATGTGTGTGACATTGTCGTTGTGCCCGTCCTGAAGCTGAAGCATCAACAGGTGAGGTCAGGTTGAGGTGGGGCACACAGCGAGAGAGGGTCCGGGGTCCGACCCGAGCTCGCTTCCAAGCCCGCCCGACCTGACGCGCGCCACAAATCCACCTCAATGCGAAAGATAATCGATGCGTCATCGTGCGCGAAGGAATGCGATGGGTCCGTGCGAGTCCGCGTGGGCGCGCGCGTGCCATTCTCAGTGCTCAGCCATTTTCTGGCAGGCGAGAGCAGGCGAGGCGGCATCAGTCAACTGCATTCTGAAACGGTGTGCTTCTGGGCTGCAGGCTTCTGCTCCCTTTCACGCCCACTCACCCATACACTCACGTGCGCCGCCCTACTTGGTTTACCTCCCATCTCGTCCCACCTCGACCAGTTCTCGGGTGCATCTCACCCCGTCCATCGTCGCCGTTGCTCGTGGTTTGTTTCGGCCCGACTCGGTGTCTTTTCCCCGACTCGAACTCGTCGCCGTCTTCCCGCGCGGCTTGTTTGGCCCTCCCCCCTAAACGCCTGTTTAGTCCCAGCCGCCGTCTCGCCGCGCTAGTCAAGTCATCCGATCGGATCGCCTCGATCGCATCGTCCCAAGACACAGCGCCCGCAGGTCGTCAAAAGCACATCCTTGACAGTTGGGCTCATCACTCGGCCCCGTAAACCGTGACTCGTCTCACTCGTCTCTTGTCTCGCCCGCGTGCGTCATGTCGTCGCAGCCACCGCAAACCAAGGTTCGTCGATCGGTCTACTCGACGCTGCATGCCCCTCCCTCCACGCGAAACACCACCGCGTGCCATCCATCCTCGCGTCGCAGGCACATCCTGGGTCAAGGGTCAATCCACACCATCACGATGTGCTCTTTTGATGGTTCACTGCATTCACTTTCTGGAATGACTCGCCGCACTGCCTCCGCACGCGAGAGCGCGAAATGACCAAACATGCTGACCCCCCCCCCCCCCCACGCTCTCTCCTCTTCCTCCGTGGCCAACGTCGATCGCCGATCTCAATCCGACTCTCAATCCATCCAACACACGATACACCCACAAACAGCCCTTGAACAAGCCGCGTCGAGCCGTACGTGCCGTCGTCTCCGGCCTCGGGGACGAGAACGCCGCTTCGTCCCTCGCCGCTGCCCAAGCACCTCGATTGGCCGGCAAGTCCTCCACCACCTCGTTGCGTGTCGCTGGTGCAGCCGTCGGTACTGCCAAATCCGTACTCGGTGCGACGAACGGCCATGCACACGGAAAAGCCTCGTCGATCAGCACCGTCGGTCAACCTCGACGAGCGTTGGGTGACGTATCCAACGCCACGGGGCCTGCAGGTCGCGTAAGTTCATCACCCAACTCGATGCTCATGCACGACAACCGCTCACAACCATTCTACTGTACACAGGCGAACGCCGATCGAACATCCAAAGATTCGTTATCGCTCGGCGTAGCAGGTAAACCCACCACCGTCGTCGGTACCTCTCGAACACGAACCAGTTCGGTCCCCCTATCCCAACAAGCCCAAACCGCTCCTCAACCGCCTTCCTCAACGGGAACAGGCCTCTCTCGATTACGCATCGGGTCGGGTAACGTCGCTGTGGGAGGTCCGAGTAAAGCTCGTCGAGTCCCCAGCGCCGTACCTGCGGAACCTCCGGTGGGAGGGTTGAAGGCCCCCGGTGGAGCTTTGAGAGGTGCGGAATGGAATGGCGCTTGGGGAGGCGAAGGCTCCAACCACCATGCTTCTGGATCGAATGCTGCTTCGATCGGTCTCGGGATCGAGATGAATGGCCACTCGCTCGCTTCGATGATGTCCAGTCCTTCGATGAGTAACTCGCTCAAACAAGGCCACCATCTCGACCTCGAAGACGAAGACGAGGAGACGCAAGCTCTAATCGATCACGAGAACGGTGGGCTTTACCACGACAATCTCGAGATCGACGAAGATGAGGATGATCAAGAAGGGGAAGACGAAGATGAAGTCATGGATCCCGAGGATTGGGTCCGTAATGTCGATCAGGAGGACGAGATCGAATCGGAAAAAGTACTGGATTTGATCCGTCGCGAGTTCGATGAACAAGTCGATTATTGGGACACAACTATGGTCGCCGAGTACTCGGATGAGATTTTTGCTTACATGTCCGAACTGGAGGTATGTCGCTGTCTCGAGGAGGGAGTCTCTGACACTGGGCAACGTTGACTGACTACTTCATTGGCGGTGAGTGTATAGGAAACGTGCATGCCCAACCCTCGTTACATGGATCATCAGAGCGAGATCGAGTGGTCAGTCCCAAGTCTCCTCTTTCGACTATGCTCCACCGGAACTAGGAATGAACTCACACCGGTACCAACCCTTGCTCCAGGCCAATGCGAACAACTTTGATCGACTGGCTTCTCCAAGTGCACATGCGCTACCACATGCTTCCCGAAACGCTCTGGATCGCCATCAACATCATCGACCGCTTCCTGTCGAACCGCGTCGTCTCATTGGTCAAATTTCAACTCGTCGGTGTCACAGCCATGTTCATCGCAGCCAAATACGAAGAGATCCTCGCCCCTTCCGTCGAAGAATTTGTGTTCATGACCGAGTCCGGTTATACCCGGGACGAAATTCTTAAAGGGGAGAGGATCATTCTCCAATCCCTCGAATTCAACATCTCTCCGTACTGTTCGCCTTATTCATGGGTGAGGAGGATTTCGAAAGCGGATGATTACGACTTGCAGACGAGAACGTTGAGCAAGTTCCTCATGGAGGTTACGTTGTTGGATCATCGATTCTTGAGGGCCAAACCGAGTATGATTGCCGCGATTGGGATGTACCTTGCTAGGAGGATGTTGGGTGGCGATTGGGTAAGTCTTTACTGCCGTCCTTGCTCGCGTACGTTCCCCAGAGCTCGACGAACTCATCCCCTTTGTTCTTGATGGCCCTCAGAACGAATCCTTCATCTATTACTCCAACTACACCGAACCTCAACTATTCGTACCCACGGGATTCCTCCTCGAATCCATCGTCGCGATCGATTTCGATCACAAGTTCGTTTACAAAAAGTATGCGAACAAGAAGTTCCTCAAGGCTTCGATCTTTGCGAGGAATTGGGCAAAGGCGAACGCGTTGCAGGAGTTCAATGTCGACGTACCGGGAAGCGCTTAGAGTTCCAAGGTTGTAGGCTTTTCGTCGGGGGGAAGGGGGGGCTTGGCGTCGCATTGGTTTTTTTAACTTGTTATTCGTTTTTTTTGTTTCTTGTTTTTTTCGTCCTTTCAGCTCTTCTGACGTTTTACATACCCTCTTGTTTTACACACAAATCACATCTCGTTTCTTACGTATGCTCTCTCACAACCTTACACCATTTTGATGAAGATGGGTCAGATTTATCACCAGCAGATTTAGGACGCATTGACTCCAATTCGCTTCTGCCGTGAGCTCCGCGATCTTACCGCAGAGGCATGTAGTTAGAACGAAGGGGTGATGTCATTATGGTGCAGATCAAGAATCTTCATAGCCTTACTGCCCACGACGTAGGAACCCAAACGGCAGGTGGGACAAAGTTTTCAGGCGGCCCTCATTAGTAGGCACGAGCTAATAGTGCAAAAGCGGACTCGGAGAACTCGCGGTCGAATAGCTTGGGCAGGTTCACCTTCCTCTTCGTTTACTTCCAGGCTGGTTTGGCCTGGCGACTTCCTTGCCACACTCTCCGACCGTCGAACCCTGCTAAGTGGGCCGGCTACATCGAGCAAAAGAGAGAGTTTCGAGGTATTAAAGATGTTTGTTTCATCGGCATATAGTAATAAGGTTCGAACTAAGTTGTGCATATCGAAAAACGAAAGTGAGTAAGCATCTGAACTAGCAAAATCATCATTGAAGCGAGGCTTTCATTCTGGTGAGAAGAAAAAGCAGACGCAAGAAGGCAAGCCCAGTCAGTGCCCCGACAAGCAATCAGACCCGATCAAGCTTGACCGGCAGTGCTCACATATCCTTGATCATCTTCTTCAAGCTCTTGCCATTCTTCTCCGAATTCACCTCCAACCAATCCTCCATCAGTCCCCTAACCCTGCCCACCTCTTCCGTGATAGGTAACTTGCCCTCCATCCCTTTCACCGAACGAGGGTTCAACAACGCCTCAAACATCTGCGTCCACAAGTCGGCTTGGTGATACCTCCTAAAAGGTTGTTCAATGACTTGTCGTTTCGTACCCTCCTCGCCGACCAAACGCGTTTCGATCGGTTTGCCGAACAACAAAGTGAAAGCGATACCCGCCGCTCCGAAATAATCCGGTTCGAACGTCCATGCCTCTCGTTCCCTCATCTCCAAACAATCCCCTTGATCGGCTTGGAAAGAACATATGAACGTCTGTGTCTCGGGGTAGGTGGAAAGGTCGAGCGTGCGTCCGAAATCGATCAATTTGAGACCTTTGGCGTCCCATGCTCCTGCACCTGTTCGGTCGTAGCGCGAGGACCAGTTGCGAGCGGGGTTGGGAACGTCTTCGAGGCGAACGAGACAGTTGTCGATCTTGAGATCACCATGCACGAAACCTGCTCGATGGAAGCCTTCGAGTGTGCGCAGCAATTCGACGACGAAGAACATGGCTAGGATCTCGTCCACTCCTTGTGCGGCACCTCCTGTCGCGGGTGCGATGCCCAATTCATTGGCGTTGTTGACTGCATCGAGCAAGGAGCCTTGCGTGCACACGTGGAGGAAGAGGTACGATTCATCGGCATAAGCGTCCAATCGACTCGCAGCGACGACACTCCTCCTGACCCTTTCGTCCAAACGCGAATGTAATCGATCGAGAATATGGAACTCCCACAAATTCGTCGGCCGTTCAATCTTGACCGCCACAGTCGTCTCCTCCGCATCGTAATCGAACGAAGCGTCCGGATCATCATCTGAAGCGGTGGGCATCGCAGCTCGAAAGACGGACCCAAAAGCGCCTTCACCTAGTTTGGCTCGGACGGGGTAGGTTTGGTCGTCGAGACGGAATTCCCATACTTCGTCGAAAGTGCCGGTACGGTCTTTGGATTTGTTCTTCCCTTCGCGCTTCTTGGCCGCTTTTTGGAGTTGCGGGAGGTTGTTGATCGAGAGCGTTGTTCGATCACGGACGTTGGGGTGCGAGAGGATGGGAGGGTCAGCTGCGGCAACGGCTTGGGCGATCGCGGCGTCGGACCAGGGGTCAATCGGATCGAGTGATGAGGTCGAGACGAGGGACGAGCGAGTCGTCGGATCAACAACCATCCCAGACGTCATGCCAGTCTGATTGCCCGTGATGGTCAATCCCTCAGGTAGCGAAGTATTGACCGACGCATCGTACGAGTTTTCCGTCGAGGGGCGACCACTGCTCGTCTTGGGTAGATCCGTTTCCTTCCCAACCAACGACGGTCGACGCCACTCCTGCGGCTGCGGTGCCTCGACAGGAACCTCAAAGAGTGAAGGAGCGATCGACACCTGTCTCGAAGGCGCCAGTTGCTCTTCCTCGTCCACCGACGAACTCGTTCGACTGCTATTCGAAGTCGAGTCATCCTCCTCCTCACGCTGTGCCACACCACCCAAGAACCCGTCGAAAGCCTGGTTCGCCACTTCACCTTCCTCCTCTTCTTCCTCGTCATCCTCAGTACTAGGTTCCGAATCGGTCTCATCCTCGTCCTCTTCAACCGTAGCAGGGAACGCCGAATCCCTCCTCGACCTTTGACTCGTCGACAACGAACTGAAAGCCGTGTACTCGCCCGTGCGTTCCGTGATCGGCGTCATCGCGTGAATGAAGGGTGCATAACGATTGGGTACACCAGCAGGTCGACGACCCAACGAAACTCCGATACGATCGGAACCAATCTTTCCTTCGTCGTCCGTATCGAAACCATGTGCAAGAGGGGCTTCGAACTCCTCAAATGATTCATCGACCCTTTCGTCCGGTTGGGAAGAAGGGATAGCTCCATTATCGTGCGCCGCGAAAACGCCTTGAGGTTGTTCGTCCTTATGAATCGCAAACGTCAACGCCGACTTTTCTCCGAAAGGTGCTCGAGAAGGTTTGAGAGTCATAGGAGTAGGAATAGGTCGATCGTTCAATCCTGCTTGATGGGTCGGTAAAGCATCTCGGAACAATTGCATCGGCCTCGGTTTGGCCACCACGATCCCTTCGTTCTCATCCCCTGCACCATACCCCATCAAACCCAACGAAGTTCCTCGTTCACTCGACTCTGACTCCTCTCTCAATTCCTCCAATTGAGAGAACTGACTCGGCCCAAACAAGCTATCCTGCATCTGACTAGCCGTTTGCGAGAAAGGTACGAAAGGTGCGTCCATTTCGCTCGCCGTGGACGATTGCGAGGTCGCTCCTTGAGAAGTGAATTGGGACATGGCGAGGTCGAGTTGAGAAACGGGGAGATCGGCCCAAGCGGCGCGGTCATTCTCGACGTCCGAGTCTTCGGTAGAAGGTTCGGAATCCGAACCCGAGTCGGAACCTTCGTTCGTACGAGGTTGGGCTCGGTCATTGAAGTTGAGGGTTTTCGCGAAAAGGCCATCGATCATCGCTTGGGCTTCACGCGTGTTGATGGTAGGTGAAGGTTGACGCCTCGTATCGACGGGTGAAGAAGAGTCTGATCGATCAGGCGTCGAGGACGAGTCTCGCAGAGGTACAGAGATCGGTGAAGAGGTGACGACCTGTCGAGAGACGGGAGGGGAGAGCGAAATGGACGAGACGAGTCGTACGGGTTCGCTTTGCGTCGAAGGTACATCGGCGAGGGTGATGGTCGAGAGTTGCAGCGTGCTATCACTCGAAGGGAGGCGCGCAGGCGATTGAACGGGGCTGACGACGGTCGCTTCAACGGGTCGAGGGAGGAAGTCGTACAGAGGAGCTGTTCGGTCTCACTATCTCACGTCAGCTCTGCAAAAATCGACCAGTGAACGACCGTGATCTACGTACCCTGCGTCTTGAGATCATACAACCTCGGATATCCCGTCCCCAGATCCCTCTCAAATGACTTATTCCCCCTCCTCATCATCTCCTCACTCCAAGCCTCCGTCCACTCCCAACCTATCCAACTCATGACCTTTCCACCCCTCTTCTTCATCATCAACTCCTCGAAACTGAACTCGGATTTAGAATCGGGGTAAATGGCCCGCAAGTCACAAGCAACTTTTTCACTCGTTGGTTTGGGAGCGGGTTCCTTCTTTCCTTTGGTCGACTTGCTCGAGGACGGCACAGCACTCGTATTCGGAGCCGAAGCGGTGGAGGAAGCAGCGACTTTGGTCGAACTCGTTCCCGAGCCACCAGAGATGGAGGAAGCCTTGACTTTAGGTTTAGGAGGAGCGATGACGACGAGTCCATCGAGGGGATCAATGGTCGACAGGTGCGAGTCGGCGGAGGAGTAGTTCTTGAACGGGTTCTTGCGCAATTGTTCGGCTTCGCTTGGGCCTCGCATAGAGCGACCAAAGACGTCGATCGTTGGGTCGTGCAAGTGTGAAGTCAAAGTTGCGGGAGCGTCCTAAAAAATACGGTCACGAGGTTGCGACGAGTCAGTCACCGCCCCACGATGTCGTCAAAAATCGCAACCACTCACCGCATCCCTGAAAACAGTCAACTTCATCGGCGCCACCGTCTGCGCCTTCTCCAACCCCATCGGCATCGTCTCCCCCTTCCAACCCTTGGCTTCCATCTCATTTTCCCTCTTCCGACTTGCCACCGTCCCGAGATCCTTCCATTCACTTCCACCGGGGTTTTCCAATGTAGATGACGAAGGAGTCGTATCCCTGAAGATGGCGAATGCGGAAGCGCCGTTTGTGGACGAAGCGGACTGGTTCTCTTTCGCTCCTGCTGTGAACCCTCGACCCGAAAGAGCAGGTCTTGCATGAGGGTTGATGGTAGGATCGGTGGAGGTGGATGGATTGGCTCGGGGTGGGGATGCCACAGGGGGTGCGATGAGCATCCGCGCTGTGAATTCGGTGTAGCGTTTCTTGAGTCGGTCCAAGGGTGCTGCGGAGCGATTGATGCCGAGCGAGTAGACTTGGTCGGCTTGGGTCCGTCTGTGAAAGTGAAAAGGCTCGGTCAGCGCGCCCTGCTCGCTCGTCTCTGCGTTGAGACCGACATACGCGTCGCTCACCTTCCCGCCTGCTCCAAAACAGCCGCATACTCTTCATACAACATCGCCAACCTCTCCCCGACGCCTTTTGCGAACAAGAACTTGTAACAATCCTCCGGACAATCGATATGCTTGGCGTACAAATTCCACAACCTCAAATACCTCGGATCGTTGCGGTACCTCTCGTCTTGGAGGAACCGACGCGTTGATTTTTCAAGCAGCGGTACGAGTTTGTTCGCTGCGCTCGCTCCGGCGGGGTAGTTGGAGATGACGAAACGGGCGTATTGGTGGTGCACGTCCAGAGGGTCTTCGGCCATGCGTTCGACTTCCTCCAAGCTCAACTTTAACGAGTCGATTGGCGGTGTCGAGTTGACTGACGAGGTGGGAGAGGAGGAGGAAGGAGGGGGTGGTGGCCATTCGCCCGTGTTTTCATAGTAATCGATCGCGGCGATCTGGGCATCGAATTTGTGGTGTTCTTGGGCGAGTTTGGAACCGAGACCTGATCGAGTGGAGGAGGAAAGCGACGCGAGCTGGGACGCGGATCGACCGGACGCGAGGGGGAGGATGTTCTCCTTGGCGGCTTCGATGGTCGAGATGTCGACCGGGGCAGATGCCGGAGTGGCCATACTGGCGTTGATGTCGAGCTACGGCCTAGGCGAGGGAGGCCGAGATGGGAGCCCGATGATGACGGGCGAGGACGGGCAAAAGTTGAGCGACGCGCGAGCGGACCCGGAACGACCTGAGCTACGAGGGCTGTTGCGAGTCGACGTAGACGCGAGATGGGTCCCGTTGACAGTCGCCTGTACGGCGAGTCTTGTTGCGGTGTCGTAGAGCAAGTGACGATCTTCCGTCGCACTGCTCGCAGCGTGTCGGTGTGGCGAGCCGGAGCCAGCGAGCACGCCGTCGACAAACACCGCGCGAGCCTGCGCGCGCTCACGCGACGGACCGGTCACGTGACCAGACGCCGCAAGTCTGACATCATCCCATACCGTGGGTGTGGACCAGTCCAAGGAAGTTATTCGGCCCAGCGCAAAAAAAATGCTAGATCGATGTTTGTATAGTTTGCGTGCACTGCCTTCTATCCCTGCGCCGGCCGCTTTCCTCCGCGCTTTCGCTTCGCACCACCTTTGCCTCAGAGTATCCCGATTCCATTCGCGCACACCACAGCACCTCTGCGCTGTTCGCAAGTCGAGGTCGACTCCACCAGAAATCAATTTTGGATCACTAGGGCGAGCTCCTTTGTATCGTGCAGCTCGGTCAGTGTTCAGTCGACGAGGCTTGCTCCGCTTTCCGCTTTCTTCTTCGAGTCGTCGAGCTCGCCTGCGACGTGTGCATGTAAGCCACCTTCACACCTTTACGATTCGGTCGCCGTACGACATGGGGTGGCCAGCATTTACCTCGCATATGCGTGTCCCTCGCGGTCACTGACCATCCGTTTCTCGTTGACCTGGCTCCGCTCCTTCGCAGCCTCAGCCTCAGTCTCAGCCTCAGTCTCAGCCTCAGTCTGCCCAAAATGGACCACGCTACCTCGTCCGACGATCCACTGCGGATACATGACCTCATGGCCGAACACTTATCTACCCTCGTAAACGGTCACGTGTTCTCGGACTCGATCCTCACCTCCTCTGCCGCCTCGACTTCCTCTGCCCCGGCTCCCCTCCCCTCCACTTCGAACGCGCCAGCCCCAGACTACAACTATTCCATCTCGATCCCTTCCTACCCTCCCCCAACCCCGCACCTCCATTCCTCCCCCATCTCCATCCTCTCCACCCCTTCAGCAGGTCGAGGCGTATTCGCTTCTGCTCCCATCCCATCCGGTACCCTGATCGAGATCGCCCCTGTTCTCGTTCTGAGCGACGAGGAATATTATAGCCATCGCGTCGATGCGACAAAGTTGAAGGGCTATGTGTTTACGTGGAAGGGCAAGAAAAAGGAGGAAAAGGGGATGGCCTTGGCTTTGGGGTTAGGTTCGTCTTTCATTCTTAGCGTTTCACCATGATTGACAACTGACCTTTATGAACTCTATAGGCAGTCTCTTCAACCATTCCCCACGACCCAATATCAATTTTGTGCTTCACGCCGACGAATACACGATACATTATACCACCTGTCGCGCGATTCAAAAGGGCGAAGAATTGTGCATATTCTATGGCCACGATGCCCATTTCGGCCAGAATGGAGCTTCACCACATTCGACGGATTCGGATGAAGATCCTGGACCGTGGGGTGGATTGAGCGACTTGAGGTTGGGAGAAAAGGAGGAAGAGCAACGGGATTTCAAGACCAAGAAATACAAGCGAAGGGCAGGTGGAACGAATGCGAGCGCTGCAGAGGGGAGGTGGGAGGATGATATCGTCCTCTTTGATGATTTGGAATGGGTCAAGGTGACGAGGATGATCGATCCGGAAAAGATACCCTTGACGACAGGTGAGGGAATGAGGCGCTCTTAGCTCTCGGAGATCACTATCAGGTGCTGAATGGCGCCGTTCTCTCCTCCACAGTCGAGTGCTACGTCGTCGACGTTCCGGCTCGTCATGTACCCCTCGCTTTGGCATTCATCAAGCTCTACACAGAGCCTTATACCCGACATCACCCCGCCGAACTCTCGCATCTGAAACGCGTTCGACCTCTTCTCTCCGCGTCCTCGCCCAGCGTCTCGGTCCTCTTATTCCCCGTATCCTCGGCCCCTTCGAACCTCTCGGAACTTTTGGCGACTCACCAGCCTTTCAACGACGTCAACATCACCTTGGACCTCTACACCCTCCTAGTCCCGGCCACGATCGCGCGTACCGACGCCCAAGCTGAGAATTGGGGTCAGCTTTGGCCCGTTCAAACGATGCACATCAGGGAAGGACCCAAGGCCAAACCCCGCGCTCAAGGTTGGGAAAGGTGTAAACTCGAATGGGTCCGATCCGAAGCGGAGAAAGTTTGGCGAGCGGCGAAGCAAAGTCGCGATGAGAAAGGAGAGCAACCTATCGCATGTCACGTGACGGAATCCTTTGATCCTGAGATTCATTCCCCGACGAATCTTCCGAATCGACTGTCCTCTGCGCACGATACGAGATTCTCCACCTCAAACCCTCTCTTACACGCCATCCCAAATCTAATCGACTCTGTCGCTCAAATGGATCGACAAAACCTCCGCCCTCGTTCCTCCAACCCTTCCTCAACACCCCCTTACCTCCTCACAGGAATGACCTTGTTCATTTCCCACGAACCGTGTTTGATGTGTTCGATGGCGTTGTTGCATTCGAGAATCGCGAATGTTTATTATATACGCAAAGCACCGGGGTCCGGTGGATGCGGGAGCGTATTTGCGGTGCAGGAGGGGGAGGGCTTGAATCATAAGTTTGAGGTGTGGGAGTGGAGAGGGGAAGGAGGGGGGATCGGGGAGGGGTTGGAAGTGGAGTTGGATCCGTAGGTTGCTCACCACGTTGAAACGATGGCGGTCACTTGTGATGACTTTCGAGCAACTTGCGCGAGAGAGGGTCTGCGCGGTTGTCGAGTGACGAGCTAGGTGTTTCCTCCCAGTGCACGCGTCCGATGACGATCTCTTCTTCGCTCCCTCGCTGCGCTTAGGGAACCAAACTTGAAAGCGGTGCATCTTCCCCCGCTCGAACCTGTATATCATAGCCACAATCGACCCGATTTGTCGCTCCGAATTCACGCGTTGTGCCTCAAGGCCCCAAGCGTGACAAAACGTGCGCTTTCCCGCTCAGGCCCATTCCAGCCGGGCGTCCGCGGACATACATTTCCCTTGACGCGTCCGTGGCGGGTCCGTCTAGCCTTATGCTTGCGTGGGACAAAAAGCACACACCGGCCGGGAGGCCACTTCTCATTGGTCCTGCAAGGTGCTAGCGCATGTTCTATTTCGGGGTCCACCGCCCGCCGGTGAGGGGTTGTTGGTCGGTAGTAGGGGAAGGCCGTCGCACTGTTGGCTCTGCATCGCCACCAGCTGTCGGTCGGATCCGGTCCGTCGGTTCGTCAGGTCGACGCGATCACTTGGGACTACACACCGGAAAAACGGACCGGACTGTCTTTGGACGCCGTTAAAACCGCTCTAGTTGGTTGAGTTTGGTTTCTTCCTCCTTCTCATCACTCTCACCCAATCTCGATCCTACCCCATCCTTGCTCGTTCCAACATTTGAACCCCCTGTCGAGCCAGCACCTCGTTTGCTTCAGCTCGCTCTCTCGAGGTACGCTTCTCGAGGTATGCACATCTGCTACTTTCCTCCTTTCAGATGCTGACTTCTCAAAGTCTTATCACCTGCCAGCTTTCCTCTTCACACCTCCCAGATCCTCACCTCCCCCCGAAACGCCAAGATGAAAGTTCACACGCGCGTACAATCACTCCTCCTCCTCGGCGCGCTCCAAGCCCTCGTCTCCGCCTCCGCCTCCCCCGAGCTCCTCCCCGATGGTGCGGTCAGCACCCGCATGGTCCTCAAGAAACGTTGTCTCCTCCTCCCGGGTAACATCCTCGGTCTTGGTCTCAACGGATGTCTTCTAGGCGGCGGACTGCGGGATAGTGTGGGATTGGGGTTGGGTACTGGAGTTTCCCTTAATGGGGGGTTGAACCTTGGGTCGAGGTGCCCTTTGGATTTTCAGTGCGATGGTGAGTTATCTATCGTGCTCTTTTGAGGTTCATTCGATTGGGTACTGAGGTTTCGGGATCTGCGACAGGTTCGGGCAATGACGGTTACGAATACGACGTCAACGGCAATGGTTGCCCGAGCTGCTTCAGTGGTTACAAGTACTTTGGCGTGTAAGTCTCTGGTCAACGCAAACACTTTTGAGTTTGGTGGTCGACTCAATTTTGATCATCCTCTCGTCCTTCCATCTCGCAGAAACGCGGGCTGGCAACCGCCCGCCGATTTCCAATGCGGTTCCGACTGGCGTGCCCCTCCCGAATGGTACAAAACAGCCCACCACGCTACCTGGTTCTCGCCGCCGGAATCGGCCTTTGACACGACCGAAGACGATGAGTACTACAAGTTGCGTCAACGTAGTATCGATGTCGTCAAGGATCCGGAATCGGGGGCTTTGATGAGGAGGTGCTTGCTTCTCCCGGGCGCAATTTTGGGCCTTGGGAGTGGTGGGTGTTTGTTGGGCGGTTTGGGAGCGTTGGGACACACGCTTGGACTTGGGTCAGTCTTTCCTCCCTTCGATTCCAAGGGCATGGTACACTTTTACTCATCTCTACGCTCTCGTTCACCGGTGGGATGCACAGAGCGAGCTTGAACGCCGGTCTCAACCTTGGCCTGCGTTGCCCTCTCCCCTTCAGCTGCGATGGTCAGTTTATCTTTCCCCCGCTTGCGCTGCGCAATTTCCATCGTATTGAACGATCTTCTTCCTCCGTAGGCTCCGGTAACGACGGTTACACGTACGATGTCAACGGCCACGGTTGCCCGGGTTATTTCCCCAGCAGTTGGAAATACTACGGCATGTAAGTCATCAGACAACCTCGATAATCCTCCGCGCTTACCTGCTGAAGCTGACCCCGGTTGTTCCTCCAACCCCTCTCAGCAACCACGGCTGGCAACCCCCTCCCACCTACCAAGCCCCTCCCAACTGGTCCCGTCCCTCTCAATGGCGTTCCAACAAGTGCACCTGGTGGAGCCAATCCGGCGGCTCGAGCTCCGGACCTCCGTCGGGTCCTTCCTCGGGTCCTTCCTCCGGTCCTCCGTCGGGTCCTTCCTCGGGTCCTCCGTCGGGTCCCTCCTCCGGTCCTTCCTCGGGTCCTTCGTCCGGTCCTTCCTCCGGTCCTCCGTCGGGTCCTTCCTCCGGTCCTTCCTCCGGTCCTTCGTCTGGCCCTTCGTCCGGTCCTTCGGGGCCTTCTTCTGGGTACCCCGGAGCCGGTGGCAACGGTGGTAACGGTGGTAACGGCGGTAATGGTGGCAATGGTGGCAATGGTGGCAGTGGTGGCAGTGGTGGCAGTGGTGGAGGCGGCGGAAGCAGTTGGTCAGGGGGCCACAAGCCTCAGAAGCACCACAAGAACAAGGTGTGCCGCTGCGATTAGATGATCTTTGCTCGGTCATTCGCCCATTGCACTTCGAACACTCTTTTCAGTTCGCCCTCAACACGCATTCTTCTCTCATTCCCCGTCTCGACTCGTTTGTCCTCATTCCCTTCCGGTTTCTTGATCATCCTGCAACCTTTGTGACCGAAGAATTCATTTTAACTTGCCCTCACAAGCCATCCTCTGAGTAGACACTAGCCTTGGTGCAATCAGCATTCTCAGCGCTTACCCCCTATCTATGTTCCACATGATCATTTTCCGAGTTTTCAGATTCGTTGTTCTGTGTATCGAGTCGTTTTTGGCGTCTTTCCTCGATTCGGGGACTCTGTTCCTTTGCTCAGTCCTCGATACTCGTTGCGGTTGGCAGCTGTGTATAGTCAGTCTACCCGATGGATTTCTCCATATTGTGAACCATCATGACCTCGCCCTTGGTATGATTCCAATTCATCGAGGTGTTTTGGCCATTATCGGTCGAAGTAGTATTGGCGCCGCCCGGTCGTTCCATCGCCTCGCTGAGGTCGTGCCAAATGTGGTGATGTCCGACGGCGCCGGGGTGATCGAGTGATGCATGACAGCGTACCCTGCAGGTAGCATATTCCTCAAAGCAGTTCCATGTGTATAGCCGAACCAACTCGTGGATAATTCTTGTAAGCTTGAAAGCTCACAACACGTCGCGAGAGCTCAGAGAGTGTGGCGGCGTCGAAGGTATGGAAATCGACTGCATGATCGAACGACACCAACGAACCTTCTCCCCCTTCGTCGTTATCGCGGTGATAATAACCAGATCGGATCTCCCCATCACGTGGGCAGATCCACACTGTTTTACCGACAGGCCTGCGGGGTCTTTACCGTCGCGGCATTCTTCACCGCGATGTCTCGCTCGGCGATATCCTGTTCTCGCCAAGCGGTGAAGGTGTCTTTATTGGTGACGATCTCGCCATCTTTGTGGATTCCTCTTCCAGCGAAAAAGCTGGACGATTTGCCCGTTTGGTAAGTTTCTTTTTCCCAAACCGACTCTGCCAAGCTGAAGCCCACTTACAGAACATTTGACCAGGGATCGATTTCAAGTTCCACTCGCAGGGAACCTTTCCGTTCGACGCGAGTGCTGGCGGCCGATTAGAGAAAGTGCGTATTGCACCAAGCGTGGCACGGCATCGAATCGCTATTATACGTGGTTCGATTTGTGGTGATAACCCAAACTCGAGGTCCGCGAGAGCGAGACAGACCAAAGATGGAGTTTAAGGAAGCGAAGCACGAACGCTTGCGCAATGTGCAACTCATCGTCGAAACCGGCAAATGGGAGCTGTTTGAAGAGCCTTCGAAGCTTTCGACAATGCAGGGCCCGGGCCCTGAATTCTGGCTCAGAATCGGGAAAATGGCGAAAGCTTTGGTCCGATACTGTGATCCAAAGACCCTCTCCGTTTTTTTCCCGGTTCAACAAGGATTTGGTATGTGGTACCCCTCCTCGCGTAGCTCGGGGGGGGGGGTCACAGGAGTGCTCTCATGATCACTTGATCAAGGAACTGGAATATTTGAACGATAGTCTCATCTAGCGGGCGTTGTAAACAAAATCAATCGAATACATTTGTGAAGCGGAGCATCATTTATCAAATTGATCCCTGCCCGACCATCATCGCTCGGCGAAAGTCCGGGCCCGTACCCATGTCGGGGGGTGGGGGGAGGAGAGGAAAAGAAAAGAAAAGAAAAAGGGAAAATAAAAAATAAAAAAAAGGAAAAAAAGGGGGAGAGAAAAAAAAAAGAACAGAAAAGAAAAGAAAAAGAGGAGAGGGAAAGAAAAAAAAGGGGGGAAAGGAGAAGAGGGAGGGGAAGAGAAAGAAGGAGAAAGAAGGAGAAAGAAGAAGAAGAGGGAGGGGGAGGTGAAAAAGGAGAAAGAGAGGAAGTGGTGCGGAACATGTCATTTTGACAACATACATCATATTACGCAGGTATTATGCAGCTACAAAGTTGTGACACTTCTTTTGATGCCGAGCTCGGCCATTCATCTCAGCCCTTGTCAGTCCTCTACAGAACCTTCGTGATTGTGGGTCGTTCGGATCCATCTCGTCTGTCAGCCCGAAAGGCTTCCCGCAGTCCAAGCACGCCCCGTCACACCCAGTCACCGATCCGTCATCGCTTAGTTTTGACCCCTTGCGTCGACAAGTAGTTTGGCCACAGAATCGACAGTCCCTTGCCCCTTTTGTGGTACCCGCGCGCGTCAAAGCGCTGCTCGTGCCCAAGTCCGCGCTCGAACCAGCGTCGCTCGAGGCAGTTGCAACAAAGGGGCGGATGGATGACGTTGGAGGATCCGAGGCATCGACTTCTACCTCCGTAAGCCTCCCCAAGACTGGCGGTTTGTGACCGAGTAATGGCTTAGCCGCTAGCATGCTAACATCACGACCGCGGGAGGGGTCGGTAAGCAAAGCTTGAATCACTCTGACGTCGTTCCCACCCATGTTCATTGTGGCTTGAGCATTTGCCAGCGACGACCATCTTGATGCCCATGTATTGATGTGCTCTGGCATTTGTGTGAGAATTGCGCTTCAGCTCAACATTACCATTTAGTGTGACACAGACGCGACATACTTTGTAAAAAATGTCTATTCCGTTGGCATACTTGTTCCAAAGCTCGGTAATCTCGAATATCCGAAGATTTTGAGGAGCTCCCAGTCGTACCTTGCTTGAGAGATATCTGTATAGCGCTCGTTCGCTGGGTGTATGGACATGCAATACAGCGAATCGAGTACCCTGACGTTCCGCTAGCCAGTCGTGGCGAAGCTTGCGATCGGTTGACAGCCGGCTTTGCATATGCTGTATCGCCGGCGTATTGTTTTGCAGCAAGTTCCGTGGCGACCACTTGACGGGCTCCAAACGCAGAGTCCCGCGCTCGACGTGATAGGGCTCGATCATAAAGTGCATTTGCGCTGTTGGCGACTGAACAACAGGTACGATGCCGAATGTTTCGGTGGATGGGGTGTAGAGCAGCGGGTTGACTATATCTGACACAGTGGTTGAGTGCCGTGGGAGAAATGCCGAGGTCTTGCGCCTCAGACGATGTAATTCCACAGTGAGCCAGAGGTCGTAGTGCCCCACGAATGGTTTTCCGGTACGATTGAACGTCCCAACCTGCGAATACAAGGGATAATGGGTGAGAATGGTTGCCGCTTCTTCGAATCGCGATGGTGGAGTTGGACTGACCGTGAGATTGTGCACTAGCACGTAGTCAGCCAAGCACGCATTGGCATGGCACGGAGAAACACCAGACTTTGGAAACCGTTGGCGAAGGTTCCGGTGGATGCCTCCTTCGAGACTGTTGGTGCCGCGCTGGCAGGAATATAAACGGACACCGTCATCCGCCTTTCCATCTGGTCCTCCGCAAGGCCCAAGGTCGGTGTACAGCTCGATGCCAACTGGATCCGAGACTTGGCCTTTCCGAATCGCCTCAAGACATCTCTTCGCTGTCTCGTGCGCCGCTTTGTTGAAAAGTGGTTGCTTCGACTCGCATCGATCAATGGTCCGAACTTCTCAAAGACCTCCCGGACCAAAGGCTCGAGAATGCTTGGCGGAGGGATCCATCGCCGAACGCGTCTCCAAAGCTTCTTATTCCATACCGGCGAACGGACGGCTTCTTCCCACGTCATTCCGAGTTTTGCTAGGCGAGCCTCCATCAGGAGTCGATCATCCGCATTCGGGATGAAAACCGTATCGGAGAAGGCGCGAGCAAAGGCTTTGGCAGCGCCATGTTTTTTGGACACATAGATCCGGTCAAAGAAATGCCAGAGATCGATTAGAATCCGCACAGCGGTCTCGTCTGAGGAAGGGACTAGTGAAAGGGGATAGTTCGAGATACATACATCAGCTCCAGCCCCGGCGCCAGGACTGGGGCAAGTCCGTAGTAACTGACCTTTGCTTGTTGCAGCCTTGCCCCAGATAACTTTGCCAGCTGCTTCAGTCTTCTTGCAACGATCCAGTTGGAGGGCTTGCGCGATCTCTGCAGGCCCAACCATTTCACTGTCCTTATCGTGATCGTCTATTTGTGCGTCCACATCATCTGTGCGATCGCTTTCGTTGGCGGTGGCAGAAACGGCAGCGTCGGAGTGCTTTTCTTGGATAAAAATCTCCGAAGCGTGATGCGAATCATGCGTAGCCGAAACGTTTGACGTCCACTGTGCTTCGGTCGGAACGGGCGCGTCATTCAAGTCGACGACGAGAGCGCTAAGCTCGAGTACCAGAGAGAAGGAGTCTGCGGATTCTTGAACTGCAATCGTGTCCTCGGCTGCCCGATGGGTTGAAGTCGCCTTCAAGTCGGCCAGGCTCTGTGACGTGAAAGATCCATCTTGATGAAAGTTGTACTCAGGAACCAGTGCGCCAGGGGTCAAGATCTGTGTGATGGCGACAATAGCGCGCGATTTGTCCCACTTGAAGCAATGGAAACTGGACGGTGGTTGGCAGGAGGAGTCAATTGAGGAATCGATGGACTGGATTACACCGCGAGCGATCGGCCAGCCAGACTCGTACATGACGGCGACTCGAGTGCCCACTCGTGGATTGGCGATCTTCGAAAGAGGCCGCGAATGTGGCTCGGCAATCTTGTGGTAAAGACGCAGCGAACCGTATGCGTCAAGCGCGGCATAGTCCACGAAGTGTTGGGGAAGCGACTCGTTGGCCCATTGCATAGATCGGCGGATGTTGTTATCCTTGGGTAAGTGTTTCAACAAGAACCGTTCGCACAACCCGGCCAGTGTCTGATGTCCGGGTCCTTTCTTCACTGGGTGACCTTGGCTGGCGGCGTGCTTAACCAACTCGAGACCGCCATGATGTCGAAGTGCTGGAGCGACGGCCACTGGATCCTCATCGGCTTCGTCCACGTTCCACATTTCCGCATGTGCGATGGCGTTGGCGATGCGTGTCAAGTCGCCCGCCCCGCCGACTCCGACCTTGACAATGTCGCTGCGCTGGAGGAACAGGACGAGTGGGTCGGGCAATCGTCCTTTGGCACATTTGCCGATGATTAAGGATAGCTGCCGCAAAGATGAAACAGAAGGTCAGTGAGGAAACGAAATCCAGAGTCCGAAGCAGCAGATGACATACTTGTATCACATGAATGAAAAGTTCCCCCTCGAGTGATTCCCAGGCGAATTGCACCACATCGACCGCTATCCGAGGTGGTTGTTGGCGGGCTTGCTGACCCGCACCGGGGGGAAGCGTTGCCCATTCTGCGTCGACACCGACCACTAGCTTCCCTTCTGGGGGAATGTTGTCCGCCATGATTTTCATCAGACAGGTCAAAGCGTACGCTGATTGGATGGCCCTTTCTTGAGGAGCAAGATTCCGTCGCTCGCGCCACGGGTCCAGTCGCACTCTGGCTCCGAATGCGACATTCTCGAGTTGCGCACCAAGGTCGGCGTTATCCCCGGTGGCAACTCGAGAATGTCGCATTCGGAGCCAGAGTGCGACTGGACCCGTGGCGCGAGCGACGGAATCTTGCTCCTCAAGAAAGGGCCATCGGTGTCGGGTTGATCTGTGTAACAGATCGAGGGTGCCTCGTTACCATACAACTCTAGATGCTTGGTCATCGCTTCGAGTGAGGTCTCGAATGCCGAGTGGCCCTTTGTTGAGGTAAGCACGTGGGCGCGCACTTCACCATATTCGTTCCCGACCATGAGCAGTGCGATGAAGGCAGGGACCCCTTCAACCTTGGCAATCTGCTTCGGGACCTGCAACGATCGGGCGCGGGGCATTAGCTGCTTGCGCTACTAGCAAAGGGCAAGCACGGTTGGTGTTATAAAGCTAACGTTACCTTGTAACTGTGATCGATGGTCATAATTTTGCAGGGCTTTAGCGATTCAGCATGACTGAGAAGCGTTTCTTGTCTGAAAGACCAGCAGAACATAATCAGTAAACACGACATCTACGTAACGTTACATCCAACCAAGCACTCACTTTTTCATCACGGAATCATAGAACTCCTGAAGAACCTGAGAATTCGGTACGTGGCCGCAATTACCCGTCGGATCTTCCCAGTCTCCGAGAGCAGGGTACAAGCTAGTTGATGGCAAGCCAGCTTCACGCGCCAAGATTGCCGATCGATAGTCCACCTCGAGTCGGTCATGAGCGGCGCGATGTGCCGTGACCAATAGGTTCGCAAATTGCTTCAAACCCAATCCGAATTGGAAGACTCCTCGCATGAGGTTCCAGACAATCGAGGTGATTGCGCATCGATGTGACAGGTGGAAAGGGAACATCGAATGAAGCGACGACGACAGTTGATTGAGCACCTCGGGCGACCAAGACCGATATCGTTTATTGCACTGCTTATTGTTGCATCGATACGAGACCCCAATGAGGAACACCGAGTTGTTGAGATCGCATGCTCGACGAGGCCTGCCAAGAAAGCCGTCTCGCCGCAATACGCCTTTCTTCAGAGTCGATTCAGTTTGCTGGCATTTGTCGCACACTAAGCCGGATCCTGCCGGCTGGTCTTCTGGTTGGCCCAATAACATCAGCGGGTCCCAATAAAAGAACGGCGGGTCGAAGATCTTGAGGTTCTGCCGGGCGCACCGGGTATCGTAAAATCGACCCCAGATGGTTCTAGTCGGGAGCCAGCCATGCAACATTTGGTGGAAGGGTTTGCTGGAACGATTCGCGCCGGACCCACTTGCGTGCTTGATCGTCTCCCGATGGGAATTGTAGAGGTCGGTCAACCAGGCCGGGTGTTCCCACCGACCTTGAGCTTTAGTGGAACCATCCCCATCTTCCTCGTCGCCATCGAACGGATCACCGCCTCCCCCATCGCACAAAAGCGCATCATCATCAGTGATGATTGGTTCGCGGGAAGGAGAGGTCCGTGGATGCGCAGTTTGAAGGTTTGTGATCGCGGGGTTTGCGCTTGCTTCACCCATATTCGAATGTGGATCCGGGTCAAAAGAGTCTGAATCGTCGGGCAATGTCGATCCGACCGACGTCGGAATCGAGCGCGACGTGGAGTTGGTCGAGACTGAGGCATCGGATGCGGAAGGTATGGCAGACGAGCCATCTGGAAACGGAGTTTGGGGTGAAGTTGTTGCCGGTGCAAAGTTGAGAGTTGTTTGAGTCTAAGATTAGGAGCCACGGACATGCATTAGTCAGAAGGAATACGGGCGACGGGAGTGTAGCCCGGCTCACAGTGTACACTTTTGCAGGCGGAAACTGTATGGAAGGATGCGGCACGTTTCATTTCTGACGTCAATGCCACATGCCTAACAGGTTTTGACACTCATGATCCCACTGATCTATCGCAAATCGGGCTTTCACAACTGACCTGCATCCGCTGACTCTGCTCGTCTAATATGAGTTGGCGTTGAGGCGCTCGCTCGGCCTCTAGCCTAGCTCGATCCACTTCCTTGAGTTGTCTTGCACGTTCATCATCAAGTTCTCTTTCGGCAGCTTGCTGTGCTGCTCTCTTGGACTTGGCTATGGCCGCCTCCTCCTTCTCCTCCTCCGTCTTCCTCGGACGACTCTGAGGCCTGGTCGCCGCGGGCGCCGGGACTAAGCTACGGGGTCGACCTCGTGGCTTCTTGGTCGACTGATCAGTTGCAGTCGATCCTGTATTCTGTCCATCATTATGTATTGAAAGCTCATCGAAGCGGCGCTTCGCGGCCTGAACTTGGCTCGGGGTGTTCGCGCTGTGTAGAGTGTCGACACAGGGGCCGATCTCGTTCTGGCACGCTGTCGATGCTGTCGTAGCCGAGGTGCCGACGATTTTGTCGTCCGTGTTATCGGCGCTTTGTTTCCGAAAGAAGCGTGACAGCAGTTGCATCGTAGGATATGGCACGTTGCAGCATGAAGACAAGGGGATGGCCGCGTGCGGCGCGCCTGATTGCGCCAACTGAGTGCGCCAACTCAAGGGCGCTAACTCAATTGCGCCAACTCAATTTGGCGCGCGCGAGTTAGCGCAAGCGCATCCCCCAGCACCGGTACCGCCCCGAAAGTGGAAAGTCCTCCCTATCCGAGCGCCTTGAAAGTGTTGGAATCAACAATGATTCCGAAATGATCAACAAAAGAAGAGAAACGGCTGGACCAGGAGTCGAACCAGGAGTCGAACCAGGAGTCGAACCAGGAGTCGAACCTGGGTCGCTTCCATTAATCGGAAAAGCTTTGACCTCTAAGCTATCCGGCCCCCGATATCAGTGCAAGGTCTACTAACACCTTCAACAGAAAGCACGAGGATCCGCTTTGCACGTGCCAGTTTTCGGCAAGCTCTTTGGAACATGCGCATTAGCCTGGGTACGAGTGCCCATGGCATTAAAACATCGAAGCTAAGGATCGAAATGTTGCGAGAAGCTGTGTAAAGACGGTAAATCGGCTGTAGGACTGACACCGCTTCGCTCGGCGAAGTGAATAGCTTCGGCGTGTGCCCGTGCCCGTGCCCGTGCCCGCGGGCGGACGGACGCCAGTTGGCCCTGGGTTGGCACCCGTCGCCACAGCCTCTCGACCCGTGATTTCCTGCCTGAGCTTTGGCCGAGGATCTCGGTCTTTTCACACTGTTTTGAGTGGGAGTGTGTTATCGCATACCTCGGGCTCACCCCTAGTCGACTTTACCCCTAGACCCGGGCCGCGACGTACGGTGGCTGAGATATCTAACGCCCCGCCTCCTCCGGCGATTTCGGCGATTAAAGATCCCGTCTTGCTTGTGACAATGGTTCAACGCGATGCCATGCAAAAGTTTACACTCGGATAAGTTGATCTCTCTCCTTTCTTCTCGTCACTCCCAACCAAATCCCGCTTTCCTCGGCCTCCATCACTTTGCACCCATACCGCCCGCTTTCGAACGAATTTTCTCCAATTCCGAGTAAGTCGCCTTTTCTCCATAGCCCATGTCATGCGTGCACCTCCGATACTGACCAACACACTTTTCCACACTTCTAGCTCCATCCCAAGTTATCAACATGAAGTTCTCCGCCCGCGTCCAAGTCCTTCTCTTGCTTGGGGCGCTGCAGACCCTCGTCTCCGCGACCGCGGCCCCCCAAGTCGACTCCGTCACGGTCGAGCGCTCCCTCGAATCCGTCCCCTCGACCGAACTCGTCGAAAAGCGCACCTTTCTCGTCGGAGCCGACCCCGCGAGTGCCGTCCTCGCAACGGCCGGTGGAGTGGTCGGCACCGCCCTCAACACCGCCGGTAATATCGTCAATGGCGTCCTCGGTGGTGTGCTCGGTGGTCCAACCGTCGTCGGCCCCAGCGTCAACATCGATGCGAATGCGGGTGCTTATGTGGGTGGAGGTCCGTACGTCTCGAGTGGTCCTGGATCGAGTTACAGTTCGTACGAGTCGCAGAGTTATGGCGCGGGTCCGGATTGCAAGAAGAAGTTCGTCAAGGTTCGTAGGACTGGTCAGGTCGAAGAGGTCGAGTCCGCTTAGGAGTCGATGATCGATCAAGTCCCATCTTCGACAATTTTTTTCGCTCATCTTTTATACCACTTTGATCTGTTCGTTCGCATCTCAGCCAACCCCCCTCTCACACACCGTCGAAGCCTGGCCAGTCCCCTTCCGCTTTTCGAAAGAGTAGACGCCCATTTGTGATAGCTCCGGTCGTGCTTGTATCTTTGCCCATTGAAATCTCAGTCTTCATGGGTTTTAATCTCTTGCTTTTGTTATTGAGGTCTGAAGGAGGAAGTCGCGACGCTTTCCCTACTGCGCAGTCGACTCGAGCGTTCGTCCTTGTGCTCCCGGCAGCGTCGGTCCGCCTGTTTCGAAAGTCGATGATTTCCATTCCAGCATCCCCAACAAGCCACCGTCCCCTCTATGTTTTACCTATTCCTGGTCCCTCCAAATCCCGTACTAGTCCTCATAGGACCCATCTCACTCCCCGAATCTCGACTTCTCAAACCTCCTCCTCCACCACCTCCACCACCACCACCACCGAATCCCCAACTCCCACTTCCTCCCAACCCCCTATCCCAACCGCCATCGCGATACCTCTCAAAATCACGTTGTTCGTCGAACCTTGACCTTGCCCCACCACGTTGATTCATCGCTGCGGCTCCGAGGGCACCTGCCGCGATACCGGACCAAAAACCGGGTCGCCATCCTTGGGAAGTTGTAGTTGCCGGGTCCGGTTTGGCAGAATAAGGAGGGGGTGGACCACTTCCCCCACCTCCACCTCCTCCACCTCCTCCTCCGGGCCACCATCCACCCCCACCCCCACCTCCCCAACCACCTCGGTTCGAACGAGCTCCTGCTCCACCGCCGCGCATTGCAGCTCTACGATTGTACCAACTCATGAAAATACGGTAGAGGACGTAGAGTGTGACGGCAGTGAAAGCGGTGTTGAAGAAAGCGTTGTAGACTAATGATCGAAACGATTGCAGAACTGTCAACTTGGGAGGGGTTCCGACTCCTAGAAGGGGGATCGACTTTTGGTGCTTACGTGATTTGGGACCGTATTGAGCTAGGGGGTTGGTGTACCCATAACCATTCTCGAGTGCGGGGGAGGTACGCACGAGTTCGTAAGTGAGTCCGCACGAACCTAAGAAGGAAAAGGATCACGTGATCGAGGGAAGGGTTTTTTTTTTAAACCCGTCAGTCACTTTCCTACCAAGTCTCGGAGGACGCGGGCATGGGGTATTACTCACCTCTGAGGATGTAAGGATCTTCCGGCCCTTCCCATCCTTCACAACCTACTTCGACCGTACCGAATCTCACCCCCCTCGGCAATTCGGCCGAACAACTCCATTCCAAACCGCCGGCACCATCCTCGCCTACGGCGGTACATTGTACGACGTCCGGTTCGTACCGACGACATTCCTTCCCTAGGCAGGTGAGTTGAGGTACGGGGGAGGTGCGACGGTAGTTGGTCGATTGACCGGAGTGGAGAGTGAGCGCTTTGAGAGAGGTCACTGTCGGATCGATGTAAGTGTGTTAGGTTAGTACGCACGCAAGTGAGGAATAGATAGGGAAATGGAAGCTTACTCTTTATCCTTTGGGAACGCGTCATGGTGAAGAGGGCTTTCGGGGAGGTGACACGTCAGCAGAGAAGAGCGGGTGGTGTGGTGGTGGCGTGTACGAGTGGGGGGAAACGTGCGAAAGCGGTGGAAGGAAGAATCTGAGAGATGTGTGCACGAGTTGGGGAAGTATGCGTTTAGGACGCAGGTTCGTATATGACCGGTGTGGTTGTTGCGAGTGGGAGGAAAGAGACCGAGAGCGAGAGGAATGACTCGAGTGCGCATCGAAGCGAATCGAAACCGCTTCTCGTGGCTTCTCGTCGATTCTCGGTCGGGTTTCTGCGCCGAGTCGACACTGGGAACAGGGATCTCATACGCTACATTTTTACTGGTTTTTTCGTCCTGCGAGAAGAGCTTGGATTCAACCGAAATGTGAGGGTTACCGAGATTGAAGTGCGAGATTGTCAAAGGACAAGTTCCTCCTAGTTCCTCTCTGTTATTGAAGTCTGTTCCTCTGGCCTTGACCCGCCTGAATGTACGCCGACCGATGGCTCGCCCCTCTCGTCCTCTCCCCTCCTCGGGCTCTCCCCCACCCCTCTTCCCCCCGACAGCCACTGATCCCCACCCGGCGGTGCGCGACAGCGACCAATGTCGTCGCAGTCATGGAGTCTGCTCCAAGCGGACCTCCTCGCTCTGTCCAAAGAAGCGGGTCGCCGACACGCCGATGTTCGAGAGGTACGTGGCCTGTGGCCTGTGGCCTGTGGCCTGTGGCCTGTGGCCTGTGCCTGTTCCCTGTGGCTTGTGCACTCGGCGGGCTGCGATCGGGTGGCCGAACGGGCGTCACGGCGCTGTGGCCTCGCACGTGCAGCGCACCACAGCCGGCCGGTTCGGCGGGCATGGAGCAGCGACTGACTTGTGCATTGGATATACGCCCCGATAGGCCGCGGAGAAGGCTTATCATTTGCTCAAGACGAACAAGGAACACCACGCCGTGACTCAACTCGGAGCAGGTCCGTTCATGTTCCTGCAGCAAGCGATGCGCAGACAGGCCACCTCGTCTTGATCATCCGATCGCACAAGCTGACGTTCAGCTGTCGTGGCACGCTCCAGGACCCGAATCGAGCAATGCACCCCAGCCGCTGTACCAGCCCATCTTCCTTGCCGCTGCGACCAAGAACGTAAAGGTCATCGCCCTCGCCGTCTCGGCATTGCAGCGCCTCATATCCGCCGGCGCAGTGCCCAAGGTACCTGACTATAGTCATTCTACATTCTGAATACGACCGTACTGACCGTGGGCACTTGGATATCGCAGTCCCTGGTCAAGCAAATCCTCGAGACCTTGGAGCAAGTCGTTCCTCAAGGCGTCGAGATCCAACTCAAGGTGTTGCAGACCCTCGTGTCCCTCTTGACTACGACTGTCAATCCATCCCACCTCGATGGGCGAGGAGAGTGTTTGGTGCAGGGCGAAATACTGGGACAGGTATCTCATCATTCAGAGCGTTTGAGTTCGGGACGGCCGAGCTCATCCCCTCACCCTTGACCCCTCCCCACAGACCCTCGAACTTTCTCATCGTTTGTCGACCTCCAAGATACCCGTCGTCGCCTCGAGTGCATCGGCTACGCTGCGGCAGATGTTCATGTTTGTCTTTGAGCGCGTCGGCGAAGAGGATGCCCAAGTCGCCCGCGCCGAAGCGAGCAAAGACCCAGCGCTCTTGGCCGCCCTACCCAGACCTTCCTTCGATCTCGACGTACCTCCATCGGAGCATGATGCTGCGGCGACACCTCAACACCCGGCAATAGCTTCGGGAAAATCAGCTGTCTTCGGTGAAGGCTCGACGAGCATCACCCTCCGACCCGCAGCGAGGGATGCCTACCTCCTGCTCGAGGATCTGTGTCTGCTGATTTCTGGCTCGGCCGAGGGAGGGCCAGAGGGTGAACCTTCTTTCTTGCGATGGACCAGTCTCAGTCGGACGTTTGGTCTTGAACTCGTCGAGAGTATCGTGTCGAGCTTTGGACCTGTCGTACGAACGGTGAGTTTGAGGTCTCCCATGAGCCATTGCGCAGTGTGCCAGCACGCTTACTCACGTGCGACTCGTCTCACAGCACCCCGAACTCTTGTTGGTTCTGCGAGCCCACCTCTGTCCTTTGCTCATCCGCTTCCTGTCGTCCCCACCTACCTCTGGAGCTTCTTCGGCATCGTCATTGCCGACGTTCTCCTTCCCGCTCACCCTTCGCCTCACTCGCGTCGTCTTCCTCCTGCTCAAGCAATTCGCCGACTTGCTCACCCTCGAATCCGAAGTCTTCCTCACCATGTTCATCCGCGTCATCGGTCCCGGCGACAAGGGTGAAGGCGAAGGAGGTCACCCCTCTGGACCCGGCGGTGGCAACTCACCGCTATGGATGCGCGTGCTCGCGCTCGAGATCTTCCGTGGTCTCTGCGGCGACTTTGAGCTCATGACCAAGTTCTTTCAACGCTACGACGCCCAAAACAGAACTGGGACAGCGGGAGGTGGCGCATCGAGCATCTTCAACGATCTGATGACGGCGCTGAATCGACTGGCGACGGAGAAACCCCATGTACTGGGGCATGGTGCTGCCCTTGTCTATGGAAGCTCGCTTCAACCCTACGTCGGATCGAATCATGGATCGTCGAGCGCGAGCGGGTCGGGCGCGATGGGTGGCGCGGCGGCGATGCTCGATTCGGCGATGGAGATGGGGCTCGGTCTTGCCCAAGTCGCAGGCAACGTCGTCGGTAACAGCGTAGGAGCAGGTCAAGCGAACATATCGGGATTGAGTATCGCCTCTTCGACGCTCAAGCTTCAGTGCATCGATCAGCTCGACAAGGCCGAAGCACCACCTATGCCGGAGACGTACATATTCCTCCTGGCTCTACAGTGCCTCGCTTCGCTTTCTGATGGCTTCGCGACCTATACGCTCTCGGCGTACTCGTCCATCGTTGCTCAACAGCAGCGCAACGAAGCTTCGTCTTCGTCCTCGAGTTCGTCCACCCACGCAACGGCTCCGGGTGCCCTGTCGTGGAACTCGCTCGATCGATCCGAACCCAAAATCGCGGCACTGATGACGGTGAAAGACATGGCCGAGACGTCGTGGCCTGCATTCCTCGCTTCCTTCTCCTTCTTCATCGGAACCAACCTCGACGATGACCTCTTCGCCGACGTCGTCACCTCGTTGCAAAACTTCACTTCCGTGTGCGGTGTACTGGGCTTGACAACCCCTCGAGAAGCTTTCTTGACGTCGTTATGCAAGTTCGCGATCCCACCCACGGTCGTCGCGCATTTGGCCTCCCAGGACTCGAGTACGGCCCACCCCAAGACCGCGGCGTCGGTACTCGCGATCGGTGCAGAGTCATTAGGGCTCACGTCTCAGGCTGTGGCTTTGCCTGTGGGGCTGAGCACGCGCAATCTCGCCTGCTTGAAGGCGTTGATGAGCGTCGCGCAATACCTGGCCGGAAGTCTTGATGCGACTTGGTATGCCGTTTTTGAGACGTTGCAGAACGCCGACTACATCCTCAAAGCCAATGCGACTCGCAATAGCAAGAAGAGGGCCGCGCCGACCGGTCCACCTGCGACACCTCCTCGAGGCAACGCGGCCAATTCTTCGACACCCATGTCGCCGACTTCGACCAACTTTGGCGCTTCGGGTGCTGCGTCGATTTCGAAGTTGCCTGTTCAACCTACGGAGGCGGACGAGCAGGCCGTACAAGCGAGTATCACTAAGATGTTTGAGGTATCCAAGGCGCTCGACGACGAGGCGTTCAAGTGGTTCGTCGGCAGTCTTTGTCGTCTGGACGGGGAGATGAATGGGATCCCTATGACGGAGGACGGTCAAGTCGCCGATACATTCGGGACGGCCTTGGCGACGCCTTTTGATGGAACGAGTCAGAGCGTCTCGGGTGGTGCGAGACGCCTCTCGAGTGGGATCACGGCGTTGGCGACTCAACGCCTCAGCTTGACGTCGTTCGGCGTGAGCAAGCTCGGTGTGATCGCGTTAATGAATCTTCATCGATTGATCTATCGGGATGCGAAACTGGGCTGGAACCTCGTCACTTCGCATCTTTTGGTCGTTTTGCACCACACCTCCGCCCCTTCAACGATCCGCTTACAAGCCGCCGATGTGCTCGATTCAATCTTGCTCGCCGCACCCAAGAACATCGCTACGGCCGAGGACACGCTTCAACGTCGAGTCCAAACCCAGGTCCTCGTTGCTTTGGCTGAACAAGCTGAACCTCATATGCGAATCCAGACATCGACGGATATCGAGATTCGTCGCATGGCCCTGGATACGCTGTTCAAGATCCTCGAGAACGATGGACATTCTTTCATCGCCGGTTGGGAGAGGATATTTCATGTCCTCCGAACGGCGTGTCCGTCGCATTTGCAACATCCTCCATCATCGCCGACGGTGCCACCGGATGGGATGTCGTCGTCGGGACTGGATACAATTTCGGAAGATGGTGATCGGCCCATGTCGACGCTATCCCCACTTCGACCTTCGACGACGACGGACCATCGGATCGAACCGAGCGTGACCAAGTCGTCCAAGAACTCGGTACTTGTGCGAACGAGCTTCCCTTCGCTGCAGCTCATCTGCACCGACTTCCTAGGCGCACTCACGACCGACGAACTAAGGGATTGTATCGGCACGTTGGCCGATTTCGGCAAGCAGAAAGACGATGTCAACGTTGCTCTCACGGCCGGAGGCTTGTTATGGGGTGTATCGGACCACTTGCAAGCGAAGCGGAAAGAAGGATCAAGGGAAGTCGCGCATGGCGAGTTGTGGGCTTTTCTCTTGCAGCAACTCTTGGCCCTGTGTCAGGATTCGAGGCAAGAGGCGAGGGATGGAGCGATCACGACGGTCTTTCGATCGATCTCGCTGTACGGCGCGACGCTTTCGAAGGCGACGTGGGATGCGACGCTTTGGGATGTGGTGTTCCCTCTTGTGGAGAATGTGTCGGCTTCGATCCAGATGCATGATCGAATGGCGTTGAATGGGACCAGCGAAGGTGGACCCGGCGAAGAACTCGTTTCGCAATCGAATGGTCCTCCAATACGCCTCGTCGATAAACAATGGGACGACTCCAAGACGCTTGCTCTCAAATCGATGGGCGACGTTTTCTTCGACTACCTCCCTCTGATCGTCAAAACGGCTCGGTACGAAGAGACCTGGGCGATGTTCGTCGCTTTGCTCAAACGAAGCTTCATCGAGGATAGACCGCAAGCTTCGACGGCGGCGATGCATGCTTTGGAGAAGGTCCTATCGGTTTCTTTGGATGGTAACGAGGCGTCGAGGATTTCGTCGTCGTGGGAAGTCGCCTGGACCGCATGGGATGAGATTGGCCATGCGATCGCCGCTGCTCCCTCGGCTTCCCACTCGGCTAAAGCGTACACCCAAGTCAACCTCGAGGCTTACGTGCGCGTCATACTCCCCATCTATACGCCACCCTACATCACCTTCGACCTACCCCGCATCCTCCGCCTCCTCGCGATCCTCAAAGTCGTCTTGACCTATTCGCGATCCCCCGATTTCCGCCCCGACATCGACTCGTTGACACCTCTCCAAGCCGCGATCCTCGAAGTCGTAGCCGTGATCAAACTCGAAGTACCCGGTGCAGCCTCAGCAGTCCTCTCGGACCTCTCCGAATACCTCACCTACGCGTTCGTCGCGTCCTTTGATGCAGAGCCTGATGCGACGATGGGCGGCAAGGGTAAAGGTCGTCCGAAGCAGAGGATCACGTATGTCGCGTTGAGTAAGGAGGTGATGCCGCACGTGTATTGGCTTTATCAGAGGTATCGCGAGGATGTGACGGTGTATGATCAGGGGGCAGTGGAGAGGATGTTGGCTGTGAGTAGGACTTGGGCTCTAGTTCGGCTTGGCAGCTACTGATTGTTTTCACCGTTTCACGACAGGCCTATGCGATCCCGCTGCGCCTCAAGCACGCCTGTCCCGCATCAGCCAAGTTCAGCTCGGCCGAACCTTTGTGGAAAACCGCCACGGTCAACTTTCTGAAAGCCGTCAAGGACTGCGTTGCTGCACTTCGGTCGTTTGGCGATTCCGTCCTCGTCGAGCACTATGAAGGGATCTGGCGCCAAATCGTCAATGGCTTTCGAGGGGCTTTACTCGCCGAGTCGGGTCGACACGTCTCTGCGAGTTCGAAACGAGGCAACTTGCATTCCGAGGAGAATTTTGATCTGGCGTTGTTGGCGACGATCGAACAGGACGTTCTGCCGTTCATCGGCCACGCGCTCGTTCCGGATGATCTCATTCGACGCCTCGGCAAGTCGTTACAGCAAGCAAGTAGGTTGTACGAACTCGATCTCATAGACTCTACGAACGACCAAGACCCTTCCTCCCGCTCAAGGTCCTCCTCAATGAGTTCCGTCGACGATGAACTCTCTTCAGCCGCTTCGTCCATAAAGGAAACGCGTTTCGACAACGATTTCGATCGACAAGCTCAAACGGGGGAGATGCATGGCACGACGGCGGATTGCGTCGAAGTGGGGAGGGAGAGATTCGCTTATTGGTGCTTCGAGTTGCTCTTTTTGACGTGCGCGGAAGCGGAGGCCTCAAGTAAGTTTTCAATGACGCGCAAAGCGATAGCCTGCTTTGATGCTGAAATTTGTCGACGTGCAGATCACATCGTGGAGCGACGTCGTATCGCGGCACTGTGCTTGCCTTCGCTTTTGAATCGGTGCTCGGCGGTGCTCAAGACTTACATCGTCGATGCGCCACTGCGAGGTCGCATGCCATTCCCTCGGTATGTCCCAGCGACCTTCGGCCATGAATCACAGCGTTGTCTTGCTGACCTGCGTCTCCTCATCTTCGCTCCCAGCATCCGACAAGAAGAATTGACCTTTGTCCTACAACATCTCATCACCCTCCGCATCGGTGGGGGCACCCTCTTCTCCTCGACGCAACCCGATCCGACCTCGGCCTTGCTCGTACCACCACCCCTAACCCTCGACTCACCCTCCGGCGGACCTTCGTTGATCCGTTCGGCGCTCTTACGTTCCCCTCTCGGACATCTCTACGAACTCTACCCTTCCTTAACGGCGTTGTTATCCCTCTCCATCATTTCTCCGTCCATCACCTCAGCTTACATCCCTTATAGACGTATAGTCCATTCGGACCCTTCCAACACTGAAGACGAAGGCTTGCCTGGCCTTCCCAAGGGTATTCAATTGGGTCGAATTGGGCGGGTGAAGTATGAGGAAGGTCAGGAGACAGATGTAGTGAAGTTGACGTTGGGGTGTTTGCAGAAAGTCGCGGGGGAGATTGGGTGCTGAGAAGCTCCCCGGGGGGGGGGGGGGTTGGTCGGTCGTGATTTTGGGAGGAAGTTATTCCCGTTCGTTCGATTGCACTTGTTTGGTTAAAGGAGTTCATTCATTTTTGCTGCCTTCCGGTTTTTAGTTTAACTTCGTGCCATGTCAATACTATTCTATCATTTCGGAACTTTGTCTCGCATTCGTCGCAACAACCTGTGAGCACCTACTTCGACTAGATCCGGTCCCGCTTGAAAGCTGGGCCCTTTCTTCCTATCTAACGAGTGATGCCACCAGATGGAGAAGTAGTGCGTTTGCCTGACTCGGAAGCGTAGGGTGTCGCAGCCCGAGAGGGGGGGGGTGGGGGGTTTCGACTCCTCCATAGTGCGCGCTGTTTGTAGCGTTTGTTTTAGGATGGAAGAGTCGAGTTGCAGTGATAAGAGAAAAAACCGGAAAAGCGCAGGGCGATGGCAGGGCGATGGCAGGGGAGGAAGGCGACGCGGTAGGTAGACGCGGCCAAACGAGGTCTGTATACAAGGTAGCCCCATGAGTCAACTTGCCCAACAAGGACAAGGAATTTGGCAACATGCCCAACAAGGACAGTCGTGATCCGGAATGCGAACCTTAGCTAGAAACAGCGAGCCGCGATAGTGCGAGTCTCGAAAAGTTCGCCCTTGCTCTAAGCAGTGGGTGCGATACGACCTTGCAAAGCAGCGGGTACGGCGGCTGCTTACAACGTAGTGGCAGGCTAGCTCATCAGTCCAACTGTCCAACAAGGGCAGAGGGCTTACGAGGGATGTTACCCACTTTGAGTGAGTAGAGACTGGCAGGGGGGTGCCGGAACCACAACACGAAACGCTGAGGCGTGCGGGACGACGAGGGAGAGGGAGAGGAAGGGCCCGCGCGCGCCAGCGGGTGAGCAAGGCGGGAGGCCCAAGGGGGCCGAGAAGAGTGCGTGCTGGCACAGGGTCCAAAGAATGCGTGTTCGAAGAGTGGAGCGCGAGCGGGCCCCGTTAGGCCGAGACCAGCGCGCTTGAGCTGTCCGCGTCAAAATCTTGCAGCAAAGGCCGAAAAGACTAGTGTCCTCTTAGTATTAGCCGCAGTGAGGGCAGTGACCATCTAACTCTTTATCTTCCCTACAAGCTCAACCTCCCTCTCAAGACGAAGGTGTCCGAAAATTTAAAGTTGAAAAACGAAGCAGGTTGGAAAGATGGTAGCAGGTGCAAGGTCTTTTTTTTCTCCATCGTTGAGAAGTCCTCGCTCGGGGCTTACGATTACGTAATTACGCTGTCGACCTTGAAAAGGAGAGCGGTCTCCGACGAGGTCTGAAGGACGCGAAAGTGGAATTTTAAACGAGCCATTGGATGGGACAATATTTGTAGGGAGGATAAGGTGGAGAAGGTGACGCTCTTCTGTGGTGAGGTCCTTACGCTCGGCGCAACGAGCTGGAGCTTACATGTCCATAGGTGATAACAGACGCCCCTCCGAGTGTCATGACCAAGAGTAAGGGAAATGCACGCCGAGAGTGACCCGGACAAAGAAAATCGCCGGTTTGTCACAGCACTTTTAGCATTTTGTATTCAACGGATCTGTCGTAAACTCTTTTCGACTTCGGCAACTAGCGAAGCGTGCTGCGCAAACACATCAGCTTCAGAGACGAAGCAGGAGGTCGCATCCTTCAACTTTTTTCGGAAAAGCATGCCAAGCTTTTTCAAAACATTTAAAATGAACTGGCAATGCAGTTGCAGAAGGGATACTCTTGAATGCGAGACCCTAGAAATTTGAGTTGATGAGCCGAAGGAAGGGAAAAAAATAAAAATGAAGTCACTGATCAAGCATTAAGGAGAGTGTGGGGGTGGGGATTAACAACAGGAAAAGAGCGGAAGAAACGTGGTGAACATTGAATCACACGAAGGCAACGAAAGACAGGGAAGAAAACGAAAGTTGGCCGAAACGCTCGACCTAGAGTTTGGTGCTGAATCGCTCAGCGCGAGGCCCATGAGAGCGGGATACGAGAGCCGGTACGACCATTCGTGTTCGTGTTCGTATTCGCGTTCGCCGTGGTCGGACTGGCCGGGTTCGAGCCTGGTTGAAGAGCTTCAAAGCGCTGTTTAGATCGATTTCCAGATCAGAAAGTGCTCTACATAGTGGTGGGCTGGGGTGAAGAGCGAGGACTGACCTCTGTTTCCTCGACCGAGGACTCGAGCATCGCTCCTCCGCTGACCGCATTGGCGCCGTGGGTGTAGGGGTGAGCTTTCTCGCATTCGATGACGGATCTGTGGGTGATAAGGTATGAGCCAAGTCGACTGGTGGTGAAGTTTTACGTATATCGGCACCGTCAAGGGAACTTACTGCGTCTGTACCGTGATCTGAGGCCTATGATGAACTGCCGTCGCAAAGCTCGAACCTCCGGTGGAGATGATTGGTGAACCACCTTTGAGCGAGGTCGTGTATCCTGACCACCTCGTATCTCCAACTCCCACCTCCCCATCCGTTCCATGCCCCAAAAACTGTTCACTCCCATTCGGCGTCGTCAATGAAGGCCGATTGACGAGCGAGACCAACAGCGAGTTGAAGTACAACTTGACCAACAAGAAGTTGGGGATGACGTGCCACGCCAATCCGGGGCAAGTGCTGAAGAGGATCGCATCCGTCACGGCGACAAGCATGGTCAAAGCGTTCGTCTCGATCGTACGACGGATGATCCTCTCGACGACGGTGTGCATCTTGGAGTATTCGATCGTGCTGGACGCTCGATGAAGGTAGTAGACGAGGGAGATGGTGATGAGGATGTCTGCGCACGCGGCAGAGACGAGCCAGGTGGCCACACCGTACGTGAACTCGTGGAAGCGCGAGAACTTGCTGTCGAGGAAGTGGATCATGAAGCTTGACGCGACACCAAAGCCTATGGTGACGAGGGGGCTCCTGGACCCGTCAGCTTCTGAGTGCCGGACCTTGTTCGGTTTGTGAGAGAAGCCAGCGCACTCACCGAATTGCAATACACTGAGCGTCATAATGAGCACGGGCACGAAAATTTTGCGACCGGAGATGACGTAGACGCGGTACGCGAAGAAAGCCTGGCAGATGATGGTCGCGATCGCGGTCACGGCTGGATCGACGGTGAAGGTCCAAGGGCTGACGGAGAGCACGGCGGGGTTGGTGTAGTGGGTCACGGCCCACCAGTAGATGGTCATGCTACAGAGAGTATGGATGGTGCAAGAGTAGAATGGAGTATGAATGCCATGTCAGAGTTGTCCAAACAAGTTCCAGGGACCCCGACGGTAAATTCACCAGCAAAACGCCGAATGCACCGTATCGAGCACGAACAAGCCGTAGACGACGACCTTGTACACGAGACGATCGGTGCGATGGAAGCGCAGGTGGTACGTGAAGCATTGAGTAGTACTGTACAAGGAGGAAGGATGCGATCGATGGAGTCAACATAAGTAGGTCAGGGCATTACGGCCGGGCTGCGATGTTGAGGAGCACTTGCGTAACACCGCCCTGAAACGAGATAACACCGTGAGGCAGATCAGCCTGAGCGTACGACTTGACTCGATCCACCGAGCTGAACCCACGAGAAACACGGCCAAGAACGTCCCGATCAACTGGAAAGCGAGCGAAGAGAAGGGGTGGAGTGGAGGTTGGTGCGAAGATTTCAGCTCTGCTTGCTCGCGCCGACGCAGACTTCGCCCTCAACGGCGGCTTCGGCGCAAACCCGGGACTGACGAAAGCGCCGATCGAGTTGTCGAACGCGGGCAACTTGTCTGGAGGAGCGGGTGAGGCCATGACCTGGTGAATGATGCTGAGGAAGCAGGACAGCAGGTCAGTGAAGGTAGTACATCGTGGCAGGGTGGCAGGGTGCGTTGCGGTGACGTGCAAAGTTTCGGAAGCGACTCCTTTCGGCGCTTCGATCGAGGTGTGGGCACAGGGGGAGAACTGACCAATCGTCTAACGTATCAAAGACGGGGCAAGGTAACAAAGAGACTGAAGGGGTACTCTCAGAAAGAGCGATAGTAGAGTAGCTGAGAGCAACGCGGAACCAGGTGGAAGTCGAGAGTGGAGGTGAAAGAGCAAGAGAGGTGGTCGTGGTCGTCGACGATTCAGAAAAAGAAGACGGGGCTGGTGGAGGCCGAGTCGTGCACGACCGCGCCGAACCCCCTCGGTCGGCTCGAGGGAGCTTTCGGCGCGCGATCGGATCGGACCGTTGGACGATTCGGACGAGTTTGCAAAAAGCGTTCAACTCACGGCCAGCTTGCTTGGACTCATTCCTAAGCAATGACTGGGGGGCGTTTCATGATCCGATCACGAGGATGTACACCTTTACAAGTGGTAGGGCCCTCGGAAGTACTGGGAAAGCGAAACCGGCTCCCGTTGGAACCGCGCGGCGTGGGAGCTCCGAAGCTGCTAGAAACTGTCATCTGATTACAACATGTCAAGTGAGACGCTCATGCGCAATAAAATAATACATAGGTCAAAGTCGCTGGTATAAGTTGGACGTCGTTGTCGAGGGCACTGGCCGGAATCAGGTTTGACGATGTGGGGTCGAGCTCGAGCTCGGGATCGCAGCTTGATGCGATATTGCCAAGATGGAATTCTTGCTTGAGCGACTCTGATGACGATCGAGTGGTGAATTGCTCGTGCTACCGCTTGCCACCTCCCGAGACGGCCGCTTGTGCACTGTGGATCGAGACAGGAGAGGGGGTGGGTGACTACGCGATCGGTACGCCGTCGTTGCCCCACGGCGGTACGACCACGACCAAACAAGAAAAGGACGTACTTGTTGCGCGTCAGATTATCGATATCTGTCGGTGATCACGAGTGGTTGAATCAGTAACCCCTCCCCACCCGAGTCGGATGCGCAGCTCGGCAAGACTGACATGTTTGCAACGTCTCGTTACCGGACTTGATCTCTTGAGTTTCCTTGTTGACGCTCGAGATCCTCTCCATAAGAGCTGCGAAGGTGCGGGGTAGGTATAAGTGGCTCGGTGTGCCCGCGTCGGGATGGTGTCTCCTCTTCCCGGAGTGATCGGTGAGGCCCACCTTTGAGCCCATCCTGCTTGGTCGTAAAGTCCCTGTGGATAGCCGCGAGGTGTTCAGCCATGCGATCTTCTCGGCTCGTGTGAGATCGGTTCGAACACGTACTTGACAAGCCTCTCCTTCTCCTGGATCTCGGCTGGGTCCAGCTCGTCGTCATCGTCCTGAGCCTCGGCGGTGCGGGTGCTGCTGAGGGGTGAGGCGATGTCGCCTGCTCCCCAGGGGTCCTGTGCGTCGACAGAGGATGCATGCGGCCGTGACATGGTCGTGTGCGGGTGTGGGAGCGAGCGCGTGCGCGAAGTGGGAGAGAGACAAGACAGCCGAAATCGGTCCGAGCGCAAAGAGGCTGACGTTGAACGAGGTTGAACGTTGAAAAGCGCCGAGTCTCGCTGAGTGAGCGCTGAACACTGCCAGACACTGCCTAACATTGCGTGAACACCGTGACCGAGTGTAATTGGCTGTCACGCGTCTGAAGTTGGTCGTGCTTCATCCCTCTGCGCATACTCCCCTCGCGAACTCGCCTCCCCTCCACCAGAATGAACATCAAGATCAAGGTCAGTCTCGCACCTTCGCTCCAAGCTGTTGTGGACTGGTGTCGGTTGCTGACTCCCTCATCCGCTCGTCGATGTCGAACCAACCCCTGCACTCACTCCAAACCCCCGTACACGACAACACGCACACCGTATCCTCTCGCACCTCACCTCACGTTCCCTCTTCTCCAGACACTGACTGGCAAAGAGGTCAGTCTCCCGTGGCTCTGCCCTCGATCCTCACGCCCCCCACAGCTGAGCGCTGATCCACGAGCTCCCAAATTCGCCCCACAGATCGACCTCGACATTGAGCCCAACGACACCGCAAGTCCATCGCACCACACCCCGACTACACCACACCGAACCCGTGCACTGACGATCATTGTCCCTTCTACAGGTCGAACGCATCAAGGTCGCACTAGAGGAGAAGGAGGGGATCCCCCCGGCGCAACAACGTCTCATCTTTATGGGCAAGGCCATGTACGTTTCAAATCTCAGTTCAGCCAAAAGTACAGTTCACTGAATCCCGTCTTAACATGCTTCTCCTCTTCCGCCTCCTCTTTGGGAATCGGTTTCCCCCCCTGATCCTCGTTCTCCCCCCAACCCATCGACGACCCTCACCCACTCTCAGGCCGGAAGAAAAGACCGCGTCCGACCTCAAGGTCACACCAGGCAGTACTTTGCATCTCATCCTTTCGCTCCGAGGCGGTCAATGCTAGATCGGTTCGGAGGGAAAGGCCAGCGAGGAATAAGGAGGGAACCGGGAGAAGAGAGGGAAGAAACACGTTGTAATATTTCGTCGACGGGAGAGGAGGACAGAACGAGTTCCTTAGCAATGCAGCATCGAATCAACCATACGATGCTCGGGCGCTCTTCCAGATGAGAGATGAAGCTTGAGTAGGTCGCCGCCAACAAATTTTCATCGAATTCTGAGGGAGGGTCCCGCTTGGTCGACGACATCACCCTCGAAAGCTTGGGACATACCAACACCTCCAAGAATAGACGATATTTAGAATACGCTACCTCAAATCCAACTTCATACCCATATCCCCAACCCAATCCTTATACCTCCTCCCCATCAAAACCCCTCCACTCTCCCCCTCCTCCAACCTCTTCGCATTCCCCACCCAAACTCCGACCTTGGCCCTGTCCCCCATCGCCCGATACTTATCCGCGATCCGCAAAGCCACCTTGACAGACTCTTCATCGCCCAAGATGGGGAACGAGTTCACCACTTCGGTGGAGGATGCGAACGAGGCTCCGACGGCTTCCAACGCCTTTTTCTGCATCTCGATCGCTTGCGCCAATTGTGAGGCCCGCGCAAGTCGTTCAGCAAAGATGGTAAGGGGTCGGAACGATTCTGGTCGGATTGACGTAGGTCGATCGGTTGCGTAGGTACCATCGATCTGTCGAAGTAGGTCAAGGTACGCATCGAGGTCGTCCGACTCGTTCTCGTCCATCTCCTCCAACCGCTTGATCAATGACCGCCTCTCTTCCCTCTGCTTGCTCCCTTCCCCGGCATCCAAAGCACACAACCGACACCCACACTCGAACCCGTGCTTCTCCTGATGCATCCTCCTCTCTTCAAAACCCCTCATCGAATCCGTATACGAAAGTACGACTTCCTCCCCTTCTTCGATCGTCTTGATCGCGCGTACGAGTATGCGATCACCGACGAATTGGTACGAGACGTTGGACAGACACGAATGGTTGAAGCGCGAGGCAAAGTTGTAGATCGCCAAACGATCGGTCTTGGGTTGATTTTTGGCCGTGGGATCGAATGCCGAGGCTTGAGCGGTGATGCAGCGTACTTTGAACGAATTGTAAGTGACGATCGCTTCGACGCGACTGACGTCGAGACCAGGTGGACCGGCGTCCGGGTCATCCTCTTCTTCGTCGTAGTCGTACACTTCGTCTTCCTCTACCTTCACTCGGTCGACCTTCAATTCATCCAAAACCCCCTCGGCAGGTCCCGTGCTCAGATCATACACCAATTTCTTGACCTTCTCGTCCCCAGACATCTTCTCCAATAAGATCGACACGGTCTGGCCCAATGCTTCGGGGTCGTATTCCTTCGTGAAGAGATTCACACAGATCGTCGATGAGCCTCCTCCATGTCCTTGAAGAAGCGAGGTCGATTCCGCACTCGCCAACGCCTCTTCGAACAGGATCAACTCCCCTCGTTCGATCCTGGACTTGGCGACCACCCCTGCACCTTTTCCCTCAATCTCCCGAACCTCGATCGAAGGATGTCGATAATCTGAAACTTCGAAATCTTTCCCCTCTTTCGCAGAGTCGAACAGCCCCTCCCACTCGAACGAACCTTCTCGATTCTCCTCGATTCTCTTTCCAATCTTGCACTCCAACTCGATCATCTCGCCATCCAACTTCTGCAACCTTTTCAGATCGGCCAAATTCCCCCTCGCATGATCCCATTCCTGGATCCGATACGCCGCTTTCGCACCCAACCACAACGCCTTTTTCGCAATTTGTCCCTTGGGGTCCGTCGCTTGAGGCCAATTACTCGCAGTCTCGAACGCGCCTTCGGTCCCGTCCAAACAACTGCGGTATTGACCTACTTCGTAGAACGCTCTACTTTGGAGATATCCTAGCGATGCGAGTAGTTCGTCCTTGCCTGTATTCCACGCGCGATCGATCGCGAGCGCACACGATCTCAAACCGGCTTGAAGACGACCTTGCTCGAGGTAAGTCTCGGCGGCCAATGCGTGTTCCTGGGGTGTGGAGATGTTTTGCTTTTCGTTGCGGAAGGGAATCGTTTGGACGTTGAGTGGGTCTAAACATCCGTAAAAATCGGCAGGCGAGTCGATGCGGATTAGGAAACCACCCTTGCTTGATCGAAGCGTCGGTTCGGAAATGACTGTGCAACTCAATGTGACCTTGTTCAATCAGCCGAGGGTGTACGAAGTGGTATTGTGCAAGGTCGAAGAACTGACCGAACGTCGATCTTTGAGGAAAACGGTCGTTTAGATCTTGTAGCGACGTGTTACGTGGGAGTCGGTAGAGCTGGACGGGAGCGACGTCGCCGAGATTATCTTCGATGACGCAATGCACCGAGATGGCATTAACGACGGTGGCAGAGATGATCCGAACGAGTAGAGCCTTGCCTGGATGGAGATCGAATGCACACGGAATGGTGAGGTCATATGAGCTCGGCCCTCCAAGTCACCTCGCGCCACGTCCCTCTCCCTTTCTCAACTGACCTTTGGCACTCTCATCGCACCTCAATTTGTGCAATCCTTCCACAAACTCCAGATTCCTCGATCCAGTCCTCCTGGACCAAGGCTTATACGGCCCCACCACCTCCTTGCGTTGTCTCGTCTCAGTTGAGGAAGACTGACTCCAGGCTCGTTCGCGCTCGATCAGCGCCTGGTGTTGAGCTAGGACTTGGGAGCGATCGAGTTTCGGAACGGGGGTGGGTGGGGGTAGGTTGGAAGGGTTGGAGAGGAATGAGAGTTGGGTGAATTCGTCGGCTTCGTTGGTGGAAGAATGCGAAGCCATGGCTTATGCAAGCCGCTCGATGATCGGGGGCAGGGAGGCACTTGGCTTGTTGGCGCCTCGAACCCCCACATCCGTGGGCCGGGTTTCATTCGCACGGACCATGCCGAGCCTCCCCACATGGTTGTCGAAGGACGAGCGTGATACCTCACCGGGTCACCCAAATAACTCGACCACTTCATCACATTTGATGTTCTTTCCATCACCCTCTCCTTTAGAATCCTCGGTTCTTTCCTGACTCCAGCTCGTCACTTTCCCCACAGAAATAGCCCCTCAATGGCCTCATTCGGTCGTCCCAAAAACGACTAGCCGAGAAATTGACTAGCCCCTTTTCCTAGAGTTTGCCCGAATAAGCACACCCGGCTATCCTCTGCACTTGCCAAGCTGGAAAGATTGGCGTGAACGGATCTTCAGGATGGCTTCCAAGTGTTTCAGCACACTTTTCCTCCTCCCTTGCGTGCCAAGAACTTGCTCACACCTGGGGAGGGACGATCACCTCCCACCTTGGTCTGGTGTCTCTTTCATATCGCTCTGTCTTTGTCCCCCGTTTGATCTCCCACTGTTTTAGCTCCTCAGCAAACCATTCCGCACTGCCTGCACCGACGACATGACAGCCCGCTCGAGCACCAACAAACCCAAGTACGTCCTGCCGGACGACAACACCTCGATGCCCTCGGTAAGCGTATCCCTCAACTGAACACCGCCCTCCTGAATCCTGAATATCGAGCACCTAACCGCAAGAACTCTGCCCGCTCAACCCCGATTTGCCAGACGCCAAGCTCATCATTCCGCCGCTTCGCGACTCGCGTCAAACAAGTCTGCCAACACATCCTCCCCGCTTCACCCAGTCTGAGCTCTGTTCGTTCAGCCACACCTTCGTTCGATACTCCCCTCGATTCTATTTCGCGACACCTCGTCAGAACCGCGAAGACGACTCCGAGTGGTCGCGCTGTCTCGGGCCCGACGAGTGGCCGACCGAATCGGCTACGAAAACGATCGCGAGCTCAGCGCGGTGCCGGCTCGAGCACGACGGCGAACCCGGTAACGCAACGACGTGGCAACGTACAAGAGGATGACACGCTCGAAATCGAACGAAACTTGTTGATTGAGCTCGCTCGGGAACGCAGACAGTATCAAGTCTCCGAGCGACGTCGCACAGCGAGCAGCAGTTTCTACTCCGCCACCGCCGTAGGGATCGTCGTCGGAAAGGAGGTCAACTCTCCCGGCGGCTCGTTCAAACCGGCGGGCGTGTCGAGTCTTTTCCGTCGATCGACGACTTTGCCTTCCCCTTTGCGTCGTCATCACTCGTGTTACCCGATTCATCCATCAACTCACCAGGACGTCTCGGGCTACCATGACCCCGAGGACGATGCCTCCATTGCGCACCGTCGCAATTCGTCGAGTTGTCCCTCGTTGCTCAACCAGCGTCCGCTCAACGAGTCGCCGCTTTCCTCGCTCGCTTCGACCTCTTCCTCTGCGCTTAACCCTCCAGAAGAAGAAACCGACAATAACGAAACGAACGAGATCCACCACGACTCTACCATCGACGAGGATGCGCTTTTCTTCAGTCCCCCTCTTCGTCATTGTAGCTCGTCCCTCAGCGCTCGCGCCTCGGCGACGGGCAGCGGTACGAGTGATCTCCCTCATTACTCTGACGCTCGGACCCCTCCTTTGACCCCTTCGACTCCAAGTACGGTAATCCACACTCGCTCATCACCGTCACGTATTCTCCGTGCTCCATTGTCACCTCCAACTCCAACCCGCACCCGAACAGAATTGTCGAATCATTACCCTCGAGCAACAAAACGTCCTCCCTTTTCGCTAAGTCTCCCCTCCTTTGCGAAAAGGCGTGCCTCCCTGATCCGCAAACTCAAAATCGAAACGGTCATCGTACCCTCCCAAAATTCAAGGACAAGCACACACCATGCACCCCTCCCTCCTTCCCACTTGCGATCCTCTCCACCTTCCTCAGCTTCCACTTCCCTCATTCGAGCAAACACGAACAGCCCAACGCATTCCCGCTCTCGTTCTCGCTCCGTCTTCACCGACGAAGACCTCTTCGGCTTCGGGATCAACCAAATCGCCTCCACCTCCACGGATAATCTTCTCCAAACCCCTCATCGATCTGTTTCCCTAGGCTACAAAAACGCTTTCGCGCGTCTACCTCAAGATGAAGATGATGGTAAGGACGAAGCGGTGAGATTGGCCGAACAGAGGGAGTGGCATCAGAAATTACTCAAATTTGCGGCGGGGAGGGATTCGTTCGAGGTTTGAACCGCGGGAAAGGGTCTTAGGGGCGAAGAGGACGTCTTCCCAGTGATCTTTCACTGTTCGTGGTTTTTCTCCGTTCACTGCTTGGGATAGAGGTTTTTGGGTGCAATGTAGGGCTTTGTGAATCAAGTTTGAGGCAACACCCCCAGCTTGAACATAAATGGAATGTAGCATTCCAGCTTGTTCCTTTCTCTACACGAAGTAAGGACTAAGCTCGAAATACCCATGAAACCAGGTATGATCTAACTCCCCCTTTCAATCACACCCGTACCTCTTGCCACCCTTTCCAGCTCCTTCTCGCCATCTCCTACAAACACCCCGGCAGGCGAACTCATCGAGAACAAACCCGCAGCGATCTTGCCGCGTCGAACTCAACCTTCGAATCATGTGGGATCAACTCGTCGGAAAACCTCGCATTTGGTGAAGTATAAGAATAACTTTATGTTTCACCCTGCCTCCGAGTAGAGCGGTTCACAAGTAAGAACTCACTTCTCGTATCTCGGGAGACTCGAATTGATGATGACTGCGTGTCATTGAACGTTCTAATCAGATCCCTTTCGGGGACACTGCTGAACTCCGAGTAGGCTGCGAGATTTAATCGTATTTTCGGTTCACCGTGGTGAGCAAATTATCTATGCAGACTGATGTAACCGTTGTCCGATAGAAAGTCTGACCTCACACTTCTTTATGGCACACATGCAAGCAAGGCATATCCAACTGTACACAAACCCAAAAACCCGCTCCCCGCTTCGCTCCCATCTCTACTCCCCCGCCCCCCGCCTTCTACCCAGCTCCTCAGTGCTGTACCTCCTCCCACAATCGACCAGCGGTCGCCTCGAGGTTGGTGACCGAAGTCGTCGAGAAGTACCCCGCGGCAATCTTGGCATCGATTTCGACCCTCGAATCGGGTGGGATGAGGTCTTCGGGGATCTCGTACCTCTTGTGGATCGGGATACCTGACTCGACGATGGCTGATGCGGGGTATACAAAAATCGAAGCGGGTCAGGTGCTGCGATTCGACGTACAACGTCACATGGATGGGATACAGTACTGACCGTTATACTTGAGATCGGACATGCTGATCATGTTGTCAATCTTCTTGACGCCGAGCCAGTGCAACACGTCCGGCATCAGCGCTTGGAAGCGCATGTCCTTGACACCAGCAATCTTTTAGCACACCCCAAAGTTGGTCAGCTGCAGACCTATCACTGGCGAATCCACCTGCTTTATACTGACATCCTCAGTACGCTTGAAGTAGTGCGCAGCATTATCGCCCCCTCGTTTCCTCGCGTTGTAAACGAGGTATTTGGTCACCTCTCCCAACGCCCTGCCTTCCTTCCTGAAGTAAATGACGATGCCCACCCCTCCACGCTGCGCACATCGGATTGATTCCTGCAGCCCATAGATGAGGTAGGGTCGACAGGTGCAAATGTCGGATCCAAAGACGTCACTCCCCGAGCATTCGTCGTGGACCCGCAAAGTCAACTCTTTCGATTCATCGGAGATGTATTCCACAGGTCCGAACTGCGCAAGGACAACTGTTGCTCAGATCAAGAGCTTAGGTGGGGTCGTTCATGCGTCCACTTACGATGTAGACCGTCATCCCCCCGATGGGAGGCAAGAAGACTTTGAGATCGGGACGAGTCATGAGTTCGGGGAAGGCGCCTAGTGGAGGGAACTCTTGCATGAGCTTGAATGAGCTTCTCCGTGCACTCTTGCCGTGTACTCACCTCCAGTGTCCTCGAATAAGGAGCGACGAAGCGCTCCTTCAGTGATCCCGAATCTTTGCGCGATACCTGTAAGGAACGACCGAATTCACATGTCTGTCAGGTTCGCTGCACCAGCGACACATGCAATTCCCAACATACCTGGGAGGTACCAGACCGGTTCGAGCGCCGCCTTGTTGACGTTCAACTCGACGCCTGCGTCGAAAGCGGCATGCTCGATGTGTTGAGCCGCAATGTCATGCTCGTCCCTCTTGGTCTTGGCCGCCGTCGAGGCCGCTCGATTCGCATTGATCCATTCCGTCGGGGTCTTGACGACGATCTTGCCATCGACTTCCAAAGCTCCCGAGCGGACGGCCTCGTCCATGTCGAGCAACTTGATGTGGGCTTTGGTGATGGAAATCGTAGGACGGATGTCGAGTCCAGCATCAAAGTACGACTTGAAAACCTGTGGGGCAAGATGGCCGTACGGATCGATGGAGACGATCTTGGATTTGTCGTCCCACGAAGGGTTCCACTTGATGTCAATCGGGGGCTCGGTGTTGGTGTAGTCTGTGAGTTGACGCACCCCACATTCCTGGTCATAAGTTCATGATCAAGCGCTCTTGGAAGCCGTGGCAGAAACCCACCTGGTCGGTGATTGGGATCAATCAAGCCCTGGGCGCACGCGAGCGCGCGGTAAACGCTATACGACCCCGCATACGCGCCAATCGCATTCCTCTTCTTGATGGACAGAGCGTGACGGGATGCAATGACGGGCCCACGTTCCATGGCCGAGGGAGCACCCCACTTCAAAGGCACAGGGGAGATCCCCACTTGGTTTGGGTAGGTGGTGAGTATGACGCGCTGCGAGTAAGGGGACGAAGCGGGGACATTGCGCGCTGGGAGAGAAGGCGAGGCGGTTGGGTTGAGCGGTGCCGAGACGTAGATAGGGGCGAGCGACAAGGGCGAAGTCGACTCGAGGGGTGGTGTGTGGGACAAGGAAGGTGGGGACTGGGTGTTGGAGAGAGTTTGCAACGAAAAGGGCGAGGCAGGTGCGAGCGCGAGTGCTTCGAGCTGGCGTGTTTGGAGCGAGAGAGAGCGCGATGGATAAGGTCATGTGGGGGCGGGGAGGCGAGGCGAGGCGGAACGTGGGAGAACGTGGGTCAGCAATCGATCGAGATTCGGTGTCGGTTCAGTCCGTGTCAGACGCTGGAGAGGTGGACGACGGACGAGGATGGTGCACTGACCTTGTGTTCGAATTGTGCCTGGTTGAGCTTGACGTTTCTCAACTCGAGCAAGATGGCCTCGAGAAGTTGAGTATCGGTCGAGGTGCCATTGCCATTGCCATTGCCAGTCGCACCGCCCGGCGCTGTCGTGCCTTGCTGAGCTTGGGGCTCGGACGAGTTGAACTTGTTCAAGCCAGCAGCAAGGGCGTTCGTTGAGGGAATTGGTATCGGAGTGGATGCAGAGCCAAGCATTGGATGTTGAGTTTGGGATGAGGAAGCCGATGAAAGAGCGGTGGGCTCGGGGTTCGGGTGGAGTCAAGAAGACCGGACCTATTCACGCGCGCTTCAAGAAGGTCCGGACGAGTTTCGCCCGAGGCCGATAACGTGCGCCCCAACTCGGCCGAGATCGACGTCGGCCTTCCCCGGCCGAGAGGTCAAGTGCAGTGGGGCGGAGCATCTCGAGTCTCTGAGCACTGAGCGGGGATGGACCGACAGGTGTGCCAAATCACTTCCTTGCGAGTTCTATCTCACAACGCACCGTCTGCTACCCATCACTATTCGAATTTCGCGTTCGATCTCTCCGCATTGTTTCGATGGAGTCGGGGTCGTCACGACTCACGCGCACATGTCGGGAGGTCCGTGCGCACGGCTCGGCCCTGGCACATGGATTTTGATCAACATCGACAGTTTGTAAAATTTCTCCCATTTCGGACTGGAAAATTATAACCGGTAGATTTTCGCCACTCGAGAAGTCGAACAACGGCGCTGCTGCTTCTCTCAACTTGAAGTTGGCCAAGCCAGGGCGCCAGCCTGAAAGGGGGTGCCCTCTCTCGGCGACCTGCACCCACCCAGAATACAGCCCGACCATGGCCCCTCTGCTCTCGTTCCGAGCTGGCCGAGCGTTCCGCCAGGGCGAGACCAACACGGTCGTACCGGCACCTGGAAGAGGGTCAGTTACCTACCTCACTTACATACACCCCTCGCATCACCTGCGGCGGATTGGCTAAGCCGCGTAATCGTCCCCCGTTGGGACACTTGAACGCAATGTGCTGACCTTCCACATGTCTCCAATCGCTGTTGTGTATGCTAGATTGATCACGATCGAAGAGGAGGATGGCCTGATGCACTGTAAGCAGTCGTCACACTCCGGCGAGGAGCGTGAATCAATCTCTTCGCCCCACGATCGCCCTGATCGCACACTCCCCTTGTCATTACCTACGTCCTGACAACCTCTTCATCCTTTCCCACAGTCTACTGGAAAGACCTCGACGCCAACGCTATCGTGGAAGACCTCATCATTTTCCCCGGCGACGCGACCTTCGTCAAAGCGAGCGAACGCGTCCACGTACTCAAGTTCTCCTCCTCCTCCGCTCGAAGCTTCTTCTGGCACCAAGACGTCGACGCATCGCACGATCAGGAGCGAGCGGACAAGGTCAACGAGTTGATTGGCGCTCAGATTGACGAGGAAGAGGATTCGGCGGGGGCAATGGAGGTCGAACCGTGAGCCCTTGGTTTGCGCTAGAGGCTTTGATCCATCCCTTTTTGTACATGTAGCTATCAAACGGTACCTCGCAATGCAACCCCATGATCCACATCACATCTCGTTCCAATCGCGAGGACCACGACCGAAAGGCTTACCTATCTATCGCCTTGTCTACTTTCACAGAACTACCACTCGAAACCCTTTCCAAACCCCGGCACCGGCATCCCGAATCGCCATGCCCCCACCTACAACGACTCAACCAGTAGCCCACACTGTACCTGCACCCTCATCCTCGTCTTCAACGGCAGCTAACCCTCGACTAGGCTCGGAGGCCCAAATGGCTCAACTGCGCAGCATCCTTGCTGGGATCACGGGTGAGACCGCATCCGGGTCTTCGTCGGGCTTTGGAGGGATGAACGAGGTCCCAGGTAATTTTCCTCGGCGCAGCTCCCCCCTCCCAAACACCGTCTTACTATCTCACTCGTCCATCCATCTACAGAATATCAACTGCAAGACGTCCTCACACCCACCGTAATCTCTTCCCTCCTCTCCAACCCCTCTCCAGCCCTCCTCTCAAAACTATCCCCTCTCCTACCCCCGATACTCCCTTCCAACTCCTCCGAATCCCTCCGACGTGCGACAACAGGGACCCCCGAATTCCGTCGCTCGGTAGCGGCTTTGGATCGAGCGCTGAGGACGGGGGCCTTGGGGCCTTTGGTCAGGGGTCTAGGGATGGGGGAGGAGGCGGCTATGGGGGTGGAGAGCTTTTTGCAAGAAGTGCAGAGGCAGGGGGAGGAGGAGAAAGGGAAGGAGGAGGAGGGGGAGGATAAGGAGATGAAGGAATGAAGGTGGAAAAATCAGTGTATATCTGTGAGGTTCGAGCAAGTGTAGTACTCGAAGGTGGGACAACAGACGCTGCTGGGTGAATTGGACCTGAAGAACAGACATCCGGTGATCCCTAGTTACGTATTGCCAACATAAGCTAAGTTTACAAAGAAGAAGAATCTCATCAAACGCGAAATATGTTATCACCGACGCGTAGCCGTAGCACACACGCGAACCCGTATTCACATCGTATTCCTAATCTTTCTGTCCAAACCGGACCAATCATCACCTCTCATCCTACGAAACGGATAAGCATCCAGGGACACAGGTCGATTCGACTGCCTCGCACCGCAAATAGTAGGGTCCATCGCCACCTCGAAATCAATTTCGACGTCGAAACAATCGGATAGTCCGTCCAAATCCAGGAGCTTCTCGTCCTCCTCGTCCTCGTTCTCCACCTCCTGCTCCTGCTCCTGCTCCTCGTGCTCTTCCTCGTGCTCCTCGACGCCATCCTGCTCATCCATCCCCTCCACATCCTCCCTATCGACCAAATATACTTCCGATGGCGGGCTCTGACACCACTGCAACATCATCGAAATCGTCGTCTTCTGCCTCTTCTTCCCCTCCCCCACCTCCGTCGCCCCATCAGCTCCAGATTCCCCTTGCCACTCCAAAGTGACGGAATCGCGATCTTCCTCGAATTGCTCACCCGGTTCGGAAAGTTCGCCTTCGATCCTAAAAGGGTACGAAAGGAACGAAAAGCGATTCTCGTCGAATAACCAGGATTCGTCCATCGTGTTCGTCGTCACGTCGAAGGGGAACGTCGAGGGCTCTTCCATTCCCTTAGGCGACAAACAGAAGGAAGTAGGTCTATTGAGCGTGGGGGTCGAGTCCAACATGGCTGAGAGTCGACCTGAATGAAGTGCCGAAGTGAAGAGGGACGACGCTGTAGACAGCGGGCGGGGATCGGATGAAGTGGCGCCACCGTCCCCAGTCGTCAGGGGTACAAAGTCACCAACGTTCCTTGCGTCCGGCGATCTTGCGCCACTTCGATCGTCCTCCGAATCGACGATGGTCAATACAGGTACGGATGTATCGAACGTCGCAAGTGCAAGCGAAGAGTCAAACGAGCCGAAAGATTCATTGATGAATGAAGTCCATGTCTCAAGATCGCGCTCATGGAACGTTGTGTGGCGTTGTTGAGCTCGAGCCATAGCAGCGGAGACGGAGATGCGGCGTTGTCCCTTTTCTGACAAGTTCGATGAGGTGGGGGTGGGTAGAGGGTCGACCCTGGTCTTGGATGAACATTCGTTGGGATCGTATTCGTATTCGGTGGCTAGGGAGCTTTTGCGAGGTGGCCAATGCACACTCTTCGCCGGCGTTGCCGGCGGAGCAGGCGACGGCGGACTCCCATTCTTCGAAGTCTTGGAGTTCCCCGCATCTTTCCTCGACGACACCGTAATCACCAACTCTTCCTCATCATCCGCCATACTCGAACGCCCCGAACTCTCCCTCCCATCCCTCCTATACGCCTTCAAACCGTTCGCGACCGGCGGACTCGACCTCGGTGTACTAAAACCCAGCCTTTTCGAATCCTCGGAATCGCACTCGTACACACTCTCGCAGGTGGCGCTTCGTAAAACGGGGTACGAGATGGAACCTTTCAAAGTCCGTTTGCGAGAGATGGGTGCCCCACCGACACCATGATCGGCTAAAGGAACATTCTCGAAACTTTCGGCTCTGTAGAGACGCGGGACGAGCGCGGCGGTCCTGACGGCGTAAGGTAGAGGAGGTAAAGGCGCTTCGGATCGACTGCGTGTGTAACCGACGGCAGTCGTGCCGGTCCCTCCTCCCCCACCGCCACCGCCGCCGCCGCCGCCCGTGTTGAGGAAGCGCGAAATGCGCCCGATCGATGTTTTGGCGAGGCGAGAGAGCGTCCGAGAGCGAGTCATGGGCTGAATAGGGAGAACAGAAAGGTTGAAGTAGAGTTTGAAGTGTATAATAAATGCAATCAAGTCAGCTTCGTGACGGAGGACCAGACTGAAGATGGTCAAGCAAGCACTGTTGCCGAAGGGGTGGTGCACTGGCCTCCTTTTTCCCAGGCTCAGCAGAGCCTCGGCCGGCCTGCGCCGTCCTCAAGCCTGTCCGTCCGTCCCCAAGAAAAAGGTGCAGCCGCGCAAGACGCCGAAAACAGTGTCCAAAAGCGACGGAGCAAAGAGACTAACCTTTGCGGGTGTTGTGTGCATTCGAGAGCGCTTGACGGAAGGACGATGGGTGAGATGAGGTGTAAAAGACATGTCGCGTGCTCGTCTTGATCCAACCACAGATGAAGCGTGATGTAAAGCAAACAGTCAAGAAGAGGTAGAGAGAGAAACAGAAACCCGCTTTGGAGCGGCGCGTTGCAAGAGTGGGGGCTTCGGAACCGAAATAGGTGAGTTGAAGCGAGGGCGCGCCGGCCGCGTAGGTCCGTCAACGTTCCGAGCTTTTTGGTTCCCAAGAAAAACGCGCTCACCTCAAAAGCAGGCTAGTGTCAATGAAGCGACCCCCCTGAAGACGCTAATGCATCCAAAAGAAGCAAAGTAGATTGGTGAGCGAGATTGCCACCTTTTCGGTCGACTAGCGCCAAGCTTGTCGGAGTCGACGTCCTCTTTTCCCCCCACCGCTCGTAAAAGATGCCTCCTGTCGCGTACGGACAACGGCATGGAAGCTCAACGAACGTCCGTAGTCTCTGAACCCTTGAAAACGTGGGCTTTCGACAAAGTACTGCTGAAGCACTTGTAGGGTCGAGTATTTTCATCCATTAAGCACATGAAGGTGGATACACTATGTGTTACGAGGGGACCCCGCTTCCCCCTCGCTCACAGCCTCATCCGATCCTTCCGGCGGAAGGAATCATGTTCGGCCGAAGTGGCAATTTGCGAGGGGCGTCCTCCCCTCCCACGCACCTCCAATCGAAGCGACCCTGTTCATCAATTCCCGGATCCGGAAAGTAGTGCCTGGACCTCTTGATTTCATGGCCTTTCGCCTTCGGTGAAGCGTTCATTCCGTGGAGATCCGTTGAAGGGGCCCTTGCTCTCGTTGACGAGCTCGGGAAGTGACGAGCAACTCGAGCGTCGGGTGGAACGAGTGTCCGAGCACGACGACGGACGGGCCCTCCAGCTCGTGCTAGTCAGGTGATGATCTTCGAAGCTAATACACAAGACCCTTTTCCCCATCGATCAATAATATCACGTCAAGCTACTCTATTCCACACCCTGTCCCGGCCATTTAACCGGCCTTGGCCAATTTCTTCTCCCTCCGCCGTTCCTCTTTGGCGACCATCCTCGCGATCTCTTGGGCTTCGTCCACTTCGGCATCTGTCTCATCCACTGTTGTGCTTGAAGCATCTTTGTCCTTTTTCTCCCTCCTGTCCTTTTTCTTGCTCTTCTTCGGCGCCTTGCCTGTCACCTCCTTCCCCTCCACCTTTATCTCTTCCTCCACCTTTATCTCTTCCTCCTCCTTTATCTCTTCCTCGGCCTTCCGCTTCCTCGACTTCTTCCTCTCTTTTCTCCCTTCATCATCATCTACATCAACTTCTTTGGCCTTCTTCTTCTCATCCTTGTCCTTGCCCTTCCGATCCTCATTTTCCCGCTTAACCCTTTGTAGCACCTCCTTCTTTACCACTACCTCCTCCTCCTCCTCCCCCACCGTCGACCCAATCACCTTCCCCCTCACGAAGCTCGCATACAACTGCCTCCTCGCCATCTCCATCTTGGCACGGCCCATCGCTTCCCAATTCAAGCCTCCTCCTGCTCCCGTTGAAGTTGCAGTGGATGTGGAAGTGGAAGTGGATGGTGTAGGTTGGTAGTGCGAGTCCAGGGCGGAGGGTTTGGGGCGAGGGGGTAGGGGGGATATCAGGCCTGTTGAGGTGCGATCTTGGGCTTCCTGTAAACGAACAAACGATTGATCTTGTGTCACTACTTGCGATCCTAGCTGCAATCATGTGAACCCTCCAAATCCAAAACTCCTCTCCCCGCCCGTCGCCCGTCGCTCGTCGCCAAAGCCCCTTCGAGCCCCCGCACCCTGCGCCACCTCAAAAAGAGCCTCTAAAAAGCCCCACAGTCAATTGAACTCACCTTGACCTTGCCCGCCAGACCTTCAAAAACCACTTCCCACCAATTATAACTCGTATCCCGATCTTTACCCAAACCGCTTAACGTCTTTTTATGCGCAATGGTGATCGGTCTCGCACGCGCGTGAGGGGCTGAGGTCAGAGGTTCACCTGGGGTCCAGCCTAGGCCTTGAAGGTAGATGTGCGGGGAGAATTTGGGTTTGGTTGAAGAGGGGAGGGTGGTGGTGGTCATGGTGGTGGGGGATGGTGGGTTAAGGACACGATGGAGCGACCACGGGGTTCGAGCCGAGGTTGACTAGATGAAGCGAGCTGAGGTGTGTAGGGAGGATTCCAAGGTGTAAGGACTTGCAGCAAAGAGTCGTGTCTCTGTCGCGTGAGCTCCTGATGCTTGAGATACGATGGGCGTTTCCTACACGTGCGTGCGCCAATACTTGAGAGCGAGATTCGTCGTGGAGAGCTGCAAGGCAGCGAAGGCGCCAGCGAGTCTCGCGCGCTCGATCAGTTTTCGGGGTGAAAGCGGTCCGAGCTCAAAGTTGAAGCTTTGAAGCGTGACTGGCTTGATACGACGTGAATACGTGGCTGGGGACGGCTGGGGAAAGAGCGTCGCGTCATAGAACGGCGGCACGATTTCATTTCATTTCCTACTCACCTCGCCTGCACACACTCAACACCACCGCCTCTCAACACACGTATTCGTACTCAGTACAGTCCCCACACGAGGTAGAGCACGCGCGCCCAGACTCCCTCCCGTGCTGAGGAGGAACGCTCCACCGGCGCGGGCCATTGACGAACAGGAGGCCATCCCTTGCGCGTCGCTCAGCATGTCCTCCCACCAATCCTACACCATCGCCGCCGACTCGGACGACGAAGGCGACGACCTCGTCGCGCACTCCTCCGCGAACCTCCACAACCACACCAGTGGTCATTCCGAAGGGCTGCTCCCTCTTCCGGCCACGACACCGAGTTCCAACAAGGGGAAGGGGAGGGCTGCCTCGCTCTCACCGGATCCGAATGCGTTGAGTGGCAGGATTGGGAGCAGTCCTGGTGGGGTCGGGGAGAGGACTACGAGGAGTACGGTTGGGGGCGTCAAGACGGAGACGAGGTCGGTCACAGGTCGGGTTCAGACCTGGAGCGGAGTGCAGACTGGTGGGGGGGAAGGGGGGCTGACTGAATCACTCGCTCCCAACAGGTACACGGGTCAAGACACGTTGGATGAACCCGTATCAGAGACTATCGTCAGTCATAGCACAAACTTACTCCAGGCAAGACACACAGCTGAACCTCGCGTTTGACCCGACGCGCAGATGCGGGACCTGCGAGCGATCGGCACCAAGATCGTGCAAGTCTTGCACCCGACGAGCGAGAACGCCGTCTTGAAGGACTGGGACCTCTGGGGGCCTTTGATGGCAAGTCATCAACGTTCTCGAGGCAAGCATCTCTCGTGCTAATCAAGCGGAATTCGACGACATGCTTCCTTCCCAGTTCTGCCTCTCGCTCGCTATCCTGCTCTCGACAAATGGTGAGCGTTCGCGCCAATCAATCCGAGACGAGACCCAGCAGAACGGCAGCTGATATGTCGGACTCTCGCGTTCCCCGCAGCGCCCTCGGAACAATCCCTGGCCATCTTCACCGGCGTCTTCGTCATCGTCTGGCTCGGCTCGGTCGTCGTGACCCTCAACGCCAAGCTCCTCGGCGGCAAAGTGTACGTTCTCACCACCCCACCTCCCCAACTTCCCACCTCAAACACCCTTGGAATCTCACCCGCATCTCTTTAACCCCACAGCTCCTTCTTCCAGTCCCTTTGCGTCTTGGGCTACTGCGTCTTTCCCATCGATATCGCCGCCATCGTCTCCGTCTTCATCAAAGTCCTTTGGATCCGGTTACCCATCTGTCTCGCTGCGTTCGGATGGTCCATCTGGGGTAAGCACCGAAAACACTCTTACAAAACCCACTTCGTCCACTCGAAAAAAAAGTATCCTAAACTAACCCTTGACCCCCTTTGCACATCTGCACCCAAAAGCCGCCGTCAATTTCCTCGGCGGCACGCGCCTCGAAAAGGACCGCGCCGTCTTGGCCATCTATCCCTTGGTCCTCCTCTTCTTCCTGTTGGCTTGGATGGTCATGCTTTCTTAGAACGGAAAGCGAACGTCCCCAGGTTGGGAATTCGAGGTGTTGGGGTTTTTTTTTTCGTGTTTTGTGCGTATGTGCGAAGTGATTGGGAATCGATTCTCTTCGTATCACGTTTCTTCGCGGTCCCTATTTCAATGTGCGTGCGAGCCATCGCAGAGAAGAGTGTGAGAATGAACACAAGAATGTATCCTTAGAACCATCAACCAATCACGCGTGAGCCTCCCTCCTTCCCCTTGACAATCTACGGGGACCGTAAATCAATGCCCCCTTTACGAGGTAGCAGGAACAAAACGAAAACACGTGAATTACAACAATCTGCTTTTCCGCCAAACTGTGTAATCTGACGGCCAAAAAATCCATGTACACTTTTACTACGCTGTCCACTTCCTCACCCCTCACAAGCGATAGGAGGTGACGTCGCGCCGTCCTTCCGATCGACGCACACAAGTTCGACGACGCCATTCGCACCAGCGCTCGCGGTAGGGCCGAACATGAACATGGATGAATCGCCCGAGAGAGTCACCGATCCTGGCGACGATGACGAGAGCGACGAGATGGACGATGGGGCGGAATGCGATCGCCGTAAATTTGGTCGAAGGGAGAGAAGGTGAGGTTGCTGAAGCAGGATCGGGGAGACCGATGATGATGAATCGAGCGTATAGTTCGATTCGGCGCCGACGTCCTTTGATTCGACGAGATCGTCGTTCACGAGTAGAGGTATGACTATGGGATCGACGACGGTCACGCCCGGTTCGTCACAGAGCACGATCGGAAGAGGCACGACAGTCGTATCAAGAGCGGCATCCGATGCGTTCTCGCCATCAAAGAGGTTCGTTGGATCTTCTGACCACATCGGCTCTTTCTCGCTTTCGAAACGGTGACTCGTCGCATCGTAACCCATAGGATCGTCCGGCAGATCGTCGTCGTGTGTAGTTGGCGAGATCATGTCCTCCTCGTCCGAGTCGTCAGAGTTGTCGATGCCGTCGAATTCGCCTTCTTCCGCGTCAGCCCGCTCGCACCGTCCTTTTCTTGACCAATGATTCCAAATGACCCACCTAATCGATTGAAATAAGGTCAGCAAGTCTTCTCGTGACCTTTTCGCGCCAAGTTATCCGTCCTCACTTTTTGAACTTCAACCCCGCATCACCTCCTCTCGAACTATTTCCACTCTCGGCCGAACGAGCCCTCAGCACCGCCAAGAGGTGTTGTTTAAGCGGTATCGGAGCCCAAGGGAAGGTGTGCTCGCCCGAATGGTGCGTGTGCGGTTGGGATGTAGGAGGAGTCCAATTCGGTGGGGACGAAACGGAGCGAGAAGGTCTTGACCGGAACGAGAATTTTGACGAGCCCTTCGGTGCCGCAGTCGGCGACGAGAGCTCATCACTCGAACTCAACGTCCCATCCAAGTTCGAGGAACGTCCGCTTGAAGATCTATCTTCGGCCTTGTTGGCGTTGACCCTCTGCCTCCACAACGTCTGCCACTTGGGGCCTTGCCACTCTGACCCAGCGTTCGCGACCCAGATCGCTTCGTCGGGGCACATACGACTGACGCGTGCATCTCCATCGTGTCGAGAAGCGGATGCCCACCAAGACGATAGCCGACGCGTAGTTTGCGGGATGTACCTTCTCGGAGTTGGCGTCGACGTCGGAGCGGAGGCGGCTTCTGATGCTGGTGGAGTCAACGTAGGGCCCGAAGTGATGTCGGATGTCGGAGCAGATCGATAGAAGAGTGATCCACACCGATAAAAGGCATGAGAAAGTTTCATCTTCTTGCACCGCATCGTCAAGTGAATGCAATCCTCCGCGCTTCGTTTCCCCTCTGACGTCAACGATGTCCCCAGTGTGCGCTTGGTGGACGTTCGCCCGGGGTATGTCGTCGAGCGCAGTGGAGAAGATGGGCATTGATGTGCGTGCTCAAAAGCGGCTCGAAGCTCTTCTGATGGACTGAGGGCGAATTCATCGCCGAGCGACATGTGCGAGAGAAGGTGGGGTAACGTCACGGCCCCCGGAGACGGTCCTGCTTGGGCTGCCGTTGTCGCCGTTCGAGTTGAGGCTACACGAGGGACGAAGAGAGCAGTCGGTACTGTTCAGTAAGCGTTTTTCCTGGATATCCAGAGATCTGTGGTGGGAATGTGCCGTGGTGCTGTATCGCGCCTCGTATCGCCAACGCAAGCGCCAGCAGAAGGCGGCGCGACCAAACAGCCGAAGCCGGACTATCGACTGCATGATAGCAGCTCGAGCCAGCCCAGCGCGTCGATGACTACTCGGCCGGACCCAAGTGCAAAGGGACCATGCCAGGACAAGCACATGAAGACTCACAACGACCACGAGCTGCAGTAGCAGTAGCAGCTACAATACGCTTCCGTTTCCCCGGTAATTGATGTTCCTGCCGGGCGGGGGAATGGGCCCTGCGCTTGGTTGCGGTGGTCGAGCCAATCGCAGGAGCGCGTGCGTGAGGGGTGGCAGACGACCCCACCACTCCGCCCGCCGACGGCGCGCTGAGCAGCGCACGCAGGGAATTCGCCTCATGACGAACGGGGTCGTACAGCGAGCCCGTCACTACGCCTTTGCCTTCGAGTCGAATCTCATACGAAAGCTTGGTCCCCAAGGAGGGATTGGGAGAATGGGCCAGGTCCGTCGACGCGTCGTGGGGTCGGTGTGCGTGGTGAGACATGGACGCCATCATGCGCTTGCCCGTCGTGGTCGCGCTCGAGGTAGCGGTTGCAGTCGTCGCTGCTGCTCCAACACCGGCCAACTCGTGACCTCGCGGGTGTGGGCCAGGCCAGTGCGGCGACAACGTCATCAGTCGTAATGCGAAGAGCCCTTCTTATGGAGAACAGATGAAAGGGCAGACGTAGGTCAGGGTTGGATGTGTGAAGAGAAGCAAAAAGAAGGGCGAGAGCAGCCCACAGGAGAGCGTCGACACGCCCGCCCCTCTTCAAAGTCGGGAGAAGGGGCAGCACGGACGGGGCTTTCCGAGCTCACGCGCGCCCAAGCGCAGGATGGCCCCGACGTCATGGCCGGCCAGGCTTGAGCCTCACTGGTGACGACACGGATGATGCTGCTGGCACTGGCCGTCGGAGCGCTGAGGGCATACCACAACCACTTCACCCAGAACATTGCAACATCCTAACGATCGCTTGACGACGACCAAGGGACCAGAGCCCGCAGCTCGGCCCCCATCCTGCTTCCGCAGGGTCTCCTGACTTCTGAGCCGTTGCACGCCCGCGCAGTAGAGGCTCAGGGGTGTGCTCATTCAGGGGGCGAGGGCCACCGCGGTCAGCGTCGCCGCCCGCGGCTCCGAATCGGCTCCCACGTCGCGGAAGTCTTTCCAGCGACGAATTGGACCATCAACCATAACCAATGCTAAACGAAAAGGAATCAGGGCTCCCTTGGTTGGCCTAACCAGTGTGCCCAAATGCATCTCCAATAGGTGTGAGCACTGTTTTACGACAATGAAAAAGTGAAGGAAGATACTGGGCACGTTGTACTCGCTTCGTTTGAGCGGCGGAAAGGGCACAAAGGCTCAGAACTTGTACATGACTTCTGAGGGGAGCATGGACACCACAGGCAGGTGCAAGGCTGGTGCGGCAGACGAAACAGTTCATCGACCGATACGTCCTTTGTCGTCGGTGTTTCGTCTGCGTATGTGTGGATTATGTCGGTAGACCATCTCCCTATTGTACCGACCAGCATCTACTGAGATTCGTAAGAGGTTCATCATCCGATGTTCTCACCCCGGTCAACGGGATCCGTGGCCCTCCAAGCTATTGAAGTTCCCCTCAAGTTAACAGGTCCCCTCTTGGTTTACCATAGGATAGTCACAGTTGTGCCATATTCTCTATTGGGCCGGCAACGAGTGTTCTATTCGGTGTCGCGGACAATACTTCCTGTACACGAAGAAGCCCACTCCCAAACCAGAGGGGGGGAGGAGGCAATTGAAAGTTGTCAATCGAAGTTCGACTTCGAGTCGGGACTCGATCACTACATACAAGAGCACGAAGAGAGATTACAGCGAATTCATGACCACCCGAGTGCGAGCTAAGAGTGTGTATTGAAATTCCGCGTGATTGCCCACATCGCTTGACTGTATTGCTCCTATGATCATCTTTGTTTGCTCCCACAATCATATTCACATATTCAACCTCATAGTACGCACAGTAGTAGTAAATCTGAGACACAACAGAGACAAAACAAGGATATCATACGACAATTAGTGGAGCAAAGCAAAAATATTCTGACTGAATAGAAGCCAATGATGCAAGTGACACTGCAATGGGGAGCTTCGCTACTCCAGGTTCAAGTTCTGTGCCGCGAGCGTGATGGAGAGCGACTGCAGGTCGAGAACCAGTCTGTCGAGCAAACGAGCTGCGCCGTCCCGCCCCCCCATTCCTCAAACAGAGCCGTTTCTTCCTCTGCTATCGTGCTCCTTTCGCGAATCAATGTTATCCCGCAGTACTTGAACAATACTTGGGATAGCGAGCCAATGTTGGTCCAAAAAGAACTGTATTGTTCTACGCGAGACTCCCAGCGCTCTGGCCTTTGGAATAGCTCGGTTTTCAGAGCTTCCATCATCGGAACGACAGAGTCCCAGTCTTCCCAGTCCAGCTCATCCTCCTTCGACATCCTTTTCGGGCTTTGGGGTCCCAGAGGCCGGCTTGAGACCACGTATAAAACGATGAAGAACAGCTGTTCGACCTGGTGCCATATCTCTTGTTTGATTCGAGGCGAGATCGTCGGAAGATTTGCCCGGGCCATTGTTGTCAGCGCGCCCTGCAGATGCGACGCCCGCAAAATTAGCGGTTAGAGCCTTGCTGAAGTAGGGACGGGGGACGGGAGGGGACGGGAGGGGGGCACGGTGACGAGCTTGACTCACCACAGGTTCTAGACGCTCTTCCTCCGACGAAGGATCGTTCAAGAAGCATAGCCAGTTGGGGAGTAGTAGGCATCCCGTGCCGTCGGCGATGACGACGATGTTATCGACTGAAAGATCCAGATTCAGTATGTTGAGCCGGTAAAGAGTGCGGATACCTGTGTTGGGCCATTGCCCTGATGACTGATCAGATCTCGCCCTTGTGTGGTGAGATGAACAAGGCTCACTACTACACACCTTTGGCTGCGCCTAAGATTATCTGGGTGAGGTGGGTTGTAGACTTGGCCTCCAGAATCGACTCGAAACGTCTGTCATACTTGACGTATTGAACCGCTCTCGGGACAGTTCCACATCCCGTGTCACCACCGCACACAGCGACCGGAGCGCTGCGATAGGCTTGAGGATCCCGAAAGATCATATCTACCACCGCGAGACCCTCCCGCTCGTGTGGCTGCAGAGAATGCACTCGTTTCAGGAACTCGCTTGTCCGTTCGGCTTGATCTTGGTCGACGAGCGAGAAGACGACGGAGTGCTCCGGTGAACCACCAAACGAAGCTTGGCTACCCGTCTCAACGTTGTTGAAGACTCCGGGATAGCAAATAGCTCGGGGCCCGGTCATTGCATCATTAAGGTGGGTCGGTTGCCACAGACAAACTCCTTGATGTGTGAGTCTTGGGCTCGACAAAGCTGCGATGGGGCGTTGGTATATGATGGGCGGTAGGCTGTCCACTGTGACGGGGTAGGTGGGGCCAGAAGCGATGATGCCGAGGTCGAGCTCGGGAGCGACAACGAGTCGGACCAGGAACCTCAAAAGAGTCGCGTAGCCTTCTTGTTGAGAACAGTCGAACTCATTCGTCTTGAAGACGCCGCTTGCCGAGTGAATAAGAACGCGGAACTGCGATCCCACCAGCGTGAAGCCGTACGTGAATTCACGCAGAGCATTTGCTGATTTCAGACGATAGAACCTCCGCACACTCTGCCAAACGGCAGAGCCTCCTTTGTTCCCCTTTTTCAATTCTCCAGGCGCGAGTACGTGATTCAGTTGGCGAAGATCTTCCGGACGCTTGCCTAACCGAATCCCCTCCCTCCTCCATTCATCATCTGACATTGCCCAGACCCTCTCGATTGGCTCCGTCGACGCAAAGGAGAAGAGAGCGACCGCGTCCGGTGCGTGATCGTCGTGAGGGAGCTGGCCGGCCGAGGTCGGAACGACGATGTTCAAAAAACCACTTGCAACGATATGACGTATAGCCGGACCCTGTTGCGCCAGCAGAAGATTCATTTATTAAGCAATGTATTGGGTAACTTGTATTGTGCAACGACATAGCAGACTCACAACCGCATTGATTTGGGCAAAGAGGTCTTTCATCGGCTCTTCCTCCCCCCAAGTACCCGAAAAGGCGACATGCTCGACCAAGTCGTCTAACTCGGGAGCTGGAGTTGCCACAAACGTGTGCAGGTTTCGCGAGAACTCAATACGACCGCCCAGCTCCTGCCTAAGTCGGTCATGGATGACTTCCTTGCGGTTGGTGTTGAGGCCGGGAGCAATACTCCTTGAGTACTTGACGGGAGCATCGTTGGGCTTCACTGCTTTCAAAATCTCCGTCAGAGTCCTGAGTGATGTAGCGGGTTTCGAATAAAAGAAATGTCTCATTCACACTCACTGATAGCTCTGGTGCCTGCGTGAAAGACCAGACCGTGGGAGATTGCGCTTGTAGCGGACAGCGAGGAGGAAAAACAGCTGCGAGATGCCTCCGGGCGTGGGATATGTCGGACGTGTGTGGGCTGAATGAGGGAGGACAAAAGGCGACAGCGCAGACTGGAGCACAGAATGTGGTGGCAAGTGCGCCGAAGAAAATACGCGAATGGCAGGGTGTACGTGGTGCACCGAGACGTTTAGTTGGCGGCAAGAGCGTGAAAGGTGAGCTTGCCTTAACGTTGCATCAACCTCTACTTCGGTCACCGAGGACGGGCGACGCGCGTAATCGCAGACGATGCGATAGGACGCGATTATGACTTGTGGGCGGGTCACCGGCCGTCACTTCACCAGCTCGCAGGTCGCAGTGCCAAGGGTTCTCATAGGACCAGAATACCGGAGGATTGGATTAGATCCGTTTTTTTTTTTCCCATCTCGCGTTGATCGATCCTTTCTTGATCCCATCCAGAAAGATCAAGTTGATCTGAGACATTCAGCTGCCTTATATGGCAACAGATATCCACATCTCACTAATTGTCGCTATCGGTGTTGAGCGCGTCATTGTCACTACTACCACAACTACTGTTGTGTGTATCATAACTATCCTCCTCATCCTTGTCGGTACCATCATCATCATCATCATCATCCGAAATGATCACCTCACTGATTCGCCTTTTTTTAATGAGCTGCGGTTGCGCGCGTTGCCGAATTGCTATAAAGATCGCCGTAGCCTTTCCTGAGTTGGACCTGAACTCCATGTCTCGAGTCCCTATTGATCGACACGAGTGCGGCAAACTCGGGATCCTTCAAGTCCGCCCAGCACTTCTGCTGTACAGGCGTACGATGATCTGTGAAGCGGCGTCGAAGGCAAGTACCCGGTCATGGTCAGCCGCAGGCATTTCGAACACTTCTCCGCTGCACTGGGGACTTGCCTTTTTCATCAAGCTCGCCGAGGACTCGCTCGAGCAGCAACTGCGACACAAGGCTGAGGTTACCGACCCGCTTTATCCATTCCCCGAGGTGGTGGAGTTTGTGAATGGCCAAGGGCATCGCTTCGAACCGGTTCTCTTTGAACCTACAGACGCTCTTGCCCTTGTACAAACCGGTCGGCGAGCTCGTCGATGGTTTGGATGCGCTCAATGCTGGCGGGGCTGCGGTCGAGCACAAGCCTGACGAGCCTGACGAAGTCAGCCCAGTGTGCGACGTACATGTTGGGCATCCCGGCGTCTGTGAGTTCGGCGACGGATCCATTCAACTCGAATTGCAACCACTCGTGAATCTTGTAGCAGGTGTTGGCCTTCTTTTGGGGGGTTTCGCAGGTAGGTTCCGAATGCGCTTGGCGTCGTCACCTGGGCACCTTCGAGCAAAGCCGCAGCGGTGGAGAGGATGCGAGTGCCATCTTTTACTGGTCTCCAGCAGACAGGTGACTTCCACAGTAGAGCGGGAGTGTTATTCCCCAGCAGGTGTGCGATGTCGATTGGCAAGGACCCGGGCACGTCGAACAGCCTCCGCTCGATTCACCTCAGGCATACCTTTGTACCCAAAGGTACACCGAAGCGCGCTTGCCAAACCTCGCTTCTGAGCTCTTCTGAGCGGGTTTCCCGGCGGTTTTGGGTCGAGTACCATAGTTGGGAGCTTCCAGTCTCGGAGCAGTTGGCACGAGAGATGAGAGATGTCACAATGGCCTTATGGCTTCATACTGAAGCTCTTCAGCATACAATCGCCTTTACATGCCATATTTTTATCTCTCTCGCATCTTGTTAACTATCAAGTCGATCAGAAGTTAAAACCCTTCTTCGTGAGGACTTAGTACTGGCTGGGTGACTTAAATTGTGATAGGTAGTCAAAATTGAACGTGACCTCACGGCCTCACGTGACGCGAGCCTACGCCAGCGCTGAGCAAACGCGCGTGTTCTCGTTTGCAGCTGCAACCCGCGTCCCTTCCAAGGCTTCCTGGCAATCAACATCGCTTGTTTCTGATCTTCTACCTCAGTCTTGCGCGTTCGACCGATCGTCTGTGTCAACCTCTCGCCAGGATTGTCCCCAGTGAGTGCCCTAGAACCATGCTTGCTGCCCCGCCGCGCCGCATCCCAAACACGTCTTAGCAGCTGTGGACATCAATAGCGAGCTCTGAAAACTTTGACGCGTCCAGGTTGTTGTTACGGAGGTACGATCTGACTGACCCAGTTCATTGTACTTCATCTTTGGCTTGTTCAGCTTCATTGCTTTGGGATAGCGACGTTCTCGACATTCACCTTCCTCAAGCGGTGTTACAGGGCGTGACCGACTGATCCAAGCACTGGTACTATTCTGGTAGGTCGCGTCGGGTCACGTTGCTCCGGTGCACATGGCGATCAGTTCGACCCACACACGCGCCGACCAATCTCAGAACAAGGATCGCACAGAGCCGTAACATGGGACAATGTCACACAAAACAGGATTAGTTGAATTTAACATCGGATTTTATACATTTCCATCTCGGCCTTCTTTCGTAATATTTACGGTCGGAACGAGATGAAAAAGTTTACAACCGGTCGAATGAACCGCACACAGATTCAAAGCATCTACATACTGACAGGCGAACCCGGAACCCTTTCCTGTTTCTTCTGCACAATCTTCTCCAATAACTCCTCCAGGTCCGCAATAAGGTGGTCGTGCGAGAGTTCACCTGAAGCCCATCCGTTCTCGAGGCATTCTTCTTCTGCGATCTCGGTGTAAATGCAGACCGACAAGCCTAGTCCGCAGTACTTCGCGACCGTGGCGATGAGATCAGGAATGCCTTGCCAGAAATCCAAACTCGAATCCAACAACATGTTCCGATTCGACTCCACTTGAACGAACGTTTCTTTCGAAAGGTGTGCCCGACGGGGCTTAGCTTCCGTTGTCCAGTGCTCCCAAACCGAAGCGGCCTTGTCCGACATTCCGGTCGAATCACCTGGCCCCTTGGGTCGGGCGAGAACAACACAGAAGAGAGTGTAGACCAGCTGCTCAATGTCGTGCCAAGGTTGATGCAAGATTTCGCCGGCATATTGGATGAGATGCCGGGGTCGGAAGGCGAACGTGCCCTGTGGGGAGTGATTGAACGAGGCTCTGGTCAGTGGAGCAGCAGTGGAGCGCCGCGATATCAGAACGAGACCTCACACGTCGCTTCAGGTGCGCAGCTTCACCAGAAGGGCCGTCCATAAATACGGCGACGTCATAATCGATCAGTACGCCCTCACCACCGGGTCCGATCATAATATTGCCCGGTGAGACATCGCAGTGTAGGATCCGCATTCGGTACAGACTGCGCAGACCTGGAAGGAGACCAATCCGGCATCAGATATCGCTCAACCCTGATTGGGATCAGACTGATGAGAGCGAGATCGCAACAAACCTCTGACCACTCCAAGCACCGCTCGGACGAGCGCCTCGGTCGAATCCACGGTCCAGATTGACTCGAGGCAGCGCTCCTGAAAGGCAACCTCCATCGCCCTCGGCTTGAGCTCGCATTTTTCGGCGTCGAAATCGCCTTTGAGGAAGTGGGGCACAAGGGTAAAGTCGACTTCTCGATACACGTCCACAAAATTTGTGAGACCTTCGCGATCCTCGGGTGACGCCGATGCGATCGCCAGACGGATCCGATCATGTTCGTCGCAAAAAGTCTTCTCAAAGAATGACACCGTCATTGCGTATTCGCGCTTGTCACCTGGTCCGTCCCGGATCGCTCGGACTCGCGAAGCGGATTTCTGCAACCCGAGGACCTCGCCGCTGCAAAAGACGGTCTTCTCAATCTCGATTGAGCCCATCGTGGGTACTTTGGCGAGGTGACGAGCGTAAGATGGCACCCGCGGTGGAAGCACAGCGGTCGGGAATGGCAGCGGCGGGCCGTCGGGTCCTCCAGGCGAGGCGATCTTGCCAAGGTCGAGATCGTTCAAGCTGAGAAGGCGCTCGATGAACGTCGACAGGTGCCCATTCGCTTCGGTGCATTCGATATCGGACGAGTAGAACAGACCAGATGGTGTGTGGAGGTAGAGTGTCAAGATTGGGCCTTCGAGCGTGAAGCCAAACGTGTGGGAACGGATCGGTGACTCGGCAGCGAGCATGCGCAAGTGGTGCTTCAATCGCGTGACTGGGAATACACACTCGTATTCGGAGGTGTCGTCGCTCCTCTTCATGCCACCCAGTACACCAATTGCGGCAACTTGTTCCCAGTCGAGGACACCGTTCTCTCCATCATCGAGGTGATCCTGGGCCCAAGCCGAAGCGAGCTCAGGATTGGCATCGAAGGCTTGTCGCGACAGCACGACGAAATCGGGGAACTCGTTGCGGTCGTACAACTTGCGATCTTGGTCAAGAGGGGTTTTCACGAGTCTTCCTAGTGGTTCCTGTCCGACCCAGATCGTTGGTAGGTCAAGAACGCCGAAGAGCAGTAGAAGTAACATTACTTTGGAAGAGATGCTCACCAAATTTGCATCACCCAAATCCCACGTGATCTCCGGCGCCATCTGATTCATCGTTGACCCATCCTGGCCGAGATCCGCCGCGGCCGCCGCGGGACCATCGCCACTGGAGATTGGGCTCAGAAAAAAGTCCTTCAAGGGAGACCACTCGAATTCATAGCCTTGGAATCCGGTCAAGTCTTCCGAGCTGGAAGGGAACATCCATGTGCGCAGGACCCAAGGGAGTCGAGCGGTGAACGAGCGAGCCGGAGGCGGCGAGGGCACAGGTGGCGGGACCTTTGGCGATGTGATCGGCGATCCTGTTGGCGATGTGATCGCTGATCCTGCTGGCGAAGTAGTGGGTGATTCTGTGAAGGACCCCTTCGGCGAGCCCGTCGATGGAGCGGTAGTTGCTTTTGTAGAGCCACGCGATCGGTGAGATGCCGGCGAGGACGTGGTCGACGTGGGTGAGCCGGAATGCAGCTGTGCGACATCTCGGGCGGGGTGGGCAGGCGGTGACGCCGGCTCAGGACCGCCAACGTCCACGCATTTGTCGCCAGACTGCGCGCCAGCCATCGACAGAACACAAAGAGAAGAACCGAAGGAAAGAGGGAGCAGTAGGTCTAGACCAGCTGCAAAACATTGGCACGGCGGTGTAGTTGTCAGCTCATCCAGTCTCGCGTGCCTCAGCCTGTATCCGCGTGAACGACACCGATATTGTGACTGCTCAACATGAGCAGCAGCAGGCGACGGGTACCTACAAAGGCGAATGAGCCAAGCGACGGCAGGAAAATTGCCTGTGATGGATTGGCGAGATGAGCAGGGTGGACTCGCTGGCACAGCAAGAGCCAAAGGGAGGGCTCCCCGCGCCGACCGCAGCGATGACCCGCAACCGCTACCGAACACGAGAGTAACACGAGTGGGAGCGAGTGGGCCGCCCCCCTGGTCTCCCCTGGTGGTGGCGCGCATGCGCTTAGAGTCTCTTTAGAGTGGAGTAGGCGAGAAAAATGCCTGTTCGCTTCTGCACCTGATTCGTTTCGCTCAAACGGCAGTAGTGCCCATTGCCTCTACACTCGCGAAACTTTTCGACCCTATTGTTACCGGCAATGACGACTGCTTCGACCTCAACCAACGACCACGCCGCGACGGCCCCGCAATTGCCCCCGATGCAACTCTCCGGCGCCCTAGACACGACGGCGTGTACCACTTACGATGGCGCCTTGTTCGGCATCTCTGCCGAAATGATCAAGTGGGCGAAGGATCGCAAGGATCGTCCGATGTCGTGTCTGTGCCGACACCAACAAGTCAAGATGAGTCTGAACTATGGTGTGGCCCGATGCCCGTTATTACATCACTGCAGACGTGCCCATCGACGATCAAACCATCCGCCTGTGGACGCTCAACAAGATTCGTCTCCTTCTTGCGGCGAGCGATCGAACTTTGGCCTTCTTTGATCTTCCCGAGCTGACCGCAGACGAAGTGCGGCTGTTCGATCGTCTCGAGGAACGGCTTTCCCGTTTCGATCGCCAGCAGTGTGCGCAAGATGCCGAAGCGGCGCGTGCCCGTCTGAACCATGACCAACGAATTGCATTTGACGGATTTCTTCGCACGGTCGAGCTCGATGTCGTCGATCAGATGCGCGACGACAACCTTGGGCCGCAGCATGTGTTTGTCCTCTTCGGTCGGACCCTACGGTGCTACGCCAGGGCGCATCTCGCGGCCGGTGTTCCCTTCTCGCGGTCCACTGCCACCGCAACACGGTCGTGATTTTGTCCTCCTCGTAAGCTACAGCAGCTACAAGTGAATGAGATTACAACGCGTCACTGCTTCAAACTTCGTCACGCCCGTGAGTTGGTTAAGACTCTGACGGATCGTTTGGGAGCAGTGCCGCGCGACGACCCTCCGTTCCAGCATTGCTCCCGGCCACGACACCAACCTCAAGGAAGTCCCATGACCGACTTGGGCAGGAACTGGGCGGTCGGATCTAATTCTTTCGAAACCTACACACGTTTGTGCCAACTCCAAATCCCGATTTAGACGACATGGTCAAGCATATCACCTTTTCGGGTACTTGGGGGGAGGAAGACCCGATGAAAGACCTCTTTGCCCAGATCAATGCGGTCGTGAGTCAGATATTTCCTTGGGCCATACACGTTATCCAATACACTTCTTACTAGATTGACGTTCTGTTGGTGCACCAGGGTCTGGCTATTCGACATAAAGTTGTTGCAAGTGGTTTTTTGAACATCGTCGTTCCGACCTCGGCCGGCCAGCTCCCTCACGACGGTCACGCACCGGACGCGGTCGCCCTCTTCTCCTTTGCGTCGACGGAGCCACCGAGAGGGTCTGGGCAATGTCAGATGATGAATGGAGGGGGGAGGCGAATCGGTTAGGCAAGCGTCCGGAAGATCTTCGCCAAGTGAATCACGTACTCGCGCCTGGATAAAGTCAAGCCTCGAAACAAAGCAGGCTCTGCCTCTTGGCAGGGTGTGCGGAGGTTATACAGAGTGTTCGACGATTGTCCTGCGCAGATTCACGTACGGATTCACGTTGACGGGATGGCAGTTCCGCGTTCTTATTCACTCGGCAAGCGGCGTCTTCAAGACGAATGAGTTCGACTGTTCTCAACAAGAAGGCTACGCGACTCTTTTGAGGTTCCTGGTCCGACTCGTTGTCGCTCCCGAGCTCGACCTCGGCATCATCGCTTCTGGCCCCACCTACCCCGTCACAGTGGACAGCCTACCGCCCATCATATACCAACGCCCCATCGCAGCTTTGTCGAGCCCAAGACTCACACATCAAGGAGTTTGTCTGTGGCAACCGACCCACCTTAATGATGCAATGACCGGGCCCCGAGCTATTTGCTATCCCGGAGTCTTCAACAACGTTGAGACGGGTAGCCAAGCTTCGTTTGGTGGTTCACCGGAGCACTCCGTCGTCTTCTCGCTCGTCGACCAAGATTAAGCCGAACGGACAAGCGAGTTCCTGAAACGAGTGCATTCTCTGCAGCTACACGAGCGGGAGGGTCTCGCGGTGGTAGATATGATCTTTCGGGATCCTCAAGCCTACCGCAGCGCTCCGGTCGCCGTGTGCGGTGGTGACGCGGGACGTGGTAAGCTTGAGGATCCCGGTATATTGTATCCACCATAGCAAGTCCTTTCGGTTCGTGTGCCTGAAGAGAGTCTACTCGTTTCAGGAATTTCTTTGTCCGCTCGGCTTGATCTTGGTCGACAAGCGAGAAGACCACGGAGTGCTCCGGCGAGCCACCAACCGAACCTTGGGTAGTACCCGTCTCGACGTCGTTGAAGACTCCGGGATAGCAAACAGCTCGGGGCCCGGTCATTGCATCGATGCGGTGGGGGTGTGCGCACCCTCTACAGAGTCGATGTACTGCACCTCGATCTCTCAATCGACCACATCACCATTGACGCCGAAGGGACATGCTGTTTGACACTCTCCAACTGGCCTTGCTCTTGGATGATCCGTTGTCCGAGCAAGCGATGATTTACCGATGCAGTTGGTCATGTTGGTGCCACAAGATACTTCAAAAACGCCGTAGCTTCCAGTGTTCCAACCCTCCAGCTGCATCATCATTGTTTTACATACATCAATTTCAGAGAGGAAGGACGACATTGACGTATTGCTATTCTTGTTGATGACTCGGATGACTCGGATGATGAGAAATGTTGTCCGACGCTGTCAGTTTCAAGACCAGCCTGAGGGGGGTGAGGGGGATGAGGATCGGTTGGAAGTCTATCCTACACGCCATCATGCAGATAGCACTCTGCTGACTGCTGGGATGAATCATGATGGAGTACGCGGATGGTGGTGATCTGATCAAGTGTGTTCAAGCACAAGGGTAACGAGATTATTGCAATTGAAGAAGACGGAGAAAGAAAAGAGCTACGAAGAGGGAAGATCGACTACAACCCAGCGGTTATCTTGTGTGCCTTGAAGTTCCCAGGTCACAGGCTCCTGCCCGTCCGGAATCGGAACCCCGAATGAAGTGTCGAAGTGCAAGCCCGAGCAAGGAATCCGACGATGAGGTGTTGAAATGCAAAGTCCGAGCGAGGAGCCCAGGATCCGAGCGGAGGTCCGACCTGAAGGTACCTAGTCACTTAGAAACATTGACCATGACACAACTCAAAGCAGAGACAAGCCGGCTCCACTAGTCTCCTTTTCCACCTTTCCGGCTTCAGGGAAGGGAATCATGCTGTGAGCGACAACAAGGCCATATTCCGGCGGAAAGGAGTCGATGTGATGAGATCAGCGCAGAAACGATCGTCGGAGCAAGGAGGCGGTAGAACTCGATGGCGAGCGGCAAATGCGAGGCACGCTGGACTCGTTACGAGTATACATTGTGTAAGTATTGGACGTGAAAGGACTTCTGGCAGCGAGCGACGACGAAGCGCGACACTGACGGAGAGTATTCGGCGTGGTACGAAGAAAAGGTCGTCAAAGCGACTCCAGTACAAGCCAGCGACTAGCTACAAGTGCGAGACACAATTGGCGAAGCAAGCGGTGGAGGCCAACAACAAGCGTCAAATGCGAGTTAAACAGAGTCGATGGTCGGGCTGCTAGTGGAGGTAGACTATTTGCGGTGATCGTCGACCAATTGAGGTGGGGAGTAGCCTCCTGATGGCGTTCTGGTCGACAGGGTGTGATGACCAGCCTTGTACGGCGATTACCTCCGTAGCGCGTATCACTATCGGGATACTGCTTCTGAAGCCTCATCGCGAGCAAGACGAACAGGTTTCCATTGCAGGCCCACAAAGTAGAGCAACTTTTTCACACGTCCCTCTTTCGAAGTCTGCAATGGAAATCATGAGGGACAGCGAACCAACTCTCGTTCACTTGGAAAGGCTGGTCCGGATTCTCAAACGTGAGGTCATAGTGCCAGACGATCGACTAGGAACAAGGGACGTGCAGCAATTCAGTGAGCAGTCAAACGAGATCGATTGGAGTGTTCAAATGGAAGCCTCACCGGAAGCAACTTGAGCATCTCCATGATCGAGATGTTCTTCCCCAAGCAGACGCGTGCACCTGCACCGAACTGAGAAGGTGTGCAGTGCCTGGCCTAATCAGCGAATTCTTTCCCCGTTCATGCAGCGAAAGAATGGTGGAGCCGAAAACACTCACAGCAAGATTGTACTTGTGCAGATCGGACTTTCCATCGGCGTCAAGCCATCGCTCGGGCTTCCACTCCTCACAATCATCACCATACGCTCGAGGATCATAATGCACCTGCCACCCCGACATACCCACGAGTGTTCCCTCGGGGTAGAAATGGGGCCCGATCTGCGCTCCACCGGCAGGGGTGACGCGTTGCAAGGCCATCCCGACCGCGGGGTGCATCCTCGTCGCCTCCTTGATCGCGGCTTGGAGGTATTCCAGTTTGGAGCCTTGGTCGTAACTGACGGGGAAATCGAGCTGGCCTTCCTCGAGGGCGGTGCTGATCTCGGCACGGAGTTTGGCCAAGCTTTCGGCGTTTTTGGGGTCGTAGATATGTCGGAGGAAGCCCAACATTGTCGATTTGGTCGTGTCCGCACCGGCGATACTGCATAGGGAAGGATTCACTCGTCAATGTAAGGCCAGCTATCTGGACAGAACGAAGGGGCAGAACCTACACCAAAGTGGAGCATTCCTGTTCACGACACAAGAGAGGTCCAGACATGTCAGATTGAGGTCTCCTCCCAGCGCCGAAAGCGAGAAGTACTCACCCTGACCAGCCTCGAGAACCCCAACTTATGTTGTGTCGCTGGATCCACCGCATTGAAAAAGTGGGACAACATGTCGTGCTCTGGCCAAGGTATTAAATGGGAACGGTCAGCGACAGTATTGCAACCCCTTCTTCGTCACAGGAGGGGTCAACGTACTTTCTTCAAAGCTCTCGGGATCATTCTCCTTCAACGCGACCCTCTCCGCCACGAGCTCAGTACTATATCTAACAAAGATCGCCGAGCTATTGTTCGCCAGCACATTGTTGACGAACCATCGTACCGCACGTGTCGTCGAGACCCAACCCCAGCTGTTGGAACAAGCGAAAAAGACGACAAAAGCTGTGCCCTTGGCGAAAGCGGGGAGGATGCTGCGCGTATCTTCGCCCGAGGTGAGGAAACCGAAGGGTTTGCCGAAGCTTATCTCGCTGACTGTGTCGTAGGCGAACCCTGAGTACGGCCAAAAAGTTGAATCAGACATGTCTGTGGTCAATGACATCGAGTGTTTCACTCACATTCGATCAAATGAGCGACGTCGCAAACCTCATTCTTGGCGACCGCTCGATCAAAGTACCCGAACAATTTGCTCGTATTATAATCGGCGAAAGACTCGAGGCCAAGGAGATGGTTCGTCGAATACGCGGCGGCGACGGCTCGACGTCCGTTCGCATGTTAAGCAGGATCGAGGTGAGCGAAATGGGACCGTTCGCCGATTGCCCAGGGGATGTAGAAAGGTCCTACAGAGCAAAGGAAGACACTGTGTGTCAGCGAGCCGAGAACTTTGCTGGAAACTCCGAGTTGATTGCTCCCCGGTCGACACAAGCGCGCTCACCTTTGAGCCATTTGGTTCCATGGCCATACAGCGTCTTGATTTCATCTGGCTCACAGACCGATACCTGAATTTCTCAATGTTAGGATTAGCTTAGATTGCAAAGCGGTTGATGTGAAATAGTCGCACCCACCTCGTTGGGGCCGATCCGAACTGCGATTGATCCTCATCGTTGTGGTGTACGTGCCTTTGTAGGTTTGGTACACCTTCCATGCATCGGTAATTTTGGCCAATCGTGGTCCTGGGATATTTGCTAGAGGGTGAAGGTAGAACAAGTAGAGCACACGAAGGGCGATGCACGCCAACGCGACCGTTCCCCACATTGCTGGATGCGAGCCATAGCGCCACAGCCTGAGATCGTCGCGATCGTGGTGGTCGGTTCCGATTAGATGCTTAAGGTACTCTGACATGGCAAGGTGACGGCCGAGAAAGGACCAGATGAAGTGGAGGTGATGGCGAGTACTCGGCAGGTGGCGGTAGGAGTGAAACCTACCCCTGACTGCCCGTCTGAGGAAGCACCAATCGCAAGCCTCGGGCTAATCTGGGCTAATGGCCGGTTGCCAAAGGCGACCAACGGGCGCGCCGAGCGGGTCGAAAGGCGAGTGCGTCGTGAATCACTCCCTCCGAGTCTTCCTAGAGCCAACTGCGTAACTTTCGCTCGCTCCTTGCTTTCGCTGCCCCTCCGGTTTCTTCATGACCTCAGGCTCAAACCGATTAACCCGTCACTACTCAATTCCACCAACAGAGATCGGCACCCCCAATTTTCAGTCGGAGACCGCTCAGCCGTCGTACGGTATCACTTGGCCGACACGAGACGCTCGACGAGCCACAATATCGCCTCCGACGCCAACCATAAGACCGATTAAGCCAGACAGTAAAATCGGAAAGTCTAGCTTAGATGCTCAGAAACTCGGGAGCATGCGCCCCTGTAATGGTCTCGGTGAGCCAAAGTCCAAGCCCGACCCCGGCTCCAAGATCAAGCGCGACTACACATGCGAACGCGAAACTTGCAACAGCCCTGCAAGATTTGTGCGGGCCCCGTACCGGGCGCGCTGTACGGCCGTAGAAAGATAAGGCAGAGAAAGTTCACTGGTGCCGTAAGGCGCGTCACCTACTACTGATGCCGTAAGTTGACGGCTCCTGTCGGCGGCTGGCCCTATTTCACCCCGCCGTAAATCCTCCCCCGACAGAATTTGCATGGTCACCTTACCAAAACGGCAAGTCGCAGATATATGGCAAGCGCACACCTGGACTGGGTCTACAAACCATAAAGGTTCCTTGGGGCGTTGTAGGGTCATAGACTTTAGTCATGGTTCTCGTCTATGTGTACCTCTTGCACAAGGAGCATTTAACCTAGCAAGCTCAGACCCGCACGTCGTCTTGCCCAGCCCGCGTTGACGACCCACTGCACCGACTACCGACCGACTGGCTGCTTGCTTCTAATCTTGGCTTCTGAGGGACCTCTTTTCTTCAGCTTAGAGACAACTTGATAACAAACTGCAATCTTTCGTCAGTCTGGAGTCGGATAATGCGAGGAGACTGTACGTTCGCCGTCTTGTGAGGTTCTTCCTCCGATAGTGTGAGCCTGGGCTTGGCCGCATCGGTTGCTTGATGCCACTGAGATATGAAGCATAAGAGTGGGGCTAAGCTGAAGTTAAGCGGGGAGAGGGTGTGTGTCACTCAAACACGTACCAACACGCGCCACCAGCATACATACTCTTAGGTGATGGCGACAGCCAGAACGACCAGATGTCGCGGACCTCGGGTGAAGTCATCCCACGGCTGTCACCAGTAGCCGAGACTGCGCCTCAGATAATACCTAAACGTTTTCGAGAGCATATTCAGACAGCTTTGTTCGAGGAGGCCTGGCGTGACTGTCCCGTTTCCGAGCAAAGTAGGTTGCCCACTTATTCCAAGGCGTGTCGAGGGAGAGAGGGTGGGGATCCTCTTGCTCCTGAGTCGATCCCTCGCGCGCTGAGCGCTCAGATCTCAGAGCTCAGAGACTCAGCGGCACACGCTCCAGCACACTCTGCGGCCGCGGCCGCGATGGTGTTACAGTTTCGACTCATGGCCGTGCATCGATAACTCGCGGCTCAGCTGGCACAGATGAAAAGTGGACTTTAGAACGTGACAACTAATTTCGGGGGCCGTGTGAGAAACAGTTTGCATCGCTATGGCTCGACTCAGCAACTGCTCACGCTTGAAAGATTCCCTATCGGAACAAAACTAATCAATTGTTCTGATGGCAACGAAAGCTCTTGGGGAGATGGGTGAAGCGAGGCCTGTCCCTTCGTCTTAGGTCCGTACACTTTGGTAACTTTGCGCGTCGAGTGCGAAGGAGGGGGTTGCGACTGGGACCCTTGGAGGTCGGTTGGGACCGCACTCCTTGACTGGTGAAGTTTGCTAAGACGGTCACGAGGTTATGGAATGCGAATGGTGCTGCCATGGTCCTGGTGGCGCACCGTGGGTCATATGTCAGCTCATGGACAAGGTGAAAGTTTGCGACAGCATACTCACGTCGTTGTCCAGGGTTTCGAATACGCATTCGAAGAGCGGGTCGTTCAGTTGGTCTAGGTATTGACGTGATTTCCCGAGTGCGAGCTCGACCAGCCAGTAATTGACAGCCGATAGCCAGAGCTCGCCAATCCACTCGGCCGTCTGGTTTTATGGCTTGGCCGATGCGAGCACCATTCGTCGCGCACGCGAGTCCAATACGATAGAGCTTTTCGCCCGCAAGGCGGTCGACACGTACGACGCGAAAGGGAGGGTAGCGGCGACATTGGACGCCACGGCACCAATTACAGACCCTGTTTGCAGAGGGTTGGAGGTGGTGGCGGGGTGCGATGAGGTGGGCGTGGGAAGCGACTGGGACGAGGACTATTTGACACGTCAGTAGCTTTTCCTCGGCGCGCAACGACGAATCAACAGGTGGGGGCAGTTGGCCTCGCTCCGAACCAAGGTGAGGGATGAGCGGTGATCGACGGGCTTGACCACTCACCATGATGTGGGGAGCGATCAATGACTCAAACGGCGAGCTTCGTTGATGCGCGCTACCCCAACAGGAGCCTGGAGGGCAGGTGACGCAGCGAACGGTCGACCAGGGTGGAGCAAGCCAAGACTATACTTTGTCGCACCGGCGTCCAACGCGCGAATCGGCCGAGAGGAGTCCGAGAGGCTCCGAGAGGCGCGTGCGATGGCGAGGTGGTGCGATGTCCGTGCCAATGGGCTCAATCTGGCTTCAATTACGTGAATCGTCCCCCACTTGCCGCACATGTCCAGAGCCCTCGTAGGCTCGTACACGTTGAGGGTGCGAACATCAGTGGTTATCCGAACGGCCTTTGGCTGACCATGGCTTTAGGTGACACTCATCACTCATCCGAATCAATGCCGTGAACCCCGACGCATGCGACGGCAACTTTCCGAGGACTCGATCAGACTCGACCAAGGTAGGTTAGGTCTGGTTTGGTACTGTTTGGTAGGTAGGTGCGTGATTAAGCTAGGTGCAGGTGGATGACGGCGGGGAGAGGAGAGAGGGACAGCGCCAGAGCGCTAAGACGGAGAATTCGACGGCCCAGTCGCGCAGCAGCCCCCGCAGTGGCACGCACGCCGGCGCTTTTTTTTTTTTGCAGTGGTCGTCATCAAGAGCTCCGAATAAACCGTTTGCGGGGATCTTCCTCAGGAGCCAAAAACACTAAAGCGCAGAATAAGCCGAGGGCAGACATCACTTTTCAGGGAGCAGAACAAAGGGCCCGCGCAGAACATCAACGCCACGAGCCCCACCGCCTTAACACCCCAACCCTCACCGACCAGCCGTATCCTCCTATCCTCACAGGGACTGCCATCCCAATCCGAGCACGCAATGCCTCGCAAACGCTCGTTACACCATGCGTCTGCGCACACAGTCATCCGTGCGTTGCTCGCGTCCTCCACTCGATTGTGGCTCCTCGTTGGGTGGTCAACTAATCTGCTTTGGGTTTTTGGCAGATATGGCCTCTGCGACGAGCGACCAAACCGCGACAGATCTGTCGGCCGGCACAAAGGACGGCCGCCAGGATCAAACCCCAAACCGCATTCGTGCGTTGGCCCCTGGCATGCTTAGACAGGTGGAGAGTGAGTCCTCGACGACTCTTTAGCTGATGTTCTTCACTTGTCTCGCAGTCATCTTGATGATTTCTATCATCATGATCATTGCCTTTGGAGGGCCGGAATACCTCTACTACCACCTTTACGATCGACCCCGCGCCTGCATCATTCAAGTCGGATTTGGCGTTTGGGTCTTCGTGTGGGTGGTGTGTGCGGTAATCTACCCACGCAACTTCGCGCGCCTCGAAGGAGCGCCTGATACGCTGTGAGTGATGATGGCTTGCATTTTAAAGCGCTATGATAGAGTATCTGATGCTATTCGTGTGCATTACCACAGGAAGGATTGGGTTGTCGCAATCGCGCTGCTCGGCTGCGCTGTCTCGGCGATCGTTGTCGCTGTGACATCGTGGCTTGGCCTGTCCCAAATCGACAAGCTTAACGGCCTGCCCGAAACCAAGCTTGCCGCCACAATGAAGCCGATCTACATTGCAGCATCGGTTCTACAGCTCTTTACGGTCGGCACTGCCCTTGTGTTTCTCATATCCGTGGTTGTCGCCTTGTTGCGTCAATCGGCCACCAAGTTCATCATATACACGACTTGCTTTTTCGTTCGGCCGGGACAGCTCTACGCCGAGTTGAGAATGAGGTACTTTGACTTGGGACCTACACCGGAGGCCGCTTCTACGCAGCAAAGATGAACAGACAACGCACCCCCGGTGCAGGTCCCAAGTCAAAGTACCTCATTCTCAACTCGGCGTAGAGCTGTCCCGGCCGAACGAAAAAGCAAGTCGTGTATATGATGAACTTGGTGGCCGATTGACGCAACAAGGCGACAACCACGGATATGAGAAACACAAGGGCAGTGCCGACCGTAAAGAGCTGTAGAACCGATGCTGCAATGTAGATCGGCTTCATTGTGGCGGCAAGCTTGGTTTCGGGCAGGCCGTTAAGCTTGTCGATTTGGGACAGGCCAAGCCACGATGTCACAGCGACAACGATCGCCGAGACAGCGCAGCCGAGCAGCGCGATTGCGACAACCCAATCCTTCCTGTGGTAATGCACACGAATAGCATCAGATACTCTATCATAGCGCTTTAAAATGCAAGCCATCATCACTCACAGCGTATCAGGCGCTCCTTCGAGGCGCGCGAAGTTGCGTGGGTAGATTACCGCACACACCACCCACACGAAGACCCAAACGCCAAGTCCGACTTGAATGATGCAGGCGCGGGGTCGATCGTAAAGGTGGTAGTAGAGGTATTCCGGCCCTCCAAAGGCAATGATGATGATGATAGATATCATCAAGATGACTGCGAGACAATTGAAGAACATCAGCTAAAGAGTCGTCGAGGAGCCATTCTCCACCTGTCTCGGCCGACCCTATGGACCTAATAACCCCAGGTATACGAGAAGGACCGCGTACGGCAACCTTTTGAGACAACGGATCACGCTCATCAAACGCCGAGGAAGGCACTTGCGGCCGCACCGTTTCGGAAACTTTCAGTTCTTCCCGTCCGACGAATCTCAAACGCTCGGCTTTGCCGTGGGGCTAGAAACGAGCCACATTCTTTCGTAAAACACGTTACATACAAATTTATCGGTTTCATTCAAGGCTCTAACACAAGCTGTATACCTTCTTTCACTCGTCATCACTCATACCAGGGTTCTTGAAGCGAGCGATCGCGCGTTTCCTCGCGTTGGCGTGGTCAACGATCGGCATCACGTACCCCATCTTTTCAATCTCTTTCTTGCTCATCGTCGCGGACGGTTCGTGGATGGCTAGAAGATGTATCGGATCCAAGGAAGGTTATGTCAGCACGAGACTAGGTGGAGTGAACTTGGATGCAGGTCTGGAAGTACCTTTGCCCCTAATCTTGCTCAACTCGGGTACCCAGTGACGGATGTAGTCGCCCTCGGGATCCGCCTTCTCCGACTGCGCCGTAGGGTTGAAAACACCTGAACGATGAACGATGATGAAAAGTTCAGCTCAGTTCAAAAAAGTCTAGCTCTTCTCGATCGCGGCCGAAGACATTCAAACTTACGGAAGTAGGGCTGGGGGTCCGTTCCAGTAGATGACTGTTTCAAGATATCCGAGGGAGCGCAATAAATGAGTTCTGAACAAACATGGTGGAGGTAGCGGGAACACTCACACTCCATTGCCATCCTCCATTGTTGGATCCCAAGTCGCCATCGATGAGTTGCTGCATGAAATACTTTTCGCCAAGACGCCAGTCGAGGAGCAGATCCTTGGTCAAGAACATGGCCACGATCATTCGGCATCGGTTCTGCGTTACAAAGACACATCAGCGCGAGCCCCGTATTACGACATCCCCACGATGGGACTTACATGCATATAACCCTGCGCATTGAGAGATCGCATGGCCGCGTCCACTATGGGGTAGCCGGTCTTGCCGTCCTTCCACGCCTGAAGGTTCTCCTCGCTGTGCTCCCAAACGACGTTCTCGAACTTGGGGTTGAAAGCTCGGTTCATGCAAATCCTCGGCCAGGCCGCCAATACGTGTTGGTAAAAGTCCCTCCATGCAACCTCGCTAACCCAAACACCAACTCCTCCCTGATCGCGACCCGTGTACAGTTGGTTCTTGGTCAACTTCATCGTCATCCTCAGCGTCTCTCGAGGCGAGATCAATCCAGCAGCGAGGTAAGGCGAGATGTGGGAAGTGCCGTCCAAATCGACGCGATTACGGCCCGTGGCGTATTCCCCGATCTTGGACTTCTTCAGCGGATCGTCGACCTCCTCGGCTCCATCGGCAAGTGGGGGCTTGAAGAACTTTTGTTTGCGAACCTTGGTCTTGAGGAAGCGGTGCATGACTTCGCGCGTCGTCTTCTCGCCGACGGGCCACGTCTTTTGCATCTGCTTGGCGTCGGCTTCGGACAGGGTGAAACCTTGAATTGATTTCGGCAACTTGTGCGAGAAGAACGGCTTTAGGACAGCGTGTTGCCGTGCTGACTTGGGGTTTGCCTCGAGTCCTCCCGCATCGCCGACGTAAGAGAGCATGTCGCTGGCAACGGTGTTGGCCCAGTTTTTGAACCACGGGCTGAACACCGAGTACGGTTTCCCTTGCTGGAGGTATCGATTTTTGGTCTCGTGAGTGTTGTGATCGCTACGATAGCACAGGACGGACTAACCTTGGTCACGATTTCACCCGGGGGTACAATGACAAAATCTTTCAGGAAAGCCACCTCCCCAGCCCAGCCCTTACCGCTGCTCCTCGAGTCGATCACCTCACGCAAGATCTGTTCGTCTCGCCTCAGCTCGTCAACTTCGTACTCGATGTTGCCGTAGAGCGCTGCAGCTTTCCAATCGTCTTTGAGGCACTTGAGCAGCTTGTCGACGATCTCGGTGCGATCATCCCAGGTCACGGTCAAGAGGGGGACATCCTTCTTGGCCAGCTCTTCCTGCAGGTACGCCAATTGACGAAGCATGAAGTCGATGCGACGTGGTGATCGGTCGTGGGCCTCATAGTCCGAGGGCGAGAAGATATGCAAGACGAGGAGAGGCAACGACTTTTCTCCTGCGACAGCACAGGCATGGGCCAGAGCTCGGTTATCATCCAGTCGTAGGTCCTTGTTCCTGTGAATGGACGCGTGATGGGTGATATTAGAGTTATTCCTGCCGGACCAAAAGCAGCTTGAGCGGACTGACCTCATCCAGTAGACCACAACCGCATCCTTGCCCGAGCTCGGCGCTTTTTTGGCTTTTGCGAGGTCGTCGATGGCATTGTACAGCTTGGCCAGCGGAGTCGCGCTCATCCCCTCGGGCAGATCCGTCGGAATGACCCCATATTTAGCCTCGGACTTCATGCTGTTGTTCGTCTTGGGCTTGGTGTCATCGGCTTCGGCTTCGGATGGCTGTCCATGCTCGCTTCCACTCGAGCTCGCGACGTCGGATTCGGATTCGGAGTCAGGCTCCTGCTTGGCCTTCTTGCGAGCAGCGGACTTGGTCGAGGCCGATCTTTTAGCAGCTACCATATTGGTAGGAACAGTTGTCGAGTGAGCTGCGGGCCGTGGTGATGGTGGCATAGGTCGCGTCTCGAAGAAGGAGAGCAAGTCGGTGCGACGCGAGGCTGGGACGACGCGCGGCGAGGACGATGACGACGACGACGTCACTTTGACGGTGCGGCAGCTGGGATCGAGGCTGCGACGACTCGTGCTGGCGACGTTGCAAGGCCTGAGGGAGCCGAGGGGAGGAGCTGATCTCTTCAGTAAAGAGAGGTTTAGCAAGGGACGGGAAATGATGGCGCGATATACAGAGGTGCTGTCAAGTGTGCAGAAGCAAAGAGCGACTCGGAGCTGACTCGGAGGACTCGGAGCGTGGTGCTCGGAGATCGGCGACGAAGCAGCGAGCGCGCAGGCGCGCAGGCGGCGATCGGAAGAAGCGCCGGCTGATCGCGATCGCGCGAGCTTGCGTGGGCGATCGAGCTCACACGTTCACGAATACTTTTTCCAGAGGTCAGAAAGTGGTTGTGGGGTTTCACTTGTTACGAGGGAACTCTTTTACTGGATGCAGTTCAAGAAGGAAGCGTTGCACTACTCGAGTGTTTGCTGAGACATCGAAACAAAGGACTAGGCGCTCGAGACACAAACAGATGCGATTTCACCTCCGCCTTGCATAACTCAACAAACAAACAAAGGCAAGTCACGCTGAACGCTGCATCCAGAGCGGATGCGAGCTCATGATCAAGGGCGAGGGCGGTAATTGAAGCGAGCGGCGTTGTCGTGCAAGAAGTCGCGCAGCAAACCCCACTCGCTCAAGCGTACCGCTTCTTCCTCGGGCGTGGCGTCCTCGTTTGGAGTCGCATAACGAGCGAGCTTGAAGGCAAAGAAAGACGCCGTATTATTCCAGATCGACTTGGTGTCGTCATTGTAGCCCATCTCTTCCAGGACTGCCTTGACCGCCCTCCAGAGGTCCTTCGCGGCCTGCACGAACCAGGTAAAGGAAGGAAAGAAAGCAGAGTTAGTGCTCTCCGGATAGAGATACAGGGCTTTCACCAAAGGAATTGTAATGGGCAGGGCTTACGATCAAGCTCGGGACGATGTTTTCCAAGTCAAGTCCGGCCTCGAACTGCTCCATATTGGCCGTCGATCCACCATCTCGGACATAAGCACACGTGCGGACGAGCTGCTTGCTCGTCTGTTCGTCCATCGTCTCTTCGTCGACTGTGGCCTTGGACCACATCAATTTTGACGTGGCGTGAGCGCTCGCGGCGGTATCTTGTTGATCATGCTTGGTTCCGGCCTCGGAATGTATCAAGGTGCCGCCCCAAAGATGCTGCCATGAGAAGAACAGGCCTGGGAGTGGCGCGCAAGCGGTAGTTTAACGAACAGTCAGCGGCGGGGGTTTGAACACGCCAGAGGTAAAGCCAGAAAATCGACTCACCAAACATCTGCGCGGCATGATCGCTCAAAGCTGAAAGTTGAGGCGTGTCGGGCTTCATGTTCTTCGCTTCATGCCTGGCCCAAAAGTTGACAAAAGCTTCGCTGAGCACGAGCTGACTCGGCGAGAACCCACAGATGAGAACGACAGCCTGCGGGCGTGATGGGCTCCCAAGATAGGTCAGTAAACCCGTAGACTCCTCCGTGAACCACGAGAGCGAACCCGGTAAGTTTGAGCGTACCGCAACATTGCGATCTTCCACCCCATGCGATTCCCACTCTTCGTCCGTATTTTGCTTTGCGTTCCTGCGTCCAATAACCGATTCGCTGAACGACCGAACAAGCGATCTGACCCAACGCTGGGCCTGGGTTCTGACGTACTTTTTACGGCCTGATCCATGACTTTGACGAGTCTCATACTTGCCGCTGTCGAGTCCCGTTTTGACAATCTTGCCCGCTGCAGAGGGCAAGAAGCAGTGAAGCTCGAGTTCAGTTCAAACTATCTCCACACAGATATGCACAGGGGACTGCTTTTCGCTCACTCGCAAAGTTCTGACAGGTAAACAGCTGATGGTGAACGTCGGCTCTGAAATCGAAGACGCGAAGGTTGCCCGAGATGCAGAGCCCCGCGGTCTCGACCGTCATCTCCACGCGCGACATGCCCGACAGCATGCCCCGCTCGAGCAGGAAACGTTCACCAAATGCCTTATCGGTGATGAGTTGAGACAAAGTCCTGAAGACCCACCTCGGGGAAAAATTAGTTGGTTAGGAAATGGACGCAGTCTTTTCAAACCGAGTCGGCGAAAAGGGAGCTTACGGTGCAGCAACGACGGCGGGCCTAGGATTGGCGAAAGGATTCTCCGCCTCCAACGCCATGATGGGCTCGCGAGGAAGTCGCGGCAAGCGCTCAAAGACATGACGAGGATGACCACCACTATCATGTTGAGCTTGACTGTGGTTCGAGTGCTCGCAGCACGTCTCACTTGAGGTGGAGTGCGAGCCCGACTCGCTGGCCGAGAATGCGCCGGTGGACGGCGCGGTCTCGATGGCATGCAAGTCGGCCGGGTCACGGGTCTGCATGTAATGACGCACGTGACGAGTGCCCGTCGCGACGGCTCGGAACGTCTTGTGGGCGACCGAACCGACCACACTGGGTGCAGCAGTGGTGATGATAGCGAAGGCGAGGCATGCGAATTCAAAGAATGCAAACATGGCGACAAGTAGGAGTCGAGGTAGCTCAGTGAAGGCGCGTGTCGCGGGGCGGAATCGTGGTGGCAGTCAAGCCGGCAGCGGGAGCTGTTGCAAATCGGTCAAAGTCCAGTGGAGACTTTGAGGAATGAGAGAAAGCACGGCATGGGTGATGGCATGATAGGCGAGTCATGGCGGTGAAGGCTGGTCTGCGAACCTGTGTGCGGCTGAGTACAGGCAGTATGGTGGAAGATGGCCAACCCGAACGCCAGGTTCGTCAACCCGGCGCGGCAAAAAGTGGGGGGCGGCAGGGGGCGGCTTGGGCAGGTTGGTCAACCTCGCGAGTTTCCACATGATGTGCTGCTCTCCTTCCTCCGCTTCATTTTGGGCTCTTGGGTTGGCCAACCTTTGGCCAACCTGTCGCACCTGAATCTTGGCTGTCTACTTGATCACTCACTTATCCGGTTGGTCATACGTGTCTTGATTTCAGATCACCTGCACCGCATGGAGGGCCCCGGGGCGGCGTGAATGGTCTTTTCTGCTTTTGCTGCAAGAGTTTGACGCCGAGGACTCAAGCGCGCGCGACCTCTACCCTCCTTGCAGTAAGCCGTGCCCGCACGCCTGCCCCTCTTGCAATAAGCCGTGCCCCGCACGCCTGCCCTTCCTGCAGTAAGCCGCGCCCCGCACGCCTGCCTCGAGCCTTGGTCTGTAAGCCGCACTTGCGCAAGAGTTTACCAAGCCCGCTCCTGCCGCACCTTTCAGTTCCCACTGCTTGCCGTTGCCGTACCAGTATCGCTGTGTACCTCTGCCACCTCCTGCCAAGGTCAGTGGCCTTCCTTGAACTCTTCCTGCCGCCATTTGGCTGACAGGTTCAGAGCTTCTCACAGGACCCCCCCAGCGATACCGTACAGCTTCCGCCTTCCAGTCTTCTGCCTTACCAGTTGACGACGAACAGCTGCCACTGTGTACGCCTCTCTTTTTTTTTTTTCAACACTCCTTGTTGGATGGTTGACTGACGCTCCATACTTTGTATGCAGCCGTCCGCCTGCACCTGCCAGTGCTGCGCCTCTTTCGTGTTCGACTGCGTCTCGCTCAAAGAGCCGAGGTACATCACCCACCTTCAGGCTCTACCTTAGGGTACTCCTGCTCTCGACTGTCCTTGTTGGACACGTTGACTGACTTGGCTACCTTGCTACACAGACCCACCCTCGACGTGCCAGCGTCTGAGGTCTGTTTCCTTTGCTGTCTTCTTGTCTCCAAGCGACACGCTTTACAAGCATAGGTATGCCATAGTCCTCAGAGTCTTTGCAGTATTCCGAGTACTAATAGAATCGCGCTTTACAAGCATAGTCGTTCTATCTTCGTCTCCTCCCACCCACCCTACAAAATAAATAAATACAAAAACAGCCTTGTGTTCTTTCCTTTACTTTCTTGTCTATGGTCTCTCGTGGGTAGATTTTCAACGCATCCCGTTTGTTACGGGATGCCTGGTTCTTATGCTGCAAATCCGACTCCATCCCAGCTATTTCGGTTCGCATTGCGCTCTTACGATGGAGTCGAAGTCATGCCCCCCTCGGGCAGTTCCGCCTCGAAAGAGTCACCCGCCCCCGGCGTCGAGGTTCGCCAACCCCACCTTGCTCTCGGCGCCCGGAGACGGAGTTGACCAACCTATCAGGTCGCCGACAATGGATTCGAAACATCCTGGAATGACTGTCCTGTGAGTGCACTTCTGAACTTCTGCCTCCTTTTCATCACTTCTTCACCCATCTCACTCCACTCTCCACAACCACCTCTCCACCAAGCCCCACTTCTAGAACATGTCCGACCTCATTCTCATCAAGGTTTTAATCGAATGGATCAAGTGCGTCATCACTGCGACGCCTCCCCCTTCGGCCACGGACACGTGAGTACAACGGTCTTGCTTTCATAGCAAATGTTTTGGTGCCAATTCGTGCGGTCGAGCGACTACCCGGGAAAACGCTGACCATCTGTCTCACCGGCTTTTCACACAGCATCATGCTCGCCGTTCGCGTCAGCGACGCGGCCAACCGCACGCTCGGCTTCAAGACGATGCGTGTCCCGCGAGTCAAAGGTCGATCGCCCGGTCATCGTTTCAAAACGAACCAGTGGTCGACCCTGGATCTTTGATTCGATTTCCACGGCGTCCCCGCTCGTGAGCCGACTCGAATCTCGGTCGTCATCTTCAATCTCGGCGCGCTCCAACCCGACTCCGTCTTGGAAGCCGTCGTGGCCGAGATCGATTGCACGGGGGTCAACACCTTCACTCGACCCGGCGAATCTTGTGCGTGTTCCTTCGTTCGCGCCATTTTCTTATCTTTTGAAACTTTGAGGGAAATCAGCACTGACCTAAAGTCTTCGGGTCCATCTGATTCACTCCGCAGCGCAAGCCGTGGTCGGTCATCAAGTCACTGGCGGCGCAGCCATCATTGCCGGCACCGCCGTCGGTGGTCCCGCCGGCGCGGCGATCGGACTTGGCGTTGCGGGTGTCATTCAAGGCATCAAGCACCTCAACAAGAACCACGATGGCGTCATCAAGTACGAGACGATGTGGGTGACCCCCGGTGATCTCGCCACCGACCAAGCTGGTCGCGCCAACTGGTTCAAGTGCACATCATCGTCGCGACTCCCTGGCGCGCGTGCCTTGTACGAGATGTCGCACAGGATCGTCCGATGCTGATGATATCGGTGATAAAGCGGTCACTTGCCTACTTTCTTCCTTGTTTGACTGTGCCTGAAACTTAGTCTTGGGCTGCCTCTCGCCCCATTTGTGGCTAGTAATCTTTTCTCCGAGTTCGTTCATGTGTACTGGAGTCTGACCACGTTGGTAGCCTGCGCTTTTGGGCTGCTGAACCATTTGCAACTTCGATTAACCTTTTTTTTTACTATATTCGAACTTCTCTGTGTGCTTCCACGAGGCTGACCAGACGGGCTAGGTTACCATTCGCCTCGCCCGACGCCTCTCATTGGTTTTGCGCAGTGCTAGCGCGACTTTGCCGTCGAGCGGCCGCAGCTCGCTCCTCAGTCTCAGGCTTAGCCTCACAGCATTAAGAAAGTTCCAGGAAAGTACCCGATCCGGCTATAATTACAATCGAAGACCTGGTACCGCTGCTGTAAGGGCCCCCGAAAGACCCGATCAGTCAACTCGACGACTCTTGCCGGCCCTCTCGGACCCTCCCTCTTGCCTTCTCTTCTTCTCCGCAAGATAAGCCGCCTTCTTGCCTGACTTCTTCTTCTCCACCACAGCTTCGACCTTCTTGGGAGCCGATTTCGTCGGAGACGTTGACGAAGTCACGGCTTGTCCTCCACCCCTCGGTCCACCTTTACCGCCCTTGGCGCGCGCCTTGGCCTTGAACAACTCTTGTCGTTGCGCGTGGGTCAATTCGGTTGATTCGCCTTCAACGTTGGCTCCGTTCGTCAGTACGTTCGCGCCGTCGGTCGATTGATCCCCAGCGGCTGCAACGTCCTCGTCTCGGATGAAGCAAGCGACAAAGAACCCGTTCGATTGATCTTCGGGCAGGCAGCGAATTACCGAGTCGGCGACGTCTGGATCGGAAAGAAGATTCGTGAGCACGCAAATAATAGCCCTGCACCATGAGCCTAGATCTCAGAACTGACTTTGATCCCCTCCGCATTCGTCGACCCTCCCTCGCCTTTCCCACGTAGGGATCACTTCGTCCCTCGTCGCCAATCGCCACCCCTTGTCCTGGAACTCCTTCTTGGCCAACAAACGCACTACGACACCCTCGTCTTCCTGGGCCCAGATCGAGCACGTCGAATAGACGACTCGACGAGCACCGGAGAATCGCATGGCGTGGGATAGGATCGTGAGTTGGAAATTGGACAAGGCTCGAATTCGGGTCGCCTGTTCGGCTTCAGGCTCGGTGGGCAGCAGATGATCGAGCCGAGACGGGATACCAGAGCCGGCTGAGCGAGGAATCGGACAGCCTTGTAAGCGTATGATCTTGCAGTCAAGACAAAGAGATATGACTTACAACATGACGGATCGACGAGGAAGTGAGTGATGTTCTTGAACTTGACATCGGCGGGGTCGATCGACAAGAAATCGATGTTCATCGGTGTGACGTCTGCAGGAAAGACAGTGGTATCTTCAGTAATTCGATTTGTCGCATGAGGTTTGCAGTGGGAGGGAGAACTCACTGCTGGCGCCTGCCTTCTTGCACATATCCTTGAGCACCTTGAACCTTCCCTGATCCCTCTCGACGGCGACGACTTTGCCATACTCCCCCGCCATCGCAGCGGCCATCGTCGTCTTGTTCCCCGGTGCAGCCGTCGCATCCAGTACCCTAACGCCTCTCTTCTTCTTCTTTTGCACCTCGAGATCGCCGCGCTCTTCGAAGGTCAACGAGTCCGTGGGAGCCGTTCCATCGAGTTGGGCTTGCTCTTCCTGCTCTCGCTCGAGATCCTCTTCGGCAAGCAAATGAGACAGAAGGACCCAGGCGGGCATGCACGACGCTTTATCCTGTGCGATCAGACGTCCGTCCTTGAAGGGTTCGAGTGAAGGCAAGGAGAGCGACGCAGGAAGTGCAAGCAAAGGCTCGATATGAGCATCCAGGGCAAAGACCTTCGACTTTGTTTGACTGGGGTTCGAATGCGACCAAGTACAAAGTACAAAATCGGTATTAGTTCTCGCACCCTGAATGTTGAAGAAAGCGACGACAAAACTCACGCCGTCTCAATCATCGTCTCCACATCATCGACCATCTCCCACCTCTGATCATCGAACCATTCGACCGCCGCTTCGACGGTCCATTTGAGCGTGTTGACCCTCAACCACCGAACCGATCCCAGTGCGCCGGCATCTTCACCCGTCTCGGCATCCTTGGCACGCTTCTTGCCTTTGCCTATCCCTTCGATCGAAGCCGCGACGTTCTCGGGCAAGGCGATCTGAAGTCCTTCGTTCGACGAGCAACGCTTGCGCTTTCTCTCCTTTTCAGTCTCTTTCTCCATCCTGGGTTAGGGCGCGAGCAAGCTGGGTCAGATTCAGTCATCGAGCTCACCACCAGTCCGAAGAATACGATGGGACTCACGAGACCTTGTACCTCTCGACCTGTTTCCTGACCTTGTGTTCCTTGGGCAAGGTGATGCCCCGTTTGGCGAAGAGCATATCGTGGATCATGACCATCGCCAACGAGGCCGGCGTCGGTGGCGGTCGTTGTTGTTTCCCGCGTCGCTTGTTCTGATACTCCTCTTGCTTCTTGAGCATCTTGGACGCCGCCGCAGCGGACTTGACTTCGAGAATACCTTTCGTAGGCGCTGTGGTCGTGACGGGGGCGACGAAGAGCGCCGGTTCTTTGGTCAGGATCGCCGAGTGATCCAGCAGATGCTTCAGATGAGGTCGGTCTGTGAAGGATGAGCATCCGCTAGTCGATCAGCGCAAATTCTGAAACCTGCCTGACGAATAACCGATGATGGAGGACCGACATTTGAGCACCTCGACGGTGACTTTGAGGAATCGAGCCGCTTCGCCCGGTCGACCTTCGCGCGAACGCTTGGCCTCGGCCATGCACAAACCCTTGACCGAACCTTTCTTCTCATCCAGCGCATCGAGGATCAACGCAGCTCTGTAGGGAAGGAAAGTCACGCGGAGAAGGTGCGGAGAGGTTCGTTATTAGTCTGGCCCGAAAACCGGCAGCGGAGGGTCGAGCCGAATCGAAGGATGCTGCATCCCGTAAAGGCATGATTCGCCGGAGGATTCCCTGTAACAATGTTGAGCGGCTTACCGCTTGTAAAACTCCATGTTGTTGATGAGAGTAGGTGTGCGGGAGTGGGAACGTGAGCCGACTCCTGCGGGGTTGACGGACAGCCGAGCTCGACGACGGCTGCGAAGTTGCCTGCGAAGCGCGCGCCGGTGTCCCAGGAGGGAGCCTGAGCGGTCCGTGCGAGGCAAGCCAAGCTCGCCAGCTCTCGCCAGTCGCAGCCAGTGGCAAGCCGATCGCCGCGGCCGACCCCTCCCCGCTTGACTTAGCCGGCTCAGCTTTCGTCAAGTTCGTCGTCCTCGGAACAGCAATGCCACCGCCTACTCCGCGCCGTCGCACCCCGGCCAAGAATGCCACCACGTCCATCTTCACCTTCCAGGCCCCCTCGATCCGTATACCGACCTTCAACTCGCCAATCAAGAGGCTCAAGAGCCCGACGGCGAACGATCTCGACGGAGCCCAAACACGTGACGAGGCACGGCAAGCGCGTCTGCGAGGACCGGCTGGGTGAGAGCCCATGACCCTGGATGGGGATGCGACAACGCAGCGAGACCCCTCGAGACTATCGAACTGACCTTTCACTCCAAACCTTTGGCCGGACCGATCAGGCAGACTTGGAATAACCTCAACACGCTGTTGACGCGTGGACCGACGAAGCTACCGTCCTTTAGCGCGGTCCCCGGCGCCAACAGTCGAGCCGGGCGCGCCAAGAGTGCCACACCAGCGGGACCCAAGAACCCCAAGACACCCAAAAAGACGCCCAAGACGCCCTCGAAAGCCGAGTCGACCAAGAAGAGCGCGAGAAAGAGCTCCGTCGCCGCAAAGACCCGGGTCCTTCAACCAACTCCGCGTTCCGCGACGCGCTCCGCGGCCGCAACCACCGCCGCGCTCAAGACCAAGGCTGCTGTAACTGCGTCCGCAGGCCCCAAATCGAATCAGCGGAGAAACGGAAAGAGGAACGCGCTGCCATCATCCCCTCTTGGGAACCATCGCTCGAACGATGAAACTGAAGCCGGCCGTGAGGTCCAAGAGGTTGACGAACCTGCTCAAGTTGAAGCACCCCCACCGCCCGACCCGCCTCTGATTGCTTCGACTTCCAAAGGCAAGACCAATGCACCGCCAAAGCGAGTCCCAGCCAAGAAAGTAGCACAGGTCAAGGTATCCCGCGCCGTGGCGATACGACGAAGAAAACCCGCGGTCGAACCCGAACCCGAAGCTAACTCTGACGATTCCGAGATCAAGGTCGTCGAGCGACGCATCAAGCCTAAAGCGCCGGCGAAGAAGTGAGTCGAGTTCTCAATCATGAGAAACCTACGGTCACCTCGCTGATGCAACGAAATATGCAGGGTAACTCCTGCTGCTACGCAGAGCATTCCGTCGCCGTCGCCGTCGCCGCCGCCTCCCGCGTCAGAAAAGCTTGACCTCGAAGAAATCAACGAGCCCATGCTGCCACTCGCGTCGACCTCTCGCGCGAAAATCAAAGCCCCGAGCAAACGAGCTGCTACCATGACAAAATCAGCCAGGGTATCCAAGGCGGTGGCGGTCCGGCAGAGAAATGGGTCACCCGATGACGACGATCAGAACGCCGAAATTTTCCCGACTGAGAAGCAGCCCGTCAAGAAAAAGCCAATTGGCCGAAAGTGAGTCCGAACCACGAATCCTTCCTCGACAGGGTACTGACGCAGTATCGATTGGCTTGTTCCTAGAATTACTGCACCTAAAGCCAAACCTCGCTTGGCGCCGGCGAAAACTTCCGAGCCGGAGGACGATGGGGTGACCCTGCCACGACCATCAAAACACACACTCGACGACGACCTCGACGGCTCAGTTTCGGACTCGTCCTTTGACGACGGCCCTGTTGTCAAGCGACGCACATCCGGTGGGTCTGCGTGCGCTCTTGACAACGCAAAGAACAAGTCCAGTGCGCCCAGCAGCTTGGACACCATCTTTGCCGGTGTTCGGTCAAAGATGGTTGAGAAAATGTGAGCAGCTCCTTGTATCGTTCGCATCATCCCGAACAAGTTTATAGCTGACCACAATTACGGTATGACGGTACTTTTCCTCAATAGGGCCACGGATAAGCCTCGGATACGCTCCAAGGCGGGGCTCGGTAAACGGTGATCAGACGATCCCCATCGCCTACTCTGTTTTGTTTGGCTGTATCGCGTGTCGTAATGCTGTAGCGCTTTTCCAAAATTGCATCCCTCAACTCAGCTCATGTGGGCGCAACAACTTTGCCGACCCCTGACGACCAAAGTTCACTACGCGCCAGCCGAAGTCCTGGTAGACACAATGCAACATCCCATGCCCCTGATTGATGCGAGCGATAACAAGATAACAAGCCTGTATAATTGAGAATCAATCCAAACACTAAACTCAACCCCACACAAATCCCCTCATTTCTTCCCCTTCTTCCCTTCTTTATGTTTCTTATCCTTCTTGTGCTTTTTCCCCCCTTCCTCCTTCTTCGACTCCTCCCCTCCCAATTTCCTCTTCAACCCTTTGGTCGATTCCGGGTTCTTGATACTGATTACCCCACTTCCTTTTGCGAGTTGGGCCTGCGCTTGCGCCCATTCGTCTTCGGTCCCGGCGATCGAGTACCTGAAATACATGGTCGTCAGCTACGGGGCGTTCCCCTTCGGCATCCCCATCGCGCAACGAGGACGAAAGACTGACTCACTGCTTCAAATCCAACGAATCAATCACCTCCCTCTGACTCTCCTTCAAAGCCTTCAACACCTCCCTTCCCTCCTGATCCAACTCCTCCTCCAAACCCTGCACACCACCCTTCACGACCGCCGTCGACGCACCCGAGGGTTGGTTTACGAACGCCTGGGTTTTCTTATCCATCCCCAACGAAGCGTCCGGAACGAATTTTGCGACGTCCTCCTTTTGTAGAGTTTGTAGAGATTTGGTCAACTTGCGGATCGTTTTGGAGAATAGGGCAAGGCATTGCGCAACGGCGACTTGGTGCTCGGTTTCCTTTTCGACGTCTTCGACGGACTTGCGTTGAAGACCCAAGGCGAGCAGGATCGAGGCTTGAAGGCCTGAGAGTTGGACGTCTTCGGGGAACCGTTTGGAGAAGTACAATCCGGCCAAGGTGGGAAGTAGGTCGAGGATGACGTGGTAGTCGAGCATGTTTTGAGCGTACGAATCCAAGCGCTTCAGATCGAAGGGCGAGAAGAAGGACTTGACTTCCGAACCGACGAGGACGTCTCCGCCGACACGCCTTTCTTCATCTTCTTCTGTCGTCGAGGTGTAAATACCCTGGTTCGCCGCTTCAAGAACACTCAAAGCGCTAACGGTCGAGAACTCCCTAAACTTGTACGAAAGGAGCGCGATGAACCTCTTCCTGAAATCCAACGAGAACGCACCCAACCACCTCCCAACTTCTTGACGATTCTTGTTCAACCCACGCAACATGACGCAAGAATGTTCGCCCGTCAAGTCGTTTTGCGTTTGCCGGATGTACAAGGGGGAGAAACCAGCCCGTTTCCAAAACTTGAACAGAAGCGTGGTGAGACCGTACGATACGCCGAGGTAGTCGAGGTTCTCTGGTTGACGCTCCGAGAGACGTTGTAAGAGGGGTGGCATCTTGCTCGCGTCACGGATGGCAATTTGGTCCGTTTGGAGAGTCGCATCCTGTGAAGTGGAGCCATGGCAACACATCAGTCCATCAGCCCGTGCCGGAGAGTCTGTATCCCGCCTGACCAGCTTACCTCGTCAACCTTGGCCACATCCTCGAACGTCTCTAAATCCATCTCCTTGACAACCTCATCCAAATTGAGCAACTCGCCACTATAGAACGAATTCAACGCCTGCAGCGCCCTTGACCCGTACCCCATCTTGGCATAGTCAGGGTGGACAGCAACGCGCACGATCCGCGCTCCGGACATGGAAGCGAAGTCATCGTCTTGGTACTGCTGCGAGATGGTCCAAGGGATCAAATCCCCTCCGGCCATCTTGCCTCGACTGAGGTTATCCAGCACGCTCTGCTTGGAGATGTTGCCTTCCAACGCGACTTGCATCACGACCAAAGGGTCGGGGAGCGTGTTGTCCCCTTCTTTCAAAGGCGGCAACAGCACAAAGAGGTGATGACCCGGTGCATCGGACATGAGTTGCAAGTCGTTGGGCGAGTTCTTGTAATGCGACGCGACGTAGAGTGACATCATCCTCTGTAGGAAGACCTCGGAAGCAGGGTGGAACGAGAACAAGGTGTCGCGGTTGACGTAGAACAATTCGCATGTCGAAGGATGGGGGCATCCTTGCAGCGTCTTTTTGAGACTGGTCGAGATCGTTGCGTCGAGGCACAAGAGGCCGTTGAGCCATTTCTCGATCGAGTCGTCGGGACCGTAACGAATCGGCGTCTCGAGCTTGATCTCCTTCAACGTTCGAGCGGTCGCTAAAGGCGTCGACCCGCTCGCCTTGTCGTCGGTGTTGCCTCCGTTGGTTGAGCTGGGCGCGGACATCGCCGATGATGGTCGCGACATTTCACGCAACTGTTGCAACAGCTTGAGCGAGAGCGATCGGCCTGTGCCTTCGTAACCGTTGATGGTTGAAGCCATGAACACGAGGTAGGGCCCCAAGAGGGATCGCACCAAGGGCAAAGGGATGGCCGCGGCCTCATCAATGACGACGAGTTCAGCTTGGCCAAGGACGTGGAAATCTTGCGGCTGGATGTACTGAATCGTTTGTCGGTGCTGTCGGAAGATGTTGACCCGAACGACGGCGCCCTTCCATTCCGGGTTCGTGCTCTGAACGATGTCGTAATCGAGGTGCTCCTCCCACCCAAGCTGATCGAAGCCCTTGAAGATGAATTCGAACAAGGTCTTCAAGTTCTCGGGACTGGGCGAGGTGACAAAGACGTTCGAATAACCATGTAAGATGGCGAGCGATATCGACAAACCCAAAGCGGCGGATTTACCTCGACCACGGGCGGCGGTCAAGGAGACGGTCTGGGACAAGGTCTTGGAGGTGATGGCATCGGTGAAGGTCAAGATCGCCTTGGCCTGGTCGAGGGTACGCGCTTGGGCGATGATCTCGCCAATGCCCTTGGTATCGCTGAGTCCTTCCTTGAGCGCCTGCAATTCCGCTTCGCCAGGGGCTTCCTTTCGTTTCCCCTTGCCGGCCGAGCGACCAACTCCGACGCCGAAGTCGGGGTCGATCGCGACGATGTCCTTGCCCGCTGAGATGGGCAGAACGTTGAGTTCGTCGTCGACGACGAGGCAGGCCGGGTTGGCGCCGAGCGAGAGTAGGAACCGTTCGTTGAAGCGAGCGACGGGTGCTGCGGTCGAGGTCGATGATCGATAGCGAGAGTGTACGTCCTGTGGGGAGGGAACGTGGTTGATGAGCAGGAGATTCGGAGCCGGTGCTCGGTACAGTTGGACTGACCATGGTCATGCTGTACAAGCCCCTGAGACTCTTCATGCCTTGCAAAAGACAGACGACGATCCCTCCCCCCTGCACGGTCTCGATCGTCCTCGCCAACAAATTCGGGGTAATCGCTTCGAAATCCTGCAAGATCAACATCGAGAAGGTCTGACCAAGGATCTTGTGGGTGTCCTTGTAGTAGGTGTAGCGCACGTCGGTGACGCTGACAAAGAGTTCAAAGGGGTCCATCTCGCCGACGTCGCGTTGGTTGCGCTTGACGTCGCGCTTGATCTTGCCTTCGCGCTTCTTACGGTTCGAGGTGAAACCGAGTTCCTTCTTGTAGCACCATAGCACGTTCGGACAAGGGTTCTTCTTTTGGGCTGTGGGGGACGTCCGAGGTGGGCGGAAGTCAGGATCTTGTCTTCTCTGAACGGGACGAGAGCGGGGATGACTGACCATCGGTAGGGTTGGCCAGTCCGGCGATGGATTGGCCGAGCAGAAAGTGCAAGTTCACGATCTGGGCATGGGCCTTTGCGCGATCACCGAGCAAGAGGAAGAAGGAGCGGTGCGAGGTTTGAAGTGAGCTTTGGGGATGGAAGGGAGCGGGTTAGTAAGGATCAGAGGGGCAAGGTTGGAGCGTGGGGTGCGGACGCTCACTTTGCGATGAGGGTGGGGATGCGGGTGTCCAATGGCTTGCGACGGCCTGTGGCGTTGGCGCCCGACATGGCTGAGGCTGTGGATGGGTGGGGCTGGTGGTGCGACCGATCGAGCTGAGGAGCTGAGGAGCTGAGGAGGGAGCGCGCGTTGCTGCGAAGGACGAAGGCGACCCGTAGCGTGAGTCTAGACAAGCTAGTCGCAAGGAAGGGGGTTGAGTGGACTAGTGATGATCAATTCGACCACTTTTTAATCCAAAAGTGCGTAGAACCCAATGACGCGTTGTGGGGAGAGTGAGCGCAACTCGGGATAGTCAGGAGGTCAGGAGGTTGATCTCTGACCCGATCGAAAGCACGGCCGTGTGCGACCAAGTTGATCCGCCCGCAGCAGCCCGCAGCAGCCCGCAGCCTCGCAGCCCGATTTGAGCTCGGACCTCGTGACACGCCGAGGCGCGCCGAGCGAGTCGCGCTTGCTTGGGTGCTGCTGCCAGCAGTGCTGCTCTCTCCTTCCCCTGTCCTGCACACCGACCCTCACACGCGGTCTGTCCGCCCATCCCACCCCATCCACCGACCATCCACCGACCATCATGCAAACCCTATCCCGTCCCTCGCTCTCCTCGCACGCCTCCTCCGGCCTCGGTGCCTCCCCCTCCTTGGCCTCATCCAGTCGGAACCCTCTTCACCTCAAAGTGAACCGACTCCTCTCCGCCAACCTGGACGATGCGGGCACTCGAGCTGCTTTGGATACGTTGGGCGAGTTGGAGCTGGAGCAACAGACTCAAGTTGGGTCGAGCTCACGTGGGAGTCAAGAACCAACGACGACGACGACGACGACGACGACGACGACGACGAATGGGTTCAATGGCAGGACGACAGCCACAACAACTACTGCTGCAGGGACGCCTATGATCAAACGAGGCGCGTTGAGGACACAGGTCGAAACTCAGATGGCTCAAGCCTCGACGGAATTCCTACAAGCCTTTTCGGACGTGGACGCCGTAAGCCTATCTCTGTCGAATCCTCGCACCTCCACGTCACGTCATCTCACCTCGCACCTCTCATCGCCTCCCCCAGAAACTCGGTCTGCTGCAATCCCACCTCGACGCGATGCACACATGCTGCGATCAGGTCGAACAACAGCTCGCCTCTGCAAACTCGGGGACGCGGTATTTGCTCGAACATGTCGAAGGCTTGCGCCAACAGAGGTCAGTGTCCCACAAGTCTCCCTCCAAGAGCATTCTCAGCACACCCCGCAACAAAACACGACGACTGATACCATCCTTATTCGGACCTACAACTATCATAGAGCCACAACAACAGTCCAACAATCGCTCGTACACTTATTCCTCACGCGCTTCTCCCTCACCGACAACGAGTTGCGCATCCTCACCTGTCGCGAGATCCCCGTCGGACCGGACCTATTCGCCGCGATGAACAAGACCGAGAGGATACGAAGTGATTGTAGGGCCTTGTTGAGTGGCGAGGCGGGGCAGGGAACGCAGGCGGGGTGAGTTGCCCGTTCAAACTGGCGTTAAGAAGAATTCGTTCTCAAGCTAACCTCTCTTCAACCCCACTCCACCACAGTCTCGACATCATGGAATACACGTCCCAGCATCTCGAAGCGGCCTATTCCAAAATCTACAAATGGTGCACCTTTGAAGCGCGTGGGTTCGGAAAAGACGTGTTGGAAGTTTCGTCGACGATGCGCTCCGCGATCGAGAGGCTTAGGTCCAGGCCGGAATTATTGTCGTTCGTCCTTTAATTCAAATCTCAGTCTTCCCCGTTCGGGAGCGCAATATCTGATTTCACTCTCATTCCCGCTCTCCAACTCCACAGTGAAGTCCTCGATCTTTTAGGTGCAACCCGCTCAACTGCCATATTGAACCTATTCCTCGACGCCCTAACAAGAGGAGGGCCTTCCGGCCTTCCACGACCCATCGAATTGCACGCCCACGATCCAATTCGTTACGTCGGAGATATGCTGGCTTGGATCCATCAAGCTACGGCTGGTGAACGAGAGTTCTTGGAGAGTTTGTTCGGTATCGCGGAGGATGGGAGATGGGTCGGCAGTGTGAGGGCGCAGAAAGGGACGAGGGGGAGAAAAGCGGAGGGAGGGGCGGGTGAGGGGGCGGAGGGGAGTGTCAAGACGATACTGGACGAAGAGGACGACGAGATGCGCTTGAGCAAGTTGTTGGATCGGGATATGGAAGGGTGTGCGAGACCTTTAAAGGTGACTTGCCCTGCTCTTTCAGGCTCACGCGCGACTTCGAGTCTGAGCGCAGTATTCGATCCTTCGCAGATGCGCGTGCAGCAAACGATCAAGAGTCAAGAAGGTGCTATTATGGCGTATAGGATCGCGACGTTGATTGAATTTTATAAAGTCACGATGGAGCAGACGATCGGCAAGGACGCGCATATGTGCAAAGTATTGGCCGAGTGAGTTCGAACGCTCGCGCTCTTGATTGGCTGCCGCACGGAAAGCTCATCCGCGTTCGAGTCGCTCCGGACAGGATCACCGACAGTGCCTACGAGGCCTTTTTCGACACGTTACGCAACCACGGTCGATCCCTTTTGCGCTTCATCCAACCTCCTTCGGCGGGACTGAATGCCCCTCCCCAGCTCCGAGACGCTTTGACGACCCTTCGAGAACTCATGGCCATCTTCTCCTCGTCTTACCTCGAGGATGCGCCCAACGCGTCATCGAAAACCGATGTACCTAAACCAAATGAGGCAGAAGACTCTACAACAACATCGACGACCCCACCAACGTCCATGATCAAAGCCGACGACTTTTCCCCCGTTCTGGACCAAGCCTTGGATCCTGCTTTGGAGATGTGCGAAAAGATGGGGCAATCGAGACCGTTGACGTGGGATCGATCGATCTTTGCCATCAATTGTATCGAGACCGTTTTGAGTGCGTTGGACGGTTTTGCTTTCACTGCGGATCGGACGAGACAGTTGAAGGAGGAGGAGGGGGATCATGTTGAGAGTTTGACGGGGGAACATGTACGTTTCTTGCCTGATAAGGGAGTCTCAGCAGCGCGGCAAAGGCTCATTCCAAGTGCCCGCCCCCCATTATTTTGGTACCGCAGTTCACCTCTCTCCTCAAAGACAGCGGCCTCGAAAATCTCCTCACCACGATCCGCACCAAAGACCCCTCTGTACCGCTCTCTTCCCTCCCCTTCGCCTCTCCGACCCATCTCCAAACCTGCCTGCAATCCTTCTCCCACTTCCTCTCCACAACCGACACCCTCTCCTCCCCCCGTCTGTCGCTCCTCCCCCCTCGGATCGCAGCAAGTATTCATCGTTCGGCTTTGGAGAGGATCAGTGGGGCTTACGAGCTCGTTTTAAATGAGGTGGTGAGGGATGCGCAGAGGAATGGGTACGAGGAGGGGACTGTGAGGGGTTTGTTTAGGATGGGGAGGGACGAGGTGAGGAATGTTTTAGGGGTCGAGAGGGGGTGAAGCGTGTTGAAGAACTTTTTAGGGGGGGATGTGTAACCTTTGTAATGACCCATGCAACCTGGTGAGAAACGATTACGCTGCAGCACTCCAGGTCCCGCATTCTAACTACTCTCTTACAATGCGCACACCCGCCGCTGGACCATTAGTTGGGGATGCAACGCAACAGTCTCCCGCCTTTTTAAAATCGACGAAGGCCGAAGTCACTGCTGAAGACGATCCCCTATTCGTTCCCGAAGGCCGGGTCGGATACAGTGGGGAAGCATCGGTTCTCCGTCTGCCATGACTACGGGGTCAGAGCTAACCACTCGGGTGTTGTTCGGGTAGAGGTAGAATGACTAGCCCCCTGTCTTGCCCTTGATCCTGCCAGGGAGGATACAGCGAGCACGATGACAAACGAGGCTACATGTTCAATTGGTGGCATCATATCGACTCTTTCGTATAGTACGTGCTATCTGTGCGACAGTATTTCGTCGGACTTCATCCGTAGCTCAACCTCTCACTCCCTCGCTACACAGCTTCGCACACCATCGAGTGTCGCCCCCACCTCGAGCGTGGATCCAAGCCGCCCATCGTCACGGCGTCAAGATGCTCGGTACCTTCATTTTCGAAGGCGATGACGGTCCTCCAGACCTTCTCAAGCTGCTTGAGCTCTCCAACGAAGCTGGCGCCCCGCGACTTACGGCGGCGAGTCTGAGCTACGCCGACGGTCTGATGTGCGTCGAGCATGGCTTTGAAGGCTGGTTGATCAACGTCAAGGTGCCATTCGTCGAGGGTGAAGAAGCCGAGCAGATGCAAGCTATGCTGCTTTGGTTGCGATACCTCAAGGATGAGGCCAGACGCCGCATCGACCCGGCGTCGGTAATCATGTGGTTCGTCGTCATCACTGTCCTTCGAAATCACGTGACCTTTCTACGGTCGTGCTGACCATCTCGTGCTCCCGGCAGGTACGACGCCGTCAACCTCCTGGGCGTTGAATGGCAGAACGAACTGAACGGTTACACACTCCCCTTCGCCGAAGTGGCCAATTCAATCTTCCTCATTGGAGGGAGAAGGAGATCGAAGACACTACGACCAAAGTCGCCGAGAAATCGTCGATGATCGAGATGGACCAGGTCTACTTTGGCTTGGACGCCTGGGGGAGAGGCCAGTTCGGGGGTGGAGGCTTTGGTTCATGGATCGCGTTGGACTTACTCAATCGGGTGAGCAAATCGAGTTTGCCTAAAGTGTCCGCGGGGACGTCGCCGAATGCGGCCTACTCTGTTGCCATCTTTGCCCCGGGATGGACCGTCGAAAGTCTCGGACACGACCTTACAAATGCCAAGGGCTACAGCGAGTGGTTCGCGGATGATGCACACCTTTGGATCGGAACAACGCGACTACCCGACGCACCAACACCACTTGCACCTGTTGGCAAGCGTGAGGAGACTGCTTCGGTCGCTCCAGCCGCAATCGACAGAGGAGCCCGAATTGCTCGGGGCCACGTCGGACGAGTTCTTCGCATTGTCATGCTCAGACTTTCCAGAGACTACAGGATGTGTTGGAGTTCGAGCGGGCCGAGCGTCCCGAAGGTTAAGATTGTTTGGACATAATCTACGCGAGAAGTCCCATGTTTGTACAGAGCACGGATCTATCGTACGTGTATATGCTAATAGGGACTTCGGGATGTTGAGGGGATGGACTCCGCCGATCATCGGTGCTTCCAATGCTATCACCTTCCATAATGAGAGTCGAGAATTGTCTATACCCGTTAAGCTATGCTTAGCGCATCTCTGGGCGTTCAGGCCTGAGGGCACCTAACACGAGCTCGAGCCTCTGATGAGGACGTGATGGACATCGGTCCCATGTTGTTGGTCACCTCGGTTGTAAAACCCCTCAGTCCTTTGAAAGAGACTTCCTTTCTTCCTTCCGCTACTACAGCAGTTGTCCGCACTGGAATCGGTAAGGCCTCCTGCACCTCAACCATCGAGCTTCAAAGTGTCCTCCGACGCCGCAGTCAATCATCGAAAGAACGCTCGGGCCCACGCCAAGTATTGCCCGGACTCCTCGTTTGACGATACACGGCATCAGCGCTGTGATGTCCGAATTTCAAGCACTACTCGATGCACTCCAGAAATCTGTTGGGTCAGAGAACGCGCTAAGATGGATGTCGAAATGTGAGTCGCCCCGCCCCGGAGCATATCGCTGCTACTACACCTCACATCAGTCTGCTGCTACACCGAATGCTGACCGTTGTAGGCTTCTCGAAGACGTTACTCCTGCTTTCCTAGCGCTCAACAACAATCAGAACCCTTTTCCTTGGGGGATCAAGGCAGCGCATGACTCGATATCCCCGCAAATGCCGCCTTCATTCACGCGGTAAATGCCTACCGGACGTCTGAAGAGCTCCGGAATGACCCTATCCTGACTCGCGCTGCCCTGTTGATATTTAGACAACTCTGGTGGCTCGTTGCGCTGTTTACCGTTTCAATGACTATCGCCCTAATCGGACTCATCCTGCGCCTGGCACAAGGACATTTCTGGATCGTCCACCGCATTGATTCGAGGATCACGATGCCCAACATCTCCATCCAAAATTCCTTCTGGGCGTTCTTGTACAGCCTTATGAGCATCGTCGAGCTCGTAATCACAAGTAGGATTGTATCAGGCGCCGTATACCCATCATGGTACATCGGCTACCAAGGATTCCTGCCCGTCGTTCTATTCTTGGGCCAGTACCCCGAAATTTGGGCCACGGCCAGCGCCTGGTGTCTGCGCAACTGCGATCCACACAGGCACGACTCCAGCTTGATCTCGGCGTGCTTCACGGCTCTTCCTTTTCTATGGCCTATCGTTGCCGTTTCACCTCCCATTATCTTTTTTTCCCTCGCAGCCCGGGCCCTCGGTGTTGTACACGGCGGCGTCGGTCAGTGTATAGTCAATTTTAAAGCCTTTGAATCCTCCTGGACAAGTGCCACCACCTTGGACACCTCTTTCGCCCAGGCCGTACAGGCTCTGCAGCCCCTTGCAACGATTGCCGCTTACGCTCAAATATATGCATTCTGGTCACCTGTCGCGTTCCGCTTCGTCGGATCGGTTCTGGTCATCACGTTCATGGTACGTCACGCACGCGACAGGCTTTGGGCCCGAGACAAGACCAGTCGGTTGAAACAACTGGATGCTTTCCTTGAGCAGCTATACGTAATCGCAACAGTCATCGAATACGGTCACCTCAGTCGTCAGGTTCGCAACTTGCGCGGCAAAGCGTGTCTTGGGCTGGCGATGGCCCCCGGCAAAATGGACTGTGCGCCACCGAGCGCGCCGACCTCGTCGAAATTCACCGTGCAAATCCGCTCCTCGAACAATGACAGTGCGAATACTCAGCTGGAGTGAGTGATACGAACAACCATTTACTTCATAATCGTTCATTCAAGGTGCATAGATGCTGACCATGACTCATCACGGGTTCGACAGGCAGCAAGCGCGGCTCATGGCATGGGCAACGAGCAATCGTCTCCTGACGGCCGTCCCGGTCTCACTGATGCTGAGCGCCAATGCGGCGTTAGCTTTCTGGTCGTCTGTCGCCCCCATCAAGCTCTCTGACAACGACGGGAACATTCAAATGATCGGCCTCGTCGCAGCGTGGATCAACTCGATATGTTCAACTGTAGTGGCGGTTCTCATCTTGTTCCGCGCGTTGAGCAGGTCTTCGAAGACGACAGAAGCGGTCAAGAGACTTGCGCCATGGTTGCCGCTCGCACCGATGTCTACCGCATCAACCGGATTGATGGACATGGTTGGAGCTCAGACTTCTCCTTTGTCTCAAAATTCGGCCAAGAAGGATTTGCCCCTCGGTTTGACAGCGCAAGTGTCTGTGACATCGGAAGGTTCTGAAAAACTCGCAGTGGACCATCTTCAAGGTGGAATCACCGGAGTCACGATTGAGCGGTATCAGCAAGTATCAGTAGATTGAATCCGGAGAGAGCGATCTAGATCATTGCGACGGGGTCCTAGAATCCCGTTCAGTGTCGATTTAGTTGCGTAGTTCAATCCATTCATCAGCATCAGACAACTTATTGTATTACACGTGGTGGACGCGTGGTGAGCTGGCTCTTTGAGCATAAAAAAATCATCGACGATATTAGACTTGAGGATCTTGCGGAACATCCATATCTGCACCGGCCGCTCATAATGAATCGAACAGCTGCTAGCTGCTCGCTACCATGATCGAGCAATAGTATTACCAAACGTCGGAGGTGTCAGGAATATATGGTTGTACCCTCTTTTACCTGATTATCGTTCCCATTATAGTACTAAGGACCGCAGCGGGAACGCACTATTCTTTACGGCCGGGTACATCAGCTTCCAAGGCTCCCTCCCGTCGAAGCCCCTGTCTCTCCGCAACGACGTGAAATTCCATCCCAGAGGTTCAAGCACGAGACCACTAGTGCACCACCTCCCGGCAATGCGTCGGCATGGAAAGGGTTTCCTTCCGGCCCACCTGCTCGAGAGACGTGCGCCAATCAGTTGAAATCAGTGAGGTCGACCACGCTCACTTCTCCTTGGATATTCAAGCTGATGATCGTGAATTCATGCCCTCGGCCTCATATTCCAAGAGCAACTCATCGATTGGGCCACCTCAAATCAGGTCCTGACGGATATCATGACAGCAACCATGATATCACTCATGCTGGCTACCCCTATGCTGGACTGACATTTTGGTTCGAGTCGGCCCGCAAATCAATTCACTTGGGCGACATTAACGGTTGGGTTCAGGTCATCACCCTCGTCGCGGCATGGATCAACGTGAACATTTCGACCGTCGTCACTGTTTTGATGCTACTCCGTGCACTCAGCGGTTCACCAACTGCGACGTTGAGGGTCAAGAAGTGGGCACCTTAGCTCCCTTTGGCACCCGTCGCTGCTCCAGCATCTGGCCGAAAATCTTTCTATCTTGCCCAAACGCCTGCAGTGTCGAACTCGTTGCACGGATCGACTGGTGGACTGAAGAACAGTCAACCCACGAAGAGTTCGGAGCAGGCTGTCAACAAGCGCGAATCCCCAGTCAATGTCATCACGGTCAAGCGCGAATGCCAGGTCACGGTTGAAACACGGCCGTCGAGTGAGCGTTCAGGAGGTCAGGCCTGCCCACTCTGAAAGCCAAACATCGATGAAGTGGAGCGCTCCATGCAAACATTTGCTTCTGACCGAAAATCGACCAAGCAATAAGTATAAGGTTGATTAGCCGGAGGTCCTTAAGCATATAAACGGATAAACTTTTGTCATAGAATATGATGAGGTATTCGCAAACAAGAAAGGTATAAAGAGCGCATCAGACGAGTTCGAGCAAAGTGACGGGCCGAGGGCGCGATTCGGCGAAAGGCTCGAGTTTCGAATTTCCTTTCCCTGCGCAGAAAAAAGAGCAGCTTCGTTAGTGAACATCGCTCAGCCTGATGTCAATTAAAGTACTCACCATCTCCTTCGACAATCACAGGATCATCGGCATCAATGTCGCCGGCGAACTTGCGGCACATGACTTGGTTTTGCTTGGCACGCTTCCTTTGGTGGTACGTGACGAGATCTCGACCTCGCAGAGGAAGAACATCTTCTCCTCGTGATCTTCAGGTAGGACTTCATCGAGGTTGACGGGTTCGGCGAGACCTCGTCGAAGGAAGACCGAAGCGGTCCTAAACGGATCAGAGAAGCGTGTTTAGTTGCTGGACCCCAAAAAGTCAAGGAAGCGAAAGCACTCACTAGAACCATTGCAATAGCTCCTCAATGATGGTCTCCCCGCGATGGATCGAGCGAATGAACTCATAGAACGCCTGCTGATGGCGCCCCAGCAACCTCGCCAAGATCCTCACGCGCTTTGTGGCTCTTGGATCCTCGATCTCAACGCCTCGATGATGATGATCAACTGATCCAGGAAGCGCTGGAAGCTACCAACAGCTTGCGAGAGGTTTCCGACTTTGTAGATGCGCTTGATCAGTTCGACAATGGGACCGGCGAGCACCTCGAGAGCAGATGCGATCGCATCTTCACCGAGCATTTCACGTATGATGTTGGAGTCGCAATCGCGCGAGACGAGGCGGAAGTAGTACTGCAGGTCGAGCACGAGGCGGACATCCGTGTCCGTCAACTGAGCCCTGGCGAGGGCCGAAGGCTTGGTCTTCATATAGGCGCGGTATCGTTTACTGGCTCGTACGACACGGTCCAATTCGTAAGCGGGCAAGCGGGGCTCGTCTCCACGAACGATGGCGAGAACGAACTCGATCCCGTTCTCCTCTACAATGCCCACGCTAATCAGAATGGGCACACTGGTCTGAGGGGCTAGCACAGTATTTTCCACTTACCGGCATACCGGCGAACGACCTCCTTCTTCTCGCGCGATTCGTAGGCAAAGATGTCGAGCTTGTCTGTCATCGTCGCCGAGCCGATGCGCTGACGGTACCGCGCAATTTGCTCGAGCAATGCTGCAGGGTCATCGTCGAGCGTGATGGCGAGAATCCCGATGAAGTGCATCATGACCAAATAATCGGTCAGATGTTATCTCTGAAAGCCGCATGGAGAGTGTGACTCACTTCTGAAGCAAGCTCTTGCTCCTGAACGGTCGAGCCAATAGGATGTCCTGCAAGTATTTGGACATCGTCTTGAACCGGCCAATCTTGAACGCCTGTTTGACGAGGAAGTACGGGAATGCGGCATGCAACACCTTGAGCTTAGTGAAGATCGGCCCCGAGGCCTCGCCGCCGACGAAGAGGTCGTACAGGCCTTGCGCGAGGGTGAAGCGCAACGATTCAATCGTCTTGAAGTAGCGAGCGGGAAGCTTCTCGATGTCGCTGACGTTACGCAAAGCATCCGAAATGGCGACGAAGCCGTCGCCGTTGATGCATTCACGTGCGACCGCATCCCAGTGGGCTCGGGCGACGCGCGCACGCTCAGCGGCTCCGCCGGCTCACGACAATTCGAGCAGATCGTCGTGCTTCATCGATCATCTCACGTTGAGTGATGTCGACGACACTGGAAGAGCGCCAAAAATCAGTCTCGGACAAAGAAGCTGTCGGGACAAATGGGCGTAGACTCACTCTCTATCCTTCGGCACGATCGCGCCTAAAAGTAAGAAAGCCGCCGTCTCCTTGTGATGCCCGATGGTGCGAATCGACAACGTGGGTGAAGGCCGCCCCCTTGTGGGGAGGTTTGTTTCTTGGCTCGAGGGTGGCCAACGCCGACCCTAACCCCACCGAGGGCCGAGGGCCGCCGCCACCGATGTTCAGAGAGTTGCCGGCAAAGCGGAGAAAAAAAAAGGGGGGGAAGGAAGTAAAAAAAGGCAAGGAACAGAAAATAAGGGAAAGGGGAAGGGAAAGGGGAAGGGGAAGGGGAAAGGAAAGACGGACACGTGTTGTACTCTCCCATACTCTGAGGCGTCGAGGCGTCGGGTGCGTCGGGTGCGTCGAGATGATTCGCTCTCCTCTTGCTCCTCCCAATTTCACACCACTCTCTCCTCTCTCTCTACTAACCAAATCTCTGACCAGGACGCCTGGACATTTGAAGATCGACAAGTCAAAGGTGTTGCACGGCGCTTGTTACAAGTTTCACCTTCCTCTTTCCCCCTCTCCTCCCTCTGCACCCTCTGCCCATTCTCCACCATGTCCATCCCCCACCACCCGCCCTCAACAGACGTCCGTCGTCGCACGACCCAACCCCAAACGCTGCAACAAGCCCAAACCAGCACCACGACCCATCTCCCCCTCTCCTCGGCGCTGTTGAACGACCTCGACTCGCAAGCGAGCTTGGACAACATGGAGGCCGAATTGAACAAGACGGTCGATACGGAGGTGGAGGTGTTGGCGGAGGGGATCGTCGAGTTGGTTAGGTGTGCGGTCGTAAGTCTCTGTGCGGTGGCCTACGTCCCTTCTGAGGTAGTCTCTCTTTAACGCGCGTGCAGGAGGAGCTGTGAGCTGCGAATGCACAGGCGTCGGTCGTGTGGGGGGACTGTGACCACCTCGAGCTTCGCGTCTGGTCCCAATTCTCCTCCTCTCTCTGACCCACTCTTCCCGTCCCGCACAGATCAAAGACAAAGATCACTTTCGCGTGTCCCAAGAAGCATTCGCCTCAAAGGTCCGCACAGAAGCAATGGTACGCTCCCGTGCACACACCTCCCACCTCTCTCTGTTCCGCCAGACCTTCTCCCCTAACGCCCCTTTGTCCCACACAGATCCGTTCCGCGCAATCCCTCTTATCCCTATCACATACTTTGAAGCTGCTGCATTTGTTCGCCGATACTTGTACGCCTGCTTTGGCGAGGGAAGCCACCGTTAGGGAATTGGATGAGATGGTTGAGAGCGCAAAGACGGAGCTGGGGATGGCGGTCGTTTGAGCAGATGGTTTTGAAAGGGGGGGATTACAGCGTATTCAAGTCGAAGAGAGGGTGAAATTTGTTGTTGTAATAATAGTATCCTTTTGGTGTGCGGATCCGAGAGTGTGCATTCGCATCCGAGCTCTCTCTCGAGACGCGGGAGAAACGTCCTCTACAACTCTCGATAACTCTTGCCTTGAACGACTCGAGAGCCACATCCAAGCCTGGTATACAACAAAGTTGCAGTTTGCTTCTCCAATCTACTTTCCTCAATACCAACACGTTCCTCTCTGTCTCCGCGTTCATTTCTTCCCCAAGTCAGGTACGACCTCCCCACTCGGAATTCCTTGCTCCCTTTGCGAAGACGCCGAGGACGATCGATCTTGGGCGGCGGCAATCTCCTCCGGGGTCATGTACACCTCCTTGGTGGCTTGCATCAGTTCGTACAGTTGGCCTAATTGGTCCGCCGAGAGCTGGTGAGGTGGTAAGGGCCGGGGGGGGAAAGAAATTTCCAAGCCCGAGTTGCCGAATGATGGGTGACGAGGGAGCGAGTACGAAGATCGACACGGGGACGGTGTTGATTCAAGATATCTCAGCTCTCAACTCCGCCCAAATATGAAACACAAAACATCAAAGCCTCAGGGAACGTACCCTCTCAAACAACTCGGCATCCAACTTCTTACCCCACTTGTTCACACCTTCCCCTTCTGATTGCGCCCCTTCCCCTTGCTGCAACATCTGCTCATGATGATCGAGGTACTTTTTCCATTCGCTCAAAAAGCCGACGATGTGTAAGGGATTGTCCGTGGTTCGGGTTCGACGGAATTCAGCCTGGGGAATGGGGAGGCGAACGAAGGAGGGTGGTGTTGGTACCCTTCCAAAACTACGGCTCCAAATCCCGCATCCAAAACATCGTCCGAACCCACCTTCACGTACTCATCCCCCATCACCCTCAACTCGATCGGTAACACTTTTCGATGGACCCTCAATAGCCTTCGATAGAGTGGCAGAGGGGGAAGAAGTTGTTCGGCCGCGCTGTCGAGCAGATCTGTTGTAGGGAGCGAGGTCAGAGGCGCTTTCGAGACGGAGGCGGCGAGACGGAGCAGAGAGGGACGGAGGAGGGACATGGTTTGCAAAGTGCTGGGTGGGGGCAGAGGTGCGGAGGTGGGTCGGGGTGGAAGAGGAGAGAGAAGCAAAAAGTCGCGAACGGCGTTTCGTCATCGGGCACTGGCTCCCTCGCGCACCGGCACCGGCTGCTGATCGCCGACTTCAGCCGATCGACTCGGTGGCCACTCCGAAGATTTGATGGATGAGACCTGCGCAAAGATGCAAAGAAAATTTACACAAAACAAAACAACGAAGCCAAAAAAATATATGAGATGGTAAAGAAAGGAGGGCATAATCCAAAAGCACCCTCTTTTCACAATATCCAGATACGGAAGGGAGCAGGCCCCTGGAATCAATCACGACTGCACGAACAGCATCGACACGCTCTTCTTGATCTGTTCCCTCCCTTCTTCGGAAAATTCCAGCTCGTCCAAATCAAGGAACTCTTGCGGCGCGACGACCAATGGACTCGACTCGTTCATGATGGGCAACATACCCGCCACGGACGGACGTCCGGCGGCGTGGTTGACGAGGCCGATTGAGGAGCGCCGACGGCCGGAGATGACGTCGGCTTGTGTTGCTAGGTGTTGGAGGATGAAGCGCTCGAATTGGTTGACTCTCTGTGATGAGACATTGCAGAAATAGACGGAGCGTATTCAAGACCGTCAGTCAAAGCGTAACCCTCCGAGGATGTGTTGCTGCTCCCCGCCTCAACTTACTTTCTGTTCCTTCTTCAACGCCTCCTCCAAAGCCTTGGCGTACGTCGCCCTTTTGTCCATCTCCCTCTTCATCTTCCATTCCAACCTCTTCAAATCCCCCTCCCCATCATCCCCATTCTTAACCACCACCAACAACTCTTGGTTCTCCTTCACCAACTCGGCGATCCGTGCATCTTTCGCTGAATCGTTGGCGCTCGTTCGCACGTGGTCCAAATGGGATTGTTCGAGTTCGGAAATGCGAGACTTGAGGGACGAGTTGAGGTCTTTCAAGGAGGCTATTTCGTCTTGGGCTTCGAGGAGTCGTTCGCCTAGGCAGAGCTCTTCGGAATCGGAGGACTCGCCACCGTCGATTGAATGAAGGACTTTCATAGGTGACACCGGCCGAGGTGGAAGAAGCTGGGTGAGGGGGTCGGTTTTCGACGCCCGATCCTCAGTCTTTGATTTTAACTTTTGCAACGAACAAGTAGAAATCGACTCACACTTCGTCTCCGTTCCTCGACATTGCCACTGTTCACGAACAGCGAGCGCAATTCCTCAATCTGCACTTCGAGACCCTTGACGCGTGCCGAAGACTTGTGATACTGTGTTCGGGTGGAAGGATCGCATAAGTAACGATTGTGGCTCAAAGACCACACCACCCGACCCACTTTTCCACCTCCAACTTCTTCCTCTGAATGAGAAGCATTGTCGTGCGAAGGAGTATTGGGGACCGAAGGTTGGGACATGGCGGCTTGGAGTTGGGCTTCGAGGTGAGCGATCTGGGTGAAATGAACAACGGGGTTTGTGAGTACGACGAGGTTCCTTCCGTGTGGAGCGTACATCAGAGACCTACATGAGAGCGGTACTTGTGAATAAGCGCTTTATCATCCATAACCTCGTTGACGACAGCCTTGAGCGTCACTTTCTTGACTCGTTGGGCGAACTGTGCAGAAGCACCACGAACGGGTTAGCATTTAGCAACCGTAGGACGAACAATGCTACTCTCAGCATGCAGAACTTACCCGGAGTGTCGATTTGGATTCCTCAATAGCCATGGGGGAAGGATTCATGGTCGCTATCACGGCGACGCGGGCGTCACCCGACAACGACGGCTGTAGGATTTGGGTCAACTTGGAATCTCTGCGGGCATGCAATCGGACCTGAGTCAGCAGTCTGCGCTGGACGGAAACGATGGGGCTGATCACGTACCGATAAGGGACGTGTGGCCTGCATAGCAAGTAACGAAATTGAAACCGTCAGCAGCTCGTAAGCCCCGCGATAACCTCACGTCCTGACGAGACATACTTGATCTTCGACCCATCCGTCAACGACGCAATAACCTTTTCCAGCGTGAGCAGACTCTTGTTGATGAATGCACCCTCATTCCTGCGTTCCAGCTGACTCGTCGCTTGTTCACTACCGGCCAGATCAATCAAACTGAGTCGACTCATGCGAACGCAGCCGTTCGAGCCGGGGGCTAGGCGAGGACCGTTGGGGGTTTTGGAGCGGAGGGGGGAGGCCGAGGGGGCGTAGGGGTCTTGGTCACGCGATTCAATGGTCTGGGAGGACGACAGTGTAGCGTTTCAGTCATGATGGCTCGTGATTGATGCGCTGAGCACGTCCGGCTCACCATCTGGAACACGCTGTGGGACCGCGACGACCGTTCGTTGAAATCCGTCTGACCAGTATGGCGATTCTTTTCTCCCCTCCGCAGCAAAGCAGCGACCTGAGCTTCACCCGTCACGACCTCTTCGCGCAGTGGATGGACGAAGAACCGTTTCTGTTGAATCGGGTCACTATCAGCATCACATTGCGCCAAGTTGAGGACAAAGCGTATGAGCCCATACCTTTTCGTCCTGTCGCACTTTAAGTGGTCCCGTCTCGGGTGCGAGCAAGTCTTTGAGGGTCTCGTTGTAAATCTCGAGGTACGATGCGCGCAGCAGGAACTCTTGATCGGGATGCTGGTGATAGATTCATCCGAAAGGCAGCATGTCAGATTCGACCTCCAAAGCTATCATTCGGCCGACATACTCACATCACGGATGTAGGCAAAGATGTCCGAAACGGCCTGCGGGATGATACCCGGGTTGGCGGCATTACCCGACAAAGTGAACGTCTTCCCCGATGCTGTTTGACCGTACGCAAAGATGACGGCATCAAAGCCTTCCATCGCGGCTCTGTCGACAAATTACGCACTCGTCAGCTCCTAATGTCCTCGAGAGGACTCTGTACGAAGGGACTGATGACTAACAGTACGAGGTCTTTGCCTGCTTCGGCATAGACGCCTTCGTTCTCCGACCCCGTGACGATGGAGTCAAAGTTGTATTCCGGGCCGCCCGTTTTAAGCGACAATTGCGCCCTCGCCGCATCGACGTTCCACGCTTTCTCGTCCATGATCTCGGATGAAAGCGCGAGTTTGGCTGCGGGGGGTCGCACCCTGTGGACGAGAAGAGCCAAGCGTACGATAAGACTCATTTAGGTTGACTTCTCCCGACAGTCGTGCGCTGAGCTTTCTTGCTTACCTAACGCAAACGAGCACACTGTCCTGAATCTTGGACAACCTTTCCCTCGGCAAAGGCTCCGTTCTTGCCGATCCCAAACCCATGCCCGACATGCCTCGACTGAGATCCTCGATAGGAGAAGCGACGACATGATTCCTCCCGATCCAATCCGAGTCCTTCATCAGTGTTCGAGCCGCCAAAGGTCGAGGCGTCGTATACACGGAGGGGTTGGGGGAGACGGGCGTCGGAGCCGAAGGGGTGGTGGTCATGGATCGGTTGAAGCCGTGACTTGTTGGAGCTCGAGGTGTCGGGGCTTCAACGTGTTCTGTCCCGGGAAGGACGGCTTTGCGTCTCGGTGTGGCTGCGGCGGTGACTCGAGCTCGGATACGCATCGGTTCGGGGCTTGGAGCTCGATTCGCGAATTGGGGATGTGAGGACGACGAACCACTCGCGACGGCCGAAAGGTGGTGAGCTGCACCCGACACCAGAGCGGAAGACGCGAGTGCCGACATGGAACGTTGATGGGTCAGGACTTTGCGAGGTGGAGAAGCCATTGTCGTCGGCGAAGATGCTTGTACGACAAACGAAGGCACGGCATTGATCTGCGAGCTCGGGGATAGGGGCGAGTGCATGCCCGCGCTGGTGCCCGTGCTCGAACCACCGAAGCCCATCGTCATCGACTTGGACGGACGATGGTACGACGACGGTGTCGCAGGCGGTGTGATGGATCGATGCTTCTTGACCGGTACGAACGGGGATCGCGGTGCTGCATCGAGTGCTGCCGGCGTCTGCGGTCGCGCCGCGCCAGCCGCGTGTTGAGTGAACGGCACAAAGTGGTTCTGCATCCTCGTCGCTCGCTATCGGTTCGTAGAGTTGGCAGTAGGCTTGAGTTTCAATGTGTAACGCTTTGTTACCTGGGTCGTGTACGTGGTCGCCAAGATGAGGTTCGCTCAGACCGAGCAACGCCGCGAGAAGGTGAACCAGTCGGCCCGGCCAGGCACCGCGTCGTCTGGGTGGGGTGGCGGAGTGATGATCGAATTGCCCTTATTACGCGGCTTGTATGAGCTACTTAATGCACAGCACCTTAGCACGGCGCCATTATTAGCAAATACGATAATATCAGACAAAGCTTCGATACAGAAAGTGTGTCAAGATGACAACCCAGATTTATCCGCAGTAGTCCCATTCGAGATAGCGACGAGCTAGAACATCTCACGAAAGCAGCCGGCGCGCAGCGAGATCGACCCCTGAATCATCTTACGCGGCCCCCATGGCCCATAGGCTTGCATACCTGGGTCGCGCCATTCAGCCGCTCAATGAAGCGCAGAGAGAGTTCGTTTGGCTACAGATTCATCGTTTTCAATATATCAATAAGAATAATTGTCCATTCAAAATCAAACTTAAGCACGGGCCAATCGGACCAAAACCGACACAGACTATACAAGTACTGACAAATGGCTGGCGACACAACATGTATACTGAATTAAAATAAGAGTGGTAACGAAAACAGAAAGTGATTCTCGTTATCCGTAAATGTCGTCTGAAACATGGGTCGATCACTGATTAGATCTTGGAGCCTCGTCGCAAGAAACCCCAACGACCACTCGATTCCTTGTCGTCACCATCCTCGCTCGTACGACCGAAAATGCCAAAACCGGAACTGCTCTTGCGACGGCGATAATCGCCGGAGATGGTGGCAGGGCCCGTCGTACGGCCGGAGTTCGACGTGGAGCGAGTCATCCCCAACTGCGACTGCTGCTGCTGTGCGGTCACTACAGCTCGCTTCTCGAGGGGAGAGACGTCCGTCGTCCAGGGTGCAATGACCTTGCGCGTCTCCTTGTCGAGAGTGTACGCATGTAAATGGTTTACTTGCGTGGGGATGAGAGAGAAGGAGGTGAAATCGACCATTGAGGCAGGCGCGGCCCTCTTGTCCTCGATGTCGCTCATCGTCGAACTCGACCTCGACAAGGATGGCGCGCGAAGTTCGTCACTGAAGATGTCTTGGTCCATGCATTCGTCAGGCAGGAGATCAGGAGAGCCTTGACGAGGGTAGAGGGATAAAGACGGAAGCGCATCGGGGGAGAGAAGCTGACAGCTCGACGTCGCGAGGGGTGGCGCTGACTGCTCGCGAGAGAAGCGTGAGCTTGAAGCACTCGACAGACTCGTGGTCGTCGAACGCGAAGAGAGCTGGCCGGCTGATCGGGGTCGGTTCGTGGCCGAGTACGGTGCAGGGGAGCGAGCTGATCTCCGCGACTGGTGGCGGTTGGCGGGAGAGGTAGGGCATACAATCGAGGCCGTCGGAGTGCTCGTGGTAACGGGATCGGGCGATGCCATATGGGCGGGGCGCTTCGCGAGGGGGAAGAGGCCGTGGCGCGGTTGGCGGGGAGGGTTAGGCAAGTGCGATTGTTGCAGACGGGGCTGCGCACGAGATGCCACAGAGGCCATGAACGGGGTCTTGTTTGCGGGCGTAGGGGTTGAGAGAGCCTCGAAGAAGGGGCTGTCGGGGGTTGGCGGCCCGACGAAGCTTGCCTTGGTTGACTTGATCGGACCTCGGTTGAACATCTCGGATTGGCCAGATCGCTGGCGAGCGGCGATTTGATCGCCGTCGTTGGATCGACTCGAAGTCTTGTCAGTGCTAGTGGGGCGGGTCGTATCGACGGTGAGGTGGAAGTTTTGCGATCGGCGGGCACCAAGTGTCGCAGAGCTTTCGAGAGGCGGCGTCGCAAGTTGCTGTGCGTTGAACGACGCCTTTGCCGGTTGACTGGGCATCCTCGAGTGCTGAATGCTGCTATCGGCGATGTGCTGAAGGGCTTGATCGAGTGCCGAAGCCGAGCAGCCTGCGAAGCGAACCACTCTAGGCGCGAGCTCGATTACTTCATTCGCACCAGTGCGCCCTCGTAAGAAAATCTACGGAAAGCAAAATTGTTGAGGAGTCAGACGCGAAGAATCGCAAGGCGAGGCATTGCAGATAAACTGACCCTAGCAGAGATGGTGAACGCAATCTGAGCAATGTTGGTGCGCATCGTTTCGCCGACAGAGTACCGATACAAGGAAGCCGAACCAGGAGTTTGCGCCACTACTCGGTGTTCTTCGTCGAACGAAGGGTTGTCAAAGTCGATCGCCATCAGGTTCGTCAAGACACTGTTCTTTCCCTTGGGAGGCGGGCTCAACATCGGCGTGATTGTGTCCGCGACCGAGGCGATGGCAAAGTATGACGAAGCGTCCATCGACTGGGTCGAGTAGACGGGCGAAGGTAAAGGTGAGATGCTAACCGCGCTGGAGCGGCGACCTTGGGAGCTGCCACGTTGAAATACCGACGAGATACCTCGCAGAGGCTGACGGCTGGGCTCATCGGCGAGAGCGGCGTCCGAGGCGTCGGGGGGAGGTTGCATCTCATCGCTGTCTGAACCTGTGGAGGAACGCATCGTGCAGTCGACCGTCATGTGTCGATCGAGGGAGAATTGGACCTTTTTGACTTGAAGTCGTGTGTCGTTAGTGTGAAAGAACAGGGAGAACGCGATCTGGTCGGACTGCAGTACCGAGGCAGTCGGAGACCGAATCGTGAATTCGAGACCGGTGGGCGCTCCGAGCGTTGTCGTCGAATCCCACGTGACGGGAGGCAAAGGTGACGACATGGGCGAAGGGTAGCGCACTAGAGGAATTTGGTGAGATATGATGCGTGAATCCCCAAGCATGGCCATGGGCTTGTGGTTGATGACTGCAGCGCAAGCAGGGACAGCCATAGAGTCAGCCGTGGAAACATACGGTCTCCAGGCCTGGATTGGACTCACCTCCTTCAATCTGCCACCAGACACGATAGTTCTTGAAGGTGCATGTCGAGACGCCCGAGTTGTCAGAGGGGATGACGAGTCTGAAGGGGCTGGAAAAGTCGCCGAGTGGGGCCCAGGCGCCAACTTGGTCCGAGCTCGAACTCGGCGCTCGCGAAGCGGCGGCAGTCCACACCTCGCACTCCTTCTCGTACAAGACATGCGTCTTCTTGGCGCCCTTTCTTCGCGTTGGGGAGAGTTCAGTCTCGTAGCATCTTATGCGGACCACGATGCTCGAGGCTTTGATCGGTTTGCGATCTTCCTCGATCAAGGTTTTGACGGTGCCTTCGATGACGACCGGATCGAGACCAAGGTACCCGGAGTGAGGGTAGAAGCGAGCGCTGTTTCCTCTGTGGGGCGTCAAGGTGATGGCGACCATGGTGACTCGCCTTGCTTACGCCGTTGCCGATCGGCGAGAGCGCGATCGAATGCGGCGACGGCGTAGCGCCAGGGGTTCGAGCCCAATTGACGTGAGGCGGGCTATGACGTTGGCGGTCACTTTGGCGTCCGGGGTGATGAAGAGCAAATTGGAGGTGGTGCCGTCGATATGGTTGATAACGATCAATTCGGCGGACACGAGTTCAAGTGAATGCGATGGCTCAACGATCGCGACGGAGTTGTGAAGCACCGAATCGCACTGGCGAAATGAGGTTGTGTGAGTCGCGGGTTGAACGAATTGATTCGGAAACGACGCTCGCGCGCGGGCAGCGGGCCTAGGCGGTCGCGGCGGATCCCGAGCAACGTTGATGACGACGACTGTCGTAATTACGCAAGGCTGCCGTCAAGGTCGACGGGGACTCCAGAGAGATGCAATACCAAGTGGGGGAGGATCCAGCTAGTTCGGAGACGGTAGGAGTGAGCGTTGTCGAAGTAGCTGCTACAGTTCGGGAGCACGAGCTCAGCGGGCTGGAGTGCGATGCGGCGCGATTCAGGCTCGAGCGTCGAGGCGCGCTAAGACCAGCCAATCAAACCGGAAACAAGCGGCGGCGGCGGAGGGACTAGAGACGGTTCTGGCCTTGGACAGCGGGCGTAGAGCTCAGCGACACGGTACCGAATCAAACGCCCCTGCAGCAGCCACCAGAACGTCGAGTGGCCAGGGGATGCGGGTGAAAGGGAAGCTGGAGAGGAGGCTAGGCGGCACCCAAGGGTTTCAGCAGAACATTGGGCTTTGTGATGCGATCCACCAGACTAGAGGCAGCCGCAGCTCGGCGCTGACCACGTCAACTTTTGCAGGCGCTAGCCTGGATCTTGCAAAGGCCCCGGGACCGGGAGGCCCAGGGGGAGGGGCTTCAAGGTTTGGCCTTTGGCGTGCGAGTTGAAACTCCGTAAAATGCACTTAAATTCGACGCTAGTGCGCTCGATCGCAAACGCGCGCCGGGCGGCGAGGCAGGGATCACAACTCACCGCTAACGAAACTAGGCCAAATTCAAAGGACAGGTCCGATCTAGATCCGAAGCTGATCCCCCGAACCCCCGCATTGCATCAGGCTCGGGTCATCGGCGGTCGTCGAACTGATCTGCGCCCGGCGGGCCTCGGGCAGTACACCTCCTGCATTACTGAGCTAGGGAAAAGCTCGTGTCACGGATCGCAGCCAGGATTGGCCTGTAGATCGGTGCATACATGGCGTTCGGTGATGTGATGATTACTTCCCAAAAGATACCCGGGTGGATCACGGGAAAGGTCCTTTACTACTGCACGGCCTGGCAGAAAGGATTCCCAATCGGAGCCTCCTTTGATAGCGCCGGCAATAATACCGAGATCTCGAGTCATTTGTGGAGCTTCTCTTGCAGCCCTGGGTGTTGGTGAAACGTTTGATCACCACATTATGAGCCTACACATACGGTTGAGAGGTCCCTGGTGTGACACCAGAGGCCCATGTACACACGAGACGGGTCTGCACAGGGGCTCTAGCTTTTCGTGCGCAGCGCGCTCGAGAGATCGATTCGCCGACGCCTCCGGTCGAACAATGGCCCTTGTAAGAGCATCTTCATCCCAACACTTTGCTATGTGCTGTTGTCACTAGCATGAGAGTCTCAAAGACGTGGAGTGGGATTGTAGCCGCCGAGCAAATGCACCGAGTAAAGGATGCGAATGGGATTCGTTTCCTACTTGTGAGCTGGCAAGATCTACGATCTGACAATCTCGATCCGTCTCACCGCGGCCGATTCCAACATCGGCGATAAGGGTTCCCGGCTCGACGCAACTCCCTTGCAAACTGTCTGTCAGAACCAGTTCATGAGACTCTTCACCAGAATAGCAGCTGGAAGCGCTGGGTTCTTGTGTGCACTCAAAAGAGCTCTTTTCTGCAAAATCGGATGAACAAGGTGAGCGGTTTTCGAAACGCAGATGCCGTTTTTTTATTAAAGTAAAGTTTGTCGCGCATTTGTATCAGCCAATGCGACACCTGTACCCGCAAGTGAGGTAGACTTTCTGGTTAGGCAAGTACAGCTTCTTTTTGCGCTCTCGCATGACATGCCGAAGAGCACGACACAGCAGCCGAGGTTGCTTGAAGGAGCTTCAAGGAGGTGGGGCGCCGTCGATGTCGAGCCGGCCGCTTGGCAGCTTTCCTAGCGTCTTTCTCGGGCGAAGCCCGGAACCCGCTAGTTGGGTACCACCTTGACCGCTGTGACCGTCTCACCTGAAAAAGAACCGTGTCTCTGCAGGAGGCTCTTCGCTTTCCGAGAGGCAAACTTTATAATTAGTAAAACTCTGGCTACTACATACTAATAACGCTCGCGGCAAGTCACTTCTGCCAAGACGATCTTTTCGTGAGCACTACTTAGGGCTCGGGGGCCGGGGCGCTAGTATGCGCCCACCTCCCAGTTCACGTGTCTTAGTCGTGCCTCCCGACGCCGAGTCATTGCGACTCATTGGACAGCATCTGGGAGCTTGGCTTGACAAGAGGCAGTCGCTCTTGCCAACATGGCGAACTAGTTCAGTACACTTATCATGGACTGAACAGATCTGGTTCCTCGCAGTCGCTTGACGAGGATCTAGTCTAGACTCTAGTGATCAGGTGCTCGTTGCGACAGCTCGTCTTGTCCAACGTCAACCTTCGTGCACTGCCAGTGTGGAACAACTGCAGATTCTCTGTAAGGCTCACAACTTGCAGGGCTACTCTCTTCAGGTTACATAATTGATTTTGCGTGTTCTATTGTCTTCATGCGCTGGGCGTTGTCCAGCATGCGAGAGTGGCTACATCTTCAAGCGAAGCACAGCCAATGACATTCTGGGCCCCAGCCTGCAGGCCTACAACGTTTGATTTCGAGAAATGGCGTGCTGCCATCACTGATTCGCGTGGTCCATCGGCGGAGCGACCTAGAGGGTCAGCCCACCTACTACTAGATGTTATTATAGATGCTGACTCGGGGTACACTTTGTGTCCTCTCGAGCACAAGCTTGCCTCCGGAAAGGCAGCGGCAGGTGCACTTGCTCGTGGCGTCCGAGTCCGAGGCAAAGTTGCGACTCAGGGCATGTCCAAGTTGCGATCCTTCCTTTTCTGAACATGGGGCAACGGCATGGAAATTGGGAAATACTTAATGTAAGTTGAATCCGTTGCAAAGAAAGACAGAGACCTGACTCCTTCCCATTTCTCACCCTCCCTGGCCAGCGATCGAATTCAACACGCCAAACCTACTAACGGCGAAGCGGCAGGTGGTCTTCATCCACCACCAGTTGTTCACACCCAGGATGTAAGTAGTGATGTATATGTTTGCCTTTGTGTGCTCCAGCGTCTGATGATTGGGCGGACAGACACGGGTGTGTGCAGTCATTGGAAAGATGGAGTCACAGGGGGCGACCCGGTGCTGGACGCCGGCGTGATTCCGCCTGTTCCCAATTGGACCCGGAGAATATCCTCGACCTGCCCGATTACAGTCGATTTTATGCGGAGGTCCGGGAGGGGCTTTCTACCACTCGCAAGTACGCCAAAGGATATCCCACGCAACTCCCCGTGACTGTCGATGAGCACCCTGGGCGACTTGCACAAGGATATCCCACGCTAGGGAGTGGGCACCTTGGGTGCAGGTGATCTGTGTGCGGTTGTCTGCACCGTCGGGGCTCGCGCTTGGAGGGACAGGTCCTCCGGCAAACCTTTTGTGCACATTGCATGGGCCTGATGTAGTTTCCTTGTCTGATGTGCGGCAGATGACACGCCAGACCACGCCCCCGCCGACAGTCCGACTCAGTCCTAGGCGGGTCATTGCCTCTCCTGTCAAGCGTTCGGCAATGGATGCCGAGCTGAATATTGACTTGTCAAGCACCGATGGTCATGAGGATGACTTCAAGCCCGCAATTCCAATTCCCACTAAACTTTTTATAGCGGCTGATGGCTTTGGTTACTTGGCGTTCAACAGTCACTGACAACAACAAGAATTCGGCTCACGCGCAGGCGAAAGAGGCCGCCGACAAGGATCATGAAATCTCTTCGGAGCGCGCGGCTGGCTCCTACCGCAGTGAGTCGCAGGTCAATCGGGGACATGCATTCGCAGGTCGAATGAACTGACGCTGCGCACCCGCTCGTCGCGAGCGATAGTTTTCTGACGGATCAACTTGCCCCGGTCATGCCTCGTCATGGTGGAATCAAGACATCGCAACCCGGGCGTCATCAAAATTTAGTGCAGATCACCTGTTTGGAAGTTGTTGAAAACCCCGATCACGAGATCAGCTTTGCCTCGTTGGTGAAGGTGAGTCGTCCTCGTTCGACGCATAATCCGATTCGACACTGATAAGACATTGATTGCGGTTTGACATAGGGTTGTCTCCAAGCCGACAAAGAGGCTGCTCAAATACAAAGTTTAAAAAGAAGAAGAAGAAGACTGGGGACTAGAGCCCGCAGCAGGTTGGTCGGGAATCGGTGGGTCGTCGACGATTGCACGCGGGCGGGGCCCGAGGACGTGAGGAGTTAATGTTGCTTATTACAGAGGTATCCAGTGTATATGCGAACCATGAACGAGGTCAACAAGCCTACAACGTCTTAAGAGCATTTGGGGGGATTCACAATCACTGACGAGCATGTGTGCTGGTGGCGCGTGTTGGTACGTGTTTGGGTGACACGCCCTATCAACCCTAGATTTCAGCTTAACCCTTCTCATTTGCTTCATATCTCAGTGGCAAGCCGTCAAGCAGCCCGACCGCAAAGCCACGGTCGAGGCCGATCTTACGGGGAATGAATTTCACAAAACAGCCAACGTGCCCGAGTCCAGGTCGAACAGCTTTGCCGAAAAGGTGAATCGCCTTTCCTCTACCCTCGCGGAAATAGCGGTCGACGCATACCTTGAGGACGAGTACAGGCATGACCGGGGCAAGTTGATCCGTCAGAAAATTATCGCTCGCGACGAACGGGTGCGCAGCGTCAGTTCATTCGACCTGCGAATGCATGTCCCCGATTGACCTGCGACTCACCGTTGATGGTCAAATTCACGGCCGTGCTTGTACTCGTCCTCAAGGTATGCGTCGACCGCTATTTCCGCGAGGGTAGAGGAAAGGCGATTCACCTTTTCGGCAAAGCTGTTCGACCTGGACTCGGGCACGTTGGCTGTTTTGTGAAATTCATTCCCCGTAAGATCGGCCTCGACCGTGGCTTTGCGGTCGGGCTGCTTGACGGCTTGCCACTGAGATATGAAGCAAATGAGAAGGGTTAAGCTGAAATCTAGGGTTGAGAGGGCGTGTCACCCAATCACGTACCAACACGCGCCACCAGCACACATGCTCGTCAGTGATTGTGACTTCGAGGTTTTTATGCCACGACTTCATTGTTGTTCCCAACAATGCAGAGTCGCCCCGGGCGCGCTTAATCTGAGCGCGAGCCGGCGGTCAGAAGGCGTGGCGCAGCCGTGCGTCAATGAGCAGGCCCGGACGTGGACAACACGCCGCTTACATGATCTTCGAGTTCAGATCGGCCTTGCATTAGCGCACTCGGAAGCTGGCGCATTAGAGCCTTGTAGAAAGCTCGATGCTTGACGTCGCTTTCTGATACCAACCGGCCCTTGCGTAGTGCAGCCTACATTAGTGCAGCCCTGAGTCAGTGAACAGCCCAGCACAACCGAGAACATAGTTCACCTACCGGGAACATAGGTGCAGCACCGTGGTGCTCGCAGAGGAGTGGCGTGGAAACGAAGATTTTGGCAGCTGACCCCACATCGGACTGGCACAGTCATGAACACAGCTCGGTCAGTAGGAACTTATGGGCGAGAGCAAAAGAACATCCACCAACCTTGATGATGTCCAGAGAGGGAGCGGTGAGCACGTCGACCAGTCGGGCAAGCTGGATTTCCACACGATCCAACCGAGCGCTGATCGTCGCGGCCAAAACAGATAGGCCATCTTGGCCAGATGCCGCGTTTGGGGGCGGTGGGTGTTTTTGTTGAGTACAGTCAGCGGAGTGGGGCACGACGCGGGGGCGCATCTGCACCAGCTCACGTTGCTCGGGCCGTCGAAATATGGCGTAGAGTACTGGGGTTTAGAGTGCATGCCCTGGTTGGGTTAAGCGCGTGGGTGAGCGTGTCACCAGGATGTTTCGGCTGACGTCATTGCAGGGGTGCAACGTACTTGGAAAGTCTTGTCCTCTGTCCCCTCAGTGTCCGAGACAGCCAAGGAGATCTCGGTGCGCCGACGCTTGCGCGGCTTGTCGCCCACGTCATCGTCGTCGTCATCGTCGTCTTTATCGCGGTCAGTTAGCTGTCCAGATTGGCAACGATACCCTATCAGCACCTATGACTCCTCGACCAGGGGGCGCGGGACGCGGGCACGAACAATGACAGGGTCGTTGAACTTGGCCTTTGAATCGGACTTCAGTGGTAAAGTTTTGGAGTTGGTTTAAGCTAGGTGACGCGAAAGCCGGACAAGCAGGTTCGGTAATCACTCGGGCTGGTCGTTTGTCGTTGCGACGAGGTGTCATTGGGGATCGATGCGGTTTAGCTGACGTCGTCGAGCTCTGCGGACTGGACAGACGTGGGAGTGCCATGCATCAGCTCGGACCCGGCGAAAGACGAGTGTCCGCTTCTCCTCCCAAGCCTTACGTGAGAATCCCAGGTGGGAAGCGCCGCTGTTGTCGACGCCAGATGGTCGTATGGTTCGTCATTGGACATCTGCTTGTCTTGGCCGTCGTGGTCCTCTTCGTCGTCCGTGGCGTCTTGAGGCTTCCGCCGCAGAGCATTAATGGGTTGAGTCGATGACTGCACATGCGGCATCTCGGGACCGTCAGTAGCTGAGGCTGGGCCGACGTCGCGTCGGCAGCGGTGAGTTGCAGCACAAACCTGTGACTCGTGAAGCGCCTCGGGCAAATCAAGGTGGGTGGGTGGGTCCCGAATGAGGGTCGTCGGCGGGGCCTGGCGACACGACGACCCTCGACGCAGCAGTCGTGGACGTCGTCAAGGGTTTGGCGGTGTGTGAGAGTGGGCGGGTCATGGAGTCGACGCATGAAGCAGGTCAGGGCGTACCATGTCGGCGATGATGGTAACACAGGGCTGCTCCTGCTTGGCGACAGGTGGTGGCCGGGAGCCAAGGCCAGCGCCACGTCTCGCGCGGTCTGACCGGGGGCGGGACGCGAAAGGACGCGCTCGGGACGCTGGACGATCTGACCACTGGAACTGCGCCTCAAACAATACCCACCACGGTCGAGAACATCTTCGTACACCTTTGCTCGAGGAGACATGACGTGGCCGTCCCGTTTGTGGGCAAAGTGGTTGCCCACAAATTCTGGGGCGGGGCGAGGGAGAGAGGGTGGGGCCCCCCATGCTTCTCCGAGTCAGTCGGGTCCTCGCGCGCTCAGTGCTCAGAGCGCTCAGATCTCATCATCTCAGATCTCAGATCTCAGATCTCAGATCTCAGAACGGCAAGCGATCCGGCGTGCGGAGTTTACAACGTAAAGTTGACACTTGGGGCGTTTGTGATCGAAACTCTGATTCGCTTTTAGGCCCCTTTTCAACCTGGGTTTTGCTGTCCTTTACGATGTTGCAAATTGTGATTAGTGACCGAGGCTGATAGTCAGGGCCATATGCAAGAGCTGCTCACACTTATGGCGTTCCGTCCGCCGCTGACCCGGTTTAGTTTGGGGTGATGCCGACCCGCCCGTCGAGTCAAAGATTCTTCGCTGATGACTAAGCCCTCCAGCTCCACCGACGGATATGTATGCTTTGATTTGTGGGTCTATCACCGCCTCAAAGAAGCCTTGAGCACTTCTATTGGACTTCTTATTGGGAGTAATTGCCTTCACTATCTATCAAGGCAAAAGCTTCCTGACCGGACGTTGAAACTTGACTGCCGTACTCGGCTCACTGCAGTCGAGGCGAGTACCTTACTGAGCCGAGTACGGAGACGTAAACGGGGACCTTTCGCTACAGTCTCAATAAAAGCTTAGAACGGTGCGGCTGCATTTTCTCTTGGGAGTGCAAATCCCCAACGTGCAATGAGAGAGCGTCTGGGTCCGCCGCCGAGTCCGAACGAAGAGGTCCAAGCGGCAGCTCGTACTCGAATTCGCCGGCGCGACGCGACGCGTGCACCCGCGCCATCTCTTGCGTGGCTCCCGTTCGAATCGCACGATTCACCACCGCGCTGTGCATGTCAAAGAATAAGCCACGCGCCAAATCGACGTACAAAGAACCCGCACCGAACCAAAAGGGTCTCGAGAAGTTTCTCGGCATCTCAGCGCCGGCTCGACAGCAGAGATTGAGCTTCGGCTCGTCCGCTTTAACCGCGACGTCGACCTCTGACGCTATGAGCGAGGAAGGTGGTCTGATAACATCTCAAGGTGCATCGAAGGAAGACGAGCATGTCAAGATGCAGGTTGATGAAGAGGAGGACGCTGTCGTGAAAGGTGCGGTCCAGCTTGTGATGCTGAAAGTCGGTGGCCCAGGATTGACATCACGTCCATTACCTTGACAGGCCCCGCCAAGAAGCGCCGAGCCGTAATCGCGGACTCATCTGATGTTGAAGAAGAAGCAGAAGAATCAAAAGTCGTCGGAAAGGAGCAAAAGGTCGGCAAGTCGCCGAGCATCAAGGAGTCGAGCCCGAAGAAGATTAAGATTGAGCCCAGTCAGTCCTCGAATCAAAGTCAGTATGACGGTACACTCGACTCCGTTCGGTTTTTTGTTCTCATCCTTTGTTTTCTACTTGCTTTTCAGACGCTGCGTCGACCTCCCAAGCTGCAAGTGCTGCATCGAGCTCCGGGCCCGCCCCGGCGGCTTCGGCTTCGACTTCGAGAATCTCATCCAAGGCGGCCAAGTCTGTGACCAAAACCGCAGACACCAAGCCTCCCGTTTTTTCCTTTTTTGCACCTCGTAAACCAGCGCCGCCCAAAGCAGCGCCAGTCGCAAGTACGAGTCAGAAGAAAGTCGAATCTGAGAAAGAACCCGCATCGTCGGCGCCGCCGAAGGTTGATGCCGAGCGTAACGAGGCTGACGATGACGATGGAGAGGACGAGAGCGAAGAGGATACTGAAGCGGCTGTAAAGTTGTAAGTTGTGGCCGTCATCTGTCTCGCCGTATAATGTCGGAATTAACTGTGGTGCATCAACGAACAGCGCCGAAATCTTCGCCCGCAACGACGACGTCACTTCGACAAAAAAGGGCTGGGAGGCAGGCAAGGAGTGAGTGCGGTAGCCCTAAACAAGGTCGAACGTACATCTCAGCTGATACTGGTCTCCACCTAGTTTTCCGTACTCGGCTCTGGCCGAGACGTTCGAGCTCATCGCGGAAACGACCAAACGCCTCGAGATTACGGCCATGCTCACCAAATTCTTGATCAGCGTCATCGAAAAGACCCCTTCCGATCTGCTCAGGACCGTGTACCTATGCATTAATAGGGTATGTCTACCACCCATATGATTGACTTCGCCCACTCGATTGCTGATCACGTGTCCCCCTCACAGCTGGCTCCGGACTACGAATCGATCGAACTCGGCATTGGAGAGTCGCTGCTCATGAAAGCGATCTGCCAGAGCACCGGTCGCAAGATGGACCAGATCAAATCCGAATTTAAGGCCCAAGGCGACCTTGGACTCGTTGCCATGACTTCTCGAGCCAAGCAATTGATGCTGCATAAGCCTCCACCGCTGACGATCAAAAAAGTGTTTGATCTGCTCAAAAACGTGGCGACTGCTTCGGGCAAGGATGTGAGTCGCCAATTGCTTCTTCAGTGCCTGCCATTGCTGACTCTGCACCGAGCTCGTTGCTCCAGTCTCAATCTCGCAAGATCGGTTTCATCCAAAAACTGCTCTTGGCGTGCGAAGGAACCGAAACAAAGTACATCATCCGAAGTTTGGAAGGCAAGCTTCGAATCGGCTTGGCCGAGAGGACCGTGAGTGACCTTCCGCCTCAACATATTGCCCTGAGCCACATCTCATCGTAGCGGTAACGCTCGCAGATCATCACTTCGTTGGCACAAGCCGTCGTCACCACCGAAGCGAGGAAGGAAGGGCGCAAGCTCTCGCCCGAAAAGATGGCCCAGCGACTCGAAGAAGGTACCTCCATTCTGAAGGACGTCTTTTCGCAACTTCCTTCGTATGATCTAGTCATCCCGGCGCTGATCGAACACGGAATCAGCAACCTCAAGACAAATTGCCACCTCACCCCCGGTACGACCTGCTCGCTGCTTCTGTTTTCCCTCGATCTTTCAGCTGATTCTCCCCATGATCCATCGAGCAGGTGTCCCTCTGAAGCCCATGTTGGCGAAACCGACGAAAGCCATCTCCGAGGTGCTCGATCGTTTCGAAGACAAGCTCTTCACCTGCGAATACAAATACGATGGCGAGCGCGCCCAGGTGCACTACCTCGAGGACGGCTCGATCAAGATCTTCAGTCGCAACTCGGAAGACATGTCGCAAAAGTACCCCGACATCATCGAGCAATTGCCGGCTTGCATCAATAGAGAGGCGGGGACGACTTCGTTCGTCATCGACTGCGAGGCCGTCGCTTGGGATCCGGACGAGAAGAAGTTGTTGCCTTTTCAGGAGTTGAGTCGTCGTCGACGCAAGGATGTCAAAGCGGAGGAGATTACGGTAAAGGTTCACCTGTTTGCTTTCGACTTGTTGTATCTGAATGGCAAGGTGAGTGCGAACCCCTACTTTGGAGCATTTCCCCGTTGGAGGTGTGAGACTGACCCGCTTGCTTGTTGCGCCTGAAGGCCCTCTTGGGCGAAAACCTGATCGACCGTCGTCGACTGCTGCGCGCGCACCTCTCGCCCGTCCCGGAGCAATTCGATTTCGCCACCTCCAAGGATGCGACGACCGTGGAACAGATTCAAGAGTTCCTCGATCTGAGTATTAAGGGAGGGTGTGAGGGTCTGATGGTCAAGATGCTTGAAGGTGAAGGCGCGACGTATGAGCCGAGTCGTCGTTCCATTAATTGGTTGAAGGTATGTCTCGATCACAGGGGAATCTAGGTACAGAGTAATGTCAGAGACTCACTGGCACGTTACCTACTTTCTTACAGCTCAAGAAGGACTACCTCGACGGCCACGGTGACACCTTCGATCTCGTCGTCGTCGGAGCCGATTTCGGCTCCGGCAAACGTACCGGAGTTTACGGAGCCTTGCATCTCGCCTGTTTCGATGACGAGACACAAACGTTCCAAGCGATCTGTAAGACGGGAACTGGGTTCGAGGAGAAGGATCTCGTTAGTCTTCATGCGAGGTTGACAAGGAAGACGGAGCATGGAGACGAGGGGGATGAAGGGGAGGGGGAATTGTCGTCGAAGCCGCATGATGTCGACTTTGGGAGAGTCGTGCCCAAGAGTTTGCCAGGTGAGTCGTTGGACGGCAGGACTCAGTTACTTCCGTTTACGAACATGGTCTGACTCTCTTTGCCGCTTTTCCACGTACACCCAGATGTTTATTTCACCCCCTCAAAATCCATCGTCATCGAAGTCATCGCTGCCGATCTCAGTCTCAGCCCCGTCTACCCCGCCGCAGTGGGCAAGTGTGATTCGCGTGGGATCTCTCTACGTTTCCCTCGCTTCGAACGCGTTCGAGACGATAAGGGTCCTGAACAGGCAACGGACTCGGATCAGATTGCTGAGGCATATCGCCGGCAAGCGATCATAACCAAACCGGGAAAATATGGTGGTGGGGGCGACGACGGTGGTTTCTACTGATCTTGAATTTGGCGCGTCGCCAAAGTCGCGATGATGCGGTATTTTGGGAAAGAGAGAAGTCTTGGTCTGACGATTGCGACTTTGTGCTCGATTCGCTTGCTCTCTTTCTGTACAAGTAGCTCCGTCACTTCTGTACCAGTGTCAATGTGAGCCCATTTTCGATGTTCCACGCGCCAATGCTCCCAAAGACGAAGAATGTACAAGAGCTGAACGAGTCGCGGTATTTTGCATTGACATCATTTTTGGTTTCTGTCTTGGAATTCGTTACTGCTGAAAAGCTGGAATTGTGAATCAACTGTCCATGGGATTGAAGCAAAGGTATTTGGGCTGCCGATGAAGATGCAGTCCTCCTTTTTTTGGTTGGCCCTGGCTCCACGTGGGATCTCTTCTTCCTCCCCTGGCCCCTCTTCTCACTGCTCCCACTCAAGGTCAAGTCCCTCCTCATCACTACTATCCTCCAAATTATCGTCCTCGTCGAGCTCTTTCTCATGCCTATCCTCCACCTCCATCTCCTCGATATACGCGCGATCCCACACCGATTCCCCCTCTTCTTGCCTCTCTACAAACCCCTTCCACTCAACCATCAGCGCGTCCATACCCCTCACCCCTTCCTCCTCCACCAATGCTTCTAATTCCCATTCCCCCTCCTCATCCTTCTCCAAAAGCGCCTCGATCAAACTCCCCACGATCCCACCGCAGTCGATCCTCATCTCGTCGTTGGACCAGATTTGCGCCAAGCTCAGGCGGGACGATTGGCGTCCGTTGAAGCATTTTTTGAGGGATTCGATGAGCTTCTCGGAACGAAGAGGTTCGGAAGCGCTGGGGTGGGGTCGGTGGGTATGCGTTTGGACGTGCACGTGAGGCGTGCTCAAGGTTGGTCGACGGGCAGTGAGACCTGGACGTGTCGTGCTTGATGAAGGTAACGCTACACCAGAGGGTACGATCGCAGCCACCGGTGCCATTTCGACGATCGACTCGGTCGTCGGGGAGAAGAAGGGCAATGGCTGCGGCTTGTGGGATCGCGGCGAACGTTCGACCTCGTTGGGAAAGATGCGAGTGAAGATGGCGATTTGAGTCGCATAGAATGTCGAAGGGTCCGAAGGAAGAGATTTCGAAGAGGCAAAGTCGCGACAAGCTGGATGAGCGTCAAGCGAAGGAGGAGGGAAAGGGATGCCAGCGTACGGCGGTGCGTGACTGCCGTAGTAATGCGACAACGAGCCCACACCAGTGAAGGTGACTTGGTAGTCGTTCTCGGCAGCAACTTTGTTGGCCCAGGATTGAAACTCGTCGATCGTGAATTCCAACTGGTGATCGTCATCGCGGAAAACTCGGTTCGTACGGCCCGTCGGGTCGGGAAAGCGGTTTGAGTCCTCGTCGGATTTGCTGGTCGCAATGAAGTAGGGGTTGAACTCATGATTCGGGGTGGTCACGACGACTAGTCGGGGTTGATACATTCCCAAGATTGTCTTGGCAAACTTGTCAAACAGGTGCGGTGGTAAATGCTCGATGACCTTGATCACGAACAAGAAGAAGGGTCAGCTTTGAATTCCTTGTTCCGTTTGACATCGCGCATTCGCACGGACCTCGGTCGCTATCATAGCCTCTACACCTTCGAAGACTTGGTTGTATGATTCGAGACCACCTTCGTAAAGTTCGACCCTACACTCCTCCCACCTCGAAGCATGGGGCGAGGCGCCCCCACCCTCCGGATCGGTGACGCGAGCGGCCTGCTGCAGACTCGACCTGAGGATATCGACACCGATGACCCGACGCAAGTGCAGTTCCTCTTCCTCTGGGTTCAAGCGTGGTACCCTGCGCAGCTGTTCGAGCTTAGCCTCGCGGGGACTTGAGAAACGGGACTCGGATGACAACGAATGCGAAACGGGATCGGGGGCGTAGAGATCGGGAAACGAATCGAGGTGGTAGGCCGGGGAGATGAGCATCTGCAGGACGGCTCCCTCGCCGCAACCGATGTCGACGACCTGGCGGTGGAAAAGAGATCGAGATTTGTCATGTCAGTGTCGATCACATGGTACGCTTCCCCAGCCGTGGTCTTTGTTGTGTTGTTGAAGTCAGCGAGGAAGAGGGATGGATTAGAGGAATCGGGATGGGGTGGTGGGCTCAGGGGATGGGGCGGGGTGGGGTGAAAACGCATAATGAAAGCTGCAGGATACATGCAAGCGAAGAGGAAAAAGAGAATGCGGGGTACAGGCACGGTCCTTGAAGTCAAAATTGGCCGTGGCGCGCGCCTCGTGACCCCCGTCGGGCTCGATTTCGAGGGCGCTGTACGAGCTCGTGTGCAGAAGAGATGGCAGGAGGATGACTCACGGAACGAACACCTTCCTTCTTGAGGGCCCTAATGCATGCCGTCCTTCTCGCGAGCCACAAGGGTGGGTGGAACACGGGGTGCAAGTCGAGCTGGGGACGTGGTTTCAAGCTGGCTGCTGAGGACGAGTACGAAGCAGGCGCCTCGAGCTGCGGGGTCGGGGTCGGTGACGTGGACAGGCTCGAGGGTGCGGCACCATTCGATTCGGCAGTACCGGATTGGGTCACTGCACTCCGTGTAGGCTCCTCGTCATTCGTGGCCATCGAGCTTCCCTACAAGCTGTCCTTGAGCCGAAAGAGCCTGGGATTGGATGCGACGACCGCCTGAAGCTGAGGAGCAGGGGTTGAAGGCAGGAGGTGGGGAAGCGCGACCACAGCGTGCCTTTTTGGGGCTCGGTTCGTATGAAGACTTTGTGAAGCGCTTTAGCTCGGCGCTGGCTTGCGCGGTTCAACCGACGAGGGATTTCAGCTCAGGAAAAGAAGTAACACGAGTCTGGTGAGGGTCGGAACAAAAGGAAGAGGAAGAGCGAAGAACTGGAGCTGTCGCTAGTAATCGAGCTGGTTTAGGTTCGACCAAGACAGCGGCGTCGTCCCCACTAACTTAAAGAAATGCAGAAATGAATCCGGTCTGGAGAGGAGCCTTTTTCTCCCCCACTTGTGACCAAAGGCACTTCCGCTGATCGACGGCTCCATCCCGATCGAGTGAACATCATCATCAACTTTCGGGACATCACAAAAGCGTTCGATAAGAGGACATCACAATAACGTTCGATAAGCACTTGAAGACATTTCTTAGGCGATAAGCACGATTGATTGGCAGTCATCGCACGCGTACGCAAATCAGCAAGTTTTCCATCGCACTTAGGTTCCGGGATCGAACCTAACTCGACTCGATCTGATTCCTAGACTCTTTTATCCTCCAAGGAGCCGATGAGCCGATGCGAGGTACAGAAATCACCTCAGGTCGTTCTCTGCGAGCTCGATTCTACTTACATTGCGGTCTCTCATTGCTCACGGCATGCAAGCGTACATCGCCGGCGGGGGCGGAGCTACTATATACGCGGCGTGCAAACTCTGATCGATCAGGCTGAAATTCGCAGCAAAACCCAGAGTGCCGCAATGATCCAGAGGATGAGCAGAGTCGTAAGGTCAATTCGAAGGATACATAAGCTCTTCGTATATGTCGGCATGTTTTCAGACACCTCATTGGCGGTGAAGAGCATGCAGTGGTCACTGATCCGCTCGAAGCCGCTCGAAGCCGCTCGAAGCCGCTCACTGCCGCTCGGACTTGGGCGAGATGATCGACGACGCGCTCAATCCGAGTCTCGGCGTCTTCCTCTTGCGCTCACGGTCCCATCCACGTGCAGACATGGCGGCCTCATCAACAGGAGCTGCAGCAACGAAGCTGGATCAGTTCCTATATCAACCTGCGATTGTGCCCTACCCTCTCACGCTCGCATTCGCCGTCTTGCTCGGTGAGCATCTACGAATACTGTCCCCCACCCGCGAGGGATGGCATTCCGCAATGTGTCATCGATCGCTAACCAACGCTGGATCCTTTGTATCGTTCACAAGGCTTTCATGGCTACAGAAGTGCGTCGTTGAACCGCTCGGGTGCTACGGCGGCGTGTATCCTTGGTTACATCACCCTCGCAAACCCTCTCAAGCTGTTTGGGGTCGCTTTGCTCGTCTTCTACTTTGCTGGATCCCGCGCGACCAAGGTCGGTCAAGGTTGTGAATGCCAGGTTCAATTGACCTTGTATTGATTCTTCGCCGTGTCATGTGTCTGCAGGTCAAGGCGGTGCACAAGCTCTCCCTAGAAGATCGCCATACGCCGGAACCCACCGCCTCGGCCTCCACCCCAAAGCGCCCCTTCAAAGCCGGAGGCAACCGCGACGCCTTCCAAGTCGCCTGTAATGCTCTCTTCGGTGCCCTGTGCGCCATCACCTGGCGCATCCTCTACGGCGGCGAAGTGCTCGAGTTCAGTCAGGATCGTCGACTCGCGATCTGGAATGCCGCCAAGGTCGGCGAGAGGTGGTGTGTGGTCGATGAGAGGGTTCCTTCGAGTAGGGCTTTGGTGTTGGCCGCTATTGCTTTTTGGGCTTGTTGTGCCGGTGATACAGTCAGTCGATTGTCTCCTCTCTCCTGCATTCCTGCATTCCTGTCGATCGAGTGCTGAAGCTTTTTGATTCCCCCCACATCGTTGGCTCGGATCCCCTCTGTTCCGCAGCTCGCAAGCGAGGTTAGACTCAAACGCTACGGGTAATCCACAATTTTAACCAATACGCTAACGTTCCATCGTATCGTCTTTCGTACCCCTCGCAAAGCTCGGCATCCTCTCCTCCACCCCACCGCGCCTCATCACCTCTCTCCGTTCCGTACCCCGAGGCACAAACGGTGGCATATCCCTCTGGGGCCTCTTCGTTTCCCTCCTTGGTGGAATCCTCATCGGCTTTGCTGCGGCTATATCATTGGCTTGGGAGAACCCGGAATGTTCGGGGCTTGAAGTAACGAGAATTGTGTGGGGGGGTGGGAAGGTGGTATTGAGTTTGCCTTGGTGGGGATGGATCGTAGGGTTGGGAGCTTGGGGTGGGCTAGTGGGGAGTTTGGTGAGTTCTTTCCCTACTCAAACGACACCCTTGACCGACCCGAGGAAGACTACCTTGCTGACCAACTCATACGCTCCCCAGATCGACTCCCTTCTTGGCGCGACCCTCCAACCCTCCTGCTACTCCCTCACGCGGAAAAAGATCGTCCATTCCTCTACGAACCCTAAAGACCCGCAAGAAGAAATCATCCGAGTCCCCGGATCGGGGGTCGCGATCCTCTCGAACAATCAGGTCAATCTGATCTCGAGTGCTTTGACGGGTTCCATTGTTTTGGTGTCCAATTGGCCGAAATGAAGCGGGGCATGTTTTAGTATCGCGGTCAAACAAATTGTGTGCAATGGAAGTGTCTATCTAGAGAAATGTATCTCACAATGAGGCTCCTCGAGATGCCTACCACAACGTGAAAGGAAGGTTCCACGAAACCCTTCTTCGAATAGACACCAGCCTCACCACTTCTTTCCCTGTAGATTATACAACTCCCCCAACATACCCTTGACCCCGTCCCTACCCCCACCCTCGAGATCGTCCCCAGCTCGTGACCCCTCTCCGACCCCTTCCTCGTGCGCCGAAGAAGACCCATCGAACCGAGCCACAAACGCCTCCCCATCCAATCTCGATTCTTCCAAAATAGGTGATTTGTTCTCCTCCGAGTCTTTATCGATCGCTTGACCCATCCGAGCTGCGACGCGCGGGGTGTTCAAAGGTGTAGGTCGATTGCGACTTGGCTCGCCGACGTGCAGGTACCCGCCTCTTCTTGCTGCACCGGTCGGTATGGGTTGGTTGGTAAAGATTCTTGAGCCGCCGACGCTGGATGTCATATTCGCTCTTGGTTCTAATGTCGTCGACGCCCCTTCCTCAACCAAATCCGCGAACGAGCGGTTGCCCGCCCCTGCTCCCACCACTCCCTGCCCTGCACCCGTCGTTGTCCGATTCGAAGTGGTGCGATGATGTAGAGGTGGCGAGAGCAGACTCGATCCCATGAATCGAGGATGCGCTTGCGCTTGTCCCAAGAGATGACTCGTACTAACACCGAGATGCATTCCACCCCCCACACCACCACCGCTCGCACCGAAGGAAGGTGATCCAGGCCGATGAGTAGGACTAGTAACGTCGATCATTCGACTGAGGAACAGGGACTGCGTTTGGTCCCTAGGTACCCAGGCTGGGTTATGCGCCGCAAAAGTGAGCAGCGATTTCTCCATCTTGCCTTCGGTCGATTGGAACCGCTCGTCGCGGACTTGAACGGGCGCGCCGAACTGAAAAACAAGATGGACCGAGGTCAGCTCTCGAGTCCTTGTCGCTCTCAGGCTCCGATACCGTTCCACTCTCACCTTCGTATCGCCATGCCTCTTGAAGTCAAACACCGCGAATGAGCACACATATCCCAACCCATCGACATGAATCGTAAACTCCCTGAAGAAATCCACAATCGGTCCCGCACATCGAGGAAGGGTATACCACAGCACAAAGGGTGTGACAATGACCGAGAGGATCTCCTTGACGAATAAGGCGATCTTCATCTGGAACAGACTGCCGAATTCGGCGTGTACGCCGGAAGAATGAAGGTTGTCCTTCCATTCGTTGGGGAGGTAATGCGTGTGTTGGACCAGTTCACGCATCGTTTCGGCGGGGTCGACGATCTTGTGATCGTCCGGCACCATTCCTCGAGCGACGGCGAGGATCGTTCCAAAGACACCGATGTAGAACAGAACCGTCCGTCCCGGCGTGATCTCGAAATGGAGGAACGCGTCAGGGTCAATTAAGGAAAAGAGGATCAAAACGGCCGCAAAGGAACCAGCGAGGAAGGCGACAAAGCGTGAGATCAATGCCGTACGTGCTTTAGGGTATTGGTTGATGTAAGAATCGGCGAGAGGGTGGGCTTGGGCGAGGCGTTGACCGAAGAGGTGAGGGAGCTCGTTGAACTCGCGGAATTTCCAGCGCGCCAATGGGGTAAACTGTCGAGAGCCGATCGAAGACGGATTTTTGTGGTACTCCTACGCGAGTGAGGTTCGTCGATGTTAGCAACGGATCATGGGAGTGCAATTCACTAAGAGCGCCGACCCACCTCAAAGTACCGGAAGAACGAATACATGAGCAAGTAGATCACAATGAACGGCGCAAAGACGGCATTGATCAACCCCATAAGGATAAAACGTCTCCTCAGCGCCTCCACCAACTCCTTCTTATTCTTTTCCATCAAGAACGCCCTCCTGACTTGTCCATCCCTCCCAAACAAGAAGCCAACGAGGCAAAAGCTGAGGTTCCATTCTAGCGTCTGCGTCAGCATCGAAGCCCCCCATTTCGGCGACCGACCCGCCAGAAGTCGATCGAGAAGAGAAGGCAGAGGGATGGAGAGGTCGAGCACGTCCTTGTTGAACAATGCGATGAGGAAGTTCTCCTCTCGCATTATGCGGTTCGCGACGTCGTGTGCATCGAGCCGGGACGGCGTGCCGCCCTGACTTTCAGTGGCCGGATGGGACCGAGATGAGAGTGCAGCCGGATGAGTCGCTCGAAGCGCCGACAAGCGGGTGACGATGGCGTGCCAGGGGATCGCTTGGATATCATTCTGCACCAGAACATGAGTTTCGGTCGTGTGAGCAATACTCCCTCGAGCTGCGGATGTCTAGACGGTTGTGCTGACCTCAGGTATTTCGAGCAATTCCGTGAAGAATTCATGCATCTCCCACAACTTGCCTACACCCATCCCGAATCGCACGATGCGCCAAAAATAAAATGCGGTGAAGGAGACGGCGATTAGGAATGTAAAACCAGAGAATCTACGGGGAGTGATTTCCGTCAGCCTGCGAGGGAGCAGTGAAGAGGAGCACGTGAGACGCTCTCACCTCGAGATACACTTTGATACAACTACTTCTGAGAGATGATGCGAGTTCCACAGTATGGAATAGTCGATGCACCCCATGAGGAACGTCGAGAAGGCGATGACCCATCCGACCGTACTGCCCCATCGAAAAACCTTTCCGGTCAGCCCGCAGACTTGCCGCCGGGAACCACTGCACTCGCGCACCCACTCACAGCAAGTTCAACAGCCGACTCAGACCAATCGCAACGATGCCTTTGCCGACGTAGTAGATGTAAACCTGCTGCAGAAACCCATCTAAATCCTCAACGTTGATCCACCTCCACAACGCCCGTTCTTTCGCCGCCATTCGCCTGCCTCCTCCTCTCCGGGACGAGCCTCCCTCGGATGCAGCGGAAGCGGTCGATGCGGTGCCCAGGATACCTCTTCTAGGTCCCGACCGACGACCACCGAGTCGTACGTCATGACTTGGGACCCAGGACGAGGCCGTTGACTTTGCCGAAGACGAGACTCGCTTCTTTTGCGACGACATGAGGGGCACTCGGGTGGTGAAATCCGGTGGGGCCTCGTCGTCGTCTTCGTCTTCGTCGTCGATGTCGTCTTGATCGGACATGTGGGACGAAGGTGGTGAAAGCGCTGAGGGTGGTGGTGGCAATGACGCGGCCAGTGCTCTCGATTCGCTCCTGATTGGTGGGGAGCCCGAGTGAGCTTGCCGGGTCTTGCTATCAGTGGACGCGGTGCACATTCACCAACTCACAGCGACAATACATCCCCCTTTGCGATGGCTTCCCGCAAGTCCCGACTCTGCTCCGTCCCGTAGCGATGCTGTGGCCGGTGTGTCGAGCCCGGCGAGCTGAGACGACGAGGTGAGGCTTCGGCGATTCGTTGGCCCGACAAGAGGTGCATCAGGCTGGGCGAGTTGTGAGTCGACATGGACTCGGATAGGTGGTGACCCGCGAGCGTTCTCTCGTGCGGACTGGCACTGGTCGTCGCATGGCCGGACCGACTCGGCGTGGCGGTAGGAGGAGTAAGTGGGGGTGGCTCCGAGATGGCCGACGCGGAGGACTGCGGCTGTTGTGGCGATGGACGCGCTTCAGACGGGGAGGGGATCTGATCCGATAAGAATGGGGATGTTCTCGATTCCATCAGGGCCGACGTGGTGGTCGTGATCGGTGCCCGAGTCGGATCAGCGACCATTGCGGCGGTCGGCGCGTCGGCGGCTCGGCGCGTTGAACGATCGAACGGCCGAACGCTGTTGCTGCTCGGGCTGTTATCGTGCTGGAGAGCCTGGTGGAGCTGAGACGGTGAAGCAAACGGATCATCCGTGTCGAGTGATGCGTTGGCTTCCACCGGGTCGTGTCTGGGTGCGTGGGCTGGCGGCGATAGGTGGTGGTGATGCTGCTGACTCGGGGACAAGGGAGCGCCGACGCCGTCCTCCTCGTCGAGATCGTCATCGAGGTGCGCGTACACCGAGTCACGAGGTAGAAAGATGGAGCCCAGCGCGGCCTCCATCCGCTTCTGGGCCATCGTCCAATGACCGGAGAGCACCTGTGGTCGGGGCGAGACCGAGGTGGGGGGCTTACTCGTCGCTTTGGGTGGTGGGACGAGCAAGAGTCGGGTCCGTATCGATCCCGTGACACGCACACTCCGCCACACGCCACACGCCTCCACACGCCACCTCACGCTACTGTAGCCGCCCGATTTGGGTTTATTCACGTGACACGGTGAGACAATGCTTGAGACCCAGAGCAATATTACAGAAATTTCAATTTCTAAGCGTACAACTGGTGTCGAGAACAACTCCAGGCTCGACCTAAGATTGCAAAATTGTGCCGAGACAGGAAGCTAATCCCGAGTCTTGCAATGGGCCGCCGTGAAGTTCCTGCACCCCCGAGCTCAGACCACGAAACTTCTCCAGACCAAACCTCCCTGCCTGACCACCTACGAACTTTGGACACAGTGACAGGCTAAAACTCGAACCCGGGGCTGCATCAGGCTATGTTCCGCAATAGCCATATGGCTTGGCAAGGACGGCCCATGCAGTGAGTCTCGAGGCCCACTCGAACAAGTTCAATTCCTGCAGTGTTGCCGAGAATGTGCCGACGAATTGTTGACGGTCGGAGTGATCACCCTGGGAGCCATGTAGCTCAAGAACCCGAAGCGCCGCTTTCCAGGGTGCAAAGCAGAGCGAGGTACTGATCCCATCCATAAAATCGAGCGATAGGTTTGTCAGGAGTTCCATGCGCACAAGCGACTGAATCGGGCCTCCGTGCCGCCGAGCGCAGCCTGCGCTCGTGACGACCAGTTCGATGACCTGCATCCTGGACGCGCGCACGGAGCTGATGGAGAGAGACTTCAAGTGATTCGGTGACCAAATTCCCCGCGCCAGTCGGGAATCGGTATCCGCTGCGGATCTTCCGGTTCTTCGAGTCGAGGGCGATGGATCATGAGATCGGACTCGACGTGTCGGATTTGGGAAGGCGAGTTGATGAGAGGCCGGCAACTTGTTGCAGGCAGCGCCCTGCCCGGGTCCAAGCAGGGTACAGGCTGGGTTCCTTGCGCAAGTACGCCCAACACTTTGCAGTATCTCGCCGCCTGATCGCTGCTTGACAGGGGCTGACAGCCTGACAGGAGGATGCAGACAGCGGACTCCGAGCTTCTCGGAGTCGGGCGCGGCCCAGATTGATTTCGGAAATCTGCCAATATCGCTGGGAAGTCACCGGCAGAGCGTGAGTGAGCCTGTTGTCATTTTTATTATTGAGTTTGACGGTAGCAAGTGCTTCGCCCGTGATTGATGGGGTCGCACCGAAACTGGGGTGATGGCTGACATTGGCCGGGCTGCTCGGTGGATACCCCCAAGAAGCACCAGGAACGACCCTGAACCACCCCCTTTCTGAGCGGGCCGGTTGAACAAAGCGCGCTGGCCGACTCCTTCCTCTCTCTCTCTGCCTACGCACCACCACCACCACCACCACCACCACCACCACCTACCAACTCGCTCGTCGTAGACTCGAGGCTACCATCGAGCCACCCAGCGCGCGTGTCCGACATGTCGTACCACGATGGCCCCACCTCAGCCTCCACGATAGCCGCCTCGTCAACGTCGCCGTCCTCCTCCTCCTACTTTGCCTCGTTGACGTTGGATCATACACTCGAGGACCTGTGCGCGCGGTTCATCGTCAACTTGCCGACGGAGGAACTCGTCAGCATGGATCGGATATGCTTCCAGATCGAGCAGGCGTGAGTTGCTGGTTCCATCGCTGGGGATCCCGGGTGGGGAACCATCGTCTGGTCGGCGACCTGGGGCATGCGGCGTCACGGGAGACTGGCCGCAGACCATGGCGAAGAGAAGCAGCGTCATCAACAAAGGACACGATCGGATGAACGCGGGTTGATGCTGGGCATGGCATGAGGGGGCAGAGGGCGTCGTGTCCGAGGCCGTGCTACGTCGTGCTACATCGTACAAGGGCACGGTGCACGGTACTCTTCAACCGACCGACTGCGCAAGCACCTCAAAGATGCTACAGGACACGTCAACTCATCTGAACAACAATCTCCACAGGCATTGGTACTACGAGGACTTCGTCCGGCCATCGGCACTCAACCCACTGCCCTCATACAGCCTCAAGGCTTTCTCTCTGCTCATGTTCAGATCGTGTGCACTCCTACATGATGCAAGTCGATTAGCTCTATCTTCTATCGACGAACGGCCGTTCCTAACAGCCACCTCCTTTCCCGACGGGCCACAGTTGATCCCGAGCCATCAACAGATTTGGACCAGCTTCATGGCCTACAAAGAACGGGTGCCCGTCTGCGGCGCCATTCTCATCTCGCAATATTGGGACAAGGTACTTGACGAATTTTGTTTCAAACCTCCCGTGCGTGAATTGACCTAACTCTCCGCTTGCCTCCACCCAAGGTTTTGCTCGTCAAAGGGTGGAACAAGGGTGCTTCGTGGTCGTTCCCAAGAGGCAAAATCAACAAGGGCGAGCCAGAAGGGATGTGTGCCGTACGAGAGGTGAGTTCATACACATCAAGATGGATCCGAACCAATGTCTCCGGTGCGAAAAGCGGCGCTTACTCCCCAAATCGACAGGTCTTGGAAGAGACAGGCTACGACCTGTCTTCGGCGTTCCCACCCGAGCAGCTTCAAACCAACTACGTCGAGCAGGAACCCGCCGAGAGAGTACCCTACTACGTCGAACTCGTCATCAAGGAGCAGAAAATCCGGCTTTATCTTATTCCTGGGATACACGAAGACACCTACTTTGAGACGAGAACTCGGAAAGAGATTTCGGTGAGTAACGACGATTCCTTCCAGCGAATTACGTGCATAATTGACCCTAGTCGTACATTTATGTCCACAGAAAATCGACTGGTTCAAGCTGAGCGATTTGCCAACATGGCAAAAGGACAAGAAGGGCAAGAAGAATGCGAGCCAGATCGAGGGCAAGCAAGCCAAATTCTACATGGTCACCCCATTCATGTCGTGCGTCCTCCTTCCCTCACCGGTCTTTTGGATGTATGGTTACTCAACCCTTCTTCCTCTTCACCAGACACCTCAAGCTATGGATCGAGCGCAACAAGCCAAAGAACGTGCGCAAACGAGCACCCGTGTCTGCAATCCCCATCGCCCCAGCACCCACATCTAGGGCGGTCATCGACTCTGAGCCCGAGCACGAGCTGTCTACATCGCCATCTGGATTCGGATCGACGACAGAGGACGATGATTTGACCGACCTAGAGGTGTATTCCGCCAGCGCCCCACTCGCAGCGAAGAAGTTCGAATCGACCCAGGAGGCGACAGATGCGTTGAATGCGTTCTTTTTCGGTGGCTCGCCGCCCAAGGAATCGGCTGTTCAGCAGCCTCCACCTCCCCCGCTACCATCGACATTCCCTCCGTTCCAATCCGTCGCGCAATCTGCCGAAGCGCGCGAAGAGTCGCCTGGTCTCAGCACAAGAGAAAGGCTTTCAAGTGCGGGCACGACTCTTCCCCACGTCGCGTACGAACGGCAGTCGTCCTTCGTCCAACCTAAACCCCAAACTTCCACCCACCAGACCGACAAGTTGCTCGCCTTGCTGGCGAGTCAGACGTCCCCGCCTCCGCCTCCACCTGCCAAGCCGCCTCTGTCTTTGCCGAACAACAAGATGAATCTGCTCGGCATCCTTCGGGGCCAAGGCCAGTCACGCAGCGTGTCGTCACCGAAGCCGAATCCGAACCTTTTGCCCGATGCGTCGTCGCCTCTACAGACGAATGCATCACCGTCGATGCTGTTCGACAACTCACAACCGCCTCCCGAGGCCGAGGGCTTTGGTGTTGAGCACGTGGCCACCCATGCCGAACGAGGGCAGGCCGAACGCCAGGAGAAGAGGAACGCGCTGCTGAGGGCATTGTCAAGTATGGCAGCCGCACCTGTTAGTCATCACTCGCCCACAACTCCATCGTCCACAGGCAGTGTTCGCGCGCTCTTCAATCCTGCAAGTCCCAGTCGGCAGAGCACTGGAGTCACGCCTCCGGTGGTATCGTCCTCGCTTGCAAACCTCTCGCTCCAGGATGACAATTTCGATCAGCGTGGATGGCCTATCACGGCGACTGAGAAGCAGGTGACGGAGGCTCGAATAGGGTTAGGTCGCCAAGGCACTTTGATGCCTCTCGAACCCGAAGAATCGGGCGAAGAGCGCTGGTCCTCGTCGGCGGGAAGCCAAGCACGAAACACGAAGCAGGCGTTCGATGAACTTGACGCCGCACGCGATGATTGGATCGAACAAGGCCGCCCAGTCGGAGGTGTGCATTCCCCGTCGTCAGAGAAGCACGCGGTTTTGCATGAATCCATGCCGTCGATGGAGCAATATTCGGCAAGCTTGCCTTTGCCGCTCGAGTCTAGGCTCTCCCACCATTCCGGTTCGAGTGATGGAAGTCGGCGCGCTGTCGGCACACCGCACACTGCTATCTCACCTTCAAAGGGCGTCAATCTCCTCTCGATCCTGAACGGCAAGGCTCCGACTCCCACCACTTCGCTCTCGTCCGCGACACCGCAGGCCTATCCACAAGGGGAGGCAATGGCGCAAGTCTTGCCTCCCGTATCTCAAGCGTACCAAACAGCTCCCGTCTCTCAACCTCCGCCAGCTGTGATGCAGCAGATACATTTGCCAGACCTTACACGACCGAACGCGACACCGTCGTTCGGAGGCGAAGCGCTCGCGAACCAGATCCCCTCCCAACCCTCTTTGCCCCCTGTTCCGGGAGGATTTTACGCGCAGCCTAGCTACGTGGTCTCACCCCACATGCAACACCCGCCACAACCGCCTCCCCAAGCCTCCCACTCCCACTTCGCCCCCGGTGGGTATTACTTCACACCCCAAGCGCCCTCCGTCCCTAACTATCAGAACCCCTACCCTACGGCACCCGGTTCGTTCATCCCCCCGCAACAGCACCCACCTTACGTGCAACACCTGAGTTATTCGAACCGACCTCCGCAAAGCATGCATTTGCAACAGCGTCCCAACGTTGGGTACCAGTACCCTCAACATCCGATACAAAACCCTCAGGCAAGCAGCTTTGCGAGCGCTTCTTTTGCCGCTCCTGCTACCCCCTCATCGCAAAGTATGGTCCCTCCCTCATCTGGGATGTACGCAAACCCTACTCCTCCGACAGGTTTGAGGACTACCGCACATTCAGGCCAGCTCTTGGGCCTACTCAATGCGCGTTCCTGAGCCGGCGTAGCGGCACACAAAGGGGCGTACGCCCGGGCCTGTCGATATAGGAGGAGCTACCCTTTCTCGTGCCTGGCGGGTTTCCGAAGTTTCAGGTCTCGACTCTCGATGCACCGTTGAAGTTTGGGTAGTTTTTGGGTTTAGGAGGGTTGGTTGTGCAGTTGAGGATGATATTGCGAAAAAGACGGATGGGAGAGAGCCTGAAGCTGAAACTGGATGTTCACAGCAGGGCGAATCCAAGGGTAAATAGTGAAGGCCTTAAAAAGCTGTGATATGATAAGGTCGTCCTCAGACCGGAAGTGCCAGACTTGTGGAGTTGGGTCATTGCCGTGCCTACTTATGTGGCTCGGCGTCGAGGATCTGAGACCTGACAAGCCTGACACACAGGTGATGGCGCGGTTGGACGCGCCTGCCAGAGCGCCCAGAGAGCCCAGAGCTCCGGGCGCGTCGAGGCGCGTGCACGACGAAGGTTCGCGCTAGGCAGCGCTCCCTCGGCGTTGCGCGTCCGGCCGAGAGGCGCTTTCCGCTGTCAACGCGTTCCGAGTCTCGCCTGCACCCTGGACTCGTATCCTGTCCTGATCTCATTGCCACCTCGCTCCCTTCTCGCGTACGACACACCCCAGCACAAAAACCCGCACCAGCATGCCCTTCATGCGTGAAAAGGCTAGCTCGAGCGAGCTGCGTGGGTTGATGAACGACAGCTCGCCCATGCTGTCCAACAGCGAGGACGATGGCGAAGACGGGTACCACCACGCCCTGCCGATGCATACCAAAGATGACGGCGCGGACGATCCGATCTCGTCCTCGACCCGTGGAACGATGAGCTGCTGCTCGTGTGGCGCCTCTTCTGATCTCTCGTCATCACGTCGTTCTCGTGACGGCTTATCGAGCAGCTCGAGCTCGACAAGAACCGGTCTCCACGTGTTCATCATCTTCTTTGGGCTCATTGCCGGCCTCGCGGTCTTGTTCCAATACACCAAGGAGCCGACATGGTCCTTCCATTCCAAGTCATCGTCATCAGGCTTGAATCGAGTCGCGCAATGGGGTCCCGCACCAGGCAAGGATGTGCAGGGCGTTGAAGAGATCTTCTTGGGCAACCAACGCGTCGCCCAGAGGATCCTCATCAGAGGCAAGACCGATCGCGAAGGCTTGGGCTCCCAGTTGAACCACATCAAAGGATCCATGTACGTCGACACTCTCGGTCGGCAATGAAATTTTTGTGACGGAATGGTACTTGGTACTAACATTTCCATCTCATTCCTCGCGGTTTTCTCATGTGTGCAGGATTCTCGCAAAAGCGCTCGAGGCCACCTTTATCCTTGGCGACTCGTACAGTCATCACCACTATTCAACCTCGGACATGATCAATGGACCCATCTACAGGGACTCCATCACGGCACGACCACCCGTCTATGTCCCTTTGGGACAAACGTGCGCATTATCGGATCACCTTCCCTACGAGAAGCGACAGGAGGTCATCCGCGGTTGGTGCTTGGGCAATAAAAATGACCAACGTCCGATGCAGCGCATCGGGTACTCGCTCGCCAAGCGCAACTGCTCCATCATCATCGACGACGTCTCGGGTCGCGACTTCTACAACGATCTCAATCAGTGCTACACCGACGTCTTGCGCGAACGCCTCGGCGGCATCGACGATCGACGCAACACCCGACCAGACGGATCCGGCGACGCTGGCGCCTTGACGGTCGGTATCCACGTCCGATGGGGCGACACGTCAGGTAGTGACAACGCGACCGAGTTCCGAGGTTCGATGCCCACGGCCTCGGTCAACGAGATCATCCACGAAGCGCAGAAACGCTTTAAGCGCCTCGACATCCGCATCGCGATGGAATCCCACAACGACCACGTTCTCGAGGGCTTCGAGTTCGATTACACGCTCGTCGACTCGGGCGACGTCATGGCCGATCTGCATGCCTTGGCCGATAACGACCTCTTGTTGATTGGCTCGTCAAGTTTCGCGATCCTGGTGCATATGATGGCTGCTCCTGATGGCGTGACGATCCTCGATGGCAATGATCGCGCGCGCAAGTTCCCCGGTACCCAACGCACCTTCTTTGGCACGTTCGAAGCTGGCTTCGATCCGAGCATGCTCGATTCATTGCCGCAACGCTTCCCTGAGGTCGAGTTGGTCTAAGCGAGGGAACAGCTTGCGTTTCTTTTTGTTGGTCGTCTTACATTCGCTGTCCACCTCTGTCATTAGGCTGTAGCATTATACATTTCCGCGAGACCGGCCCGTTCAAATATATAATAGTTCCCCCATCTTTGTCCTGTCGCTTACTTGCTCCCAAAATTGTTTACACCCCAGCTTCTTTGGAATTGTACAACATACTCATCATCCGTTACAACCACTCTGGGCTTCATAGTCTCCAAGGGCAACGCCATACTACGTCCAAATCCATCACATCATCGGGGATTTGGTGTGAAAAAAGTAAACAGGGGCCTACTCTGTGTTTTGACATCGTCAGGCAAGCAAGCTCATCGTGCGAAAAAGTCATTGTTCTCATTGAGGAAGTCGATCGCGGGTTGGCGCTCGATGTCGCGGCCGACGATCGCTCGACCGGCTTTGGTGAAGTGGAGCGTTTCGCCTTTTTTGCTGAAGCGAGGCCAGGGGGGGACTGTAGGGGTAGAAGAAGAATACCAGTCAGATGGGGGTGAAGCGCACTTTACTGGATTTGCGTGTGCGAACTTACGATCCACGCCATTTGGGTCGAGATGGGCGACGAAGTTACTGCGGGAAGAGAGTTGGAAATCGGTGGCTCAGGATGTGGCGCTCAGTCGACGGAAAGATCGAGACGGACTCACATGAGGTAGGCCGACATGATCCTTGCGATCTGATCGGCATTGGGATCCTTGGGTCTCGGCTTGCCGAACCAGTCCGGGAGATCGGCACCATGGGAGACTGCACGGTGGTGCCTCGGCAGCTCAGCGCGGTGAGCTTCGGACACGAATATGCCACCTGACGTTCACTCACTGCCGGCCTTGGGATCAAATGCAATAGGCGACTGATATGAATAGAGGTAATTCCACATCGACTGCTTGCCGCTCGCGGTAATAGTCGACGCGACGTCTCTCATCTCATCGAGAAAGAACAGCTTTGGGGCTCGGAAGAAGAGGTCGCCTAATATGGACGCTGCGCGTTTGTACGCGGGTGCGAGGCCGAATGTTTCATGATCGGTGTTGTAGGGTGAACCCTGGCGCAGTACGTCGGGGTATAGCTCCCACAGTCGAGAGAGAAGGCTGTCTTGCACGTTGTCGAACACCCAAGCAAAAGACCCTGGTTCGTTGTAATCACAAGGTGAGCAGGTGGGTACCACTGCATTGACATGCCCAATCGGCCTGATCACTTACTGCGCAGCGCATTCTCGATGCTCGCTTCCGACTCCATACCGGCGTCCGTAAATCTAATATCCTCTCACAACTTCAACTAACGTCTTGTACAGCCGGGGAAAAAACCACATCCGCGACTCACTTGGTCCCCTCGTCTAACACCGTCCCCGTAATGAACGGCACGCGCCTCGACCTCACGCTCGCCATCATCTCACTCGGTTTCCGTGTCAACCAAGCGTCTTTGAAATTGCTCTCCACCACAGGGTACCAAGGGAACTGATACCGCTGCAGACCGATGGTCGAGCGCATCAGGGAATCGAGCGGGAGTTGGCGGAGGCACTTGATGAGATTGAGTTCGTATGTGCTACCTCTGTTTCCGGGCGCGGCTTTGGGACATCCTGCCGCTTCCTCCAAGGTGTGCGTCGAGCGCCTTGCAGCTTCGTGAGGCCATGGTACGGGGAATCTGAAAGGAAGCCGGGGAGGGCACCTCGTCAATCACGCGCTGCTGGACGAAATAAAGCCCGTCAACTCACGAAGTTGGCGAGCCTGACAACATGAAAGCTGGTCCACAGAAATCAAGGTCAGTCGATGTCCTAGCAGCGATGCTGAGGATCGGCACAAGCTCACCTCCACGGAACGAGCCAGGGGTATACAGTTGATGGAGTCCAACAGCGATGGCACCAGCGCTATGTCCGGCCATGGTGATCTGCGAGACGGAAGACATCCGCGCCGAATCAGAAATGCCTACTCCATACGTGCTGACTGCTCGGTTGTTCGCAGAACGGCAAGTGGGTTGTTACCTTTTTACGATCGCCGCCAAAACTCTCGATGTGTCGTTTGACCCAGTCGAGCGCCGCGAGCTGGTCTTTGAACCCAACATTCAAGTCCAGGGCCTGGTCGACCGCGCGGTTTCTTCCTCGGGATGAACTGCCCGCTTTCAGGGCGGCCGTGGTTGAAGAAAAGCCGAGTGATCCGAGTCGATAGTTGAACGTGACAATGATAATGGGCTCCTTCATCTCCACGCTGCGCTTCATCAAGGAGGCGTAGTCGTATCGTGGAAGAAGCGACGATCCGCTAGCCAGGCCACCTCCGTGAATCCAAAACATCACCGGTAGCAACTTGCCGGGCTCTTGACCGGCCGGAGCAAAGATGTGAAGTTTGAGGCAATCCTCTTCGCCTTCCCAGACACCTTCCCTTCTCGGGTTCTTGATCCACCTCGGGCAGCCTTGTCCCGGATCATACGCGTCCTGAATTTCAACCGCATCCCATTCCTTCTCCTTGACGGGTCGCGTCGTAGGTTTCACCGGTGTCGCTGTCCGAAAGCGAAGTTCGCCCGTCGGGGCCTGAGCGTATCGGATTCCTTTCCACGAGACATAAACGCCGTCGTCGGAGTGACGACCTCGGAATTTCTGACTGGCAGCTCGGACAACGGGATCGATAGGGTCGAAGTGGGACCATGAAGAATTGGGGATCGGATCGAAGGATTCTGAACTTTCCCATGTGGCGGGGTTGGAGACGGAGGAGAGTTCGGTCGTGATCGACGACAGCCACGATGAGAGCATCAGGTAGAGGAGCGATAGTAGCGCAACAAGTCCCAGGGGAAAGGTTCGTGGTAGCTTGGTCAAGAGCGCTAGTGTTGAACTCGGTGGACGAGCTGAAAACACCGTTGGCGGAGTCGAGGACGAGGTTGAGCGAGTCGTCGTCCCCCACGACCCATTTTCAGCGGAGTAGCCCTCCTTTTGGTGCAAGAACGCCTTCTCCTCGGATCGATACCGGTCTTGAGGATGCATCCATTGATTCGGGTTGGGTGAGAGGTCCGAGTCTTGTCCACCACCGCTGCGCGAGGATGAGGTCGAGCTCGACAAGCTTGATGAATCGCGTTCGGCGACGAAAGGCCGCGTCGCGTCCAACATTCAGCACTGCGCGCTCGTCGAACGGAGACCGGACAGGTTGAAAGGGGACGAAGAAAGTGGTGGGAGGAGGTGAAGCAACTCGGTAGCTTAATATAGATGTGAGTGCTGAGTGGAAAGCTTTCAAAGGGACTGAGAATCTAGGCGCTCGAGAAACGCGTCCAGCATCCAATCGCAATAGTCGAGCGAGTCCAGATCAATCTAGTCAAAAGAGAGCCAGCCGTTCAAGAGGCGACCCTCCGCTAACGTGCGGGGGCGTCTTATAAAGGGTTTAATAGACCCGAGGTGCACGTGCCGCCGCCGAGCGTACCGTATATCCTTACAGCCCTTCGCTTCGGAGAGATCACACGAAAAAACGAACGTAGGTAGGTAGGTAGGTATCTAGGTGTATTTCTACTCTATCAAGGGGCTTTGCAGTGGGCTCGATGTGCACCATCCCGCGCGGCGTGGTTTTGTCACGTGACCCTGGATGAGAGGGCCGACAATGAGGAAGGCATCCATGCATAATGCCGCGACCAAATGGTGCAACTATAAATTACGCGCGCGCGTTTACCCCCGAAGCTTGACGCATCTACCCCCGGTAGTAAGGTGCAAAGCTCACTATAGTGCATTCTTCGCGCAAGTTGGTGCGGCTGCTCCGGAAAAAAGGTGCGTTTACCATTCAGACGAGGAACTTGTCTAATTCCGGGCTCGGGGCCTCAATCGTCCAGACCACCCCTCACTTGAGGCTTCAGATTCCAATCTCGGTTTTAATGTTTAAATCCATATATTCCAGCTAGTCTTGTTTAAAGACAGAATCTAACAAATTGCTAGATCCGCTGGACCACCATATTCATGTCACGTAGGCCGTCACCTTGCTGTCACCAGGACCGATGCCCCCCATTCCAGGGCTTACATCAGTCTTTCCCTCGTCCAGCTCAGCGCCCGCCCTCAAAGGCAGGTGGGGAATGCCGCCACCACCGCCTCTGTCACTAATGCGAATTCCTTTGCTCCGTGTTCCTTTGCAGTGCCCACCACTTCCTCATTCTCGCCGCCGATAACCGTCCGGCTCCCTTTATAAGCTCGTGATGCCATGTCCGATCCAGCCGCGTCCGAGATCGCTCATCGAGGGCCCAGTAGATGTCAGGTTTTGGGATCATCGGCATCGCATACCACCATAGATGTCCCGTTACTAGCCCTGCAGCGAAATTGGAAAGCTCGTATACTTGTGCTCCCGTCCATTCGTGGTGTCTCATCTCCAGTTCCCTACGCGTCATCTGAAACAAGTCCTGTCCAATTCTTTCCCGCAGTCCACGACCTGCCTCGCACTCCCTGAAAACATGTTTCTCTGTCTCCTCTGCCAATCCACAAATAGTACACAAAGACGACGTACCGAATCGTTCTGAGCATCGCGAGGCGGTGGGAAGGATGTGTGCCCGCAGCTGGAGTTGTGTTTGCGCTGCGTACGTCGAAATTGCGCGAAGGTAAGGATACCGTCCTGCGGAATGAGCGACTTGGAGTAGCAATTGAACGTCGTTACCGATCTTCTGGGGCAGCGATTTGATTTGCCATGCTTCTTGTAGGTCGTAGATTTTCTTGATCACATCACCCTCTATCCAAGCAGTTTGCTCGCCAAGGGATGCCTGGATTGTCCATTGTGGGAGTGCAAAGTCCGGGAAAAGCACGAAGAAGTCAGGTTGAGTGTGTGCCGATTTCGCCGCCTCATCTGCTCGAGTGTTTGCACGCGATGCTTCGTCTCCGCCACCCGTATGGGCTTTAACGTGCCGTATTTGTATCGAATCACTCGTTCTCAGCAGGTGTTCGAGCCAAGTGTAGTGTGCAAATGCGGCCCTCGGTTTCTTTGGTGCAACTTGATCTTTCTTCAGATTCTCAGCGAATTTGACGGAGGTAAGGTGATCTGCGACAACCTGAATTGCTGACCCAAAATGTGAGGTCTCTAAGTGTGAGGTCAGTGCCGCTATGATCAGGGCTGTCACCTCTGCCTGCATGATAGTCGCGCCCGCCGGTAGTGCCGCACGAGCCGCCGAGTATGGCCCTACAACCGCTGCCGCCGCAGATGTGAGTCCTGTGGGTAACACGATGAGTGAGCCATCCGTAGCCCAAATATTCTGGTCTTGTTGGCCTCGAAAATTTATCAGGGAAAGGAGTGTGATTTTGATCTGCTGCTCGGCGTCGTTTTGTCGCTGTGCTCGCGTCTTCAACAACCTAACCGGCCCGTCCGCCAGTAAAGTTTCATCAAAGCGATTAGACCATTGTCGCACCAATCTCGTGTTCGGGTGCAGCCATCCAGCAAAGAGGTCGGGTCTATCGCGCTGTGGGCCTCTCCGTAGCACTTGGAGGTCCGTCAGGCCTGCTGGAAGCGCCGCCATGGCTTTTTGTAGTTGCGGTTCGTTTCGTTTGGCCCCTCCGCTTTGGAGGTATGCATGTTCCGCACTAATACCTGAGTCGGTGCGATTCGACTGGTCGGTTTCGAGTACTCGGAGGTTCCCGCAGTGTTGTAGCGCACCTAGTGCCGTATTCCAGATCTGAGGAACCATCTGCTGCGAGTGCTTGAAAGACAGGGGCTTAGGGTTCAGGAGCGGCGATATACAGCCATGGTGTTGGCATTGTAGGTCGGCCAGCGTTATTCTTGCCATCTGTGCGAAAGCTGGAATATGATGGTTCAGGTCTCGTAGTAGTCCATCGACTGCCATAGCCCCGTTCAGTCGCCACAGACTAGTAAGCTCGAATCCAAATTTAGCGACGGGGAGGGTGACCAACTTAGCGCTCGGTGTGAAAACCCATCCATAGTACTCTTTGATCCGCATTGCTATAAGCTGGTCTAGCTTAAGGGCATCGTCCGGTCGGATAGGACATAAAGCCAGTCGTGGCCTCAGCCTGCTAATTAGTTGTTGTTCGATGAATCGTCGTAATGCCGAGAGCGGGAGTCGCCTCGTTGGCGTGCTCGGGAACCCGATCGATCGCACAATACTTTCCAGCTGAGTGTATTGTCGGTCCGGCGCAGCGAACGGTGTTTTGAGAAAAACGTGTGCTGGGTCGACAGTGACCTGTCGTCTCCCATGAGGAGTGGCAACTTGGACTGTCCCTGGTGTATCAGACTGGTTGCCGAGGCCCATTATGATGGCTCGAGTCTTTGTACCCCAGTCGGTTTGGGCTCCGTAGGCTTCCTGGAAATGCTCCATGTAGAGAGTCATCGCTGCCAGCGTCCTTTCACTCTTGGCCAGTAGTATGGTGTCGTCCATCGCAGATACCTGAGTAATCTTGAGGGTCAGTTCATCCGCTTGTGTATGGTTGTTTGAGCGTGCCCTGTTCTGTGTTGTGATGAGTAGTGGGTCCTCGAACGCTTGTTCGTCCAGCCAGTAAGAGCCCATAGCCATGGCCAAGGAGAAACGAAGAGGATTCGGGGGATCCCCTTGTTTCATCTGCCCGTCCACTTCGAAAGGTTCCGCGAGGCCGTACGGTGTCTTGACGATAAAAGCGCCGTGTGCCAATCGGGCTCGGTCAAAAGCTTCTGCGTTTGGGCCAAAGCCGAAAAAATGGTAGGCGTCATACCCAGCTTCTGGTCTGAGCAGGTCGAAGCCCTTCTTTTGGTCTCGTACTAGCCCGTAGATCGGAGTTTTGGCCCGGAACGCCCAGGCTTCTAGGTTCGCTAGGAAACTTGTGAGGTCGCGCTGTTGTACACCGCTCTGGACGGCCACCTGTGTTTCTGGAATCATGTGGTGTTTCATTGCGTAAGCTTGCGCCTGACGTGTAAACCATCCAGCCGCTGTGACCGCCAAGAAATTGCCAAAACAGACCGCTCGGTAATTACTCAGTTGGGAAGACAGTCCGCGATTTTTGAACATCGGAAGCAGATAGTGGTCGCGCAGCTTGTCGAAGTAGTTGTGCACCAGTACATAGTTCAGGAGTGCCAGAACAACAGACATCGCTTGGTCTCCAAGTATCGTTACTGTCCATTTCTCCCATCGGTCCGGACCGGGGGATGGTTCCCTATTGCCTTTGCCGAGGAGCGCCCGGAGGTCGCTGAGCATCAGGGGCCTAGGCCAGACAAATGGGTCGCGTTGCGTAGCCTCCCGAAACTTCCGGGAACTTTCCGTATTCATCCAAGGTTTGTCTGTCAGAGCATTGTCATCCTCTTTTTGGAATAAAGCGCTAAAATACTGCTTACACGTGTTCCGTACCTCTGTGGGGTCAGCGGTAAGATTTCCATCCACAGTTTCTACCGCACGTGGTTGTATCAGTGACGTACGTGGTACCAGGATTTTCTTCACTGAACCTCCGTTGATGACATTCTGTATCCGAAAATTATCAGACCTCTGTGCCAGTTCTTTACGCTCCCGCTTCTCTTGTGCGTGTATTCTTTTGCAGAGTTGGCGGCGCCAGACAGTCGCGGTTTCTAACACTTCATCCTCGGGGGGGTACCACACTGCTCTGCCTGTTTCTTGTTGGAGACGTTGCAATGTCGCCGTTTCTAGGTCGGTATGGAGCTCCTCGAACCATCTTCTTGTGTCCGGTTTGTTTCTCAATATATGAATGGAGTTAGTCTTGAGTGCGTATATATAGCGATTCATATGGTGACGGTCCTGACTCAATTGTCGTAACTCTGGCGATCCGACAAACTCGCGTTTCCCGACCGCTGGCGATCTTCGTTCGCCGAATATTTGGAGGGAAGTGTTTACTATTAGATTGGAAAATTCATCGTAAGTCGCATTCCAAGCCTCTTGTGAGGCTACTGTTCCATCCTTGGCAACTCGATTCAAAGACTGCGAATTAGCAACGCCATCTTCCATCTCTTGCCGAAATTTTGGCCGAGTGTCGCTATTCCGCGGCGGAACTTTAACCCTCCGAGGTCCGTCGTCGCTCGCCTCCTCAATTGTCGCACAGAGACCCGGGAACCATAGTCTGCAATGAATTGGTCTGTGATCAGTGGCCATAACCTGACGCAACGTATGGATATCCGCATTCCCCGCCGGCGCTGACGTTGCGAGACGGTCTATGATGCTGATGGTTTGCGCATCCCCGTATGCCTTATGTGTCCAATTTTCCGCGAGTGAAACCGACTCCATTTCATTCCACACATCGTGGCCGTTGGTCTGGCGTAAGAAGCGGCAGTATTCTACCGCGGTGGGTCTGAGTCGTGGGAAAACCATTGCTGTGGTCTCGCGAGCGTCGAGCACTGCATTGAAGTCACCCACTATGGCCCAGTTCGGTGGTCCTGTTCGTATGAGGTCCTGGAGGGCCGCCCAAAAAGCGTTGATCGCATTACCGTCACCTTCCGCATTGCGTGCGTATCCTCCATGTGGGCAGTAGGCGGATACGATCCGGATTGGCACTATCCTTGCTCTTCCTTGACTTCGAATCAATACGTCCGCAGCTGCTACCCGTCCTGCCAGCGGTCCATCGGTAAAAGTATAGGAAGCCAGTGGCGGCAGATTGTTGCGAATGAGAAGGAGCGTCCCCCATTTCATGACGGAACCCGCCCGGATTGATGGGGTGAGGACCGGTTGGAACCCCCCAGTATTGAGAGGAAGCTGCGTGTCAGTTCTGAATTTGAGCTCAGTAAAACTGATGACATGGTGTTCTGAGTGTAGCAGATTATTCTGGACTTGTTGGAGCTTGATGGGATCTGCGATTCCATTTATGTTGAGGCTGGCAATTGATATTGGCGTTGCTGCGTAGGCCAACTTATTGTTCAAAACGATAGCGAGGAGAACGGTGAGGCATTTCGCCGGTGCTGGTATGGTGGAACTAAAAATCGTCATTGCAAGTAGACCATACGTGCTGAGTTTGCTATACACCCCAGGGTGGTGGCGGAGGTGCCAGCTTCGGAGTTCGGTCTCGACCTTCACGAATCCTGCGGTGGTGATTGTATCATCAGGCGAGCGGCGTTGGAGAACCTGCCACCAGTCACTTACTATAGACATTCCTTCATGCTCGCTGCGACTCTGTGGCTGGGGGCTTGTCGTGTGCACGTCACCTTCTTGATTGTGTCGTCCGCGCTTGCTCGGCGAGCCTCCGGATTCTTCACGTTCGTCCATCGCGTTATCTGCGGCGCCGCTCGCATTGTTGCCATTGGGGATGGTTGGACCGTCATGGGCCAGTTGCTGCAGGTATACGGGACTTGCTTGTCGGAGCGCCAGGGTGACTTGGTGTTGCGTTTGCTGGTATGCCGCCTGTGCGTCGCACACCGTCCTTCGTGCCTCTTGAACTTCTCGCGCGAGTTCTTGGTATTCCTGACTGTCCTTGGGATGATTACTGAATAGGAGCTCCATCCTGAGATTGCTGAGTTGGGTACTGGCGGTCATCACAGCGAATTGCGCTTGACCTGACGCTTGTACGCCCGATAGAGATGAAAAGAGCGCTTGATTGCTCATGTGGAGCGCATGCATCATTTGCCGAGTTTCTTGCGCGATCTGTTCGTTCCTTCGCTTGTCCTCCGCGTACGTTGTGGCGAGGGTCTGGAAGACGTCCTGGATCATGTCGATCCGATTTTCGATGTGTCGAGCACTTTCGGCGATAGCCCCTTGCGACTCCGACGTGGCCTTATTGAATCGGGCAGAGATAGCATCAGCGCGCTCGTTGTCTAGGCAGACCTTGATGACTACACGTTCGTCGCCATCATGCCAACTCGTGCCGAATCTGTCGTGGGCCGGCAGAAAAGGTACCATCTGCACGATGTGTGTTGCCAGGGCGGATGTGGACACTGAAAACCGAAAGACCGCTTTTTGGTGCTGGCCCGGGCCGGTAGCCGGCTCGTAGTCCGTCGTCACAATTGTGCCTTTGGGTCGCGTAATGGGATCCTGGGGGTACTCGGCGGCATGTCGAGTCTCGGCATCCTTAAGGCAGCTCATCAGGTACGAGGCCACACTCTGGGGGTCCCTGTTCGATTTGGCCCATAAGACGACGATTGCGAAGGGCTCTCGCATCCCTCGCGTTTTCACGATGCGTTTTCAAACCCCGGTGATGGTTTGTTCGACCAGCAGTGGTTCCGTAGTCACTTGTGGCGTCAAACGAGACGTGGGTCGCATTGGGATGTTGACCTTTGCACTGAGGGTAGACCGGTCCTTCGTGGCTGTGATCTTGTCCACCATAAAAGCACTCGCCATACGAACCGCGACCAGGACCTTGCATTGATCGCCGCGTGTACCTGAATCGTTGGTGACCGAAATGCACGACTCGGCGGGGACGTTCTTCATGTCTTCGAAGTGTTTGTCCAAATGCGCTTTTATCGCCTTTCGAATTGCTTCTTCCGGGGCTCGCTCGATGGTGTCGTAGCTCTCCTTGCCGGAATGCTTTACGGAATCAAAAGCTAGACGGACCCATCGTACTTCGTCGTTCTCCTTCACGTCGGTGAAATGAGCGAAAAGAAGAGGCCAACGGTGATTGTTTTCGTCGACTAGCTCGGATTCGAACGAGGAAGGGTCTGGACGTTTGGAAGTCTGGGCTGTCAGAGGCTGTTGTAGTGAACAGGAGAGGGTCGGCGTTCTTTTGTTCCACTCACAGTACGGCTTGCTGTCGTTATTCAGAAAACTGAGGATCTTGCTGGTGAATTCAATTTCGTCCTTGGGCCCGATGATCTCAAAATAATCCGTGTTTAGGGCCTTGTATCTTGATTGGGGAGGGTCCGACAGCCCGGTGAGGTTAAGGACTTCGTGCGACTGAAAGAAAACTGGCTGCTCATTGACGCTAATGCCGGCTTGGACAAGTAGGTGTTCAATGGTCCCTTCCGCCGTCAGTTTTGCGATGTTATCAGAAGTAGCAGGAAGGTTAGAGATGACGAGTCGATGTGCCAGGGGTTGGGTAGTCCGAATGGCTCTGAAGTCGGTTTCTACGTAGGGTCTGGGGACCATCGTGTCGTATAAGCGGTTGTTGTGTGGGAGGGGGCAAGGACGAGGTGAAACGAATATGGGGTTCAAATTGCACCGGACGGATGGAGTATGAAACGCTTGGGCTTCCCAGGGGGCACTCGATGACGTGCTCAGGGGTGGAGAAAATGGGCCGTTATTCGTTACCAGGCATTGAACGGGTGGGAAATTAAGCGCTCGGGCTTTACAAGAGGTGATCAATGACGTGCTCAGGTTCGGTGTCAGACAGGGGTAGCTTCTCCTAGTTAAGTGAGTCGCGCGCTGATTCAAGGAGTAGGTCTTGGGCTCAGCGCCCGAGGCGGTCCCTCGTGGAGCGAGGGCGTGTGTGGCAGGCCTCAGAACGCCTGCTCCGCGATACAAGTATGTTATGATCGTGCTGGATGACCTACAAACCCAGAAAGAGGACGTTGTCGACTTCCAGTCGAGGTGTGGTGCGGGGCTCTGTGATTTATCTAGGGTGTGGGAATCGTCAGGCAACCAGGTGGTATGGAGCCGCCGGATAGCAGTGAGTTGGTGTTTGTACGGGTCATGAAGCAGGTCAGATGCGCGTTCCGTCCGGCGAAGGTATCGTAGAAAATATGTCTGGGTGGTACTCTCGGCCTCGAAGAGGCATCTAAGGGGTCTCCTATCCTGTCCTTCGGGCAGCGCTGGCAACAGTAGTCCTCGATAGTGAACATAGGATGTCATAAGAAAGGAATGAGGGTATGTTAGGACGTGCGTGTGTATGTATATGTTAGCGGGTAGGGTAGGGTTGGGTAGTTTGAGGTGCGCATAGCGTCCGTGCAGTACTCGTCGTTTTAGGAGGAGCGCTTCGAAGGCTGGCATGGGTGCATAAAGCAAATGATCAATGGAAGAGAGACGGTTCATAGATTGGCTAGTGGTTATGTAATAAGGTGGAGTCAGATAGCACTCGCCACCTCTGGGCAAGGTTCTGTCTGCACCGCTAATCGATTGGTGGGTTTCCCCGTCCCTTTGCCAAGGTCGGCAAGGGGGTTGAGGTGGTGCTACGGCACTAGGCCATATGCGATAGAACGGCGAACAGGTCCTATAGAGGACGGTCGAATGCTGCTGAGGAGATGTCAGCGTGTTGTTGGGTGGTGAATAGCGCGGGCGCTGGGGCTGGGCTGGGGTGGACGGGATCACCGCGTTGGTTGCGAGGACACGTGTCGCGAGACGCCTAATGTGCATGTCGTTGTCGTAAGGTAAGGTAAGGTAAGGTCAGGTCAGGTCAGGTCAGGTAAGGTCAGGTCAGGTGGCCTGAGCCCACAGATCGCCGGTGCGTTCCTATGTCTCTCGATCAAAAAGCCCCTGACTCCTGAATGTGACCAAGTCGGTCTGTCGCTCGCCCAAAGATATCCGCCAAAGATATCCGAGACCGGACACTGTTAGAGTTGGAGTTGAAGTGTCCTAGGGCTGGTATAAATGTCAGAAGTCTTTGCAAGGTTTGCGCTTTTGACATAATAAATATTAGAAAAATGACTATCCACGTTTGCACGTATTGCTGGCACTCACGTCATCGAAGTGGACCGAGCCGGGAAGTAATCACTCCAGCGAGAACTATAGAATGAGAGCGATTGCTTCTTTAGATTAAAATTTACTTAGTGTTAGGTAGTAGGCAGGTATTAGGATACTTACTTACGCTGGGTAAATCATTTAGGAAGCTCTCGCGCTCGCGCCGGTTCCCTGGTAGATGGCGCTGACACGTCGCGGCGCGTCGAACAATGACGCGTCGCTCGCTAGTGCCCAGTGAAGCGGCAGCGCCAGGCATTGATCGCGAGTTTCCCACTCACTCAACATCAAGTTTCATTTGTATCAACATGGGGTCTGTCACACTGCTACGAAATCAGGTAAGAACTCTACGAGTTCAGTTCTCGTCACAGCCCGGCAAAACTCGATTAGGAGAGGCCGGTGATCACGCCGAGCATGAACTTCGAGACGCCCCTGACGCGGGTTTCAGGGAGCCGACAAGACGTGTCACTCGACTGGCGCCGCGGCGTCAGACTCGCCTCCTGTGGGTTGGGTGTGAAGTTGCAATAAAAGTTACTTCTTTCACGCGTACCTCCTGCAAGTCTCGATAATCTCAGACACAAGCCGATAGTCGGCGGTTGACCCATGTTCCAAAAGTATAAAAGTTGTCAAGGCGATAGCCAGGCCCTCTCCCTGTCGGGTGACATCATGCATAAAGGGAACCAAAGCTTTGAGTGCAGTGCAACTACAAAGTGCAGTCGTACCTACACAAGCTTGAGTTATATCCTGGAGCTTGTGAAACAAGGAGAGTGGACGCCTTGTCTCAATTGTGGACAAGGCCCGTGGGAGGGGCCCATGATCCCTCACAGAGCTGGACGCAAACTCCGCCTTCGACTGCAGTGGGATAGCCGTCGCCGGGAGTCGGGACCTCCGCAGCAACTGGCTCCAGGAATTGGAATTCTCTGCGAATCCCGAGCCAAGCTGATCACTGCATCGGTGATCGAGGGCGGCTGCCGCGCGTCTCTTGAACTTGAGCAACACCAGCGCGTAAACTTCTCGCTTTGTCTCGACAGGTCTCGACACGCGCGACGGTGGCTGGGCTCGACGCGCGCGCGCTTTCGGCTCTCCCAACCACGAGCTTGAACCCCGTCTCAAACGGCTCTCCTTCGCGGCCGCGCAGCATCTGCTCCCACCGACTGACATATGGGCATGATGATGTCTGAAAAGTCGACTTCATCCTTACCACCGTCACCCCCGCTGATCTCAACTCGACACGGCTCGCCCCCCTTGCAACCGCCGCGCAGCCCTTTGTTGATCCCTGGCTCGCCCGGGTTCCCGCATCAAGCGCATTCCTACACGAGCTCGCCCGACATGGACGAGTCGTCACGGCCACTATTGTCCCGCGTGTCCTTCTCCTCGCCAACCTCACCGACATCTGCGACCACCTCGGTGCACCTGCCCCGGTTGCCGTCGCGGCGGCGATGGCCGGTGTTGATGGTGCTGCTGGTGCTGATCGTGTGCGGCGTTTGGTTGCAGCGCGACGGAACCGCCTCCGTTTCGCTACGACACGCCAAGACGGGTCTCAAACACCTCGGCAACAAGCTCAACGACATGTCTGTCGTCAGCCCGTGGTCAGGTGCAGGCGCAGGGGGAGGCACAGAAGCGATCGCGGCCGACGACGCCGATTGGGACGACACGACCCAGGCCGACATGACCAACCCCGCCTCCTCTCCGTCGAGGCCAACCGAGCCCGAACAACTCGAGGCCGTGGCCGAGCCCGATATGGAGCCGGAGCCAGAGGAACCGTCAACGTCAGAGACGCTCGATGACGATGGGGCAGATCGGTCACAGGGCCTCGACATGCCCTTGGACGTCGATACAGGGAACAAGCAGTCTCAGGCGGACGAGACCACAGTCACGGGGAGCCAAAAGGAGATCGAGGCGAAGGGAGAGGCCGCTGCGAACGATGAGGACGCGTCGGAAGCAGCGCGTATCACACCCTCGGCAGGCAACGATTCTAATGCTAATGACACCGAGGCGATGGAGCAGGCCGAGGAAGAGATGGAGGAGGAGGACACCACCCTCAGCCAGCATAAGCTCGAATCACTGGTCCACGGGCGCATACTCAACGTCAGGCCGTACCCGCGCGACCCGCCCAGAGACCCCAAAATCGCCGCCACAAAACGCTACCTCGCCTTTGACAATCATTCCGGATTCCATAATCGTAAGGGAACGAATCTCGCGACACGCTGTCGCACCTCATGCCGAACGCGGGCAGACGCGTCTCAGGTAGAGAGAAGCTGACTCATTCGCCCGTTAATCTTTCCACAGAGCGCAAATCTCTCGTCAATGCGCTCATGCTCGCCAAAATGCTGAATCGAACGCTGTTGTTGCCTCCCGTCCGACTCGGCCGAGCACTCGCGTGGGGCCCTGATGTATGGCGCCGCATCTTGTACGACGAAGAATGCAAGGCCGGACTCCCCAATCCCGACGCTGTGCATAACCCCTGCAAGCAGGAAGATTCGGACAAATGGACCTACGTCGCATGGTCGTATCTTATCCAACCAGGCTTGGTCAAAGACCGCGACATCGTCGACCGCTGGAATTCGTCCATGAAATGGGTCTTCCTGCCCTCCGAAGAAGGCGGCTTGGGCTTGACCGAATCGGACGTGTACACCTTTGCCGACCCCGTTCGAAGATCATGGCAATTCTACGACGATAGCAAGACGCCGACCAACCTTGGACCGTTCGCGACTCGGGTGAACCTCGAGGAGCTCTTGACGGGGCCCATGAGCGAGTATCGCATGATCAAGTTCGGCAGCTTATTCGGTGGTGGACGCATGGTCACGACCAAACCCGAGAACGTGGCCGATCGCAAAACCATCGATAGTGCGATGATCCTGCAGCAACCTGTTTTGGATTTGATCGCCGACAAGGTTCGCGATCGACTCGGCTCCTATTCGGCGGTTCACTTGCGCGTCGGAGATGGATTTTTCCTCGTGAGCCTCACTCCCGTTTCGATGAACACTCCCACATCCGGGTCTTAAGCTGACTTGCTCTACGTGTCGTCTTTCACAGCAAAATAAAATCAACAGCATGGCGGGTGTCTTCCGGAAAGCCGTCAAGGGCATGTTTAGGTTGCCACAAGTCGTCATCACGGCTCTGCTCGACGAGACCGAAGAACGACAAAAGGCTTTGGCCGAAAGCAGCAAAACTGACAAGAATGGCAAACAGGTGCATACGAAACGCTCACTACCCGACATCTACGCATGGCACGGCCTCGCCGAAGAGGACGACGACGGGGACGAACCCTTCGAGATCGAAGAGGCGTTCGTGCTTCCCCCTCCGAAACGAAGTCGGCGGTCGAAGCGTTCCTCGGCACGGCTGACGAAGCGGGCGCCCATGTCATCGACGCTCACTTGTCGCAAGCCTTTACACACCGAAAAACATCTGCTCGCTCTCAACAGTCCCCTCTACATCGCGACCGATTCTCGAAACCCTCTCGACGACCCCGCCCTGCTCCCTTTCTTCGACCATTTCCCTTGCGCTTTCCTCCTCAACGATTTCGCCGCCGTCAGCAAATACAACTCTGAACCCGTCGAGGAACTCGTTCACCTTGTGGAGGGTAGACTCAAGAGCGAATGGGACGGTCAAAACCTCGCGCGATACTTCTTTGGTTTCTTGGAAGCCGAGATCGCGGCGAGGGCCACCAAGGTCGTTGGGACACCTGGTTCGACGTTCAGTGGGTACACTAGCGGAATCCTGCACAAGACCTACGTGGCACATGGGCTTACGTCGCCGGCGGCGTGATTACGACGACGCTGCCTACGTAGAGCAAGGGGCGAAACGGTCAATGACGACGATGATGATGATGAATGAGGAATGATTTCACCGAAGGAGAAGGAAGCGGAGATCGGATCGATACTCCGAGACCTTCTTGAGATGTGAAGTGTGTTACCCTTGGAACTTCTGCCTTTTCATTCTCCCCTTGCAGATTCGATCACCCACCCATGTATTAGGTATTCTAGCAAATTCCCTTATCTATCCCCTAACCCGTACTCACTCCACTCCCTATTGTCTCTAACCTCCACGCGGGCTTTGCTGGGTTGTATAGATTTCTTTCTCTCTATGTTTCCACTTAAGTATCGGCTGGACCTTTTCTCTTCATACACATCGCTTTCTTCGCTTGCTTTATCCATTCCTCTTGGTTCTTGATTTCCGCCCTCGCATCGTTCTTTAAACCTCTCGTCACCCGTATTTTACATCAGAAATGCAACTTCTCCTTCTAACTCATTTATTCACGAGAACGTTCATCCGACCTCTGCTGAATGTCGACTCGTCTGTATGAATGACAACAGTGATCTCTGCTCACATGTAAGCTACGAAAAAGATTATGCTATGGCCCCTCACTGCCGCCCTTCAGAACTTCTGCACCTCCTTCGCACAAGACACACTGACGATCTTGGCCCCTCTTCGACCCAAGAACTCAACGTCCTGTTTTTGGACTTGTGCATCTCCCTCGTCGTCCTCGTCGCTCGCTTCTTTGACCCCCTCGTCCGCATCGGCAGCGGCTTCCGCCGTCCCCTCCTCGGACAACTTCTCTACGGCAGTGATGACCGGCCTCTTTCCCTGGCGTACTCCCAAGCTCTCCCGAGCCCGAGCCGAATGCTGAACGCCCGAATCGAACCCTTTTTCCAGCTTCCTCCACCTCCCACTCCCAACTGTCTGGCCCGCGTCACCAATCCGAGCACCCGAATCGAACCCCTCAATAACCCTCCACTTCCCTTCCTTCGCTCCACCCGCCTCCTCCGCTCCCGATAAGGGAAAAACGAACGCGCTTAATCTTCTGCCATATACGCAACCCGAGTCCAGACCGATCGAATAGTCTTGTTTGTCCAAACCCCTCCCTGCCCAGTGGCCATAGATAACGTTCAAAGGCTCGCACCCCTTTTTGACGTTTTCGTCCCCTTCTTCGTCCCCTTCCTCCTTGCTCGAATACACCGACGCCGACTCCTTACACGTCTTCATCACCTCATTCCATACCTCGGACCAAGGCGTCCCGTGTTTCTTCCCTTTGCTCACGCCGTAATCACCCTTACCCCTCTTGGGCAATTGCAAAGTGCGGAGGTTGAGCATTGTGAAAGGGAGGGTATTTTGTTCGATTTGGAGGGTGGAAGGGATGGATTCGGTTGGGACTGAGGAGAGGGGCTTGAAGGAGAGGTCGGATTGGGAACTGAGCGATGTGGCGGGTGATTGAGTGAGGGCATACGTCGAAAGTGGTGTATGAGGTGACTGGGCTGGTACTGCGAGTCATGCGTAGACATGTCAGTCAATAGCCAGGTGAGCACGCCTTGGAATGCGACTCAAAATTCACCCAATCCAGCATGCACAAGAACGAGATCCAACCCTTCCAACCTCAGCGTCAAAGGCAAGCTCCTCAAATATTCGAAATCGTCCTTGGGTAAATGGCGTGCGATCTCGAACCATTGGCCTCCCCACTCCCATCCATTGGGAATGACGACGCCAAGGTCATTCTCGACTTGCTTTTGCGAGAGCTTCAACCATTCGTAGCCGTGGCCGAGGAGGTCGCCGGAGACGAAGCTTGCGGGTGCACTGAGAGGTGTGTCCGATTCGGCGCTCCCTGAGATGGCTTCGGCGCCTTGCTCCTCCAAATCGGCGAATTGAGCCGATTTCTTGTCTTCTGCTATCTCTTGCGCTTCCTCCTCCTTTCCCTCTGCTGTCTTTTGCTCGTCGGCCATCGAAGACCCCAAGCCAAACCAGCCCCTTTTCCCTGCCCGCGGTCTCCTCTCCTCAAGCGGATCATCCCCAAGCGCTACCCCATGCCCCAACTCGCCCACCTCTGTCACCGTCTTTGCCTCTTCCGTAACAACGTCTCCCTCGGAAGTCTGTACAAGCTCCCCATAGCTCTCCATCCAATTCCTCCATTCGATGACCCCCTGATCATGGTTACCTCTTACGCCGCGCACGTTGTGCTGTCGAAGGAACTGCACCGCCGCTAGGGAGGACTCGAGGGGTGCTTTGGATACTATGTCGCCGACGTGGAGGAGGGTATCGACTGTGGGGGTGAAGGCGACAGAGACGAGGAGCGAGGCGAGGGAGCGATGGGTTCCATGAATGTCGCCTGTGAAGAAGCACGGGTCAGATGATCGTGAGAACGAGACAAGTTCTGGTGACCCGACTGACCAACGATGATCAATCTGCCCGGCCCCGTCGTGGTCATCGCTGCAGTTTCGGCATTGACGATCGACGTGTTCCAATTGTCAATGACCTGGTGCCAGGTATAACTCGAGAGCTGGCCCTGCTTCCTCATCGTTTCGACCGTGTTGGCTTTGAGCTGCGAGAACGTGCCCACGCTCTGCTGCGTCTGTTCGCTACTTTTCGAACTCGTCTCGACCTGCTCTTTCTCTGTAGTGGTTTTTGCACTCGTATGCGATCCATCGCTCGCGTCCGAATCATGCGAGCCGACGTATACGCTCTGATAGTTCGTCCAACCGAAGCCCTTGACGTGTTCCTTGTCGATCTCGGATGGGGCGAGTACGGCTTCGTAGAGAATGACGGAGAAGAAGAGGATGATGATCGCCGTCGACAGCGTTCTGCGGATTGCGAGGGAGGGCAGCAGAAGTAGAGGGGTCGCCGGGTCCTCGTCGGCGTCGTCATCTTCGTGGTGGTCGGCGTGAGGTCGGGACATTCCTGACTCGTATTCGGATCGGTGTGTTGGAGGTGCAGTGGAGGTACTGAAGGGGCACGCGCTCTGGTCAGTCCAGCTGAGCGCAGATAAGCGCGAGCTGCAGGTCCTCGGCGAAAGGGTGGGTGTGCCCGCTCTTAGGGCTGGCTGAGCTCTTGTTGCGACTATAATAGAGCCGAGTTGCGAGATGAGGCGATGCGATGCGATGCGACGCTCTCGTCGTGGGTTGCGGAGGGAGCTGAGGCCAGCTGAGGCCCCCTGTACACAAGCAGTGCGCGCTTGCTCCCCGGTGTTGTCCAGACTGAGCAGGACTGAGCCGGCCGACGTCACTGTGCGCCGAGTCGCTGGCTGTCGGCTGTCCCTGGCACGCCGCTCGCCGAGTCGCGCCTCGGAGATGCCGTCGCGAATGTGCGGAGGGTAACCCAAATTATTTAATGCTCGGACAAAGAAAGCGAAAGTTGGGGGCTAGGTCGAAGTGGTTGTCAATGAAGGAGCAAACGTTTTGGGTAAAACCAACAGAGATGCAAACAAGATCGGGTAATCACTGCCGTGCTCCCGTGCGACATGTTCTCCTCTCGGCGGGGACCACTGCATCCGAGTCGAGGCCTGTCGAGGCAGAGGTCGGAGCGACGAATTGTGCCTGGGCTCAGGCTGACTCACTCCGGGCTCGGCCTTAAGACCCTCAACTTGTGCCGTGCGCTCCATCTCGACCTCTCTTCCTTGGCCTCTGGTGGCCTAGTGGGCAAGCAGACGATGCCCTCACTACCAACAACATCATCCTCAGCTTCACGCACGCGTACCCGTCCCCGTCCTCGTCCTCGCAACAGCAATGACCACTCGCACTGGACGACGACCCTCCTCGACCCCTGGCGTCGGACGCTGCACTCGCTCATACGGGTACGCCGATCCTCCGACCTCACCCGTCTCATCTGGAAGTCCTACTCGATCGACCCGCGGTTGCCCGTCCGTGTCCGTCCAATGATGGCCCTTCTCACAGCCTCCAGTCTGCTCGTGCTCGCTGCACTCGGCTTCCACCCCACGTTGGCGTCCAAGATCACCCCTCCCGTACCCTTCTCGGACAAGCTGCTGCATTTCGTGAGGAGATAGGAACGATCAGTTACTTTTTGCATCGTCCTGGGACTGAACTCCGACGATGTCTCCCACAGGTCTGCTTCACTGCCGCCTCGGCGCAGTTCTATGCGATCTGGAATGTCGATCAAGCCGTGAGAACTTACTGGCATTGGAAGCACTGGAACGAACTCGTGTCTATCCTCGTGTGTGGGATATGTGCGTGTCCGCATGGCTTGGTGCCCGCGTGTCAACTCCCTCTTGGATTCACGCGGACTGACACCGGTATCGTAACTCTCCTCCCTCGACTCGCAGGGGGCAGCATCGGTAGCGAGTTCGTTCAGTCTTTACTACCGTACAAAACGGTGCGTTCTACTCAATCTCAATCTCAAGCGCAAGATCTGATCCAACCCCAGTCAAATTGCGACATTGATTCCTATTCCTCCTTCCTTTCCTGTGCTGTGCTGTGCAACGAACCCAACCCCCTACTCCCATCTTCGGCCACACCCAGTTCCAATGGGGTGACGTAGTCGTAAGCCTTTCCCTTCCCTCCCATCCCCACGATCCCCTCGATCCTCCTCACCCCAAACTCACCCTCTCACTCCCCTTCCTACCACCAGGCCAACATCCTCGGCACGACCCTAGGCATCACCCTCTCCCGATCCTGGACCCGTCACCGCGAAAGGGCCCAACAACTTCGACGCTTGTACCAACCTCTACACCTCGAACAGAGTGATGATGCCCTTGACGACGAAGATGACGGAGACGATGGGTCGAGTCTTGCGTCTTCGATTGCGGGCGAACGGATGGAGGAGGAAGGTACGAGAAGGGGGCAAGGGATGGTGGGGGGTGGGGTGGGGAGTAGGAAGAAGAGGAGTGAGAGTAACCCTTGGGACGACGCGGAGGACACGGGCAGTATATTCGGAGTCGGATTTGATGGGGAGGAAGATGGGAAGCGGGAAGGGGATCAGGGACGGCGATCATCGGCCGAGGAAAGGGAGGAGGGACGGCATTGAGCTTCAGGGCGGGGAAGGGTATATAAGGCCCCCTTGGTGGGCTGCACTTGGGTTCGTAGGGAAAACCTCTCGCATCTGGTGTCGTTATTGTTGTATCGATTGCATCGCGCATCTTGCATGAAAGTCCTGAATGCGCAAGCAACCTAAACGAGAATGAGCACTTCCCGAGCGAGTGTCGTCATCTAGAGAGAACAGGTCGTGATACGATAGAAATTTCATCATAAAAAGGGGAGGTTGGAGAAGCAAGGAAGAAGGAGCCATGAACAGAGCATATATGTAAAATAGGGCAAGAAGACGAGTTGGAAAAAGGCGAAAGGCTCGGGAGCGAGAGGAACGTGAGAAATTCGAAGAACGAATTGAAACGAAGAGCAACGAGGTGTTTGCGAGGTCGAGGTACTTTGACGAAGGAAAGAGCATTGTCCGTGTCGAGTGCGTTGATAACGAAAGAATGGCAGAAAGGCGCAGCCAACGAGGTCCCCAAAGAACGCGTCTATGTCTCCATCTCTATTCAAAGGGCAGCAACGACCAAAGCCGCAACCGCAGCAAAGGCACCGGACCCAACGACGACGGTCGAAGCGCTCGAAGCGGCCTTGCTGGTGGCAGCGGCGGCGGCGGCCGAAGTGGCGGCACCGGCAGCCGAAGTGGCAGCACCGGCGGCGCTGGTGGCGGACGCACGGACCGAAGTGGCCATGCCACTGCGAGCCGGAAAAAAAGCGGGTGGTGAGCACTTCTCACGATGAACCGACTAAAGCCGTTCCCCTTGTACTCACGCGGCGGATGCAGTAGAGGAAGCGGCAGCGGAAGCGGCGGCTGAAGAAGCGGCGGGAGAGGCGGCGGAAGAGGCGGCACCGGACGAGGCCGAACCGCCCGACGCGTTGACGAGAGTGCACGTGCTGCTACCGGCTTGAACAGTGACCTTGTCGGAGTAGTTGGGCGTTCCGGACCTGTATTCGTAAAAATTGACGACAACAACCGTCAGCAGCCGAATTTGAAAAACTCGATCGATGCCTCCGAGGGCCACTCACTTGTCGATGACCTTCATGGTGACGGACGTGCCAGCCGCGATGTTGACGGTCCTATTACAAGTTTTGAATTGATCCGATTGACCAAGCGATGTATAAGCTTTTCGTATCCCAGATGATCAAAGACAGCTGCAGACCCCGCGAGCCGGAACCTCCGTAACCCGAGCACCGCAACAGCACAGCACAGAACGCGCCTCGACGCGGCGCGCACGAATCAGAGGCCGAGGCCGGGATCGAAAACAGCGAGCGAGCGACTTACCAGGTGAAGGTGGTCGAGTTCAAAGGACCACCTCCGATCTGCTCAAGAGCGGCTCCCGAAGCATCGCCACCGGGGATGGCGGAACTGTGTAGGGTAATGAACGCCAAGCGTTCCGAGTCAGCAATTGCATGCGATGCGCACCCGATGAGGCCCAACTCGAGGCGTCGAGTTGGAAAACCCGAGTCGCAGCCGGCGGCCGCAGCGACACGTCAATTCGATGGTCACTCACACAAAGTAGGGGGCTCCCGCACCAGCAGTCCAAGCTGTGGAATACAGTTCATGTTACGACGTGGAAAGGGGTCAGTACTGCCTTCCATCTGGCGACGACGAATTGCACCTCGATGTGATCGCGTCTTTAGCGCGTAGGCCGGCAGGAGTCGTTGCGGAGTCCGCCCGTGATCATGCGCGCAGAAACGGCTTGGACGCGTCCAGAGGCGAATGGCACAACACTTACCTAGAGCGATGGGTTGGCACTGAATGAGACTGGTGGGGGTGCTGATGGTCGATTGGGCAGACACAACGGCAGCGACGGCGAGGGCGACGATGGCTTTGGCGAACATGTTGCGGGTAGTTTTCTGGGTCGGGTTGAAAGAACGGACACGAACACGAACCGGACGAATCAGCTGGGGTCCTCTGTCAAAAGGGTATCGCGGGTGACTGTATCTGAAGTATCTGAAGGAGAACTCACTCGGGAAAGGTGAGAAAGTGGGTGAAGATTTGAAGAAAGCAAGAAGTTATGAGGGTGGTGAGGTGCGGGAGGAGGAAAGAGTCGAGTCCACGCTCGACAAACACGCCCGGCGCCCGTCGACTCTCGAGCGGTCTCGAGCTACAAAAGGCGCCTCGCTTCGCGCGCGCCAGCGCCAACCCCCGCCTTCTGGCGCCTGATCTGGCCGGAGAAGCCGTTGCTCGAAATGCCCTTCCGCCGCTCCGGCGGCGCCACCATCACATTCACCAGCTGCATCATCACCAGTAAACCAGTCGACTATTTCAGTTAAGCTGCTTAGATCTCAATCAGCTAAAGAAGAGGTTAAGGGGCTTCTCCCATTCTGCAGTCGTGAGTCGTGACTTCCTTTTCGAAGCTGTGAATTTACGAAATTCGACGCGCCTCGGCGCGCGCTGCAACCAAAGCCAAATCCTGATGAGACACACAGAGCTCGCCAGCGCGCGCCAGCGCCTGCCAGCATTCCTGTAGAAAATATGAGAGCTCAATCTGACCTCTCTGATAGAGAAATTGCTCAGCGTCCGGGATAGTCCAGATGTTCCTTCAGGCATGAATGTCGGAGTTCAAGACGAATCGAAAATTTTAAAAGGTGAAGCAGCACTTCGATGCCAGGGGGCCCAGAAACAACAAGCTGCGAGCCGGATCCGACTGGATGTATGCGCATGACAAGCAACCGCAACAAAGGCATTTCCGGCTTGCTGTAAAAGATACATCCCAATGGCAGGATTTCCCAATCCGATTGAATAGTAAACTAGGGCCAGATTACTGTTCAGGCTCTGTTGTATGCTTCCCTTCCCAGACTTATGCCGATCTTTTACATACTTATACATCATTCGTGGGGCCGGGACAGTGTCTCTGCGCGGGCGCCTCCGCTGACCGGCTCGGGAGTGTACATCTCACTTCGGACCGAGCCCGGTCGCAGCGATGAGCTGCGGCCAAGCGTTTTGTAGAACATTGACGCGGTGAGATGTTATTGTAACGATCGAAAGGGGGTGACCTTCTGGGATTCGGGGTGTCCTCCAGACTGACGGCGAAACGAAGTCGAGCACAGCCTTCCGCAAGCTCTGCGGAATGACTGCGTCCATCTTGATTAGTGTCATGGGTTTGAAGATGACTGACGACAGCCTAGGATCATAGCGATGATTCTTGACCAAAACAAACGAAAATATGAGACATGATGTCGTGAGACTTTTGGTCGGCAATGCGGCGGCGGGTGAACACAACTTAAGCTCCTGAAAGCCCCGTGTGAGACAGTAGGGCGGCCCCTGCCTTCGCTAGCCGCGCATCACCTCATAGGGCTTTTGAGGGACAAGCTTCCACGCCTTTGCTCACTTCCAAGTGGACCTTGTCGTCAGGCTCCACGTTTTCCTCAACTCGAGGAGGGTCAGAATTACCCATCTCGACAAGCGATGGACGACCTGCCGGATCTCACGTCATTTGTGCGCAAGACTCGCGGGGCTGGGCCCCCTTCTCCTTTAGTAAGCCCGCCGGACGACTCAACTCCGGTTTCAGACCTGGTCCTCACCGATTGCTCACTCATGATACACCCAATATCATCTTTCGACCCGCCACTAGATTGGAGCGACGACAACGGTTGTTGGTGATGCATTGTATGTGTTTGGGGGGCGCAGCGCCGATTCACCGGCGACAATCTCGGCCGTTCTCTATCGCCTCGACCTGGGGACCTTCGCATGGCGACGATGCCCGAATGGTCCTTCTCAACTCGTGCCTCGGTGCTTTCATTCCGCCAACGCATTTGGTGACAAGCTCGTGGTGTTTGGTGGACAAACCCCAGCTCAAAACTGCAGCATTGATGCACCACACGGTTCGTCCCCGCTTCGGTCAGGAGGGGATCAAGGTCCAACCGAGCACCCCACGCCTAGCCTGCCGGAAACAACGGCAGCCGAACTTCGCGTCCTACCCGAGACAGTTGAGAGACTGCCGAGCACGCTCGCTTCTGTCGCCGTGTACGATACGCGGACGGAGCAGTGGTCATTTCCAGAGTGTGGGTGTGGCACAGGGGTGACGACTATACCCATGGGTCGATATGGCCACCTTGCGGCGGTCACCGAAACGACGATCGACATGGCGCCCGGATATACGCCCGAAGCGAAACTCTCCCGGTTGACCATCATAGGAGGGCAGAATGCGAACAACGAACACGTTTACTCGATCGCCGTTCTCGATCTCAACTCGATGCAATGGATCGACGAAGCCAAGTTTCCTCGAAGGGTCGGAAGCTACCGTGCAGCTGCAACCTCTTCATTAGTCACGATTGAGCCCATGTCACAGAACCTGATGAAGACCGTCGATGAGCATGGGACGATGCAATTTTCCGGATCCGTGCACTCGAGCATCGCTCGACCTTCGGATGAGGAACAGCCAGAACCCATCGTCGTGTTCAGCAACACAAACTTCGCCGAGTGAGTCGGCAAGGTGCCGTTTATATACACTACTAGGTATACACTATTGTTCTGGCTAATACATGCGATTGTCTGTCCCGACCCTCTCCTGTGCTTCGGAAAACAGCCCAAGGCGAGAAATCGATCTAGTCGCCGCCCCTGTCGATCAGCTGTCGAACCCGGCGTTTATTTCCGTCCGGAATCGAGAAGGGGCTGCGAGTGGTCCACCCGGGCTCCGCTTCCCCTCAGCTCATATTTGTGGCCATCACATGATCGTAACCGGTGTTCACGTCGATCAAGCTGGCACTCGACTCGCGATCTGGTCACTTGATCTAGGTCCCACAGGCGCCTCGGGGGCTCTTTCGAGCTCGGGCCCGCTACGATGGGAACAAATCAACTCTCATATAATCAAATCAGGGAGCTGGAATTTGACCGTACTATACAATAACATGCTACTCCTCCTCGGTTCGAAGGAAGCAAACTCCGCTGACGACTATGCGCATCGTCGCTGCAACTTCCAACACGTGGCCATCATCGACCTCGAGGCGTTTGGGATGCACGAGCCACCTCGGCAACTCCTTTCGCATTCCGAGCAGTCGTTCGGTCTACTGGTCCTCTCCCAAAGCTCTCTGAACGATTTCGTTGTCATCTCACGGGATGGCGAGCACACCACATGCAGCCGCTTGCTATTGACGACGCGTTGGCCGTGGCTGAAGGCCGAGTTAGCCAAGTTCGAAAAGCGAACAAGCGAGTTCGAGATGCGCTCAGATACGGAGGGCCATTCGGACGACAGCGAAGTCTTAGATCCGATCCAAAGAGCCCGAGCTCGATATCGCAAATCCCAACACATACATCCTTTGAGGCTCGACCCGAGTGCCTTTCCCCTCACCGAGGATTCGCTGCGCCTCCCCTTCGACTCGTCGACGACCCAGGCACTGTTACAATTCTTCTTCACCCTATCCCTCTCGACCCCTCTTCAGAGGTCCATCTCGACTTTGAACACCCTTCTTTGGATCGTCAAGACATATCCCGTCTTTCCTCCTTCTCTCGAACGGCTCACGGTGCACGCTCTTCACGAGTCGCTTTCGCCAAATACGGCGGCCAAGGTGTTCGAAGCGGCCTCGCTAGCTGGTGCCGCGGCCTTGCGCTCAAGGGCTGCACGAATCATGTTGAAGGTGAGCTAAATGCTTTCGCAATGTAGAGTGGCCATCCTGAACTGCTTCCACTCTTACAGGCCAGTGCTCCATCAACAACCGAGTACCACAGTACATGGGGATCTTCCTCGGTCAGTCGAGGAGAGGAGGGCAACACACGGCAAACAACAACTCAGAGCTCCTTACCTAGCTCATTCGTGTACAGGGTCATTATGGTGGCTCTATGACTGCGTCATCCGCACGCCCTCGCTCCGTCGACAGCCTTGCTTCGAAGCCTTGGATGTCGAACGAGGTGAGTCGCCTGTACAGGTTCACTAGGTTTGGAGATAGTCTGACGGAGCTTCAGTACATAGGGTCAGAGGGAGCGTCCGTTACCGTTCTTGAGCGACCCCGCGGTTGAATTCCCCCTGGTCTCCGAAGCACCACAGACCGCGTTCGGCCATCATGGTCAGCCGCGCTCTGGCAAAGATTCCCCGACGGTCGATCGTAAGCTAATCATGACCCCTTGATTGAGTCCTCACCTCGTAGCCAATTCGAATCCCTCCTCGAGCATCAAGACACGCTCCATCTCTTCACATTCCCACAATTCACTCGTGTTCCCAATGGTGCCGGGCCCGCCCCGCAAAGGAAGTCTTCCACCGACGAGCCCCTATGCGCCACCTGCGATCCCGCTTCCAAGCCCGCCCGAGCAACCGTCAGCCTCTCTACATCGTCTCGAAGCTCAAGACGAGCGTTCTTGCTCGCACAAACGATCTTTGCCCCGCTTGAGGGATACTCCTCGTCGCCCTGCAACTGCACCTACGGCTCCTGCGGCGCCGCCGGCTTTCGGGAGCTCTGTAGGCGTTCGCACGCCAGGTTTCGCTTTCGCGCGACCGAATATCAATCAAGCGTGGATTGAGGGTGAGCAGAGAGATCATCTTCAGAGGATTGAAAATGCACGGCTACAAGACGAGGCGCGTGCCTCTTCGAAGCATTCGGCGACTGTGGCTTCGTCAAGACCTGCCACGGCTACAACTCCCCAAACTGTTCCTCCACCGCATTGGCTCTTTCAAGCCAACGCAACGCCCAAAGGGAGACCGTCGGAGCCTCCTCGCGACTTTGCTCCACTCCACCCTCTCTCCTCGGATGAGGAGAGTTCATTCCGATCCGGAGATGATGTCTCTTCCTCGCCCATCTCCAGACTCGGATCGCGTTTCCAGCGCTTCTTCAGCTCTTCCTCAATCCCTTCAAAAACTTCACCCGCGTCCGCCTCACCAAATCGAGGCGGGATCAAAACCCGAGGGGTCGGAGACGTAAGAGGGCCCAGCTCGATGGGTTTCACTCAACGTGGACTGAGGAAAATGGCTTCCGAAGTGCGTCTTGGTTCGCCGAGGGATACGCCGACCCTTGAAGCCGTGGCGGAAAACGGTGGTGGACGTGCCCCGTCTCCCACGCCTTCCTCTTCGGGTTCCTCGATCCGACGCGGTGAGTTCTCTTCGCATCACTCTTGACAGTTTCTTCAGGGAATCTCCACAAGGTCCCAACCAACAGAGACCAAGGCCAAATCTCGCCACCCCTTTTCAACTTTTGCCTGACTCTTTGGCCCTCGGCCCAAGCCCGTTCCCTCTTTCAGGTCCACCCAAGGCCGTGGGCGCGCAGTACACGTTCGCTGCTCGTTCCCGGACAACGCTCCCAGGGCCAAAAGGGAACAAACGAGTCGATCCCACCGGTTCCAAATTTTTTGGTACCTCCTCATTTAAGCGTGGGATAAACTTGGACGGCGGCAAAGGAACGGGACCTGCGACGCCAGCGGTGAAATCGCCTCCGACTAGGAGACCTCCTTCGCCTGTGCTCTTTTTTGCGTGAGACACCCTTTCGATCGCTGCCATATATATCTGTTACATTCCTTTATCTGGTTGGGTTTATATAACAAGGAAACCCTTGGTGTAAATGACGCGGTCCTCTGTTTCACTACTCAGCCCCGGGGAGGTTGCTTTTTCGGGTAACGCGCGCGGCACTGCAGCGAGTCAGGAGATCTTATGTTCCAGCTGCTCGGAGTGATCGCGCACTTCAGATCCCGAGGATTATTTCAGCGAGAAATGAATCGTTCCAACAAGAACATGGTACAGGTTAGAATGTTTTGTGAGCATGCTCGCACACAGACTCTTAACGCACGCTGCCGGCTTTTTCTGCATCGCATCGTGTCTAAGAACTGAGCTCCGCAATGGGCTTGGACGAATTCACATCAAGACACAGGGCACAAATCGGTACACTAAGAAATTTTGCAGCACTATCTACACTTCGCCTGGTGGTTTCGTGATCGCCCATAGCACGTAGAAGGTATCCGACCTTGCCGCTCCTTGGAGCCTATAAATCGTCGAGATAGCTGATTCGGCCGCCTGGGAAAAGGGGATGGCGGTCGTTTGCGCAAATTCCAACTTGGGACGTCGAAGTGAGCGGTAACGTCTTCATTATACACGAAAGCGCAGCGAGGTGACGCCAGGGTACAAAAGCGCAAAATTCGGGGTCCCACCGGAGAAAATCCCGAATCCGCAGCACTCCTGCGGGGAATGCCTAGTTTGACTGGCAGACGCCAGTGAAGCCTTGATGCAGTAATATGAAGTTATTTTCACTGGCAAGGTTCTGCGGTTCTGTGTACGACAACTTATTTCAGATCCTAGCACTGGGTCGTTTCCTCTTCTTGGCCTTCTCCTTCCCTTCCTCCTTGCTCTCCTCGTCATTCCGTTCGGACCCCTCCTGTCCGGGTTCTTCATTCCTATCCCCATTACCCACCGCCTCCCGAGCCTTCTCTTCCCCTTCAGACGGACCCTGACCCTGACCCTGAGTCACCCCGTCCCCCGTCGGAGCAACGTTCTTCTTCCCCACGATCCCGACCTCGACTTTGGCGCTCTTCCTCGCGTCCCTCCTCTTCTCCTCCGGAATCTTATCCCAGTACTCCCTCTCCAAATCACCTTTCAACAACTCCGCCACCACCAACCTCCTTCCCTCCCCTAAAGGTCCGACCCCCCCACCGTGCAAATCCTGCTCCTCCATCCCTTCCGGCGGCGTCATCGGTTCCTTCTCAAAGCTGAAATAATCCCTCCTCGTATGCCTCGTCGGATTCTGCTCAAAGTGCGTCCTGACCAATTGCGCATGATGAGGCGTCGAGAACCTCACCTTGGCACTCTCCAAACCTTTCTCGTAATCGACGAATTCACACCCCTTCCCACTCCCTTCTTCGAGACGGTCCAAGAGTTTCGAGAAGAGGGTTCGTAGAGCACCTTTGGTGGAATTTTCGTGCAGGTTACGGACCCAGAGTACGCAGTCGAGAGGGTAGGCACCGTGCAGCTTGAGGGCTGCGCGGGAATCGAGCGCGGGCAGGGGTTTGCCTGCTCGTGGAGCTGGGGCCGGAGGGGGGAGGTCGGACGTTCGGGGTTTCTTGTGAGGTGTTGAGGAGGCAAGCTCGTTCGTTGAAGGTCGTTTGGTCTTGGAGTTGAGGTTAGATGACGAAGCGGATGAGGAGGAGGGGATTCGTAGATGAGGTGGTAGGTCCTTGGAAGGGATGGGTTCGCGATCGTCATACCCGTTGTAGTACGACTTCGACGAGGAGCGGTAGCCTTCCTTCTTCAGACCTTCGAGAGCTTGTTGGTAGATCAGATACTCGGCTTGGAATTCGAGCCATCGCAAACTGTGGTGTCATCGTGTATGATGAGAGTCAGCGACGGCCACGCCGAAACGGACACGCTGGAAAACTCACTAGGTGATAGCCCTCATTCCACCCTTTTTCGCCACCTTGACCAAATCGACCTGCTCTTCCCCCGCCCGCTCTTGATCTTCCACCTTCACCTCCACCTCCATGCCCATCTCCCTCTCAATCTCACTCTCCAACTCCTTCTCCAAAGCCTCGGCTTCATCCTGCTCGACCTTATCCCCCTGCGCGTCCCAGTCCCAATCCCATTCGCTCAACACCCTCTGCGCATCCTCCACATCCTCCACAATCACAAACACGAACCCTTTGAACGTCCCTCCACTCTTGGGTAATCTCAACCCTTTCCCCTTGCCCTTCTCATGGTCCTTATCCTTGGCTACCGATCGGGATTGATCAAACAATTCAGACTGGGTCGGTCGATCGGACGATGGGGTGTGAAGAGCGTCGCTCGAAGGTGGGTTCGAAGGGTCGTAGCCCGGTGGAAGGATGATGCGTTGGATTGTGGTGCGCAGGAGTTGGGCCAAGAGCTCGACGAGCGGGAGCGAGTGGTGCGTTGGGGAGGGGACGTGCTCCTGTGATGAGCCAAGAGGAAGAGGTTTTGTTTCTTTTCAGCTTGCTCCCCGATTTAGGTGAGATGAGGTGGGGGGGACGTACGAGGTACAGGATACAGGGATCCCAGTGACTGGGTGTGAGGTGCTCGAGTCGATCATAGTGCAACGTGCGCTTGACGTGCAATTGAAATGGATCATTCGGATCGAGCTGGTAGACGTTCGAGAAAGGCTCAGACTCGTGCTTTCCCAAAAAACAGTGTAGGTGACCAGAGGGACGAACCTCTACGACTGATGAAGTTTTGTGGCGTAGAGCCTTTTGCAGGTCGGCTTGGTTGTTGGTGAGGGCGATGATGGGGTCGAGGCGCACGACGTATTGGAGGTGCACGTCTGCGTGCGTGTGTGGGGGGGGGGGGAAAGGGAAGACAGGGGTTGGTTGTTCGAGGGGAGGGGTCGAATACAGGTTAGAGCACAGACGGGGGGTCAGTGTCACCAAAGGCACCGCATCAAAAAGGACAGGCCAAGAATGAACCGACTTTGATTTGGGTCCTGCTTGAGTCGTTGCAGCATGCCGTTCTGGCGCTGATAGGTGCTCAACCCCCAATCGGAGAAGGACGACTCGATCGTGGCCAACAGCGTTTGCAAGCGGTCCTTCTCCTTGGTGCTGAGCTTGGGATCTGGTCGAGGTGCTACTGTTGGAGGTGCGGCGGTCGAAGTTGAGGCGATCGGAGCTGGGGGTGGTGGTCGATCGTCGTCGAGCGAGAGCGGAGCGTGACTTGTGCCGGAGCTTGCGCCGAGGGACGCACTGGCAGTCGGAGGTGGTACTACATTCCGTGTGGTGGATGGCCCGGTCTTGTTGGCGACCTGCCTCGGTTTGAACATCTGATCGGAGCGGTATAGCCTACACCGAGTAGGAGCAATAGCCGGAAGGGAGACTTGCAGCGCGACATTCGCAGCCAGCCAAATGCCCCTTACTTCCCATTACGCGCATTATTACGCGCATTACGCACATTAGAACGCGCTGGATATGGCCAAGGGCCAAATGGATGACCTCATCCCTCACGGCCTCCCGGCTGGCTCGCTCTCTCTCTGTCCCCCGTACACGACCGCACCCCTACAGTCACCCTACAGCCACACACCACACATGGGAGGCTGGTTGATCATCTGGGTCGGCTTGATCGTCGCCGGTCTCGCTGCGGGCGGGTTCATCTCGGTGCGCAAGGGCGAGAACCAAGTGTCAGTCCGGGGCCACCGACTGGCTTGTACGCGATGGCACAGCACACAGCGCACTGACCTGTCCCGTCTCGATACAGTGTGATCCGAACGAGCATCCTCTTGGTCGTCACGTGCTGCTACCTCATGCAAGTCCCCAGCGTACGCAAGCGGGCAAACAAAGACCGTCCGAAGCTGACCCGGGTCGTGCTCCCCGACTCTGCTGCAGGTGGGCCATCACCTACCTGGCCCAACTCAATCCTCTCATTCGTCAGTTTGCTCCCAACCAAGCGTGGCTGCGCAAACTGATGCTGGGTGTGTGGTTTTGCAACAGGGCCAAGACGATCGGACCTACGCCTGCAGCATTCGGATTGAGACACGCCCCATCGCCGACTGTTCTCCGTTCTCCATTTGCACCGGATCATCAACGCCGATCTGGGCCACGGTCGATGTCGACAGCGCGAGATATGCAACAGTGGACCGCGAGCACTAATATGCCACGCCACGCCACGCCGGCACGCCAAGGATCGGAGGGAGAGACCGTTTTTGAAGCGGGTGTATGATTTTATGTAACCCATTCTTTTTCTTTTTCTTCCAACGTATACACACAATCGAAAGAGAGTGCCGACCATGATTGGGGCTCGGCTGGGCTCGGCTGCTGAGCTGGGCTGCTGAGCTGGGCTCGGTCGATTGTCGGAGATTGGCTCGATGGGGACAGCTCTCGCGCTTGTGGGCGGTCTTGCTCCAGTGTCTCTACCTTGTCCCATCCCCAAGCTCGCGTTCACACAGACCCCGGACCGTTGTCTACTACCTCCCATCTACGACCGCTCACTGATAGATCGAGCTGACAACGATCGCCGGCACCTCTCGTCCGAATCGGGGCCAAATACAGATCGACCGTCATGACCTCTGCTACGAACCCGACCCCCAAACTGCGCATCGGATATGGTACGTCCAGGGTCACTCTCGCACGTGCTCCTCTGTTTCGTCGTCCCGACCACTGACGCGAGTTCGCCTCTCCGCCGTCCACGCTCGCAGTGCCCGAACATTTCTCCTCCCCTCTACTCCAACTCGCCGCTCGCGAGCCCAGTATCGAACTCGTCTCATGTCCCAGTACGCAACCCCCCAACCCCGTGCACCTTCCCCCGCCACTGACCTGCCCCGCCCGACTGCTGCTCAGGTGGAACGGGCCAAATCATGACCGCCCTGAAGGAGGGCCACATCCACCTCGCCATCGCCTTGACCGAAGCCTTGACCGCAGGGATCGTCCACAAAAAGGCAGAGTACAAGATCGTGGGCACCTACGTCACCTCGTACGTACTTGTCCACTCTGCGCTGGCAGCGAGAGCATCGGCAGCTGAATATTTTGAGACCATACGCCTTTTGCCTTCAAGTCCGTTGAATTGGGCTGTCGCGGTCGGAAAGGAGAGCAAGTATCAGACCTTGCAGGACCTCAAAGGGGAAAAGATTGGCATTTCGAGGATCGGAAGGTCAGTTTGGGAAAGAAGCGTTCACCTCCCTTGGGGTGAAACGAGAGCTGATCTCGGAATGGATCTCTGTGCGTTCGAATCTGCAGTGGGAGTCAGGTCATGGCTTCCTACAGTAAGCTTTCGAACCATCCTCGTACAGGCTATCAGAAAGATGAACTGAACCCATCTTGCTTCGTTTCTGCTCAGTGGCACTGCAACAAGGGTGGGTCGACGCCGACGGCAAAGTTGAACCCCTCCAATTCGAAGGTCAGTCACCATGCGCATGGTCAACATCGGAGTCACAGTCATCTGACCGACCATATCCCATCTTTCCGTATCGTTCCAGTCCTCGATACCTTCAAGGTCAGTTTCCAATCCGGGGGTGCCTGTGATCGGCTCTCAATCTGACCGCCCGGCCCCCGGCCTCCATCGCAGAACCTCCGAGACGGCGTCAACTCGGGCAAAGCCGCAGCATTCGTGAGGCCCACACCCCACACCCCACACCACGCTACTCCACCTGACGCTGATCACCACCCCCTTCCTCTCTCCATCCAGATGTGGGAGCACTTCACGACCAAACCCTACCTCTCTGAGCTGCGCTTCATCTCGCACGTCCCGACCCCCTGGGCCTCATGGATCATAGTCGCCTCTTCCGGCGTCCTCTCTACTCCCTCCCAAAAAACCCACCTTATCTCCTTCCTCAAAGACCTCACCCTTTCCGTCGAGGACTTTGATTCCGAGGCTTCGAGGAAAGGGAAGAGTAAGGAATTCGTGATGAACCAGTTCGGCTACCCAGAGGTCGATGTGGTCAGTTGGCTGGAGGGGGTGAGCTACCCCAAGAACGGGGTGCAGAAGGTCGAAAGGAAGACGATGCAATTGACGCTCGAGTGAGTACGAGTTTTCGAGCTGTGACTGAACAGGGTGCGGAAAAAACTGATTCGCTCTCACTTTCTGGCTTCATAGGACTCTGGAACAAGCGGGCGTTTTGGAACCCCCTGCGAATGGACAGGGGTGGGATCTCGAGGACTTTGTCGATACGAGTGTCGCTCAATTGGTCTAAGGAGTGTCAAGAGCTTTTGGGTAACAAACTCTCGCACTTCCAGACTACAGTAAGATGGGATAATAAGACTGAAAGCACAAGGCCAGGTGTGACAGAGATGCCAGAACGACCATCGCCGGACACAGAGAGAAGAGCTCTTCAATCCCCATCCAAGCATGCGATTCCTTTCAGTAAGCGTGCAGCTGGAAACAGAGGTGTAGAGATCAGCACGCCACGTCCTCGTTAACCTTGTCCCAGAGGTCACCCTCCCCACGAGGAGCCTCTTTGCTTCCCCCGGGAAAACCTTTGTAACGTACCTTCGCTGCGATCCCCGTCCACTCGCCCAACGACCTTGCATACACATCCGTCGCCAGATCCGCCGCACTATCCGGATTCCACAGATCGATCGAGGCAAAGGACGCGATGGGGAGGAGGTGGATCTCGTCCCTTGCTAAGGGGGCCTCGGCAAAGTTCTCGATCTCGGGTTCGGGTTCGGGTTCTTTTGGGGTGTCGGGGAGGGAGGAGAAGGAGGTGGAGAGGGAGACGAGAGTGGAAGGGATCGTAGTCGTAGTTGTCGAGGTTGAGGAGGACTCGATCGACTCGTGGGGCGTATCGACCATCGTCCGTTCTTCTTCCTCCTCCTCCGTTCTCGCCTCCTCGACCTCCTCGACCTCCTCCCTATTCTTCATCATCTCGTCCTCCCCTACCTCATTCCCCTCCAATTCCTCATCCGAATCCAACGAATATTTGACCACGACCTTCTTCTTCCTCGGACTCGTCCTCGTCCCCTTCTGAAAAACCTTTCCCCCTCGACCTCTGAACGAACCCCCCATCCGACCACCCTCAATCTTAGCCTTCTTCACGACCCTTTCCTCCACACCTTTCCCCGACTCCGTGGAGATCGTAGCAATCGTAGCGGGCGCCGGTTTCCTACTCTCCACGACCCACCCCCGATAACCCTGGGGTAACTCCACTCGCGACGAAATCAATAACCTTCCCCTAAAAGCCGCTTCGGAATGGAGTTCCAACGTCCCATCCGAACGTTTCGTAGGCGTTGAAGGATGGAGCGGGAATTGGGAGGAGACGTCGGTTGGTCCGGCGTAGGTGATGGAGAAGGGGAGCAGGGAGATGGAGGGGTGATGAGGGAGCGCTTTGAAGGGGGAGGTGGAGGTGGAGGTGGAGGTAGAGTTGCAATTGGGTGGGAGGTCGAGGAAAGTGGGGTAGGATGCGGTTGTAGAGCGTGTCGGGGTCGGTTTCGACATGGCTCTCGTAGTCAGTCGAAGGCTATTGGATTACTTGTGTGCGGGCGTAAGGATGGGAATGGCGTGCGTGAGGAACGGCCCAAAAGTTGCGCGACGAGAGGCACAGCTCAGACGCGACGCGACGTGACCAACCCTCAGAGACGCTCGGGCCGCAAAGGGCTTTCCCGACACCACCGCGTCCGGTAGGCCCGCGACGGAGCCGGCTCAGAACCACAATAGGTATAAAGATATGTCACGTAGTAATAAAGAGCTACTCTAGTCATCCTCCCCTGCATCCCCATTCTTCAACTTCTCTCTCTGCGCCATCCTTTCCTTGACGTTCGCAAAGTTGTCCCCGGTCCATTTCTGCTTGCGCTCCTCGGTCGACGCGAAGCCCCGTTCAAAGATCTGGCGAACATGGTCGTCGAGTGTCTAGGTCAGCTTCCAGAAGCGATGAAGCAATACAACGCCCAAACTGACCCTCAACAATCCTCCAATGAACGCTTCCTCGATCCCACTCCCAGGCGAAGCGATACAATACCTCGAGCAATCACCCGAAGCGGCGCTCCTCAACCCCGGACTAGCCCCCCTCTTCTCCAACTTGGTCTGATCGATGAACCCACTCCCCTGCATCGAACTCTTGGGCAGAGGCTCAAAAGGCGCACTCGCTGACCCGCCAACCATTCCCGATCGCCAAACGGACATGCTCGATTCGAGATCGAGGAAAGGGATACCGAACTTGGGGGCGATGAACTTGCGCACGATGTGGTTCTGCATGATCGTTTGCAGGTTGTACCACAGGGTGTGTTTATCGACGAGGCGCGTTTGTGCTTGATTACGGAACAAGACTTGACTTAGCGTCGGTTGATGCTTGTGCGGCGGAGGACCGTCGCCGGGGGATTGCCAATCCCAACTCGCCGAAGGATCGTCCTCGTCCAACGACGATCGACTACAGTCATGGTGCGCCCTCCATCCACCGCGGTAGATGATCAGCTGGTCTTCGGGCGAAGGTGACCCGCGCATCAAACTGAGCGAATCGAGCAACTCGGGCAACCACACGTTCTCGGTGATGTGCCACGCCGCTTCGATGTACCTTTCCGCCACCTCTTCAAGATCCTTCGAGTCGTCGAGCTCGTCGAACCAATGATCGAACGTCTTGTTGTGGCCGGGAAGGGGGAACGGCAGAGGTGCTTTGGCCATGACGACGATGTCGGCGCGTCGTGAATCGGGGAGCCACTGTTGGTTCATCTCTCGGATCCCCGTCGCAGGGTGGGCATAGTTGGGCTCGATGTGCTTGCGCGTCGACTTGAGGCCGTCGGTGCGGCGGTAACGCAGTAATGTCCCGACCGAGGGCGTGCGTCGCTGGCCGTTCTCTGCAATGACTGTCTCGTCCCACGGCTCGTGCCTGTGCAGCTCGTCCGCGTCATCGTCTTCCTCCGATCGATCCGCAGCAGCCTTCAATACCGCCGAGGGAGGTCGCGGCAGACTGAGCCACACGCGTTCGTCCTCGGTCCAGTCCTCGATCCCGGTCCCGGGTTTGGCTTTGAGGATATCGCCGCACAGAGAATGCTCGCGACAGTACAAGTCGCCGTAGCATGACATCGGAGAGAGCGTCGTCCAGTCAAGCAAGAGGTCATGCAACGAGTAGTGCGGCGTGTCTCCGAGAAGGATCGTCGACTTGTGCGAGAGGTATTGACAGAAACGTCGGCGCGAAAGGCCCGGCCGAGCGTTCGAAGGGGCAGTCTCGACACACGTCTTGGACGGTTGCCATTTCCACTTTAGCGATTCCCGGACGTCCCAGTCCGCGTCACTTCGCCTGTTGCCTCCTTTGGACTTGGAGTAGAACTTGCGGTCGCAACTCGCGTAGATCCCCTCTTGTTTGTGTATGGTCAAGCCGACGTTCGGATTCGGCGCCTCGTTCGATCTCGCGTCGCCCAAAGGATCGTAGACCCATTCCCCGTTGCTCGTCATGCAATCCAAATGCTTTTGCAGCGCCTTGGCCTCCGCTTTGGTCTCGATGCCCGTACCAGGTATGCCGACGATCTTGCCGTGAAGCCTGGAGAAGTCGGACGAGCGCAGTGTCGACTCGACCCCGTCCTGCGCTGCTAGAGCCAAGGCTTTGAGAGCGGCGTCCCAGAAGAGCGCAATGGTCGGGGACATGGCTGAAATCTCTTTGACGGAGGGCATCGTCGAAGTGATGGGGATCCTTGTCGGGGGTGGGCCATCGTCGGAAGGCGCTCGTTTTGACTTGGGCGGAGGTGTCAACGGGGGCGAGTTGTTCAATGAAAGCTCGGCTGTTTCGAAGGAAGAGCTTGCATCTGCTTGGTCGATGATCTGATCCGGGTGCACAGCTACGACAGTGCAGGCGAGCAACGCCAAGAGACAGCACTGTGACACGAAGGTGCTCAACGCAGGCCTCCGCCGCCGGCCAGGTGTTGATGAGGGTCGCATCTGTGGCAGAGAATGTCGCTCGTTGAGTTGAATGTCTTCACAAAGCAAAGCGATGACATCTTACAACTCACAGTGCGGATGGTATCAATACGATGGGTAGGACGAACGCCGGCTGCGACGATCGTGGCGCTCGGGGTCGCTCAGGCGCGTCGCGTCGCGCCAAGCTTCAGATATTGCTACCGCTTGGACCTCGTTGATCCGAGGTCAGAAGAATATTGGCGGCGGCTGCGCCAGAGGTCCGCCGTGTGTGAATACAACCCAGACAAAGGGCCGCGTAACGAAGCAGGTGTTCCGGCCTTTACAAATCTTCATATTGTGTTGGTTTTGTTGACACGCAAAGTGAATAAGCGCTACTACGCACAACGGGACAATGGAAAACGCGGGCCGGATAGGCTTTCAACCGTGATATGGTTCGATCGTACTTGCCTGGCAAGCTCGAAGTTGTACTTGTTTTGCTGTTCATTCAAGCAAGAGAAACGGTACTACAATGTCTTCGAGCTCGTCACCACCGGTTGCCGACGACGAGCGAGCACCCCTATCGACAAAGGGTTCTGCGACACGACCGAGCTTCCCGCACCTCTTCAGACCCTACATCGTCAATTACAGAGTGACCCCATCGATCCTCACAATCTGACACATGCCGTCTTGCTTTCGTTGACGACCCTCGCTGTCGAATCGAACTGGTTTCAAAGCCCTCGGCACTTACGCTATCTCGACGATGGAGCGACCGCCGACCCGCCGGATCTCGCTCGCCCACGTCGACCGATCCGTCTTTGAGCAATTGACGTGCCTTTCTGCCGGAATGAGCTGATTCAACTACTGCTGCTCACCCCTCGATTCGTCGTGCTCGATTGTTCGCCACGGCGTTGAGAACTTGAGGCGGTCGAGGGTCGTTAAGTCGCTGCCAGCATCGCTAAGGTTCCTGAGGATGTGTGAATCCATGCAAGGTGGTACAAGCTTTGAATACGAGGAAGCCTTTTGGGTAAAGAGGAGGAAGATCAGGAGAGGAATGGAATGGGTCAAGAAGATGAACATGACACCGACGGACTAGCGCTCGCCTCCGGAGTCTGACGGGTCGTCGCGAGACCAGGGACAGGTCGGGAGGCCTCGGGAACGGATTCGGAAGACGACCTCCTCAGCGAAGGACTATCGCCACTTTGTAAAATTTGACGGCTCTCGCGCGAAGATTCCCATCAGCGAATGGTCTTCTGATACCTTCCGAATTGCACGTGCCTCAAGCTTGGGTCGGGGGCTTGTAAATGGACTTGATGACAGCGATTCGGACGCCGAGGTGCCGGGGTGGGAAGATCGTTTGGGATTCTGGTTTGATCTGGCCTGTTTGCGGCGGCTGGTCGATCAAGCGATTAGATGATGGGTATTTTTGTGGAAGGTGATGCACTCGGATGCACTGCACATTTTCTAAAACGACCTGGCGAGTGTCTACAAACATGTTCTGGCTATAAAGGGGTCCACGGTCAGGCAGCCTCCCAAAGCGCGTGATGACGTGCTGCCTTGAAGGATCGGAGACCGTATCTCTAGAGGGTGGTGGAGAGACTTCTCAGGCAACGTGAAGCAAGACCGAGCGACGACAGGGGCCACATAGGGCAAAGGGCTCACGCCTCGCCGGCTAGTTTTTTGTTCGTTTGTTTGAAGATTGTTGTACGAGCTCGAGCCTCAATAATGAGCAGCACCCGAGAGCGAGGCCAGTTCGACCGACGACGTCGACCGAGCCGAACGATCTCTAAAAGCCGACACTTGAAGTCGCGCGACCGCGCGAGTCTTGTGCGCAGCAGCGGCTCGAGGCTCAGGCGCTCAGGCTTGTTACCCACTTTTTCGAATATTAACGCCGTCAATGCCCACCTTCGTTAAGACCGAGTCCGGCGCTCGTCGCTGCTCGATCGCTGATTGCATTGTTCTACAAGCTGCATGCTTGTGGAGCGTTATAAGATACAAGTTTTTGTTTTCAAGAGCCGCGCGCTGCCCGGCGGATGTGGTGGATTGCCGACCTGTGGTGCAAGATTCTCCGTCGGCGACAAATCGAGAGCCAACTCTGCAGGCCGTCGGTCTGCGCATGCATCGTTGCGAGCCCCACGGATCGTAAAAGTGCCGAGTTGTTAGTATAGGCGTGGCCTGCAGCGAGTACCACCTACAACTGCGAGAAGGAGGATCCAGAGTGAAAAAGTGGTTTATGAGGTCCGAGGTGAGACAAAAGTCTTTCAGAAGGTGTGGCAAAGGGGTGGACGAACATCGGATTCAGGTGAACTGTTTCGGGAGCCGCAATCACCGACGGGGGCGGACAAGCCTGGGTGAAGTGACCGAGTTCTACGAGCCTCAAGAAGTGAAAAGCCAGGAAACAGATGCGTTTCGGGGTGCAAAACCTTGTGCAACTCTTTCTCTTTTCGCGTTCATTGCACGCAAAGCACCGCACCCATCAAAGCTTCGAGATTTGAATGGGTGTGCCGAGTGCTCGTTGCGTGAATGCACGTCATTTCTTACCCACTTCCTGCGTCGAGCCCGTCTGAGCGCGCAACGGGCCGCGGCGCGGGCGCACCAGCCCAGCTCAAATTCGGCCCACTCCCGTGTTCAGAGCTCAAAAGTCGTCGCCGTCCCGGAACGAAAACACGGGCCCGTACCCGTGCCGGGGGGTGGGGGGGCTGGGAGGAAAAAGAAAAAAAAGAAAAAGAAAAGAAAAAGAAAGGGAGGGAAAAAAAGGAGGAAGGAGAGAAAAAAAAAGGGAAGGTTCGAAAGGGAAAGGAAGGAGAAGGAACGAAAAAGATAAGTGGTACATGATATACAATTGCAATAGGAATAAGAGTGTCTTCACAGTGTCACAGCGGTTTATGATTATGTCATTTCTTCTTATACCGAGCTCGACCACCCATCTCAGCCGTGGTCAGCCCCTTGCAAAACCTCGGTGATTTTGGGTTATTCGGATCCCTCTCTTCACTCAAGCCATACATCTTCCCGCAATCCACACATGGGTTTTCACACAGAATCTCCGATCCCTGTCGGGCTGACGCTGATCCCTTGAACTTGCAAGAGGCTTGACCGCAAAACCGACAGTGCCGCATTACTTTCCCGGTGACTACGCTCACTGAACTGCCACTGGTAGCAATCCCTGCACGCGGACCATTGTTGTTTGTGTCCATCGCCCCGGATGGGCGGATGAATGATGTTTGAGGATTGGACGCTTCGACCTCTGCATCGGTGAGCATCCCCGAGACCGGAGGTTTGTGGCCGAGCAACGGCTTGGCGGGCGGCGGGCTGACATTGCGACCGCGGTCGGGGTCGGTGATCATCGCTTGGGTCGCTTTGACGTCGTTCTCGGCCATATTCATTATGGCTTGAGCATTGGCCAGAGACGACCATCTGGATTCCCAACTACTTATGTGTTCCGGCATCTACGTATGAATTTTCAAGCACTCAGCTCGGTCTTAAATTCAGAGGCACGACGAAATAGCGACTCACTTTGTAAAATATATCAATGCCGTTGGCATAAGCGTTCCAGCGCTCGGCGATTCGGATGGCTCGCTGGTCTCGAGAAGTTGATAGTTCCAGATGGGACAAGATATGCTTGTACAGCGCTCGTTCGGTTGGTGTGTGAACGTGCAATACCGCAAACCGAGTACCTTGGCGTTTTGCAAGCCAGGTGTGACGGAGTTTGCGATCGGCTGGCAGCTGGATTTGCATCTGCTGAATTGTTCGTCCCATGTTCTTGTGCAGCAAATTCCGCGGCGACCATTTGAGGGGCTCGAAACGGAAAGCGCCACTCTCGACGCAATAGGGTTCGATGTTGTTGGACTTTTGAGCCACCTCCACAATAGGCACAATCCCGAATGTCTCCGTGGACGGAGCGTAGAGAAGCGGGTTGACAGTTTCCGACATATTCGTAGGGTGGGCTGGGAGGTATGCCGCCGTTTTGCGCCGCATACGATGAAGCTCTACAGTGAGCCAAAGGTCGAAGTGCCCTACATATGCCTTCCCTGTCCGATTAAATGTCCCAACCTGTGAAACAAGCACACGCATAGGTAAAACAAATTCAGTTCCAGCGTGTGTGAGCACGGCTGTACAGACTTACTGTGGAGTTGTGCACGAGCACATAGTCCGAAAGGCAAGCATTGGCATGGTACGGAGTGACACCGGACTTTGGGACCTTTGACGAACGTTTCGGTGGATCCCTCCCTCAAGACTATTTGTGCCGCGCTGGCACGAGTAGACACGCACACCGTCATCCGCCTTTCCGTCTGGTCCTCCGCAAGGCCCACGGTCGGTGTACAGTTCGATGCCAACAGGATCGGAAGCTTGGCCTTTGCGTATCGCCTCAAGACATCGCTTTGCTGCCTCGTGCGCTGCCTTGTTGAAGAGCGGTTGCGTGGTCTTCGCATCGATCAACGCCCCGAATTTATCGAAGACCTCCCGGATTAAAGGCTCGAGAACACTCGGCGGGGGGATCCATCGACGAACGCGCCTCCACAGCTTTTTGTTCCAAACAGGCGATCGGACGGCCTCCTCACACGTGATTCCGAGCTTCGCTAATCGAGCCTCCAGCAGTACCCGATCATCGGAGTTGGGGATGAAAACCGCATCGGAGAAGGCGCGAGCAAAGGCCTTGGCGGCGCCGTGTTTTTTGGAGACGTAGATTTGATCGAAGAAGTGCCAAGGATCCAATAAGATACGCACGGCAACATCGTCGGACGAAAGGACTGATGGATGAGGAAAACTCAAAAGCATGAGCTTGGGCGTCGCAAATCAAAGCCGAAGCTGATGCAGTGCAACTCACCTTTGCTAGTAGGCGCTTTGCCCCAGATGGATTTGCCAGCTGCTTCGGTCTTCTGAATTTGAGTGCCGCCGCAATCTCTGCAGGTCCGGCAATGTCGCCGTCGTTGCGGTCGCGGTCGTGATCGTGATCCTCTATCGGCGAGTCTTCCACTGCATGTTGGTCGTTATCGTTGACGATGTTGTAGGCGCCGGAGTGAATGTTTTTGCCATCGCCATCCGTATTTTGCTGCAGTCCATGCGCATCCGAACCGTTCGATGTCGATTCAGCATGATCCTGGACTCGATCTTGGACTGGCTGTATGAATCCTGCCCATCGTTTGAAAGCTCATTAATGCGACGCTTGTCGGCCCGAGATTGGGTTGCACCGTCGCGAGTGTCGCGACTGGAGCCGATCCCGCTGCCCTGGCTTGATGTTGAGGCTGGCGGAGAAGAGGTAGCGGCAGCGACAGAGCCGTTTCGGTTCCAGAATGAGAGTGACAGCTGCATGTTGTTGGCATGCAATGCATTGCACAAACGGCAAGAAACACAAGAAGGGACGACACGCTCCAGCTCGCGCCGCGTGTCAGCCAGCCTGGGCCAACTCAGGCCAAATCAGGCCAACTCAGGCCCATTGCGCTAACCTCCGATTGCGCTAACCTCGAGGCAGCGATTTGGCGCAGGGAGGTTAGCGCAAGCGCACCCCCCGGCACCGGTACCGCCCCGAAAACCACGGCCTGGCCTGGCCTGGCGCGGGCATGAGGGCCACGCCGGCCAGATCACACGAGCTCAATCTGCCCTCACTGTAAGGGGATGCCTTACAGACCAGCCCCATAAGTAGCCTCTGAGTAGCTAGAACTGTCGAGCTCTAGTTACGACTTGCTTTTAGTCTAGCGGTCAAGACGACAGATTGTAGTTTATGCACATCAGAGGCGCATACCTTACACTCACCGAGAATGCCTCTGAGTGTCTGCCCCTGTCTAGTGCGGCGATCGGACAAGGTCGATCCGGAATCGACCTCTACGGAGCCTATTTTCATTTGATTCGAGTTCCAGTTCGGCGGGTCGGTGGACCTGATGAGGTGATCAACAATGGAACAAGGCTTGCGCATCCACTTTTTCTCACCAAGCCGGAAAAGACGTGGTCTTGCGCAAATGCGGTACATTACACATGCATATGACGATCTCGGAATGCTCCAGCCTTCGCCTTGGCTCAAAGAGTTCTCCGGTGCGGCGTCGGCGCTTAAACGAACAATTCGAATGGCCCTGTAAGATCGCCCTCGGGAGCCAACACATTCGTGTGGTCGTCCACACACCCTACAACGGGACAGCTCGTCCAGTCGTCTACGATCCGGGTCTGCTCGCTCATACTTTTTTGCTTGCCCTTGCGTTTCTTGATGGCACTCGTCGCCGCCGACGCGGCCGCTGTTGTCGTCGTAGTCGGAGGGGCCTTGCGCTTCGTCCCACCGTTCGCGTTGGTCGTCGATGACCCAAAGTCGATGTATTCGAGGTCATCCTCGTCAACGTTTCCGCCATCATGGATGAGATCACCCTCTGAGCCCTTGGTCGACTCGGCGCGGAGGTCGACCTCGGTCCAGTGTCCCATCCGGGCCAGCTTGGCTCTTGAACGAGCCTCATTGACGCACTTGCCACAGACGCAGTGGCCACACCTCAAAGCCCACGGTCGACCATTGCCACTTTGTGCCAACAAGAAGGGATCGAGACACGACGCGCACACGGGTTCCATCTCGACGACTTGCACGTCCTTGGCTTTGCCTCGACCTCCTTTCGCTCCTCCCCTCTTGGACGTCGTCGGTGCAGGTGGCGCGTTGGGGTCGATCGGTTCGACAATGTCCCTCGAAAAGCCGGATTCGACCTTTCTGGGATGACTCATCTTGATGGCGTACTTTTTACCCGCTCGAACTCGATCCTGGCCTCCCCACCCTGCCCTGTTGACGGGTATGACCCCAGCGAGGCCGCGCGCGAGCCCTCCGATGTTGAAGCCATCGCCAAAGCCATAGTCGATGTAGCCAAAGTTCGCCGGAAGTCCAGGGTAGAGAGCAAAAATGTGCGCAGAAGGATGCGGAAACCTCTCCCCTCCTCCGAATGGAAGAATGCCACCGCCACCGCCCCCACCACCTCCTCCGCCTCCGTTTCGAGCCGCCCCGCCGTTGCCCTGCAGGAAATTGAGGAACATGTTCCCTTCACCCGCATTATTAGCCTGGCGTCTTGCAGCTAGTGTGTTGTAACGAGAAGAGGGATCCCAAGTCAGCGATCGCGCACAGTCGTACACCAAAAGGGGTGCAGGTCGGACAAGTTCACCTTGATCTTCAGCAGCGGCCAATGCTCGGGCCATCGCCGCGTCTCCACTGGTATCGTTGTCGTTGTTGCCAATCGAGCCATTGAGGTTGCGTGGAGGTGGTCGAACGTAGCCGTTCTCGTATCTCCGTTCTGCGTTACTTTCTCCATTCTGCGCTTGAGCTGTGAAGTTGGAAAAAGAAAAAGGTGCGAGAGTCAGGGGCTGTTGGCTCGAGAGCTGCGACCACGCGAGAAAGTGCTCACCATTCGCTCGGGTGATTCTTCGGGTCGAGCTGGATGGCCCGCCGACGGGTTCAATGACCTGAATGTCGTCGTCCCCAAAGTCGTCATCGTTCTCCGAGCTCGAGCCCGAGCTCAGCTCGATCGTCATCGAGGGCTGTCCGACGCCGGCTCTGGTCCCCCTCCTCGCCCTCGTGGAAATCGAGAGCAATGAACCTGAGCTCGAGCCTGATGTTGATGCTGTCGGGTTGTTAGCATCTTGCGCCGCGGTCGGTCTTGAACGATGGCCGTAGCCTCCCGGTAACGCCAAACGTGGATGTCGGGCCGGCCGGTGTGGCACTGATCGTCGCGAACTCGAGCCGCCGACGACGGGGGGCGAATCATCCGTCAGGTCGATAAATTCCTGACTAGCAGCGATCACGCGTGAGGCCTGTCTCATCTGCGCCGAGGTGGATGCCATCGCCGAAGACGATGAGGCACCAGCGGCTCTGTGGGCCGCGCTCGAGACAATAGGGTTGAATCGGAGCTGGCGACCTGGTGTGCGTTGGGACGCGGACGATGTAGCACCCGACAGAGCAGATGTAGAAGCAACGGGCTGGGCGCTGTGAGTGCTCGGTGACGGCGCTCGCGAGTTGACGGGACTAGCACGACGGGAGGATGACCGTGACGCTCGCTCCGAGCGGCTGGGCCCTTGTTTTCCGAGTGGAGGACCGAGTGGAGGTGGCGAAGGCATGGGAGGCATGGGAGGAGGTGCGATGCCGGAGAAAAGGTCGCTTGTGGGTTCGTAGTCTTGTGATGAGCAGATTCGCCCGTTAAACGCCTGGCTTGGCCGTGAGATAGCAGAGTCAGAGATTCGGTGTAGCGCACGTCGTCATCGGCTGTTGAACGGGATCAGGAGCGAAGCGAAGACGACGAGGACCCAGCGCTGACGGAGCGAGGGAAGTTATGTGGTGACGAGGTGATTCGAGTGGTCAGCACGAGCCAATTTGCGGTTCGTCAGAGGTGCGGTGTGCATTTGCGTACCTAGTCACCTGCTATTTTTGTCGCTCGCGAGACAGAGCACTGAGCACGGAGCACCTAGCACCGAGAGCTGAGGGAGAGATAGAGCGAACGGGCAAACGGGTCGAGACTGGCGCCGGCCTGACACGGTTCAAGGACGGAAAGTGGCCCAGGGAGCTGCGACGGTGGGTGACTCGATGGGCTTGCTACAGGTATCTGCCGCGACCTTCTTGCTGTGGCTTGGTTCGCTGACCAACTCGGAGCTGAGGCGACGGCGAGTGAACTTTCCCCCCCACTCGGCAGCAGGCAGTTGCTGGCACGGGACGGTGGCAACTGGAGTCTGGGGATTAGCCACGCGAACGCGTCGAGGTGGTGTACACGTCGTCGATCTAAGCGAGGAAGGGACGGCTGGATGGGCTCTCGGTGCCGTTGCTGGTGCTTGCTACGACGCGTGGCCGCCACCGTGTCAGCCGATCACTGATGGCAGCTGACCACTCTGACGAGGACAGGCTGAATGAGCAAGCGAGAGCAGCCTGGCAGCCGTGGCGCAGCGTGGCGCGGAGGACCACTGCACCGGCAGCAGTGGCCGGGCTCGAAAATCAAAATTACGATCGACGAACACAGTCATCTTTGAGCGGCATGGGCTCGTTGTCAAGGTTTCGTTGTTACATTTATACGCTTCAATTTTCCCTGAGAGATTTTGCTGTGTTTCTGTGACTCTACGCACCAGCTGTCGGAAGGAAAATGGGTGCGAGATGGTGCGCCAAAATTGACGAGCTCAGGTTCGCAATCGAGGTCGCGCATCTCGGTTTGCCTCCTGCCTCACTCGTCCCCTCTCGTCCCCTCTCGTTCCCCCCAAACCCCCAAACCCCCAAACCCCCATCCCACCACGCCTCGCTCGACACCCATCCACCGCTCATGACGTAGAGCTCTATCCGTGATACCCTCTCCACAGGATTAATTGGGAGGCTGTGACGGGGTCCTTCGCCGTGCTTGCTCGCCCTCACGGCGACATACCATCCCGCGACGCTTTTCCTGGGCTCTCCTTTTCCTTTTCCTTCTCTGACCCGTGACGAGTTCAACCCGCCCGTGGCAGAGATCATCTTTGCATTCTCCTGTGATGCAACTAGTGAGTCATACTTGATGCCCTCCAACTCCTTCGAGCGAGCCAAACTGACCCTGTGCCGCGCGTCCCCCCCTTTGCAGTGTGAGCTTCCTTTTTCCTCGTTCAACCTTCGCAGCCGTGCCCGACACGATGCGTTCTACCCCACCTCCGACGCCCACCCACCCCACCCCCACCACACACCCACACACGAGCCCACGCACATGTTTTTCAGGGCATTCACTCTTTGCAAAAAGAAAGTGATGACCAAATATGTTTTCTCTTCCCCATCTTATCGACCATGGCGAGAACTTGCGAAGAGACCGTTATGGCTTCCTTGTTGGAGCGTAAACGGTTTTTACCATTAATACTAGCCAGTAATCCTTGACTGATTCTTTCTCCAAAAAGAAGGATGTCTATGATTTACATGTCGCGTGGTGCTCGTTGTTTGTGTGACGGTGGGGTTTCTTTGTCGCTGGGGGATGCATCGGTTGGCTCGGCGCATTGGAGTGCATGCGAAGGATCCTCAAGGCTGACACTCTTTCTCTTTCGGTCCTATTGTACGCTCTCGAACGCGATTAGGTGAGCCTCTCTTCTGCTTCTTGCCCGGCTGCCTCGCTCCGATCGACTCCGACATCCGCCAACCGATACACACCCCAAAAGGGGCCAAACGGGTCTCATGATGAGAGGTTTCGACCTTTTTCTATTCGCAGTTTTCACTCTAGGTCTTCCTCTGTTCGCGCGGAGGAAAGGGTCCTGTTACTCCGATTCCTACGAAAAGGACGCGCCGTGGCGGCGACGACGACTGATCCAAGGCGTTCGAGTCTAAACAGCGGAGCTTTCGACCCCTGGGGACCTCGTCACCCCCGATCATATCCTCGCTCTACCTGTCTGGGTCGTCTCAGAGTGTCGAGGGTTCTTCGTGGGGGATCCATAGCTCCACTCGCAAGAGTGTCGATGTAATGGCTACCTCCATGACCCCTTTGGCGTTCATGCTCTGAGAAGATTGATCAGGGGAGAGAAGGGGAGGGGCGTTTCTAGCCGCTTCGGCGGTGGATATACCCAAGTCGCGAGGTTGCTCTTTGCTGGGATCGACTGTTTCGTCGGTGCTTGGCATTCCGAAGTAGTGGTTGTAGTCGCGCGTGACACCATAGGACTCTTGTGGACTGTTGAGGGGCTTGAAAATGTCTGAAGACTCTTTGGCTCCCGCCTCCGACATGTTCGCGATCGTGGTTTCGACCCAGTTCTCGTCGTTGACCAATCGTGACTGACCCTGTCTTTCTCTTTAAACTTCGTCGGATAGGTAGCATCCTGACACTTCACAGTAGCTTTCTTTCTCTTGTCGTTATTGTTGTGCAACACAAGCCGTGAGTTTGGACTCTTGTTTCGCTGCCTGCCCCACTATCATCCATCGCCCCGTCGCGATTTCTCTCCCCATCGACACCCTCGGCCCGACCGAGCCAGATGATAGATAAACAATCTCAAATGTTTACAACATATAGGAAGTGCCGACTTACACGGACCGCAGTTGTCCTCTTCGGAGGCGGCGGACTCCAGGTTCAGGAGTTCGTTCTGTTTTAACGGAGCTCGGTTTTCCCGTGAGAGATGATACGAGATATCTGTTTTTGCTGATGGTTCTTCTTGCCCGACACCTTCGACATGTTGAGGTTTGCGTTTTGGTGGTGGAAGTATGGGATGGCTGATCAAGTGTCGGACTTGACGGAACTCGCAGATGAACTGTAAAGAGGTAAGCCGGTCCGATCGAGCAGGGGTCGCGTCTTCTTGAGTACTCTCTTTGCGCGCAATACATTTCCACTTCCACATCATGCCCGGAATGTCGTCCCGAGAGCGATCGTATCTTCCAAACACTCCGACCCGGCTATTGAAGAACTGTTTCCTGGTACGCGTGAGAGATCTCGGGAAACGGTCCCCTGTGTCTATGCTCGACGAAGGGATGATCTTAGTGGAGAGGGGTGTGGCGCGAGTGATAGCAGTTTGTGCAGGCCGAAGCCGACAGCCGCGCGCGCGGTGATCAAACATTCTATTTTGGGAGGGGGTCAGAGGGCTCTGTAGGTGCTGTTTCTGTCCTGAGCTGTTCGGCTGTAAGTTGGTCACACTGCTGACTTTCTGAGGCATCAGTCACCTCTGACTACTTACCTGTGAGAAAAAGGCGGCAAAAGGCCGCTTCCCGAGGTCCTGGGCCACCCGATGGCGAGATCGAAGCTCGACGCCTGTAGAAGGTTACACCTCCCGACTCGCCAGGTCGCCGTCAAGGCATCCGAAGTGAGCCCTTGGGGCGGCCAGTGGTAGGCTCGGGACTGATCGAAGCTTGTCATCGGACATTACTCGGGATCCGACTCGCGAGGACGGCGATTATGAATGGCGGGGGACCGGCGGCGATTCGGCGAAAAAGCTCAGAAAACACTTCCGGCTCGCGGCGAAGATGTACCCTGACTTGACATATTTTCACACGGTAGCAAGGCCGAGACTTGGTGAACGTGGGTGAATTGGATAGCGATCAAAGTAAGCTCATGGCATGGTCAGGCTGGAGGCATTTGTACCGCTTCTGACTGGTGAGAATCATCGTTATCCGGTCCGTCGGAGCGGGGAGCTCGTCGATCGGCAAATGGACACCGCCCGGGCTGAACCGGATTGCCTATAGGCTATTGGGTCGGTCTCTCCTTTGCGTAGTCACTTGCTTGATGGAGGCGAGGTTGGTATAACTGGGTATGTGAATCTTCTCGTGAAACGTCTTAGGAACTCAAGTGATGACAGAAGGTGTTGCGCGCCGGAGCGAGACCCGACTCCCGGCGCTAGTGGGTCCGAGCGCTCGAAAAGGCTATGAGAGAGCGAAAGAAAGAGAAAGGCGCCTCCTCTTTGGCTTGGGGCTGCTTGGGCATCGTCTTGGCTCTCTGGAGCAGTCTGGAGCTCTGGACCCGGAGTACTGAACCTTCCCCCAGCATCCCCCCGCCACCTCCCCCCCTTCCCCCCACCAGCTCGAATCTACGCTTAACCTCAATCAACCACCAATATGCGTGGACCTGATGGATCAGCCGAGGTAAGTTGCCGTCCAGTGCCCGTCGAAGCGTCGGTTCTCGCTGGCCATGACCCGTCACTTGGCTTGTGTGGTGCGGGTGCCAAGTGCCCGCCGAGCTGGAGCTGTGCGCCGTGAGTCGGTCGTCATTGAGCGCCAGCTTCGGAGTGGGAACCCCCCAAGTCACCACTCAGAGTAGTGTGACATCGTCCGCTGGCAAGACCTGGTCAAAGTCGACCTGCGCGGCAGCATTATCATAGGCATAGGTTTCTATATGTGTGTCGTGTCCATGACCAGCTGCTGCGCCGGCCTTTGCGTCGACTCGACGTCGGCTGCCACGTGAGGGTTTGGCGCGCCGTGCCCGCCAAGGTGCCGTCACGGAGTTCGCCGAGCGGGTCCAGCTCCAGGATCGAGCAGCCACATTGGCTCGCACAAAGTGTTGGGCGTGACAAAACACCCAGGCTCCTCAGCTTCGAAGTGTTCACTACGGCTCCACCTAATCTATCCCTCTTCATCGAGTATCGCGCTGATACCTATGCTTCCCCTTTGCTATCCCTCGTCGCACCCCGACGTCACCCGTTTGCCGGCCTTATGATTCCCTCCTGCTCTCGTCATCGTCGTCGCAGATCGGACCCGAAGCCGTCAAGGGACAAGGCCAAATCCGTCGCTACCTACAAACCAAAGAGGCTTTGACCGAACGACCGGCACCGCACATCAACGTCGTCGCCGACATCCTCGCCTCGTCCGTTAAGCGCTTCGGCGACCGACCTGCCTTGGGATGGCGAGACCTGTTGCGCATGCACGAGGAGGAGAAGGAAGTGACCAAGAAGGTCGGCAACGAGACAGTCACCGAGACCAAGAAGTGGTCCTACTTTGAGCTGTCCGACTACAAGTACATGTCGTACAACGAGCTCGCGAGCAAGGTCAAGGCCGCTGCTTCGGCACTCGTCGAGGCGGGCCATTCGAGCAAGACCATCTTCAACATTTACGCCTCGACCTCGGTCAACTGGCAGGTCATGGCCAACGGTGAGTTTCATTCAATTTCGAGTGGCCTTTGAATAAGCCTTCGCAATATCAAGGCGAGCAGTGTGAAGCTGACCGAGTCGCCGGGTATTCCTTTCCACAGGTTGCGCGTCGCAGGGCATCACTTTCGCTACGGCCTACGATTCCCTCGGTGAAGATGGCTTGCAGCATTCGCTCGCCGAACCCGAAGTGTATGGTCTGTTCACCAATGCCAACCTCGTCTCGACCGTGGCGAACGTAATTAGCTCAGGTAAGACACCGTCGGTCAAGGTGGTCATCTACGATGGCAAGGACAGCGATGTCAAGACCGGCGCTTTGGACAAGCTCGAAAAAACAGGCGTCAAGGTGTACAAGTTCGACGATTTCATCGCGCTTGGCAGGGAGAAGCCTCACTCGCCGAACCACCCACAGCCCGAGGACCTCGCATGCATCATGTACACCTCCGGATCGACCGGCGCACCCAAAGGTGTGTTGCTGACGAACGCCAACATCATCGCCGCAATCGGTGGTGCCGAGACATTGCTGCACGACCTCACCACCCCCGACGCTCGCTACATCGCCTTCTTGCCCTTGGCCCACATTTTCGAGATGGCCGTCGAGATGACCTTGTGAGTACGGAAACCGTTGCCCCACACAACGTGAAATGCAATCGACCGAGTTTTGTCCGGTTCCTTGCAGGCTCTACGTCGGTATCCCTATCGGTTACGGTACGGTCAAGACCTTGACCGACACTTCGGTGCGCAACTGTGCTGGTGACATCCGCGCTTTCAAGCCTACCATCATGTGCGGTGTGCCTGCTGTTTGGGAGTTGATCAGGTAAGCTTCAGCACTTTGGCGCCTCAGCTCCTGGAAGGCAGATAAGGTAATAATATGACTTCATTCCGTTTGGCCGGATGTCCTTGGCATCTGTAGGAAAGGAATCATGGCCAAGGTCAAGGCTGGGGGAGGAGTCAAGCAGAAGCTGTTCAACTACGCCGTCAACGCCAAAAAGGCCGCGGGTCCGGGTACCCTCACCGCTAGAATCGCAGACGCGGTCGTGTTCAAGCCCGTCAAGCAAGGCACAGGTGGTGCGCTCAAATACATCATCAACGGTGGTGCCAGTGTTTCCAAGGAGACGCAGCAGTTCCTCTCGACCGCTCTGTGCGACACTATGATCCAAGGCTACGGTATGACCGAGACCTGTGCCCTTTCGTTCATCCTGCCCCCTTCTCTGCTTCAATCGGGCGTCGTCGGAGTCCCGTGCCCTTCGATCGAGGCCAAGCTAGTCGACTTTGAGGAAGCAGGCTACTTTTCGACCAACTCGCCCCCTCAGGGTGAGGTGTGGATCCGAGGGCCGACGGTGACCAAAGGCTACTTCAAGCGCGAGGATTTGACGAAGGAGGCAATCACTGAGGACGGTTGGTTTCAGACCGGCGACATTGGACAATGGAACCCCGACGGAACGTTGTCGATCATTGACCGAAAGAAGAACTTGGTCAAGCTACAAGGTGGAGAATACGTCGCGCTCGAACGACTGGAATCCATCTACAAGAGCACGCCTTGCGTTGCCAACATCGCTGTTCATGCGGATTCGAACGCAGCGAGGCCAATGTGAGTAGACCTACCTGATGAGTAGTTTTGTAAGTGGTGACTGAATTCGCTGGTATCCCACAGGGCCATCATCGTCCTCCACGAGGGGAACTCGAAAAATCTGGCCGAAGCGAACGGCATGGACGGGTCCGACCTCGAGGCGTTGGCCTCCAACAAGGACTTCAAGAAGCTGGTCGTTTCCGAATTGGCTGCCGGTGCCAAGCGCGCCAATCTTAAGTCCTTGGAGCAAATCTCGGTCGTCGTGCTCACGGCTCACGAGTGGACGCCGCAGAACGGCTTGCTCACGGCCGCCCAGAAGCTGCAGCGCAAGGGCATCTTGGAGAAGTACAAGGATGAAGTCTCGGTAAGCATAATGTTGCGACCCTTGACGTGTTGAACCTGATCACTTACGTCATCTCTCTTCTCCCTCGGGACAGGCTGTTTACCCCTAATTATTTCGCCAATCACGACTCCTCCCCTGAAGTGTTATTATATCCTCCCCCCCGCCCCCCCCCCCCCCTGATGTCCAGCCATGTGTCTGTTCTTTCTGACTCCGTTTAAATTTTGATCTCTCACCTTGAACTGATATTATAGTAGTGTCCGATGGCTCTTTGTGTCAATTCTAGCTCGCTTGTCACGGAGTCGCGGAACGGTTCCAGCGTCACGTGAATCGGGTTGAACTCATGTCTACGGCCTTCGGCGTCACAGGCGACATGCGATACGTTCTCTCAAAATTTCACGATGATCTATCAAAGTGACTGTCTGTTCCTCTAGTGTCACAAAATGTACCCGTCCATGATAAGCCATCAAGAGAGGGGAGTCAGACTCGTGGCTAGTACCATACATTGTGAGAAGGCTGGGCGGCGGGAGGCGGCTGAGCGGTGTTACAGGTCATCCGACTCTTCGAGCTATGTATGATAGGTGAGACGGCGCTTGATTGGCACCCACCTCCTCAACTGAGCTTGTGTGGCGGTGTTTAGATGGACAAAGGCCGGCGATCCCAGTCCACTACGCTCGAGACTTCCCAGAGCTACGCACAGGCCGCCCTCCTTTCCAGGTGCCCTTTGTCTTTCTGAGCCGTGGTCCAGCCGACTTGAGCGAGCTCGGGCTTGCCTTTTGCCTTCCTGATCACCTACACTCAACCTATTCATTAGGTGAGTAGAGATGGACATACCTGCGATGCTGATTTCTGGTGCTTATGGGCCATCGTGGTGTCTGTGATCACGATTGAACAGACTTTCGGTTCGAAGCGCTTGGTCCGCTGCCCAATATGTTTCTTCAACACCTCAGCGTCACTTTGCTCGTGCTGGCCACGTTGCTACTGCTGCTCGTCTCTCTTTCGACCCCGATATCGCACAAGATCTACTTCCTGAAGGCCGACATGGCCGTCTCCGTCGGTGAGCTTTCTCGAAACCGAAGACGGGTCGCGTGGGCAGGAAGGGTTTTCCGGCTGACCCCTGCGCTCTTGTTCTTGCGTGCGTGTCACAGCTACGCAAACGATGAAAGCCAAGACTCTGTACCTCGGGAACTGGGGATGGTGCCGGGGAGATGTTTGTTCCAAACCTGCTCTGGGATACAGGATCGACGCCTTATCGAGTGTCAACGGGATCGGCGAGATCGAGACGCTCGTGCGAAGGTTCACCAGTGCGTCAAGCAAAACGTTCTATCTCAATGCGACTGAGCTCTGGTTTGCTTGATCCACTGACTCGCTGTGATTTTTCACAGGCGGTCTTCTGCTGAACCCTCTCGCGTGTTGCTTGTCATTCGTCGCGGCGTTACTTACACTCAGCCCTAACTTGGCGGTGGGAATGGTCGCGGTGTTCGCCAGCGCTTTGGCTCTGTTCGTGACGGCTTTGGCGCTCACTGTGAGTTGACGTCGACGTCGTCTCCATGCAAACGCACCTCTGGTATACTGACCAGTTTACGGAGCTAATCCGCCTTCTCGGGGGCCACAGTTCGACGTGGCCTTCTTCCTCACCATTCGTATCCGACTGAACAGAGCCTCGGACAACGTCCACGCCCAACTCAGCCACGCGACATGGCTCGTCGCCGCTGCCATCGGGTTGCAGTTCGCAGCTACGGTCGCGATCTACTGGATGCGACATGTCCAAACGGCTCTCAAGTTCCGCAAGATTCAACAGATGGTCTAGTCGGCTGTGTTGATCGAGACTCGATGACGGCCCGGAGGTGTCGATAATCGTCGGGTAGTAGATCTGCAGCAGCGCAGTAGTAAAGACAGGAGAGCTACACTTGTAATTTTGAAATGGTCCAATCCATTTTTCGGGTTGGGGATACCCTCAGACGGCTCCTCGATCGGATTTTGCACAATCGTGAAAATTCCTCTTCAAAGGCGAGTGCATCGGCGCGGAGCAGGTTTGTGGCCGCCGGCCGTGTCACTGCGGGCGAACTCTTCGGGACGCTACAGGCGATAGCCGGTCAGGCGTATGCAAATAGACCCTGCCGTAAAGATTTCCTCGATGGAACGTGCACCATGCTCTCCGGGTAGAGAGCCACAGTTAGCACCAGCTCCTCGCAACGTGTTGAACCCCAGCGCTAGCTCCGGTGAAGGATCATTTCGTGTGGGGGGGCCAGTGGGGGCTCGAAGGGGCTCGACCCCGCTTCACGCCTTCCACAACCGGCGAAACGATCGACAGCCTCTCGCGCGTTCAACTCAATAGTCTTTTCGGCCTTTGCTGCAAGATTTTGACGCGGACAGCTCAAGCGCGCTGGTCTCGGCCTAACGGGGCCCGCTCGCGCTTCACTCTTCGAACACGCATTCTTTGGACCCTGTGCCAGCACGCACTCTTCTCGGCCCCCTTGGGCCTCCCGCCTTGCTCACCCGCTGGCGCGCGCGGGCCCTTCCTCTCCCTCTCCCTCGTCGTCCCGCACGCCTCAGCGTTTCGTGTTGTGGTTCCGGCACCCCCCTGCCAGTCTCTACTCACTCAAAGTGGGTAACATCCCTCGTAAGCCCTCTGCCCTTGTTGGACAGTTGGACTGATGAGCTAGCCTGCCACTACGTTGTAAGCAGCCGCCGTACCCGCTGCTTTGCAAGGTCGTATCGCACCCACTGCTTAGAGCAAGGGCGAACTTTTCGAGACTCGCACTATCGCGGCTCGCTGTTTCTAGCTAAGGTTCGCATTCCGGATCACGACTGTCCTTGTTGGGCATGTTGCCAAATTCCTTGTCCTTGTTGGGCAAGTTGACTCATGGGGCTACCTTGTATACAGACCTCGTTTGGCCGCGTCTACCTACCGCGTCGCCTTCCTCCCCTGCCACCGCCCTGCGCTTTTCGAGCAAAGGTATGCCCTATCCCCCAAGTCAGTTGCAGTGTTTTAGTTACTAATCGGACCTGCGCTCTTTGAGCAAAGCCGATCGACCATTTTTTTGAGCTCCTCCCTCCCACCCTACTTGTTCATAACTCCTGTTTAGAAAACCCTCCGTTTGTTACGGAGTGCGGGTTTTTCTCTTATCACTGCAACTCGACTCTTCCATCCTAAAACAAACGCCACAAACAGCGCGCACTATGGAGGAGTCGATCATGCAATTCGTTACTAGCTGAGTCGACGGGCATCTCAGTAGCAATCTGGAATTCAGCAGTAGTGCAGCGCAGGTAGAATATGAAGACCGTTTTGGTTTGAATTTGGAGCTCTGGGGCTGCACTTTGATGTGATCGCGAGTAGTGTCGAATTTGCCCTGCGAACCTCGGAAACTTGAAGGCGAGCCATCTTCCAGCTAGTAATCAACTGATGACTCGTCTCCTTCATCCCCTTCATTGAACACATCTCTCATCTTTTTCGGTACTGGACCAGTAGCTCAACTGTTCATGTGAGTACTACAGCCATACTAAGAACCTCTTCTTCACTCCTTGCATCGACAACTGGTGTGCCTCACTTCCGAGGCCAGCGGCAGAAACGCTCGCGAGCCACGTCCACCAGCCTCCCCAAAGCGGAACTAGTCGCCGATCGCTGTCTGCGCCAAGCCTCACACTCGACGCTGACATGCATGCTTTCTACCAGATTCAGCTCTACACACATTCTTTAGAATCACCACACTCGCTTAAAACGGCTCAATAGGCTTTCACGCCATAACGACCTTCCATTCTCTCTTTCAACCATCGCAACCGACGATAAATTAGCCGATCCAGAATGGGCCGAACACCCGCTTATCACCACACTGGCACAGTGCTGCTATTGGTCGCGATGATCTTGATGCTGGTGGTGTGCATTTCGGCTCCGCTCATCAATAATCTGTACTTGCTTGAGGCAACCGTCGCGGACGGTCAACGTGAGTTGCAACGTCGCTCTTGAGCCCCTTTTTTGAGGTGGCTTGGCCCGGACCTTTGTGTGGGGCGCCTCTTGGAACACCCGCCGAACGCCGGCCGTATCGGAAGTGGTAGTCAGACAAGTTGACAATTGTCTTCATTCACCAAATTTTAGCCGATGCCAAGTCCGTGATCAAAGCCGGAATCTTCGGATACTGTGTCGGCGATTCGTGCACCTCGCCCCAGATCTCTTACGACGCGACTTTGCTCAAGGCGAACGGGCAGACCATGATCGACGACGTCTTCATCTCTTCCCTTACCTGTAAGACCAATACGCCCTATTCTGTTCCCTACCTTGATCAGGGCCTGACCATCGCCTCAATCCTTCGATACAGATGGCCTGGTCTTGAACCCTCTATCCGCTGGCTTCACCTTCCTCGCGTTCCTCTTCGCCTTCGGAGGCCAATCAATCTGGGGCTCGATCGCGACCTTCTTCTCCCTCTGGTCTTTCATCCTCACCGTTGTCGCCCTCGCCATCGATTTTGCCACCTTCGGCATTGCCTCCGAACGACTCAACCATTCCTCCGCAATCGAAAAAGGATCCGTCAAGTTCGGTCGAGCGATGTGGCTCGTCGTCATCTCCGTAGGCTGTCAGTTCCTTGCGACCTTGATTGTGTGCTGTTCGCGCGCTTCGGTGCGTCGCCAGAAGATCAAGGAGAAGAACAACAACTTGCCTTTGACGAGACAGGATACGAGGATGTCCGAGTCGTCCGAGTCGCCGCTCAGGTCGGATAAGGCGTCGACGTACTCGTCGGGTGGAGGCCATTTCCGGAGGAGTAACCCCACTGATCGTCAATAGATCAAATCGTCTCGGCGTCATCAAGCTCGGGCCTTTGGACTTCTGTATAGATTTTTTTTGAGGTTTGACATCATGTGCAATGAACGATTCGCATTATGTCGTGACCCAACCAAATGATCTAGTGAAGAAACCCTGCGAAATCTATCTCCCCACCAACGCACCACTCCGTCTCCCCAGCCTCTGCCTGACCTGTCTCGCCTTGTCACTCTTCCGTCGTTCCTTTTGCCTCCCCACGAACGCCGCTCCATACCCAGCGACCTCGGTCAATCGATCTAGTTCAAGGTTGTCCGCATCCCTGTTCAACGTCACGAGGCGACGCCGAACGCGTCGTCCTTCACCCGCTTGAGCGTCACCCTCGTCATCGTCGTCTCGCGGGCGGACCGTCCCTCGTCCGTTGTTGGTCAATGACGATAGATTGGCCGTCGAGGCGAGTCTCCGAATGGCCCCTGATCGATGTAGGCCTACTCTACCGTTCGGGTTCCCCGGCGTGTCAGACGTTTCGGCGTTATGATCGCGCAACTGACGCCAAGGTGAGGGTACTGGAGGTGGCGAAAAGGGGGAGAATAAGCTGTCCCGAGCTGGGGCTACGCCAGCATCCTCTTCCTGCGCAGCTTCGGCGTAAAGCGATGGCAGAGCCGGCAGTTCGACATCCGAATGTTGAACCGTCTCGCCCGAAGGATGCCCCGTCGATTTATTCCTCGTCGTCGATCCCATGGTGACGAGCCAAGAATTGTCCGTTTCGGGATTGTACCACTCCGACGGTTCCCCAACGAGCCCATCCTCGAAGTCGATTTGCGCATGGGGTAATTGGTCCCACTTCATGTGAGAACCAGAGATCAGCTCCTGAGCGTAGAGGGGGGTGACGGTGGGGAGGGAGGCGGAGTGATCCTGGCTTAGATCGATGGACGGGGAAGGGACGACAACCCCGACGCGAGGGAGGAGGGTCACGGCCCGACGACGATAGTGCCATAAGAGGCCCGTCACTGGCGCCGCGAGAGCGGATTTGCAAGGGGTGCAAGCGTTGACGACGCGATAGCCGAGGAGATTGCCACTGGACAGTGCAGGACATGACCATACGTCAGCACGTCTCCCGAGTCGCGAGATGGGGTTCACAATCACTCACCAACTTCGACAACTCAGATCCGTCGTCGCGCAACCTTTGCAGCCAGCCACGCCCCGCGTGTTCCACGACATACGACCCGTCATTTCGCCGACAGCGCTCGAACACGGTGGCAAATCACTGGCGATAGACTCCTCGAGCTCTCCGCGCCCGGATCGATCGAACACCTTCTTGGGCGCCTCGACCAAACCTCGGGCACATACGAGTGCACCACATCCACTCGGAGAACCGGAGGCCGGGGCCTTCGTCGACGATGCGTGCCAATGCCACCCCGAAGGTAGTGGTCCTGACGAGCCATGGGATGACTGGCCACAATACACCAGCCAGCAATCCTTCTTCTTCCTCATCGCTTGACCGATGGTTTGCGCTCTGTCCTCCGTCGTCCGTCGAGCGTCGGGCCCGGTCCGAGTCGGAGCGTTCATGTTGTCGAGCCGAGCCAGATTGGCAGCGGCGTCGGAGATCCATGAATTATCTGTCGCATAAGAGTTTTGCTGCGACGAAGTCCTAAGCTCGTTGTATCGCAGGATGTAGTTGGCCATCGCGGCTCGTTCCATGATTGTTGGATCCGAGGTGGAAGTCGGGATGGGTGGCTGCTCGACGACTTCGTGCGGGCTAGGCGAGCGCTGTATCTCTTCCGGGGTTCTTGTCCGAGTCCACGAGAAAGAGTACGACGTCGCATCCGAATCGTGGAGCCAGAACGATGAAGCCGGCGTGGGTTGGCTCGAGTTTCTGGCGGTCCTCGTTTGCGAATTGACCGGCGCTTGACGACCGATCGTGGCAGTTCGAGCGAGATTTGCGCCTCCTCGGGGCAGTGGGTGAGCATCAGCCAAGCGTCGGATATCAACGGGCTCGTGCTGCAACGAGATCGGGTCCAAGCAATCGCGGGTCAGCTCAGTAGCTCTCGAAACTGAAGCGACATCCAACGAGTCAAGACTTACCCTCCAAAGCCTGCCCGAATCCTCCGTCGATGGTGGCATCGCCATGGCATGTCGTTCAAACTCTTCCCAGCCTTGCCAGCCCTGCTCGGAACCATCCTCTGCTGCAAGTCCTTGTTCTTCCCGTTGTCGTGGTTGCATCCGAAGTGCCGGCTCTTGCTCCCCATCCTCCGCAGCCTCCCCGTCGGGGTTGTATTCGATCACGTCAAAGTCGACGTAGAACGGTGGGAAGCTGTCCTCGCTGATGATCCTCGAGCGTCTCCTATCGCGACTGGCTTCGCCCGTGCGCAACGAGTTGACAAACATGGTCAGATCTCCTTCATCGGCGCCGTCAACGTCCGTTGGTTCGCCATCGTTGTCGTCTTCGATCTCGGATTCAGACTCGGATTCAGACTCGGATTCGACTGGATTGTTTCTGATCCTGTTGCGGCGCGCTAGGGATCGAGCCGGAAGATTGTTCATAGCCCAATGAGGACGAAGAGGGGCGGCGTGTCCACCCGTGATGCTCAGAGGGCGAGGAAGGCCGGCCAAGATCGAGTTGTCGGCAGGTGGTGGTGGGGTAGGTGACGGGGATTGTCGTGGCGAGAGGATCACGAGGGCGCGAGCGTCGGGACGATCGTCATGCCCTATAGCGGGGAGGGTGTTGGAGAATAGCTCTGGGTCTGGGTCGGTTTCGATCGCAGCAGCGGCTAGTTCTTGGGACGAGGTGTTTGCCCAAGCGGGGGGCTCGGGTTGTCCCATGTCGTCTGCTCGCCGTGTGGCGTCGGTGGGGTTCGCATCCGCATCCGCATCCGTATTCGCACTTGGCATGGAGAGGATTTTTTCGTGAAGCGCTATGCCTTGCAGGTGGCCGTACTTGTAGCAGGTGAGGAGGGACGGTACGGTACGGAGCAGAGAGAGAGAGGACAGAGGAGCCGCAGCAACGGGCGGTCAGGAGGCCAGGTCAGGCCAGGTCAGGCCAGAGCGTCGAGCGAGCAGGCGAAACGGATGGTCCTTCGGCGCTGGCAGGTCCACGGTGGTGGGTCCTGGTTGGAGGTGAAGGAGCACGAGTGCAGTGATGGGCGGGGTGCCTAGCTCGGCATTCGATGGGAAACGGGGAGGCCAACAGGCACGTCGTGGGCACACGCACGCGCTTACCGAAGCAATGGGTCCGAGCTCAAATGGCGCTTCAGCGGCGCTTCAGCATCACGCGCTGGCGGCGGTAAAGATGGGCAATTAGACGTGTCGCTTGGCGCGTTCAACAGGGACGTGTGGCACGCCGCGTGTCAGTCGAGCACTCGAGGAGCTCTCGACCACAGCCGGCCCTCCAACGAGCTCCAACGAGCTCCAACGAGCGGCTCCTTTCTCGGTGGCTGGATCCGCTGGCCGGTCAACCCGTGTAGCGTCTTCACCAGCAGCTCCACACGCAGCCGGCTTGGATCCTGCACGCAGTCAGCTTGGATCATACGGCGCATATACCTGTAGCAGGCGGTCGTCGTCGGTCGAGTGATCATCGTCCACCTCCACGATGAGCTCGTCCGAGATCCTCGCCTCGCACCGCCACTTGGGAGCGAGTGTACCGGTCACCCAACTCTTTACGAGGAAGGAACTCGTCGGAAAGGGAGCTTATGGCGGCGTATACAAGGTATGTGCGACGCGATGCTGCGCTCGTTGCTGTGTCCGTTCATCACCCGACGCGGTCTTTGCACACAGGGTATTCACAATGCGACAGGATTGGTCGTCGCTCTCAAGGTCAGTCAAAGCAGAGCTCATACACCTCCTTCCGGCTGCGCCAACGTCTCTTCCCTTCACGCTTGCTGCCTGCTGCTGCTGCAGGTCATCGACCTCGACACGCCGGACGACGACATCTCGGAGATCCAGAAGGAGGTCGCGCTCCTGTCCGAGATGCGCGATGCCAACAAGCACAACATCACACTCTACCATGGATGTTACCTCCAAGGCCACGAGCTGTGGATCGCCATGGACTTTGCTTCCGGCGGGAGTATACGAACGCTGGCAAGTTCACTCGTTCGTGTTCCCTACATTCCCAGCGTGACTGACCGACCTGTTGGCCTATACCCCCACAGATGAAATCGGGCTCGATAGAAGAAAAGTATATCGTACTCATCCTACGCGAGGTCCTTGTCGCGCTGTCCTTCTTGCACCGACAAGCCATCATCCATCGAGACGTCAAAGGTCAGTCAGCGGCCCCACATCCCCTCCTTGTCTTGGCGATCCGGTCTGACCGAGACCGCCTCCACCCACTCCTCCCACACAGCCGCCAACATCCTTCTCACCCAAGCGGGCAAGATCCTATTGTGCGACTTTGGTGTCGCCGCGCATCTGCAGACCAACAACAAGCGCTCGACCTTTATCGGCACCCCGCTGTGGATGGCCCCCGAAGTCATCACCGATGGCAAGATGTACGACACCAAAGCCGACATTTGGTCCCTCGGCGTCACCTTGTACGAGATCGCCACGGGGAATCCACCTTATTTCGGCATGGAACCCATGCGGGCTTGTGCTATCATTCCGAGAACAGCACCGGCAAAACTCGAGGGTGGTACTTGGTCCGTTATGATGCGCGAGTTTCTCGCTTTTTGCTTGCAGATCGATCCCACAACCGTGAGTAGTGCAATAGAACCGAACGGTCACACTGGGTGGACTTCTGACGAATGTAATGTCTTGTAGCGACCGACGGCCGACGAGCTATCCCGAACGAAATGGATCAAATCCGGCGCCAAACTGCCCATGTCCTTGCTGCGAGAGTTGATCGTGCGCTACGTCTCTTGGATCCAGACCGGTGGTCAGCGGGCGAGTTTGGCGGGGTTGGACAGTATCGCACGCGAGGACACGTTTGAGATCGAAGAGGACAAGTGGGACTTTGATGGCGAGGCAAGTTCGATCGTTCAGCAGACAGAGTGGACCATCTGCTGACCGGCCTTTCATAACACCGCACGCACAGGAAGAGGAAATGATTGAACCGCTCGGCGATGAGCCGCCACGCTCACTCGATGCCCAAGCCGCCATCAGCCAGATCCGACCTCCCAAAGCTCCGCTCGTCGCTCGCAACCACCCGCTGCTAAGGCTCTTCGACGAAGAGTCCAACCCCTACGCGCAACCCACCGCGCCGACGACGATCAACCTCCCGAGCGGAAGTTCCCTCGACACGGTCCGGCCCACAATCTCGATCCCGTCCTTTGACGAGATGGATGACATGTTCGCCTCTTCTGCCCCCGTCAAGTTTGGCGGAGCCTCGGCGGCCGATGAGCTCATGTCACCGGCTGGATCGAGTCCCTTCTCTTGGGCGAACCAGCCTTCCTCTCTACCCTTTGCTCCATCGGCTCCTCGCTTTGGCGCGAGTGCGTCCGAGGAGGACTCGGATGGGCCCTGGGACAATACTACACCCACCGAGTCAACCTTCCCTACGATCCTCGTGCCCCCACCGAGCTCGTCTGCCGTATCGTACCCCGTCACAGCATCGCCTTCGCTCCCCACCGTCGCGCTCGACCGGCAGTTGCAATCGACAACTCGCCGACGGGCCGACACGGCCCCATCATTCGACTACCCTCCGCTAGGCCCCGGCATCCCCTCTTCTTCTTCCGGGTCAACTTCGACATTTACCGGTCGATCGACCTCCACCTCCGGCCACTCTGCAACGACCTCCATCTCTTCCGTCTCTGCGTCAATGTCCTCGAGCGCCGATTCATCCTTGCCCTCCCTTACCATGGCCTCTCCACGATCAGCCCCCAAGTCACCACAACGATCTCGAGCGGGTACAACGGCGGGTGCACCGACGGGGGAATTGCGACGTGGTTTCGTCTTTGGTGGAATTGGTCGAGCAAGGCGTGCGTCTGATGCTCTTTCGTCGAGAAGTGGAAGTGGTGGAACCCAAGGTGCTCCAAATGCGTCGTTCAATTCGATGCTGCAATCGAATGGGCATGGTCGATCGGAGTCGGGCTCAGGGTCGGGTGAATCGTCGGCCTACCCCAGGCCGAGGTTGTTATCGACGTCTTCGATGGTCGATAGTCCTTTCGACTTCCCGACTCCTCTCGCGACAACGAACATCAACGGGATGCACGAGTTCCCTTTTCCCAGTTTGGAAGACGACGAGGCTGAAGGTGCTGCGGGGGGTGTAGAAACCGAACAAGCTCTCGATGTCGACGACGAAGATGACCAAGATGATTTATACGACGACGACGAAGAAGCCGACGTCGACCTTGGCTCGGACGAGATCTGGGCATTCGAAGGACTCGAATTGAAGCCGTTGGATTACCTTAAATTAAGGACCCAGGGGGAGATCAAGCAAGGTCTGGAGGAGACCTTGGCGGGTTTAGGGGAGTGGCTCAAGATTGTTGAAGTGGGGTTGGAGAGGATCTTGGGGGATCAGAATGAGCAGCCTGTGGGGGATTGGGGGAGGACTCTGCAGCAGCAGCAGCAGGACGAAGAACATGTGATATGATACGGTTGCTGACTGTGATTTGATTTGATGTGGCGGTTTTGTTTGTTGTGCATTAGCTGTAATGTTAATAGAAAGATTTGCTTATGTGTGCTCGGGGGTTGCGGCGGTCGCTCACGTTGACATTCTGTGGTGTTCGGCAAACTCTTCCAAACACCACGCACCTCGACCACTTGAGGATCTCGGAAGATTTACAGTGAGGATGGAAGCTTCAGGCCAGTCGTAATTTGCTCGGTGCGAGTGAACAAACCAAGAGCGGTGATCGGCTTACCTCGAAGCCTTTGACGCAGCAGTGCAGAAAGAGGGAGCAGCAGCGGGGAGGCATCCGAGCACTGGGGTTGATGTAGCCTTCCTGCCAAGTGAAAGTAGCATGCACACGATTGGCTATAACACTATGATTACACCCATTTATGTTCATTCGCGCCGAGCTTTATTCGCCCAAATTCCAAACGTGACCCGCTCCCGTTTGTCCATCAAAGACCATCAAATTCCTCACGGGTTCCTCCTTGCCTCCCAATACGTTCAACACGTCTTGTCCTGCGATACCACCCAAAATGGCGGCAGAAGGTGGGAATTCGAAGGCGCTTGTTGATGCTATCCGACTACGGGAGAGGGGGAGGAGACAGGGCTTGGGGGTCAGATGATATTGATCTGAGCAGGAGGGCTGAGTAACGTGTCCGGACGTACGAGAGGATCGTTTCGGGAAGGAGTTCGGTCTTGACGCCCAAGCGAGGTAAAAGTTCTTGGGATGCTGATTTCAGACCTTCGAGCGTGATGGGTTGTCCGGGGTTTGTCCTCTGATATTCAAGCAGAGCTACGCGTAAACGAGATTCGGAAGAACGAATCTCAGCATAACCGCGGTTCGATAAGTAGTTGGTGAGATAGAACTAACTCACCCAGCGTGCCCCACAGGTTCGACTGTGTCTTTTTGAGCTCGCGTGCACGAGACTTTTTCCATGAATGCGAAAATATGCTGTTGAAAGGGGTGTAGGAGAGCGTACGTTTGGTCGGCACACTGACGGTTTCTCCAGGTCCGAGCGACTTGATCACATCGCTGTAAGAAACGACGAGATCAATACGAAGCAGAGTGTTAGTTTGATGCTATCGGAGCCGACTGTTTTACCACGCCGACGACTCACACGACGAATTCGTGCTCGAGCAAATCGGCAAAGATCCATCCGTCGATGCCGACGGACGAAGCGGCGTAGAGCTTCTTGCCGAGTCGACGCGTGGACGTATTGACGCGTTGCTGTACCGAAAGGAGAGAGTCCGAATATCAGTCCCTGACGATGTATGGATCGCAAATTGGAGTCCGTGTTCACGCACCAGTGTCGGAGCGTCGCAGTCGGTGAGGACGACGAGATCGAACTGGGCGAGGAAAGTGTCGTCTTGGACCAAAGCGGCGTCGGTGCGGGTCAAAAGCTCTACCCGAGGGTTGAGTGCTTGCAATCGCGGTGCTCCAACTTGAACTCTCTGAGGTGAGAACGGGTTTGGGCACGAGTGAGTCCTCGTGTGGGCTCTCTTGGCCCGACCTGACGGTGCTTCTGCTCTGAGCGTGCGACTGACCTTCTGACCGACATCGTCCTCCCTCAGGAAGAAGTTGGCGCCGAGATCTTGTTCCTGTACATCGTGTTCGTCCAACAGGGTCACCTGCCCCACTCCAGCGAGTACGATGTTCTTGGCGATCTCGGCCGCGAGCGAGCGAAAGTTGACGATCAACACCTTGGCCTGGCGCATGCGGTTCTGCGCCTCGACGCCCCACAGACGGAGCTGACGATCGTAGAGCGCGGCTTCATCCTCGGTGATGCCACCTGTGGAGGAGGAGGCTTGCGCTGTGGCAGGCGGGGCAGCGTGGCCGTTCGAGGCTGAGCTCAGAGTTGACATTCGGTGCGACGCGAATTGGACGGGCAGCGAGGTGGCACTGCTGGATCAGGAGTTGCGCGTGGTGGGTAGGACCCTGGAAGGTTCGAGAGTGGTCAGTAGGAGACGCTACGAGAGCCGAGTGCGCTGAGAAGCAACGGGCGTCGGTGTGTAAACCTCGAGGTTCGAGTCGAGAGCTGCAAGCTGCGCCGCTCAGACAGCAGCAGGCTCAGACGCGTCGCTCGCCGGCTGCTCTGTAGTAATGCCAAACCATCAGCCTACTGATTATTACCCCCGGCTTGTAATCGCGCCAGTAATCGCGCCCATAATCGCGCCAGTAATCGCGCCCATAATCGCGCCAATCGCGCCAATCGCGCCAATCGCGGCTAATCTCGCGAGCTGCCAGGCCGCCTGCAGGACTCGCCAGAGCTAGCGCTGACCTGCACAGACCTGCACTGACAGGCACTGACTACCACTGAGCGCTGAGCCCCCGGCGCGGTTCGTGAATCGTCGCTCGGTCCTTCTCATCTGTGTTGGTCGCCGTGGAAGATCCTTGGCGCTGCTCAGCTTTAGCTTCACGCGTTCGACTCGCCCCGACAGCACGCCGACCACCTCGTGTCGCGTCGTCTCATCTGCCCGGCTATACATCCGACCGCCCCGCCGCACCTTCTCCAACGATGGCCGGTTCGGGTTCAGGCTCAGCTTTGAGCGGGCGTAAACCGCGGATGGTCGGCTCTCGGCTGCTGCTCGTCACCTCCGTCTTTGCTTCCTTGGGCGTCTTTCTCTTTGGGTTTGACCAGTCAGTGCTGTCGCTGCATCATCATCATCGGCAAAGTCGCCCCAGCCCACAGAGCTGACGGTGGTGCGCTGTCGTTCTTCTCCGCTCGCGCGTGTGCTTCGCGTCCGCGTGCGCTCCAACGTCGTGTCGTCTTGTCATCGTGGTCGTGGTGCCGATCCGCCGACGTCGTCCGTGGTCGTCTGCCTCGACCCTACCCGCCCTGCGTCACACCCGGCATGTGTTCAAATACTCAGGGGTGTCATGTCGGGTGAGTCGCATCTTGCACCTATTGCATGACCCAACTAGTGCACCTGCTGCACCTGCTGCACCTGCTGCACCTGCTGCACCTGCTGCACCTGCTGCACCTGCTGCACCCCCAAACCGGCCCGACCCGCCGCCAGAGCCGCGAAAGCCATCGTCGCCGCACCGTCAACGCTGAAGCTGACTTGTGGGCATGGTATCACACCACCTTTCCTTCAATCCAGGTATCATTACCGTCAGTCTCTCCGGGACAGTCTATCATCTGCTCCGACTGACGCGCAGAATCTTCCCTGCTTTGCACCGATCAGGGGCCATACTTCAAGGCCTTCTTTCATCAACCGAATCGATATGAGCTCGCAACAATGGTCAGTCTCCTCGGCGGCCCGCTTACAGCTTACCTCGCTCATCCTCGCCTTTCTTTCGCAGGTCGCTATCCTCGAAATCGGTGCCTTGATCACTTCCTTGCTGGCCGGTCGCGTCGGCGACATCTTTGGTCGACGACTGACCCTCTTGGCCGGAGCGCTCATTTTCACCACCGGCGGTGCATTCCAATCCTTTGCGACCGGGTTCAAGGTGATGGTCTTTGGTCGAATCTTGTCCGGATTTGGCGTCGGTTTCCTCTCGTACGTTCGATGTCGGATTCACTTGCGACCCCTGCATGCCCCAGTCTGATCTTTTTCACTACGAGAACAGCATGATCGTACCCGTGTATCAATCCGAGATCTCGCCCGCCGAGAACCGAGGAAAACTGGCCTGCATCGAGTTCACACTCAATATTGCAGGATATGCCTCCTCAGTGGTAAGGTCTTCCGTCGAAAAAGCGCTTCACCCAAGCTGGGCGCAAACTGACAGTCGAAACGCTCCTGCTCGCAGTGGATCGACTACTTTGCCTCCTTCTTATCCTCAAACCTCTCCTGGCGCTGCCCCCTGTTCGTCCAATGCATCATCGGCTCGATCCTCGCCATCGGATCCATCTACATCCCCGAATCGCCGCGTTGGTTGCTTGATATGGACATGGACGAGGAAGGGATGAAAGTACTCGCCGATCTGCACGGTGATGGCGATCCGGATGATGAGAGGGCCAAAAACGAGTTCGTGGAGATTAAAGAATCCGTTTTGGCCGAGCGTACTATTGGTGATCGAAGCTACACCAGCATGTGGAAGCGCTACAAGTCTCGCGTCTTGATTGCCATGAGTGCTCAGATGTTTGCTCAATTGGTGAGTTCGTAGACTCGGAGTTGGTCTCGTCCTTCCAGCTGCTATGACTGATCCGGCACCTTCCTCTCCCGGTACAGAATGGAATCAATGGTAGGCACACTTGCAGTTCAATCGATGGACTTCGAGCTTCCCAAACTAACTGGCATGTTTGCGTCGTGTGCAGTCATCTCTTACTACGCTCCTCTGGTGTTCGAGTCGGCCGGCTGGATCGGGCGAGATGCAATCTTGATGACCGGCATCAATGGGATTAGTACGTCAGGGGTGTTGGGGTCTCTCCGCGTGGCCCTCCTCGTTGATAAGGGAGTCGTCCTGGGTGCACAGTTTACATCCTCAGCACCGTACCTACTTGGTACCTCGTCGATATTTGGGGTCGACGTCCCATTTTGCTCTCAGGTGCTCTGGTGGGTCCATCCTGAAAAGAGAGCAACCCTAGTGCTTGTGAAAAGCCAAGCACTTATCCGCCTCCTCCTCGCGCAGATCATGGCGACGGCGCTCTCGTCCGTCGGTTACTTCCTGTACCTCGACAAGACCTACACCCCCACCGCGGTCGTCATCTCCGTCATCGTCTTCAACGCCGCCTTTGGCTACTCATGGGGTCCGATACCTTGGCTCCTAGGACCCGAAGTGTTCCCGACCGTGTTCCGCGTCAAAGGTGTCAGTATCTCGACGGCGACGAACTGGTTCTTCAACTTTGTCGTCGGCGAATCGACACCGATTTTGCAAGAGGCGATCCGGTGGCGGTTGTACTTGATGCATGCCGGATGGTGTTTAATCTCGTTGATCTGCGTTTTCCTCTTTTATCCCGAGACGATGGGCGTGCCATTGGAGGAGATGGATGCCCTCTTTGGCGACTCTTCCAAAGCCGACCTCGAATCGGCCTCTCTCGTTCGATCCCACCACGGAGGCAGCTCCTCCCCCAACGGCGCTCGTTCAAGCTCCGCCGAACCCCCCGTTCTTCGAAAACACCACGGAGAAGCCGAAGCCCCTTCCGCAAGCCTCTTGGATGGAATCAAGAGGGCGTGGAAACGAGGGCGTGAGATGGAAGGTGCGAGTGGGGGTGGGTCGGCCGCACCGGCGAATTATCAGGCCGTGCAGAATGATGGACAATAGGATGAGGCGGGGGAGGAAGAAGAGACACTAGAGGCTGCGATGATGCGGCAAGGTGAGGCACTGGATGGCACGGACAATTATGATGAGGATGGAAAGGGGACTTTAGGTCGACCGAGGACGAGTCATGGGGCTGGCGGTCAACATGTCGTTTTCGATGCTTCCGAGGCGTTCGAGATGGATGATCTTGGCGATTGGAAAGCTCACACGTCCCCTTCTAAAGAGTCGCCTCAACTTCCATGATTGTATCTTGCTTCCACCTTTTTGTTCTCGAGCTCTCACCATCGTACCGTCATGTGTGTGCCTCGCAATTCTTCTTTTCTCTCCCACCCCCACTGTTCGACGAAATACTCATCTAGTATTTCTCCCCAATTTTTGTCCTACCTTTTCACATTTTTCTTGTATTACCGATGCCATAGTTCTATACAAACACACTTGCTCGACGAGCCGCTGAAAGTTCAATTAGCATGTAGCATCAATTCGGCTGAGAACTCAAGCTGGCTTGACTGGGGACGATTGGCACGTGAGAGAGGAGTGGGTCGCTTATGACGACCGCGCGCGCTTGGGCAGGTCGCCGAGGACAAGGCAATCGATATCGCTCAGCTCCCGACCGTCCACCGGAAGGAACCCCGACCGATCTCGAACTCGAATTCAGATGCTCGCCCTCTCCTCCAGCCGACGCCTCACCCAGCTCGTCTCGCCCACCAGCGTCCTCCTTCGCCAATCCGCGTCGGCGGTCCCCGGTTTCATCAGTTGCCGTCGGCGTGGCATGGCCTCGACGTCCCCCACGATGGCCGCCGCACCGCAAATCAACACGATCACCGTCTTTGGGGCCGGTCTGATGGGTTCGGGTATTATTCAGGTCGCGGCTCAGAACGGCGTGAAAGCTAGTTAGTCCCCCCGTTGGTGTGATCCGGCTTTCGTGCTCGAGCTCGGGTAGCAGCTGACCGGGGCCCCGTCCCCTCCCGCCTGCTCCGATCATCTCCGGTCGCGTGAACGAAACTGTCCGTCGACACCACAGTCATGACCGACGTCTCGGACGCCGCCTTGGACAACGGCAAAAAGATCATCACCAAGTCATTGCAACGCATCGCGCGCAAAAAATTCCCCGACTCGACCGAGGAGCAACAAAAATTGATCGACGACGTTTTCGCCAACATCACCACCACCACCGACGCCGCGACCGCCGTCAAGAAAACGGATTTCGTCGTCGAGGCCATCGTGGAGAACCTCAAGGTCAAGCAAGAGCTTTTCAGACGACTGGACGATCTGGCGCCCGCGGCGACGATCTTTGCGAGTAATACGAGTTCGTTGAGCATTGAGAAGATCGCGGAGACGTGTTCGTTGAAGCGCAAGGAGAGGTTCGCTGGTTTCCATGCTTTCAACCCGGTACCTCAGATGAAGTTGGTCAGTCTTCTGCGTCCGGGCCGAAAATGGCGAGGCGAGGCAGCGAAGCAGGATTCAACCGGCTGATTTCTGGCAACTGCCCCGCCCCTCCCCCCTTCCGACAGGTCGAAATTGTGCAGACATCGCAAACCAGCGATGAGGTTCGAGACTCCTTGTTGGATCTCTGCAAGCGCATGAAGAAGACCCCCGTCAACTGCAAGGATAACCCGGGGCGAGCACAATCTGCCTACTTGCTACCTTCCCGGACCCGCCAGCTGACCCCGAGTTTGGCTTCTTTCCAGATTCATCGTCAACCGATTGTTGGTTCCTTACATGCTCGAAGCCATTCGAATGGTCGAGCGAGGCGATGCGACTGCGGAGGACGTTGACACGGCGATGAAGCTCGGAGCCGGTCTACCTATGGGTACGCTCATTTCTTCATCGCGCCCAGCAATACTTTTTCGAGATCTATCTAACATCTAACGCTCCTCGTCCCTTATTCTCTGCAGGCCCTATCGAACTCTCCGATTTCGTCGGTCTCGACACGTTGAGCAACATCTCCAAAGGATGGCACGAGGATCGCGTCTCGACGGGGGAGATCGAGGCCAAGCAGGTCGAGGAGATCGACTTGCTCGACAAGCTCGTCAAGGAGGGCAAGACGGGGCGTAAGAGTGGCGAAGGCTTTTACAAATGTGAGTCTCTCATCCCCACGTTGATGTCGAGTCTCGCGATCTGACTTGGGGACAATGTACACTCCACTCCACAAGACTGATTGCCATAGACGCTGGACACTCTTTACGATGCAATCGAGAAACTTTCAAACTGGATTCTCTCTCTATAGGGCCGATGGGTCGTGCTAGCTAGCATGCAACAGCATTTTTATCTATTTCATCTCACTCCATCCGCCTAGGCTTCCAAACTCTTTAGGTTGCCCCTAAAATCGCGCATCGCCTTCTCGACCTCCGGTCCGACGTCTCCAACTTTGGCTTGGTACCGCTCGACATAACTTTGCGCCAACTCGAATCTATCCGACCTTTCCTCCGATGTTGCGGAATCCCAATTCCTCCTCAACGTCGTGATAACCACCAACATCGTCTTTTCCTCCTCGACGAGATCGATCCCGGCGTTCAGCGTCTCGTGAAGCGTCAACACCACCTCCTGTAACCACCTCTCGCGCCATTCGGGCGGTTCTTTCCGAAGCCAACTCGAAAAGACTTGAAGGGTCTGCTTTAGGACCAAATCTTGTCGGAGGCCTCCTTCTAGAACGGTCTCGCGATAGATCCAAAGCGCTTCGCCGATTCGACCTTGGGAATGAGCCCTGGAGAGAGCGTGGACAACGCGAAAGGGGAATATGTCGTCGAAACGACCGGCTGTCAGGGCTGCGCCTTGTCGACTCGGGGTGACCGACTTGGATCGGACGGGGTACAATAAGCTTTTGCGCAGAGTCGCATAGCCCCCGGGAGGTAAAAGCAAGATCTTGTTGGCCCATTCGAGGAACTTGGCGGGGGTAAAGTGACGGACTCGACGAACCTCAGGCGACGACTTGAGTTCGCCCATGACGGCTAGGGCGACGGATTTGATGCTATGGGTGTCGATGGCCAGGCGTTTTTCCGCGACAAAGTCCAAAATCTTTTCGAGCACGGCTTGTGATTCTGACGAAGTGCCCTCTTCGAGAGTCCAAAATTGCCTCGCCGCCAATTCGACCCAGACTTCGATATCGCGTTGATCGGGGAAGACTCGATCGGCGAGCAGAAGGCGATAAACTTGCGCGACCGAGTCCCAATCGTCAAGGAGCAGGTACAATCTAGCCAAGGCGGTGAGGTCGTAATGCTCGAGTTTACCGGTCGAGGATGATGTGCGGTGCTGGACGCAGTCCGAGGCGAGTTTTTGGACGAACGCTCGGGTGCTTTTGTGTTCCGCTGGAGCGGACCGGCTCGATTGCTGGAGCAGACGATTGGCCAAGGCAAGCGCGGTAGTCGTGCTGATCACGAAGGGGGATGAGGGAGGTTCTACGACTCCACGAGGATGGGATCCGACGGTCCAGAGTTCATACATGTTACGAGCTTGCGCCGGGTCGACGATCCGACCCTGGCAGAGGTGGCGAATCCACCGATCTTTGGCTTCCCTCGTCCAATCGTTTGCAAAGCCTTGCTCGATCGCTCGCGTTTCGACCGTCGCGGTGAACCGGTACCAAAGATCCACATAGATATACCGTGTCGCCAAGGTCGCTTTGCGCGTCGGGTTCGAGGGGAATCGATATTGGCGAACGCGCCCGTCTCCGCCGAGAAAGTGTGCAAAGTCGAGGGTGATGTCGCTGCTCAGGGTCGGCGCCCACCCCAATCGAGAGAACTGCGAGTACAGCTCAGCGAGCAAATCGTATCGGTTGTACTCGATCAATTCGATCGAGAACGCATCGAGGAGGTGCGTAGTGGTCGCCGAGAGTGAGGGGTCCCATCGTTTCAGAAGAGAGACGAACAGAGCGTGCAGGCGCTCCATTGTGGTGTTGGACAAGGGCCGGAAGAGTTCGAGTCGTTGGTGTCTGACGTGTGCGATCTGTGTCGATAAATGAGCATGCAGCAAACCGATGTCGACTTCGTCCATGTGGTGCAGAGTGTCGAGCGACTCCAAGGCATGTACCGCGAGGTCGTGATTCGCATACTCGCCCGCTGCTGCGGCCACCGTGCGAAGAAGGACTATCCGTAGCTGAATCGAGTTGGCTTCCGGCAAGTTCTCGGGCAGGGTCGGTGGAGGGCCCACGAGCTGCTCCGGGACGATTCGTGCCCTCAACAGATCTTGCAGCACCTCGAGTGCAAAAGCCAAGGGGAGGTCGCTCGAATTCGGCCGTGCGACAAAGTAGAGAAAGTTGAGCGCGAGTGTGGGGTAGCGATCGAGCTCGTATCTCTGATTGAACACCTTCCACGAATCCTGTATTCGTTCCGCATCGTCGGCCAGTTGGGGTAACGCGATCGCCAGCTCCTTCGGGGGTGCACCGTGGTCGATGACGTTTTGAAGGGCCTCGCGAGGATCGAGCCACTGCGGCCAGGACGGGGATTGATCCGGTTCTGGCGAGGCTGCGTTGCTTGCTGCTAGGTCTAGAAGCAGATAGTTGGCGACGACAGACATGCCGAGTCGTTTCGCGGGCGCGAGTATTTGAGCTGGGTCGTCATGGGGAAGCTCGTCGATGGCTCGCGTCGAGTGCTCGGTCGAAGAACGGATGCGCGAGGCGAGGTAGCGGGCTATCCTCTCACGAGCACTTTCGTCGATGGATTGGGTGTCTGGACTTGGTTTGGTGATCCCGGAAGGAGAATGCGACGATGTACGCTGCGGGGGAGGTGGCGGCGGTGGGGCGCGGGTGGTGTTCTTTGGATCGAGCGCGAGCGGAACGCGGCTGTGGCTGAACCAATTGTGCCAGGTTTCGCCTGACCTTGCTTGCTGCCATTGCTCTCGGTACCACAGAGGCGCTGTATATGTCAGAGCGGCCTGGTGGTACGCTGGTGAGGTAGGGCCGCCACCCGAATCGGCGATCGGGTGCGGTGTGCTCGGTCCGGGACCGGCTCCAGCTCGGCTTGCGAAGGTCGATCGAGACGGGGATCGCGAGCCTCGCACGCGGGCATGGACGTGCGCACAGGCGACCAGCGCTGTCGAGGTGGAAGCACACTTGCACGCCCTCGTGGAAGACCGGTGCAACATACCCGAAGCGGCGATCGTGGGGCCCAGTGAGCCTGTAAGGAGGGCCGCGTGAGGTGAGCTGCGTCCGTCTGGAAGCACACGGTCGATGCCGGTAAGAGGGGGACAACTTGAACTCACCCAGCCCGATCCCGATGCCAACAAATCACACTTCCCCTTCCCCCAACCGAGAACGCGAAAAGGCACACACGAGAGACCAGTACCGGCGACGACCACGTGCGAGACGAGCAAGTGGCGCGAGAAAGGCAAGAGCCCAGGCGAGACCTACAGAGACCAACTAGGGGGGACCTACTCGAGAGCGGGCTCAGGCGGGCTAGAGCCTGCTTGCTAGAGCTGGCTCCGGTGGTCGGTCGTTCGTCTCGCGCTTCGGACTCGGGCTTGGCTTCTGTGAATCAACTCGACTCGGACTGGACGTGTACGACGCCAGCGACAGGCAAGTGTCGCTCCTCGTACAAGCCATGGAGATCGGTGACTTGCCGATCGTCACAAAGTGCTACCTTGCGTACGTGCACCTGAATCTACCGACGGGACTGGTCGCCCCTGTCTTCGCTGCTCTGTGCCCGTCTCCCACGTCATCGCTCACTTCGGTCTGACCACCCACGTTTGGTGCGACACGCCTACAGCTCGGCCGTCGCGCTCAGTGTGGCCGTCGTACGTCCGGCTCATTCCTCGTTCGCACTCGCGCTCACTCGACACTGATGATCACATCTGTGTGCGCCTCGCTCCCAACCCCAACCCCACCCCCGGCCTCTGCACAGCAATGCAACGTCGTCACGCCCCTGCAGCTCTACTTCACCTATCGCTCCGCGTTTGAGCATGGCCAGGTCCGTGATGCTTTTCATCAATGACGAGGCCTGGCTCGTTGATGCTGACCGCTCATTCCTGCATCGCTTCTGGGTTCTGACCGCGTCTCGTCCCGTCCGTCCCGCACCGACCCCCACACCCCGTATCGGCGGCCTGCAGCTGTGGAGGATCGCCACGTGTTTCATGTACTGGGGCCCACTCGGGCTCGACTTTTTCTTCCACATATTCTTCTTGTGCGTCACTGCGTCCCGGGAGCATCACTTGCACGACGACGTGCCACCCACTACCACGCAGCCACTGCCGGTCAAGACTGACCCCTTTGCAACGTGCTCTCGACAGCATGCGGTACAGCAAAATGCTCGAGGAATCAACCTTCCATGGGCGGAGAGCCGACTACATCTGGCTACTGACTGTGTCTTGCACATTGCTTCTCGTCAGTACCTTGCAAGCACCGACAACTTTCCTGACTGTTTCGGCACTGACTCCTCTCGCTCTCTCTCTCTCTCTTTCTCTCGTGTACACCGCTCGGGCACGGCCCACAGATCCTCTCTCCCCTATCACCTTCCCCATTCCTCTCGTCACCGCTATCCTTCACCGTACGTCCCAAGAACCTACCATGATCACCTTGGAGGAGATACTACAGCGACCTAACGCGTCGAGCCTTTTCTCACCCGCAGCTCGTCTACCTCTGGTCACGCCTCAACCCGACCGTGCGCCTCTCCCTCTTCGGCATCATCACCATCACGGCCCCTTACCTCCCTTACGCCCTCTGTCTCTTTTCCTGGGCTCTTGCCGGTGGTGGAACGGGATGGGGCATGGGCGCCATCATGGGGGATGCATTGGGTCTCCTAACGGGCCATTGGTGGTAGGTTCTTGTTTCTGTTCTGGGCTGCAAGCACGAGTCAGTTCAGCTGAAGGGAAGCACACTCCGACAGGTACTTTTGGACCGAGGTGTGGAAGCGCGAACGAGCGAGCGGATCGAGGAATTGGTTGGAGACGCCGAGGATCCTGTCAGTGTTATTTCCTCAAAAGTTGGAAGGGCTGATGGAGGCCCCCTCGTCTACCTTCTGCCAGCGTCAGCTCACATCATTCTCCCTCCTTCTCGCAGTGTCAAGCTCTTTGATTCCCCCGAACGGATACGTGAAGTCGATGAAGCGGATAGACAGGCCGCGTTGGCGAGGGCACAGGCGATCGCTGCCACTGCCACTGCTGGGACGGGAAGAAGATAGTGCCACGCTTTTCTTTACGCAATTCATCCGCCATTATACCATCGGATCGGTACCGGTTCAGAAAAGAGTTCGTCTCCAAGCTTTTGATATCTTATCAGCATATTCTATCCAACCTCAACGCATCAGATCACCATGCCTTTCCGTAATTATGTGGACACAAGCAAAGCAGTCTGGGACGCGAGCACTTTGCATCGATAGCACTATATCAGCTCGATATAAGCCAAGATTCTTCCGGTCAGAACGCCAGAAGAGAGAGATAATGGACGTGTCGTCGCGAAATTAGGCTAGGGCGGCGAACGCGCCGGCGGTCATCGCGAGACCGAGGATCGCACCCAAGGCAGATCCTCGAGTGGTCGAACTCGAGCCCGAACTACCCGAAGCGCTACCCGTAGCCGACGCAGCAGTCGTGCCGGTCGCCGTGATACGTGCCGACGTTTTAATACCGGAAGAAGGACCACCCGAGGCCGAGGTGCCGTTGGATTCAGGGATTCCGCCCGAGGTCAAGACCGACGCGGTCGTGATGGTCGCGAAACCGACAGCAGCGGGCTCGAATCGGTATACTTGGTACAGGCTCATGAGGCTGGGAATGGAGCACAAACATCGAGTCAGTCACTCGATCGAAGAACGAGCGATCGCGGCCACTCACAAGGGCGTTCCAACAATGAAGGTATCCTTGGCACTCTGCGACGTGCCGAGCGAAGAAACGGCTCCAACGCAGAAAGTCCCACTCTTCGTCGCCGTTCCGGTGTTGAAGTTCTTAGGCGGCATTGAGTACACGACACCACCGAAGGTCATCGTCAGCGTGACCGAGGTCGCGCAAGGATACGCGTATAGTCCGCCACTGTTGGGAATGGCCTGCGAGCCCGAGATGCCGGCGTAGATGGCGCTGGCGATGCTTTGGGGAACGGCGATCGAGTTCGTTCCGGAGTCGATGACCACGGCCGAAGCTGAGATCCCGAGGTTGGTCCCTTGCAGTGTCATGGCGTCGAGGGGGATTTGCCAGTAAAGACCTTTGCTGATCGTGAGGCCGACGTAGTTGATCGTGCCCGTGTACAACGACGAGTTGGTCGTACCAATGTCCATGAAGCCACCAGGTACGACGGCATCGAACGAAGGAACATCCTGAGGGCCAAGTTCTGCGCCAGCAAGCGCGAACAACGGCTGCGAGAGGGAGCCGGCGGTGTAGAGGCCCTGCAAGAAGGGCATCGAGCCGGAGGCCGACAAGGCTTGGAAAGCGAGACCCATGAGGCCCGACTGGTCCGGCGAGGTCGTCAATCCAGTAACGTTGTCGCAAGCGGCGATGTTTTGTTGCGCCGTGAAGCCACCCATCGTCATCGTGTCCGCGACAAGCACACCGTTAGCAGACCCGGTGCCGTAGACGATGTCAACCGATTGGCCGAGCGATTTGGCCGACGAAGATCCGTTCGTGGCCGGGTAGAGCTGGCTCGTGATGGTGCATTCAGATGCGCATGCTTGCTTGTTGTCGTCAGATGTTACCATAACCAGATCCTGTTGTATCGGACAAAGTAGGTGCATATAGAGAGTCAGCGCGTGCGACAGCAAGCACTCGAGTGGCAAATCCCTCGACCGAGCTGGAGCACGCGGAGACCTACAGCTGATCCGGTGTCGAGGGCAACCTCGTACGTGTAGGAGGGTGTACCAAGAGAAATGGAGGCATAGTAGGATCTGTCAAGGTTGGTTTCGATCGAGCACAGTCACGCCGCCACCATAGATCTCGTCAGTCAAGGCGATTTCGCGCTGACGTCGTTGTCATCTTCTCCGCGGAGGGGACGACTCACTCGTCGTTGCCGGCGAGCGCGACCTGACTACCCGATGCACGCTTTGAGAGACGACTCGTAGCCTTAAAATCTTCCTCGTCGAGAGGGAGACCGTACTTGGACTTGGTTGCCTGCAGCTGGGCGATGCGGGTGTCGAGATCGGACAGGCCGTTCGATCTACGCGAGACGCGTTTGTGCAGCGGGAGCGAAGTCGAGATCTTGCCAGCGCGGCTGTGAAGATTGGGCGCAGGAGTCGCCACCGCTTGCCCGACGAGACCGACAAAGGCGAGATACACGAGACCACACGAGTGCACCATCTTGTGCTGAGCGGTTGAAGACGCTTAGGGATGTGGGATGGGCAGAGCAGGAGCAGGAAGGTAATGCGGCAGTGGTGTTGGGCTTGTGGTCGGCGTGTGGGAGTTAATTTGGGCCGGAGCCCGTTGCGCGAGGTGCAGCCTCGGCCAATCAACGTCATCGTGGGGCCACCCGGTGGCCCATAGCAACCGTGAGCTGATCATCACACCCATGGCCAGGGGAATATCGACAGCTCAGAACTTAATTGCGATTCTCGCTACCGGAATTACTCGGACTGCAGCACATAGTCTAATAAAACAATGAGTCGCATCGAGGCACGTAGTACCCCGCAGTAATGCCGAACGTGGCCAGAAAGAAGCTCACTTGTGCCACGCCGGCCAATTTCTTCGGCTTGCATCTCTCAAGGCCCCTGAACTTTTCAGACGCCGGCCTCGCGCACTTAGCATTTCTTCGATGCAGGAGCTTGGGACTCATGGCGTGGCCAGGGATTCAACAATTAAGCACGAAGTTTATGTATTCACTCGCTAGTTCCCCCAAAGTCAAACTACCCGGGAGCCTGTCGCGAGCGCTACTGATAACTACTCTCAAGCGCCAAAGACGAATACGCCGGCAGTCACGATGAGTCCCACGCAGGCACCGAGGACCGAGCCTCGAGCAGACAGGTGTGGGTGTGAAGCCGAGGATCGAGCCGTGGCCGACGCGGCATTGGATGACGAAGTCGTCGTGACATTCGTCGAGGCCGTGCCGTTGGATCGAGGGATTCCACCCGAAGTCAAGGCCGATGAATTAGTGATGGGTGCAAAGCCAACGGAGGGTGGGTTGAAACGGAAGACGCTGTAAAAGTTCATGATACTGTGTGGGAGAAAGAATAAAGAGACGCAGCGGAAATGTGTGAGTCGAGGCCAAACTGCGTGTGAGAAAGTCCCGTGGTCGCTCACAATGGCGTGCCGATGACATAGGTTGTCAACGCTTCTTCCGAGCTACCACCCAGAGCAGAGACGGCTCCGATGCAATGAGTTTCTTTGCGACCAGGGGAAACGCCGCCGTTGAAGAACTTGGGTGCCGTAGTGTATTGTACTCCGTTGAACGTCAAGGTGAGCGAAACGTTGGTCTTGCATGGATACTCGTAAAGCCCGCCTGTGCCGGCGATGAGCTTTGAATCTGCGATGGCTGCGTAGATCTTCTCCGCAGCAAGTGTCGGGATGGCCAACGAATTTGTACCAGAGTCGATGACAGCATTCGGGGTCGAGATGTTGACGTCGACGCCTTGGACGTGGAACGAGTCCAGCGGGATCTCCCAGTACTTACCCTTGCCACCGGTCAGGCCAGTGTATCCAATCGAGCCCGTGAAGAGGCTCGAATTTGTGGCCCCAATGTCCAAGAATCCGCCAGGTACCGTATTTTGGTATGCGCCGACGTCCTTGAGATCAAGTGGAGCGGGTGCGAACGCGAACAGGGGCTCTGACAATTGTCCGGTCTCGTAAAGGCCCTGCATGAACGGTCGCGAGCCCGTTCCGGATAGTGACTCGAAGGCCAGGCCGATGAGACCCGTCTCGTCAGAGGACGAGGTCAGAGACGTGACATTGTTGCAGGCTGCGATCGTTTGCACGGAGGTGAAGCCGCCCATCGAGACCGTGTCGTTGACGAGGTAGCCCACGGCGATGCCGCCCCCATAGACGAGATTCGTGGTCCTGTTCAGAGCCACGGCCGACGTCGACCCGTTGAGAGCAGGGTAAAGCTGGCCCGTGATAACACAGTCACCGACGCAAGCGTCATCCCGGTCCACTCCTGGCACCATCATGACCAAGTCCTATTAGAAAGAGAGGGAGATAATGGTCGGGGTTAGATCGGTATGGATGAGCCGGGAGTCTGCTCCCGCACGAACGGCCAGGAAGCGGACGGGGTACGTACAGATGACCCAGTGTCGAGCACGACTTCGTACGTGAAAGCCGGGGTTCCAACGGTGAGAGACCCGTAAAATGTTCTGTGGCACCAAAAATCGCCCTCAAGACCTAGTGAGCAAATCCTTCTCTCGCGAAGACACTACGATCGATAGAGGCACGTGACCGAGAACCGAGAACGAGGAACTGACTGATCGGTACCCGCGATGGGCAGGGAAGCGGACGACGCTCGCTTGCGTAAGAGTCGTCGACTAGCTTGGACATCTTCATACTCCCGAGGAATACCGTACCTCGCCTTGAGGGCTTGGTGCTGTGCGATGCGGCGGTCGAGGTCCGAAAATCCCCCGACGGATCGAGGTGACAGGCGCCGCTGCAGCGGGATCGAAATCGAACCCTTGTCTGAAAAGCTGATGGGACTGGCGAACGTTTCGCCGAGCAGCCCGAACATGGCGAGGCACAACAAGCTCGATGATTGTAACATGATCCAGAGGCGAGCGAGTGAAAAATCAAGTGGCAGAGAGTGGAGTGGCAGGAAACAGAAAGAGAGAGATTGGCACTGGTTGGAACTTCAACACGAGGCTCGTCCGCGGCCACTATAGTATAAGATTGTCGCTAGCTCAACCTTTCCGGTGCGGATGCGGGGACCCGTCAGAGGTTTGAGGATGGCCGAAATACTTGGCGCGCCCGAGCGCATCGCTCGAGAAGAGAGAAATCTGATTCATTCAACCGAATCGAGTAAAGCGATGCCAGAGTGCCCCGCGGCCAGATAGGGGACCGATCGACGAATCGAGACGACTGACCAGGTCCAGGCGCAAGGCGCGCAACTTCGCATGGGCAGTGCGCTTTGACAATTCGGCCGCTCTGGGGTTGTTGGAGTCGGGCAATTCCCGCTTCTGGCCCAACGCGCGGACAGCCTTTACAGGAACAGGCTTTGGTTGAGCGATCGGCAGCCAGCCTGCAGGTTGAAGCTGTAGAAATTACTTGCACACCATTGACGGGTTGCATTGAACCAATATACGTAGTTGGGTACGTACTAGGTGATCTGAATCACCAATCTGATGCGCCAAGTAGATCGGGCCAATCGGGATTTTCTAGCAGTCGGTGGCTGGTAAGTGCCGCCGCTCCCGCCGCCGCCTCTCAATTTCCAATCCCGACCGGGCTGCGAGTATCACGTGCATCGGCGTTATTGCAGTAGGTGTGTAAAATAGAACAGGTAGACGATTCCCAAGCGCCACGGCTCTGCCTCCTCATCCTTGCCGGCGTCAGGAAGCTTCACGAAGCTTTTTAGCCGGTTTCGCATCGGCGTCCGATTCGCCCTCAGCAGCGCCGTCGGAATCATCGAGCAAGTCAATGACCTCGATGGAACTCTCCTTCTTTCGCTTGTGGGTAGCTGGTGCTTTTTTCAGGGTCACGGGTGAAGAAGACTTCCACTTGGGGGATGCCGCTGATGCTGATTTGGGCATGTTGGGAGAGCCTTGGGAATTTTGCTTCGCGAACATCGTCTCGAGCGTCCCCGGGGCACCTTTGATCGGCTCAATGAATGTTGGCGATTCGTTGCCAACCTTGCCTACGCCTTTGGGTACTTGGTAAATAGTGAGTTCTCGCTCGTACGGGCGGATGAGGTTCTCGACGGGCTTGGTCCACTTTTCCTCCGACAGCCACAATCGGATCTCCTCGGGATTTTGCAGAATGGCGGGCATGCGGTGGTGTAGCTGCGCAAAATACCCCAAAATCAGCTGCTGAAGGGAAGTAATCAAAGGAGAGTCGCAATCGTTGGACAGCGAATTACTGTCGACATCTGTTGGTTCGCCGGGACGGTAATGATCGTGAATGTGGTGACGGGATCGAAACTGTCACCGAATCTGTGGTGCGGGACAGGCGAAGAGTATTAGCCAGAGCTCACACACTGACGTGTCGCGAATTTGAGCAAGTGAAACTCGCGTCGCATGGTCGTAGAGTCCTGCCATACATAAAAGCCGACCATCGGCGGGCTTGATGAAATGGGGCAGCTTGTCCTTGCCTTTAGTTAACCATTCGTAGAACCCGTCGGCGACGACGATGCACCTCTTGGAATCGCGGACCGATCTCCACAATGGTGTGCCTTGACTGAGATTCTCGTACGTGCAGTTGATGGTGTGTAGAGGACCGCCCTCGGGCGGTTCCTTGCTCCATGCTGGGATGAGGCCCCACTGCAGCAGATCGAGAGAGTAGCGTTCGGCGCGCGAGCGCGCTGACATGGTCTTGTCGCGGAGCAGCACGGCCGAGTTGCTTTTCGGGGGGACGTTGTATCGTGGACGGTATCTCTTCTTGGCCGTATCGCTTGCCCATTCAATCACCCCACTGCTCCCCGAGGCACGAGCAGTGCTGCTGCTCCTTTCCTCCGAAAAGCCACTGCCACTTGCTTGACCCGACCCAATTGTTCCCTCTTGCTGTCCATCCGTGATGCGTTCGTGGAACCGAGAGCCCTCTCCTTGATCCAATTGTTGCTCTTGGTCCTCTTGAGCCTCGTCGTCACCGCCGCCGTCATCACCGTCATCATCATTGTGATCGTCATCGTCGCGAGGTGGTGCCCCGCCACGATCCCGCCTGCCCCTCGGTCGCTGTGGAATGAAGTACTGCCGCACGAGTTCCTGTTGGAGGTCATCAGCATCGTAGCTCTGCGCAAAGCGGCCACACCTGTTTTTGAGCTCGTTGATCAGGGTCAGCACCGCACACAAAACAATACGGAGGTGCCGGCAGGTCCGGGGAGCAGTGTCGGGGGCGGGGGGGTCTAGTGGCAAAGTCCGCGTGAAGGGACGGTGGTTCAGGCGACAACATGGCACGTAGAATTCAATCAGGGTAGTTGAAAGCATCTAGCTTCACTCGGTCTGTGCCGATCCTGCGTTTGACATTCACCCCAGCACAGCCGAGCTCCGAGTAAATGACGGTCGACGCGACGATCCCGGCCGACTCGATCTGAATGACAGGCGACATGCTTATGGTCGATCGGGGGTCCAAGTCAAGAGACCGGGGGGATGGTTTTACTCACATGCTAGCTACGCGATGTCAAGGAGTTGGGTCGTGGGCTCGGGTCATGGAGTGTCGCGTGCGTGTGCACAAGTCAAAAGAGGTGGCGCCGCGCGAAGTCACCGTCGCGAGGTCGCGTAGAGGGGTGCAGTGGCGACTGGGTGGCGCGCATGCGCTTAGAGTGGATTAGAGTGGAGCAACTACACGACTAGAACAGAGGGGCTACAGCGCGGCGCTAGCGAAAGCGTTGGGCTGACGGGGTCCGTCCAAAGCCGATCGAATCATAGTCGGCCCGAGCCGCAAGCTCGGTGCTTACTGCTGCGGGCTCTGCTCTGCCCCACTGCTTCGACGTCTGCTCTCAGGCTCTCGCCAAGGGAGTCGTCTTTGTTGCGATCCAGAACACAACCATTACCAGGGTAGAGAAGCTACATCTCACGTAGTGCAATCAATCATCTGAGGTCCAATCGAGGAGCATGGGACCCCCCACTGCACTGCACTGCACTGCACTGCACTGCACTGGCGACGGCGTTGATTTCCAGTGTCCAGACACGAAATCACGTAACATTGCAATTTAGAGCAAGTGGCAAAAATACGACACATGAAAGAAGAAGAAATAAACTGCATAGAAACACGCACAGACAAGGACATTCGAAACCAATGAGAGATATGGTGGCACTGGCCAAGTGCAACATGAATGGGCCTATTCACGACTAGTCGAAACTCGAGCTGTGGCGAGATCTTGGATGGTCAGCATGGCTATTTCAGCTATCCAAGACGAAGGGGCGAAAAGTCGTGCTCACCCCAGAAGTAGATGAGCCTTTTCCTGGTCCGAGATGCCCGAGATGGACGCTCGAAGTGGTCGGTGTGCTGTGACAGAAGATGCAGTTCTACGTGGGTCAGTGCTGAACTTGATGTGACCTAGATGTTCAAGGCCCTGAAAGCTTACTCGGGTATGATGAGCTGGAAGAGTCGGAATGGTGCGAGCTGCTTCGACCTTCTGACATGGGGTGAGTCAACTGGCGTACTCGATCCAGATTGCTCGATCGACTACTGCGAGCGCTGAGCGACGAGGGTGACCCGGGGGAGCCAGGGGTAGGGACCATCGGTTCGGGCTCGACCATGAAGCGATCATCCGAAAGTATGTGGTGCTGTTGAGCCTGCGGGAAAGGGACCAACGCGGCAGTCGCTTCGGCTCGTTCGACTTCGGCGACAATCGCCTCGGGTTGCTGCCCACGACCGCGGACTTCCTGAGCCTCGGCAACAGCCTCGGCCGCTGCTTCAGCGTCTCCCGCTGCGTAGTCGCCGTTGTAGGACTGCGGGTTCGGCGATGCGGTGCGCATACGGCCCAGAGGACTGGTCGGGCCGCGCGTCACAGGCGTGCCGTGGTTCGAAGGTGCCGTGATTTTGTGGCGGAAGGGCATCTTGATCTTGGACTTGAGTCCTTGGCTCATAGCCGAGCGCTGTTCGGTCAGAGGCAGCTTGCGGTGCGCGCGCGACAGGTACTGGCCCAGCAAAGAAGAACGCTGGGACCAAATCGACTTCATCGTGTCCTTTCTCATTACGGTGATCAGATCGAGAAACGACCACGTCTTGGAGCGGTATTGCATCGACGGGGTCTTGTAGACAATGTCGAAAAGGTCAAACATTCGGCTGTGGTCAGACTTTTCAGACTAACAACGGGAACGGAGCGCAGTGATCAGCAACCCAAAGCACAGCAGAAGCAAGTTTTTAGTGGGCATACACTCACTTTGTACGTGAGACACAGCGTCGTGGGGCTGATGTCGACTAGCACGAAGGTGCGATTCAAGCGGGCACGTGCGCGCATCTCCTCGGCGTCGAGGACCTGTTCGCTCGTCGCGAGCGAAAGCACGTCCATCGAGCTGACGTGACGAAGCTGTCGTTGTCCCGTGTGGATGCTCGAAGCGGAAGAAGACATCAGCTGCGATACCGAGCCATTGAGGGCAAGCTCATTCTGGCGACGAAGCTGCAGCGAGTCGACGGAATGATTGCTATGAACCGCAATTGAGGGAGGTCTCAACGAGTTGTTGGATAGCTTGGATTTGAGCGATCGCTGTGCCTGCTTCTGGGATCCACTGGAGATCGAGTCGGCGTCGCTCTCGGCTTCGGAGTGGTCCCGGTTGTCGCCACCGTCCTCGTCGGACTTGCGCCGCTGCGAAAATACATAGTCCATGATGCGCCGTCCGACATGATGCTCGAGCTGCAGTCGGATCGGGTGGAGGTGCAGCTCGAATTGCTCCACGATCGAGATACCTCCGACGGGCGGCAACGCGTTCCATAGCACAGCCGCGAACACGTTGACTTTGGCCATGTTGTTGTCACGATCGCCGTGGTACTTGGCGATAATCTCCGCAAATAGATGCTCGGGACTGCTGTTGAGCGCCTTGAGGTCCTTGATAACGAGACGATTCGATACCGAGCTGTCGGACTTGCTCGTCCACGCAAATTCGGCACCCGTGACGGAGAACTTGGCAAAGGGAATGTCGGCGTTGTCGTGCATGTGCCACGTCAGTTCGGGTGCCTTGGCTTCGAACAGGAGGCCCGCGTGAGTCGTCGCAGGCTTGAGAGCCCCACTCAGCGATCGCGCGCGCGAGATGGACTCGACGAGCAGAGTCAACTCGGACGCCTGCCGGATAGCTTCGGTCATGTAGGTGAACATCTCGAGGCGACCTTCGCCATCGAGTTCGTCGAGATGGATACGGTACTGCAGGACCATCGCCGCGAGGGATCGAACCTTGTATTGCAGGTCGCTGACGACGCCGATGGCGCCTTCGAGGTGGGTGAAATCATGGGTGAACACCAGCGCCTCAAGCTTGCTATTGCGCCGCTTGTGAGCAGGATCGCTGTACAAGAGTAGGTCAGTGACGACGTTGTACACGGCCGTGAAGTGAGTCGGATTCGCCGACACGGAAAGCTTGTCGTTCTTCAGGGCAATGCGATCTGGTTCATCCGTGGTTCAAAAGAGAGGGGTTCAGCTTCTCACGAGACTAAACTAGAACATGTGTATATCGACTTGCCAGTACCCGTGCGGAAATGACTCATCGACGGGGCCCAGAGATGCGGGGTCTCCTGCTCGTGCACAGCCTTGCTCGAGCCCAGGCGCAACTTGTTGAACTTGTCGTAGCGCATCGATGCCCAGGTACGGGGCACGATACGATCGAAGCCCCAGGGCTCCACGCGCAGGTCAATCAGCGTCTCGAGCGGCACGGTCAGCTTGGTCAAACCCTTGGTTCTCGTGGAGACCTGCGGGCAAAAGGCCTGCAGCCCTTCGAGTGTCGCGAACGTCGAGTGCAAGACGTCCGCGTTGATGGGGTCATCGGGGTACTCGCTGTCGTTGACCGCGAACGACTTGAACTGGGCGCGGAACGCGGTCAGGATCACAGTCGACTTGTCGTCGACGTCGCTCGTCAGCGCAATCTGCGGCTTGATGAACATGCAGAAGTGGGCGCGTTTGCTCGTGTACCGTTCCGGAAGCAGTAGGGCCGCGGCGTCGGGATCGAGCTCCATGTCGCCGTGGTCGTCGTCTTGATGCTGCCTAGCTCGACTGCCTTGATCCTCGCCCTCGGCCCACGAGTTGGGCCGGCTGGAGCCGGGCGTCTTGCCCTCTTCGACGTGGCTCTTGAGCAAGTCGTCGAGTAATCGCCGCGCCGAGGCCGACACGTCCGACGAGGAAGCGCCTCGCACGGTCGAATCGTTCGTGTCCTTCGCACCCTTCTGGCGCACGGTCGACTTTTTGGACTTGGGGTCCTCGGCGGGAGCAGCGAGGTCGCGGATGAACTTGATCGCCGTGGCTGAAAGGTGGTATACGAACGCCTTGCGATCTTGCGAAGAATGGTAGTACTTGAGCAAGATCTGGCGCGAAGCGTTCGTCAAGTGCATCGAAGGGTTGTGGAACATGTATCGGTTCTCCCAATCGCCCCACTGGGAATAAAAGTGGCTCGTAATGTGCGACAGCTCTTCGCCTTCGTCTTCGGCCGGCTCGTGCGGATGCGTCGAGGACGAGTCGTCGTTGAAAACCGTGGGGGAACGCTTCGCCGAGAGTTCAGCTTCCCGCACTTTCTTGAGCCGCGCGATGATGGCCGTGATGGCGGCGATGCGAGACTCGAGCTCGCGCCGAGTGTGCGCGACCGCAGGGGTCTGCGGGAGGGATGCCACTGTCAGTATTCTGTCACAAGCCCCAACCTACCTCCACGACCAGCCAGACCAACCTTTTGCTGGCTCTGAAGCTCTTCGAGGCGAGCGTTAGCGGCATCTATCTGGATATCGATCGCAGCTGTTTGATAAGATCGGGGGAAAGGATATGAGCGGACAAGTCATGGTAACTTCGAAGTACCGGCAATGATGTACGTACATTTGGCTTGCCCGACGAGACAAGTGTGCGACGGCTCACGCCCAAACTTGCTCTTCGGGTAGGCCTGTTCGCTGCGCTCGTCGTGAGTCGATTCGAGCGTTTGGGATCGCGCATGATCCCCGGCACCACTCTTGTGTCCCTCCTGGTCATGACGTCGCTGCTCCTCCTCCGCTTCTTCCGGCGTCCATCGCGCGACGTCAACCTGGCGATCGTATGTGAGCCGAGGACAGGTGATGAAGGGGAACATGCGAACGCGGGGCGCCTCGTCCTCGAAGCTGTAGGAGATGTCGACGTAGTCATCCCGATCGACCCACGCCAAATCCTCGTCAGAGATGTTTGGCAAAGGCAGCGGCGGCAGCTCCTGCTCTCCTTCGTTCATCTCCTCCAGAGGGGCCAGCTGCGCCTTTTCGGGCTCGCTGAACGTCGCCGAGATGGCGCGAAGGTCCACGTCGTCGAGGTCGACTTCGGCGAGGTAGAAGGCCTTGTGAATCACCTGTTTGGTCACCATCGTGTCCGAATGTGTGACGAGCGATTCCTGTTCGCGCTGGTGCAAATCGACGTTGAAGCGGCCAATCTTGGCCTTGATGCCGAGGGCCGTCGTCTCCCCCTTGGCCCATTCCTCCGGCGCATCTTGGCGGTAGGTGTGCGAGATAAACAAGGGGGCGAGACTGAAGCGATACTTGATCGTCGCGCAGTGCTTGCCAAATTTCTTCGAGGGCGCTTGCGACGAAGGGAACAGCTTCCCCTGACGGATCGGCAGGGACATGGTGCCGTCAAAGAGCTTCCACCACCGTGCAAAATGCGCCATCGCATGCGGCGTGAAGTGCAAGCTGTTGCTCTTGTCGCCGTCCTCGACGAACGACTCGGCTTCGTGATCGCTGCTCGCGTCATCGGGGTTCGGAGACGCCCCGCACGAAGGCAGATCCAGCGTCGACGGCGAGGTGAGCGAGATTGAAAAGTGGATAAAGTCGGAACGGAAACCAGCGAACGAGTCCTCGACCTCAAGCAGTTCCGTCAAAGTAAACGAAGTCAGCTGTCTCAGTCTACTATCGAAGAAGGCTGCGCCGGCTCACCTCCCCATTCGGCTTGATGGCCTGATCGGTCTTGGTGTGCACTTCCCAGTGGGAGATAAAGTCCCAGATACGACAGGCGCGGTGAAATGGGGTCCGACCTTTGCATTCGACCTTGTCGCAAGTCTTGTCCGTGCACGCCCGCTCGACGACGCATCCCATACCCCAGCGCACGCCGTGCACAAGTCGCGCGCATACCTTGACGAACTCGGTGTCGGCGCCAAACTTGTACTGACCCGTTTCGAGGCCGTTCAAGGTTGTGTTGTTGTCCGTGTACTCGGCATTGTCCCGGTTCGTCTGTGCCAAACCCGTCGCAGCGTTGTCAACATAGTCGCGTAGATTGGGCACACCGAGAATGTAGCGGTCTGACAGGATCTGGAAGAACTCGCGATCGGGATTTTGGTGCCCAACGAGAAACTTGACGCTGCCGTGCCACGACTTGACGAAGCCGGCGCCAAAGCCCGTGATCGAGTACGGGTCCCGACTACCCTTGAGATGGAAATGCACGGGACCTTCGCCTTCGAATAACACCGATACGCGCCAATGGAACTGGAGCCGGATCTTGTCCCAGAAGCCAATCCGGTCTGAAGGATCGGGGGACTGCTTCGTGATCGTGTCGAGCACCTTGGCGACGTCTTGGATTGCCGGCGAGATCGAATTCCCCCAACCAATCCGTGTCGCGTACGGCGACCGCACTCGAATCGTGGGCACCGCGTACGTCTTGGTCGTCATCGCTGTACGTGGAACGACGATAGAATACAGGTTCGTGCTCGACTTGGCCGCATGCGCGGGTACGATCACGACGGGGACGCGACGGATGGACTCTTCGCTCCCGATCTCTTCGCCAATGACGAGATCCATGTCCATAATCCAACTCGCCTTGGGTGTCTGCGTCTTGGCTACATCGGGGGCAACGGGAGCGATGGGAATGTGGAGCAGCGGAAGCGGGTAGTCGCGGAGACGAATCGTCGCTTCGCTCATCTGCACGTTGACGTGCATCGGAACCAGGAGCGTGAATTGGGTATCGCGCGGCAAACCCTTGCCGACGTCGTGCAAGAAGTCGGGAAGCTTTTCGTCGGCAAAGCTGGTGCGCGAGATCGTGAACTGCAGGTTGTGCAGCGTCGCGCGAGCCAGCGGCACGGATTTACTCGTCGGCAGCAAGGGGACGGGGAGCACCGAGTCGGGTCGCTTGCTGTTGTGCTTGCCGCCGTACAGTCGCCTGGTGAGGGCTTCTTCACGACGCGCCTGCTCCGCCACAGCATTGCGCATACGCTTGACCCAGTGCGACGAGTTGTACGCCAGCAAGTCGTGTAGGGCCTGCTTGGGGCTGACGGTGTGGTGCCCGTTGGGCCCGCGCGGCCCATTCGCGTCGTGCCGCGCCATGGGCGTCTCTTGTGCACAACCGTCGATGTCGATGTCGTCCTCGAGGGGCACCCCGCTCTCCTCGTGCGCCTTACGGATGGCCTCAAGCTTGGCCTGAAACGCGAGTTGGCGCTCGATGCGTGCGCTCTGCTCCTCGTACCCGGCACGCCAGATGATGTTCAACCGTGTTTCGAACGGGTCATCCTGGATCTCGATCGCAAACATCTTGATGTTGAGCTCGATCCGCGGTAGCTTTTTCGCCGCTTCGGCTTCCGGCTCGAGGACAGAGTTCATCCCACCCTCGACGTGCTGGTGCACCAACTGCTTCGTCGCTTTGATCAGGTTGGCGACGTTGTCGATGATGCGCGAATCTGAATACACCCACAGCAGGTTGTAGACATGAGCATCAGTTTGTGCGAAGCGAGCAGTAGGCTTTTTTTCCTACTCACAGATGTAGCGGAACGGTATCCTCATGCGGGCTGTTTCGGACGACAAAGAAATCACGAACGGTCGGTGCCCATCGTTCCCCGGTTCAGGTCGGACGGCGAGCGAGGTGACACGCAGGCGCAAAAGATCGTCCCACTTGCCCAGGACGGTCGGACTGTCACCCGCTAGCAAGCCTGTGTCCCATTCAACGAGAAGGCCAATCTGCTTCGTGTACTGCACGCAGGGGCGCTTGAGCTTGAGGTACAATGGCACGTTGTGGGGTAGGGTGATGAACAGATTCAGATCATCGACGTCACCCCGCAGGCTAATCAGAGGCTTGGGTCGTTTCGCCGAGTGAGGCTTGGATGATTCGCCCTCGGCGCGCTCGACTTCGTCCGAGCCCACGTCCACGTCCACGTCAGGATCGACCGCGGGAGGCCGGGGGCTCAGTTCGGGGTTGTGCTCCGGTGAAAGCGAACGTAGCGCAGAAAAGGCGACGAGGCACAGGTAGATGCTGAACAGCTCGAGCCGGAAGGTCCCCGTGCGACCCTTGACCGACACGATGACCTCGTCCAGGGGCCCATTGGGGGTCCGCTCCTTGACTTCGACGATTCGAGCACGCAGGGCCAGTCTGGGAACGTGGGCGATGCGCTTGACGGTCTTGTCCGGTCGATGGACCATGATCGTCTTGCGCCGTTTCGTCAGATCCGTAATGTGGGCGCGGTTGCGCAACTCCCACGAAGCGTCCTCGTGGCCGTCCTGCTCCATCCCGGGCCACATCGAGTACTTTCGCGTATGCCCCAGCGTCTCGCGGGCGTCGACGACGGGGTCGATGCTCCAATCGTGGACCGCGACCTTGACGAGCGCTTGCTCGCGGTGCGACATCGCCAACGCGTTCGCCTCCTGGCGAATGTCTTCGGCCAGCTCGAGTGAGGCGCGATTGCCGTAGTTGAGGGCGCCTTCCTGGCGCAGCTTGGGCTGGAGCAGGTACTCGAACACGACGGGGCCGCAGTGGACGGCGATACCGCGACAGGCTTGCTCGTCGTTCTTGGGGTCGGACCCGGCGAGGCGCACGTCAAAGGTCCCGATGGCGGCGTAAAAGCACTGGTTGTGGGGCAATGATCGCACGAGCAGCTTGGGCTCGGGCGGTCCCGATTCGTCCGTCGCCTTGGCTCGCGTCGTCTTGGTCGCCGAAGCGCTCGCCCACGACGACACGAAATCGCGCAGGCAGCTCATCACGATCGGTCGCCACAAGTCAATCCCAACATGTTCGACCAAGATGTTGTGTTCGCCGACGAGCGTGTTGAGGTTGAATTCGGCGATCGCTCCGAGCTGGGCGTCGTCCTTGACCGAGCACTTGATCTGCTGCGTCAGCGTGATCTCGACCGGACCCGCGGCGAGAATGTCGAGACGCCGCGTGTTGGAAGGCAGCGTCGATTGCTGGTCGAGGAAGCACTCGCTGCTTCCCGTACCTCCCTCGCCTCGGATGGGGTCTGTCGCAATGATGTAGATGTTGAGCGTCTCGGCCGCGAGGTGGGCCCGCGCCGTGTACTTCATAGGGAGCGAGCGCAGATCGCGCACGTCCGACAGTGTCGATTCAGGCGCATCGGCGTAGTGCTGTTTGATGGGGATCTTGCTCTCGGTGAGCATGCCCTTGTCGCGCAACTCAACGGACTTGTAGCTCGCCTCACGGTCGGGCGGCTCGCCCGGTCGTTTGCTCCGGTATTTCTCATTTCGTCTGGCCAAGCGGCGATCGGCCTCGGTGCGCCGTAGGCTGCGGTCCTCGTACTCGCCCCCGAAGCTGAAGGTCCCGTTGGGAATGGAGAGACAAAACAGATCCGGACAAGCCCACTCGCGGAAAAAGTGGTCGCGATCGTCAGCGATGTTGTCCTCGGAACTGCTCGTCGGCGCCTGCACGCGCAGCTCGATCCCGGCCATCGCGATGTGCCCGACAACGCGCGGCGCTCCCCGGACGACCTTGGCCTCGCTCGTGGACGACAAGTCTGTGCGGATATACTTGCCGTACTGGGACCGCGGGCGCGCCATAAAAATGCGCAGCGCGCTGTCGATCGTCTCGTACTTGGCGTGCCCTCGCACCTCGCCGATGTAGCCTTCGATAACGACGGTCTCGTCGTTGAAGTACCGAGGGGATGTGTACGTCACGAGTTCGGGCGTATAGGCCGCAAAGGACTCGAAAAGTTTGGGAGGTAGCCACGTTGTCGTCGTCGTTACCGAGGAGCGACCGATCGAGAACGCTTTGGCCGAATTGGGAAGGATGTCCTCTGCACACGACATCATGGGATCAGACCTTTGCCTGCTGGAAACCAACTCATCGTTGCACTCACCTGCCGATCCGTCGACCTTGACCCTGCCTTCAATCTCGCCCCAGCCAATCGTTCCTCCCAAACCCAGAATTCGATCTTTGCCGAGCCACTCGGCGTGCTCGCGTTTGACCATGTCCGTCGAGCCGCTCATACGTAGTCGAGCCGAGATGTTGCGGATCGTCAGTGCGAACGCGACGGCCTGCGGGAGTTGCCGTTTGGGGGACACCGCGAGTGTATGGTGAGGGGTGTGGTAGTGAGCCGAAACGACGACGAGCGGGATGTCAGCGTCGAAGGAGCGCAGGAAGAAGAGAGGCGTGGGTTTCGGTTTGGCACTGTTTTGGGCCTTGGGCAGCTCTTCTGCTGCACCAACGACGGCACGATCCGGTCGAGGGTGTCGATGGAGAAACTGCTTGCGTTCGTGCAGCAGGTCTTCGACCTTGGCGAGCAGTGCTTTCCCTTCGTACACTCGGATGTGCACGCCCGTGTCGAGATCCTTTCGCGCGCGACGGGGTCTCTCGATCGTCAGCGACACGCGTACAGTCGCCCGTCCTGCGTTCCACTGCTTTCCACGACACTTGATGAGGGAGATGAGCCCACCCGTCGGTCCGAGAGGGGTCGAGGCCGACAGCAGGAGCAGGGACTGTATTTCGACGGCGGGCAGCGGGGTCGGCGTCTGCGGAATGGTCGATTTGAATGGCAGAACCTCGTGAATCTTGAGCCCCGAGATGGCGATCCAGACCCCAATGTGGGGCTCGCGATCGATATCATGCCTGCTCGAGCGTCGGTGTTTGTCAACGGTGCGACGTACGACGAAGGGGCGAGCGATCTCACCGCCGACATCGACGAGGCACTTGACACGGGCGACGTCCTCGAGCTCGACGGCGAGATCAATCTCGATCGCGAACAGGGCCAGGAGCGAGGTCAGTCGTCGAACGATGAGGTGGGTCGCGGCGAGCACCAATGCGAGCATGTGCCGGACGAGCCGAAGAGCGAGTTGTGACAGACTCGGCTGTCGGGCACGACGAGCAGGGCGCTGCTGCACATCGTCGCCGTGGTCGTCGTCCATGCGAGGGGTTCGCGGTGGGGAGTAAGAGGGGTCGAACACCGAGTCCTTCCCTGCTGGTGAGCCGTTGAGGTTGAGAGGGTGTTGTCTGCTGGAAGGTCCATCTCGCGGGTGTTCGAATCGAGCCTCGCGGCGAGGGGAGCCAGACGTGTTTCGCGGTGGACGTGGCGGAGGCGGCTCGATGACGATGCGCTTTGGGATGCGCACCTCGACGCCAACGAGCCTGAGGATGAACCAGCCTTTTTTGGAGGTGTTGGTGCCGACGATGGACCATGCGAAGCGTTCGACGGTGATGACGACGCCGGACGCGTCGTGCCATTCAAAGCTGCCGAGGCCGAGCGCGGACACGGTGCGAATCCGAAGTCGAGGCACGAACAGCGCGAGCAGAACGTGCAGCAGCACCCTCAACGTCAGCAGCACCGCGACGACGGTGACGACCAAGCTCGTCCATGATCGTGTCTCGTCCGCGCCCTTGAACAAGGTCGTCAGGCTGGAGTGGGAGCGGGCAATCGGGCGAGACCGAGCGAGCGTCAGCGGGAGATGGTCCGATCGTGAGCTCGCATCGACGCATCAGGCACTTCTTGTGTGGGGGGAACACGGAGGGGGTTGGGCTTTCGACCGGCGCAGGGGTAGATGGTACGGAAGGAGATGGCAGTATGATATGTATGACTCACCTTTGCCAGGTTGCATTCATACTGCCTGGTTTGTTCATCTCGTGTGGCCACTCATGCCTGCAGGATAGTCGGGGTTGAGCCGTGTTACGGCGATGGACGGCGGTGGACGGCGATGGAGACGTGGTGGTGGACTCGAGAGAGCGAGCGAGCGACAGATTGGCCAACGAATTCAGCTCCGAGTTTCCCAGCGAATGCTGAGCTCAATTTGTATTACCGATTCTCCAGCGCGCGAGCTCGGCGGTGCGCCTGCGCTCGCCTACGCCCGTGGAGGCCAGTGCAAGCCCGCGCTGGCTCGCGCTGGCCTGTGGCATCCTGTGGCTGCCTGTGGAAGATGCGGCGCTAGGGTCTCGGGCGCTCGAAGCTGGTTTGCCTTTTGCCCATCTGACATCCCTTCCTACAGGTTCTGTTTGGGTGAGTGCCCGACGTCCATGGTCCATGGTCCATCTTGGTGGTGGCTACGTTCAACACTTTGGGTGGGATGACCTGTACTGCATCGACTAGGCCACTCTGTCGACGATTTGCTCCACCACACCAACTGCTTGCCGGCCCGCCTGCTTGCCTGCTTGCCTGCTTGCCTGCTTGCCTGCTTGCCTGGGCCTCGTGCGCTGCGACCGGGCCCGCCGCCGCATCTTTTTTTCGACGGCCGACAGCCAGCGAAACCCCGACGCCCAGCGCCTCAACGACGCGGCCCAGCATCGCAAGCCCCACGAACTATCCTCCCAGCACATCAGTCCTTCCTTGATCATCTCCTTACACGACTAGACCATAATCGACATGGACTGGTATGGGCCGGAAGGGGTGGGGTTTTGCATACGCATGGGACACGGCAGGCGTGGCCGTCGTGGACTTCGTCGTCGCACCGACCATCCGCGCTTTGCGGCCCAGCTCAGCCAGCAAGCACCAAGGACACGACCACGACCACCACACACCCCCACGATTACATGATCCGACACAGACCCGCTGACATCGGTATTTTTTCCCTCTTCTTCTCAGTCGACATGTCTCACAGGAAGTTTGAGTGAGTCTGCCTCGGTCTGCTCGCGCCGTTGACGGTGCTGCCTCTGCCTGGCTAGGCCTGGCCCTCGCGGCTGGCGCATTCAGGCCGCGACCCCATGCCCAAGGTGTCACGGCGGCGCGAGCGCGACCTGTTGCGGAGTGAGCCCCCAACCGTCGAAACTGACCGACCACCCTCACTCCTCCTACCTCACCATCACCACAGACACCCCCGACACGGCTCTTTGGGTTTCTTGCCGCGCAAGCGTGCAGCTCGTCACCGTGGCAAGGCAAAGGCCTTCCCCACCGTAACTCATCTCAGCTAAGGAGTCGCACCGCAACCTCCAACAGCCGCTGACCACTCTCGCCTCGTCCTGGCCCACTTGCATCACCACAGGATGACAAGTCCAAGCCCGTCCACTTGACCGCCTTCCTCGGCTACAAGGCCGGCATGACCCACATTGTCCGCGAGTTGGAGCGACCTGGATCCAGTAAGCCAGCCATCCCATCGGGGCTCTGTTTCCTCTCTGGTTTGTTCACTCCTGACCCCACCTCTCTCTGCTCCGCGACCATCAGAGATGCACAGGAAGGAGGTTGTCGAGGCCGTCACCGTCATCGACACCCCCCCAATGGTCGTCGTTGGTGTTGTTGGCTACGTCGAGACCCCCCGCGGTCTCCGATCGCTCACCACCGTCTGGGCCGAGCACCTTTCCGACGAGTTGAAGCGCCGATTCTACAAGAACTGGTACCGATCCAAGAAAAAGGCCTTCACCAAGGCCGCCAAGAAGCACGCCGAGTCTGGTGCCAAGTCGTCGATCGCCCGCGAGCTCGAGCGTATCTCCAAGTACTGCTCCGTCGTCCGCGTTCTCGCACACACCCAGATCCGCAAGACCGGCCTCCAGCAAAAGAAGGCCCATCTGATGGAGATCCAGGTCAACGGTGGCTCGATCGCTGACAAGGTTGAGTTCGCCAAGTCGCACTTTGAGAAGACCGTCGACATCGCGTCCGTGTTCGAGCAGAACGAGAACATCGACATCATCGGGGTCACTCACGGTCACGGTTTCGAGGGTGTGACCCACCGTTGGGGAACCAAGAAGTTGCCGCGCAAGACCCACAAGGGATTGCGAAAGGTTGCTTGCATTGGTGCATGGCATCCTTCCAAGGTCATGTACTCGGTCGCGCGTGCCGGTCAAAACGGTTACCATCATCGTACCGAGCGGTGAGTTTCCGCGCTCTCTTCCTTTCGTTTTCTTGCACGTGAATGGCAAACTCACCATTGCCACTTTGCTCTCTACAGATCGAAGAAGATCTACCGAATTGGCGCTGCTGGTGATGCCAACTCGGGTGCGACCGAATTCGACATCACGGAGAAGTCGATCAACCCCCTCGGTGGCTTTGTCCGATACGGTATCGTTAAGAACGACTTTGTTGTCGTCAAGGGCTCGACGGTCGGTGTCAAGAAGCGCGTCTTGACCCTGCGCAAGTCGCTCATCACCCACACCTCGCGCAAGGCGACCGAGCAGATCACGCTCAAGTTCATCGACACGAGTTCCAAATTCGGTCACGGTCGCTTCCAGACCGCGGCCGAGAAAAGGGCGTTCGAGGGTGTCAAGAAGATCAAGGCCTAAGCGTTGCGTCTTTTTGTATCTCTTTAGTGCTTGCTGCTGCCACGTTGAAATTTCAGGGTTGCTCAAAAGAATCTGTTGTGCCCCTACCCCGAGGAGATTTCGTATAAGTGCGTCTCGCTTTCGCGGCGCAATCCAGTGATCGTGTTCCGCCCTTGCCTTTTCTCTCTGCTTGGTCACAATGAAGTGTTGAACACAGACGGGCAGCATTGCAAAAAGAAAACATGATTCTACAGCAAAGAAACGTCCAACCGCGACTCCTACTTGTTGAGCCGCACGGACTTGACCGTGTTCTTCCCAATGCCACTCTTCTCTCCCTCGTAATTGCTGCGATCGCCACCCTTGTACACGGCCTTCATCGACGCGACCTTCTTGAGCGCCTTGTCGTACTGCAAGCGCTTCTTGACTCGCGAGTTGCGTGACGCCTTGGATCGACGCGGCGTGAGACCCTTATTGGCCATGATCGTGCGAGTGGCACCTCGCGGTCCGTCGACGGACGAGTCGGCAAGCGACATGAGTTCCTCCCTGTGAGCGTCCATTTCAATGTCAGTTGACTTCTAAAATGGATTGATCACTGCAAAGCACTCACTTTTCTGCCTGACGCTCCTCGTCATACTTGGCCTTCTTGGCTAGTCGACCGGCCTTGGACTCGGCTGCGACCTGTTCGTAATAGTCCAACCCACTCGGTCCGTCCTCCCCACCCTCCCCACTTTCGCCAGAGTTTGATCCGCGAACCGTCTTGGCCACTCGAAGGTCGTCCTCCCCCCAATCATCGTCGTCAAGCGCGGCCCCCGTCGCGGAAGTGGCCACACCATGCTGCTGTCGCTTGAGCACCTCCCTACGCGCGTTCTCCTTGCTCCGTCTGGGCAAATCGTCGTCACCACCGACGCGACGCCCGTTGCCTTCGTTGCGCCGCTTCTCCTTTTGGGAGACCTGCGAGACGTGGAACCGCAACGAATGCCGCGTCGAGGCCTTGTCGGCCGAATCACCATGGGCCAAGCTCGTCGGATCGAGGTAATCGTCCGCGGCCCAGGCATCCACTCGAGACGCCTTTTTGCGTGAAGCAGGCGCCGAGGACAAAGCCGGCAACTCGGGTATGACGACTTGCTTCTTGGGCTTCTTGACCCTGTCCTTCTGGTTGGACTCTTTCGTCGCCGCCTTGCTCGCTTTCTTCGAATCGGAAGCAGCCTGGCCGGCCTTTTTGGCCGCTTGAATGTCTCGGACTTTGGCAATGAGCGCATCGGCATTTCGGTCCCCCTTCATCTGCTCCATCAGCGCCTCGAGCTCGGCGTCGTCCATACTCGCTAGCATTGAGCCCGTCCTCTCGTCCTCGAGGTCCGAGTCGAATTCGTCGGAATCAAAGTCGAAGTCGGCTTCGGCGAGTTCGGCCATGTCGGCGTCGAGATCGTCTTCCTCATCGTCCTCATCGTCCTCCTCGTCCGCGTCCGAGTCTTCATCATCGTCCTCACCACCGACAGCTTGCATCCCGCCCTTGTCCCAGACCTCGGAAAGCTCCATGCCTTCTTGATCGTCCCCAGAGTGCCCAGAGTGCTCAGCGTCCGAGTCGTCGTCGAGTTGGGTCGTGAGTTCGAGCTCTTCCATAGAAGCCAAGGCAGTGCGCAGCGACGACAACCTCGCGAGGACGGCGGTGAGCAGCTCGCGAGACGGGTGAGGCGAGAGTAAGAGGGAAAAGTAGAATGTCAAGGTCGGGAGATAGGTGACGAGCGCCTCTGCGGAAGGGCGGCGTTAGGTTCATATCTTAGGCCTGTAAAGCGCCACTGATCAAGCTTTGCTCACGGTGTTCCAGCTCGACGATAGGCAAAGCTTGGTGCTCCTCGCCTGACTGTTCGCCCCCTTTACGCAGATCCACCAAAGCCGTTTCGACGACCTTGATTCTCTCTGCGATCCTGGTCAGGTCGTCGAGCAAGGCCAAGTTCTCGGGGTTGTGCTTGAGCAGATGCGCGATCGCGTTTTCCTCAGTCCATTCGACCTGAACTTGGGCTGAGTTGGCGTTGGAAGCTGCATCCTCCTCTTCGAATCGTGTGTGATTCGTCGACGTCCCTTCGAGCTCGTCCTCGGCTTCGTCCAGGCCATAGTCTTCGGCGGCCAAAGCGGTTTTGCTCTTTTTTTGCAACCGCCTCGCCTCGGCCTCTTCCAGTTCGAGTGCCTCGTCGTCCTCTGAATCTGCTTCGCCCGGTGCGCGTCGCGAGGCATGGTACGATCCAGGTGCCCAAGTGTCTTCGTCGTCCGAGTCTTGGGCGCCCTCGCGATCGGCCCCATCGTCGTCGTCGTCGTCGTTGTCGTCGTCGTTGCGGGCTTGGAGTTTGGAAGGCTTGGGCGGGGCCCGGTCGTGTGCGTCAGAATCGTCGTCGTCGTCATCTTGCGAGTCGGCAGCGTCCTCCTTCTCGTGGGTGGCTGCAGACGACTTGGAAAACCTCCCCTTGTTGGTATCGTCCACGGGGGCCCTCTTGAACTGCTTGCGTTGGGCTGGTTCCTCGTCCTCTCCCTGGTCATCGTCCTCCTCATCGTGTTCATGCTCGTCTTGAGAGGGCAAGTCGAGTCCGTAAATCTCGTCGTCATCCGAGAGATCGCCTAGGTCTGTGAAGAAGGTGGGTAGAGTGGTCATCAGATGGGGTAGTCCAGACTTGATGGCATTGAGGCGATGGACTTGCCGTTCTTGTCGTTGCGACTGGCATTGGTGTGTTCGAACAGGATCGAGTCCCTCTGTCGGTGGACTGTGAAGTGGGAGCAGATTGAGCAATGTGTTGCCTGAAAGAGGTCGTAGCGAATAGACCGAACTGACACTCGTCCTCGTCGCCACCAAAAGCATCGTCGCTCGTCTCGAGCCGATTGACCGTCGATCCTCTGCGATCGAAGGCTCGTTCCTTGTCCGTCGCGAGCAGATGCAAGCGCCCCTTTTTAGACTTGAACACGTTGCTATCGTTGGCTTTGGTGCGCGCCATGATCGGTGCACGGCCCTGCTGTTGTGTGGCCAACAAGTAGGGATGTTCGTGGGGAGGAACGCTTCCGCTCGGCTCGGCGTTGCGAAGTTTTGGTTTCTGAATTCACCAATTCGCCAATTCGGCGTTCACACTAAATCGCAATTAGTCAACCGAGCCCGCGCCGCGCCACACACCGCCAGACTCCGCCAGAAGCCGCCAGACACCGCGAGACACCGCGAGACATCGCGAGACACCGCGCGCCGGTCGGGTTCGTCGGCTGCGAAGCTCGCGCGCTCCCCTCCGTTAAGCCGTGACCACACACACCAACTCACCATCTTCGCCCATCTTCCCACCACATCCTCATGCCGTCCAAAACCAGAGCCACCTCTTCGACCTCCCTTCGACCTCCTCTCCTCTCCCCAACGGAGGACACGACCATCGCTTCCGCGTCGAGCCATTCCGTCGACCAACGCTCGTCCTCAACTGCGGAGGAGTCGTCGCCTTCCTCCTCCTCCTCGTCGTCGTCAGCATCTTCGTCTTCGTCGGAGGGGGAGTCGGATTCTTCAAGTGACGATGAAGACGACGAGAAAGAGGATGATGATCCATTGGATTCGCAAACACGACTGCAGATGAAGGACTTGTTGCTCAAGGCGAGGCAAGCCGCTGCCAGGCAGAGCAACGGCTACGGCAAGGGGAAGGGCAAGGGCAAGGCGGTACAAGACGGCGATGCACTAGCCAACAATGACGAGATCATTACATTCGGGGATGAACAAGACGATGGTGAATCCAGTGACGACGACGACGACGACGAGGATGACAGTGATCCGGACGAGTGAGTTGTCCTTTCCGTTGCTCTCGGCTCCTATGCTATGCGCATCCCCAAGTCTGACATTCCGATCTTTCGACAGACCCAAAGCATCGACCTCGAAAGCGTCTCTGATCCCCAAATCCCTTGTCGCACCGCTTAAAGTGAACCGCGGCCTCGACACGATTTCGAACAAACCCGTGCGAGCAGACAATATCAAACCCGAAACGGGCATGCGAGAATCGGCGATCGTGAACGCGAGTAAATCGACCTCGGGCAAGGTCATCAAGGGCGACAAGTGGGGAATGATGCCGATGAAGAGTTTGAGCAAGAAGGAGCTCAAGGCAGTGAGTTCGAGTCGCACCGCGAGAGACTATCGATCGAAGCGCAAAATTTTAACTTTTTCGAAACTGACTATCCGCTCTCTCGTTTGCAGCGCCACCCACCAACGGCAGGACCTTCGTGGTTCAACATGCCCGCACCAGCCATGACCCCTCAACTCAAACGCGAGGTCCAAGCGATGCGACTACGCAACGCCCTCGACCCCAAACGTTTCTACCGAGGCGACGCCGCCAAAGCCGATTCCAAGCTGCCCGAATTTTTCCAAGTCGGCCACGTGCTCAACGAATCCCAACGCGCGACCAACGCCGATCCCGTCGGCAGGGTCAAGAAGAGGTCCTTTGTCGAGGAATTGGTTGAGGACGAGCAGGCCAAGGCGTATACGAAGCGCAAGACGGTCGAAGTCATGCGCAAGGGGATGAGTGGCAGGAAGGGCAAGGCCAGGAGGCGCAAGGCGTGAGCTTGAGACGAGCTGGGAGCGAGTTGTTGTGTATTTATCATGCGAGGGCAGCAGTAGGGAAACCAAATTTCAGTACCTCCCTTGTCGTGCTATTTCCACGGACCAACGTCGAGCGAGTGTCTGATCGACTTGGTCTGTTTCAACCGGTGGAGGGTTGTAGCACGCGTCAGCCCTGCACACACAAGCAGTCAGAGGTCCCTCATCGCGTAATGATCTAGTATGTGGGATCACTCGTCGAAAGCGCGGGAGTATCCTGTCGTCTCCCGTTACCGTCCGAAAACGAGTAATCGCAAAGACGTGGAGGCGAAGGAAGCGCCGCGTCTCCATCATGTGGATCGCATACACCGTAGATTGAGGGGAGCTACGGAGTCACGGCCTTCCATGTATCACCAGGGCATATCTCCGTTTTGCGCATGATTGGACCGAAGATCGAAGAAGAGTCTTTTTCATTGTCTTTTTTTGTCTTACCGGGGCTCATGGATTACAATCCCTCGAATTGTCCGGGACCGCTACCTAAACAGGTAGAAGCGGTCCAAAGCAATGACAACATGCAGATGTTTGTCGTTTCGTTTTGTAGAGCATGCCTCGCATTGCTGCACCCAACTGTCAGCCAACATGCCAACCCAAGTATCGAAACCCTTGATGGTTCACCGGCGATCGTAAAGAGAAGAGAGATCCCGGAGCTTGCGAATTGAAGACTCCAGGATTTGAGGGCACTTGAGTGAGTGTATCGGTCATTTTTCAATGGGAGGGCAGCCTTTTCTGCTTACTAGAGCGTCGCGATATAATCACTGGACGAAATTCGAGCCCGCGACCTCTATGCCTTCAGATTTGAAAGATCAGCAGGGTGTGTTGAACAACTGCCCTCTCAAGAAAGAACAGTAGTAAAGGACTTTCTGGTTTGTAAGAACTGTTCATCATATTTTCCCCAACTCCTGTCCCCCCTGTTTGGCCCACGAAAGAGTTAGATGATGAAAGGAGTCGACGATGACAACACAAACCGCTCGCTAAAGTGCGAGAAACGGGCCGATGTCCGCCAATCCAATAGCATTAATTTTACTCTTTTTGTAGAAATATTTATTCGCCCCTAATCCCTGTTCCCCCTTTGGCCTACGGAAAAAGTAGATGGAAGTCGACGATGATAACACAAACCGCCTGCAAGATGCGAGAAACAGGCCAAGTCCACCAATCCGAGACTTCGGATTCAAGTGCCCCAGCCAAGCGGTTGCTCCCCCCTAGGAGACGAATGAGAGAGATAAATAAAAATAACTAGCCAACGACAAGAGGCCCACCTCGCGCCCACTTCCCAACTCGGTCGAGACAAAGACAGGAGAGCGACTGCGCAGCTACCCTGACCCGCGAAATCCCAAGTCTATGCTCGGTCACAACAAGACGCGGTGGAGGCCCCTCAAAACCTCCACCTCAGCAGTCCCTGGCCCCTCAAAGCCGACTTTCTGCCTGTGTCTGCTGATCCCTCCCTTAAACTCAGAACCCCGAAGCCAAAACGCGAGCCGGTCCATGAGCAACGGAGGCAGACCTGTAATAAAAGAAAGATGAAGAAATGATATTTAGTATACAGTTTTTGTAAGAGGATGTGTGATGTGGGGTGTGTGAGTGTGGGATGGGGTGGGGGGAAATCGAACCCAGCCTCTACTGCCCTCGCCCGCCTCTTGCTCCTCCCGCCCTCAACTTCATCCTCTCCTCCAGTACCACCCTCCTCCTCTGCAAGCTTTCCATCCTCGTCCCGAGCTTCTGCATCCTCCATCTCCCACTGCTGATCATCTCCAAAACCATCCCCGTGAAGATCTCGATCGTCCTGCCCGCGCCTTCCTGTTCGCTGAGCTTGGCCTTGAGCTTGGGGAGGCCAAAGAGTCGTTGCAGTGTCGTGTATTCGGCGTCCTCGATCGTGTCATCCGAGCGCGTCGCAGAGCACGCCCCTTGCCGCGGTCCAGACGTTCCGCGAGTCGACGCAGCCGAAGAAGTAGTGATCGGTGTCGTCCACCGGCGCTTCGCACACGAGGCACGCGGGAGAAGTGACATGCTTTTGCTCGTGCTGGAGCTTGCGCGTCGGGGTGAAGCGGAGAATCAGCTTGAACCAAACTTCCCTCTCCCTCGCTGTCAGTGCCTTCGAGTTGACCGCCTTCCAGAAGCTCCTGAGATCGTCTGGCTGCGGTGGTCCCTTGAGCCCGAGCGTGTTGGTGAAAGCCTTCGCGTTCAGGACCCGGCGGATGCGACGGATTGTGTAGGGTCGAGCCGTGTTCAGCAGCGTATACTGGCTCGCCTGTTGTGGAAGCACCGGGTCCGGAAGGCGCTGCTCCATTGCGAAGCGGGCCACGGGCTTGGGGATGACCGCCTCGAGCGGTGCGCTGGTGCCTTTTTTTTTTTGTAGAAAACGTTCATCATATTGCCCCCAATTCCTGTTCCCCCTGTTTCGGCCTACGGAAAAACTAGATGGAAGACTACGATGATAACACAAACCGCCCGCAAAAGTGCGAGAAACGAGCCAAGTCCACCAATCCGAGATTCGGATTCAAATGCCCTAGCCAAGCGGTTGCTCCCCCCCAGGAGACGAATGAGAGAGAGAAAGAGAGATGAAGAGAAAGAGAAAGAGAAAGAGAAAGAAAAGAAATGTACTAACGACAGAAGGCCCACCCCACAGCCACTTCCCACTCGGTCGAGACGAAGACAAGAGCACGACTGCGCAACCACCACGACCCTCGACGCTCCAAGTCTCTGCTCAGTCACAACAAGACGCGGTGAAGGTCCCTCAAAACCTCCCCCTCGGCAGTCCCTGGCCCCTCAAAGCCGACTTTCTGCCTGTGTCCGCTGATCCCTCCCTTGACTCAGAACCCCGAAGCCGAAGAGCGCGAGCCACACCGAGTCGACGCCAAATCGCGAGATGGTCCATGATCCGCAACGGTGAACCTGTAACAAAAGAAAGAGGAAAGCGAGCTATTTAGTGTACAGTAGGAGAAAATGATGTCACGAGAATTTGGTGTGTGTGTGTGGTGGTGGGGGGAAAGTCGAACCCAGCCTCTACTGCCTTCTCCTCCCCCAAGCTCCTCCCGCCCTCAGCTTCAACCTCTCCTCCAAGATTATCCTCCTCCTCCCAACACCCTCCATCCTCGTCCCCCACTTCTGCATCCCCCACCTCCCGCTGCTGATCATCTCCAAGACCAGCCCGGTGAATATTTCGATCGTCCTCCCCGCTCCTTCTTGATCGCGCAGACTGGCCTTGAGCTTCGGAAGTCCGAACATGCGTTGAACGGCCGTGTAATGCGTGTTGTCGATCGTGTCGAGCCCCAGTGCGTCGCAGAGCACGCCCCTTGCCGCGATCCAAACGTTCCTAGAGTCAACGCAGTCGAAGAAGTAGTGCTCCCGATCGTCCTTGGGCGCTCCACAGACGAGGCACGCGGGCGAGTCGTCGTGCTTTTGATGAAACTGCAGACTCCGAGTCGGGGTGAAGTTCCTGACGAGCTTGAACCACACCTCGCGTTCCCTCGCCGTCAATGCCTTCGAGTTGACCCCCTTCCAGAATCCCTTGAGATCGTCGGGCTGCAGCGAGTCCCTGAAACCGATCGTGTCGGTGAAGGCCTTTGCATTCAAGACTCGGCGGACGCGACGGATGGTGTATGGCCGATCCATGCTGAGCAAGTTGTATTGTGTTGATTGGTCTGGGAGAGCCGGTCTCGGAAGGCGCTGCGGCGGGTCGATCGGATGGGGCAGGATCGACTCGAGCGGCGTGGTGGGGCGGACTCGGGGAGGCCCGTTGATTCGTACTGCCGCCACCGGTTGAGCTATTGGTGTGAACCTCAATCGATTGATCGCATGTCGGTACCATGCCACGATGTGCTCTCGTTGTGGGCGGCCCCGTTGATCGTATTCGCTGTTGCTGACGACCACATCCGTCGGCGGCGTCCAGAGATGAAAGCCCCCGCCCGGGTACAGCTCGCGTCGAAACAGGTCCGCTACCTTGGCGTAAATGGCAAACGCAGCATAGTCGGCGTCGTAGGGTGGTCGCGACACAGCTGGTGCTCCCGGTAGGTAGTGAAGGGTGTGCAACTTGATCGGAAGAGCGAGAAGGTTCGCGAGCGTCAACGTCCTCGGCTTGACTTGCGCATTGTGCGTCGATGGTACCTTCAGCACGGCCTGCCATCTTGGGTGTAGATCGGTTCGGATCGGAGTGTAGTCGCAAGGCCACGCATCGGTTGCCAAGTCAAAGTCGGGGGCGGGATGGGCTCGTACAATCGCCGCGCGCGCAAGTCCCTGCCAGATCGCATCCGAACCGCCAAGAAGCACGTCCCAGACGCGTGCCGCAACCGAGTCGACGACGTCCTGCATCCGCATGACCCCAAGACCCCCCTTGAACCTCGGTGTGAAGACGACGTCCTTGCCATAGCACGACCTCCTCTTGCCGCCGCGGACAAAGTCGGCGAGAATGCGATCAAGCTCCTTGACGACCTCGAGCGGTGGGATGTCGGCGGAGAGGATGTGCAGAATCTTGGGAATGGCGTATCGGTTGACGTAGAACGCTCGGGTGTGGTGTGTGAGCCCTCGGTCCCGTGCCGAATCGAGCACCGCTTCGAGCCGTGCGACGAGATTCACGTTGGCAAGTTCGGTGTTGCCGGTGGGGTCGAAAGATAGGCCGATCCACTCGAGCGACTCGCCCTCGGCCTTGACGACGAGCGGACGATCGCCAGCCTCCCAGCGACACCCGATGGGTAGTACGACGGTCTTGTCGGTGTTGAGCCGGCCATTGGTTGCGAGCCTCCAGTCGAGCGCCAGGTCGTCGAGCAAGTTGAGTGACTCCGAGCCCGCGACGGCGACGACGACGTCATCGGCAAACGCAAGGGATGTAATGGCGCGGCTCTGTGGGTAGGGGTGAATGGTAGGAAGCGAGAGGTTCAGCGCGATGCCTCGACGGTGCAGAGCATCCAGGAACGGCTGGAACACGACATCCCAGACCGACGACGACGCCGGGTCCCCTTGGCCGAGCCCAC